GACCTACGATGCGAAAACAATGCTCCTCCCGCTGCTCGCGCGCCTAACCGCCCCTCCCACACAGACGCTGCACATCCTCGCTCCCACGCCGTCAACCGTCTCCTTCACCGCGTCCACGCGCCCGCGCCCCACGACGCTCGCCGCGAAGCTGAGACACCATGTTTGGCTCTTGACGCGCATTCTCGTCGGCGCGCTCACCCTCGCGCTGCTGTGGATAAAATGCCGTCTCGGCCACACATGTTCGCCCCCCGAGGCCCTGCTGCGCGTGCTCGGCGACCCGCAGACAGCCCGCCTGCTAAGCGCCGTGGGTGCAGTGGGCTGGCCGTACTTTGCCCCCGCAGCGGCCGTGGTGGGGTTCCTCGTGCTAAGGCGCGCATACACAGGTCCCCCCCTCCTCTCTCTCTCTCTCGCCATAGACGTCGCTGACACGGCATAGAAGAGTCGCTGATGCTGCTTCGCGGTCTCGGCGTGCAGACGTCGTCATCCGCTGCGACGGTGCTGCAGAGTCCCTCGAGGCGGTTTATTCCCACGAGCGCTATCCAGGATATCGTCATCCACGAGGCGTTTCGCGGCTTTGAGGTAAGGTTTTACCTGGCGATTGTGGTGCGCGGGGAGGAGGATGTTGTCGTTGTTTTCCCAGGGCTGTTGCCGCGGCGGGCGATGCTGGAGGAAGTTTGGAGGGGTGCGAGGGCATGTCTGTGGGAGCATGGGGTGCGAGAGAAGGAGGCGGGGTAGTGAGGCCGTGGTTGATGGTCTTTGTGCGTTTCACGCGCACACTGGTTGAGATCAAGCTGCTGTTTCTGTGAAACCATTGGAAGAGAATTGTCCCTACCCTCACGGTACCATGATCATGTGAGTCGGCGGACCATCCTGCAGACTACATGCGCGACGAGTCTGCTACTGCGAAGCACAAATGAAGCGTGGAGCGCTCCGGAGTCACCATCTTCTCACGAATCGCAAACCCCCACGGCGCCTACACAAACACAAACATGCGCTCTGAATGCAGTCCAAGCTCCAACTCCTCTACCACCTGGCCATCCATAGCCCCATACACATAAGCCTCTCCAACAAGCGCGTACGCACCACACCTTCATGGCTGTCCAGTGTTGAGGGGCCAAGTCAGGCAAGCACAGAATTAGCGGATTTGTATATCTGCTTCATAAGGCGAACTTGATGGTTCCGCTCGGAGACATTTGCCTGGTTGACACATAACGTGTCGACCCACGAAACGACTGCATCTCTCGGTTGTCGAAACGCTAGCAAGGCGGGTGCAAGATTCGCAAGTATGGTTGTGGCTCGCTCATTCACCACGATGGATTCTGTGTTATGGATCGCCCTAGATCCAGGAGACTGCTTGGCAAGAGGGTGCACTTGACAGCGGGACATGCATGAGGTAGCCTTTAACAACGCTGTCTCCATGTCCAGGGCACGATACAAAGAGCCGGATTTCGTCCTCTTTAAGTGGCGCCAGATGTGGGTGAAGGACGTGATCCCCGAACGAAGGTATGTTGAAGCAGTATACAGAGGAACAGGATCCATCATCGGGGTGATCGGCGGGGGTTATGGCGAGCTGCCCATCCGACACGAAGGTGATTGTGCGGTAACAAGGACGGTCGTGTTCCATTTCGGTTGGCTTTTCGCCTGGGCATGCTTGCTTCACAGGCTGCCGGGTTCTGCGCAGGTATTGCGGTAGACTCCGAGGAAGGCTGCAGCCTGCCAGCCCTCAGCCTTGTGCAGGTGCAAAATTAATCTCTGTTGACCGTGGAATAATGATGCGATTCGATGCCCAGATCATTCCTTCGCGTTGCGAGCGCTAAAGATGCATGTCGCAGAAGTATGGAACCGGTACCGGGCTGTACCGTGAAGAGTAACACTCAGCCTTGCACGTGCTAGCGCCATTCACGTGACTAGTTCTGCCTTGATATGAGCTTTTGATCTCTACACATAAATGCATTCGCCAAAAGCATCTGTGCAGGGACCGGCGGCTCTTCGCGTGGATCGAGTCGCAGCTTCTTCTCAATACCGGGGTCTTACAAGCCTCTCACGTACTTCAAATGCTAGTTGTGTCAGCCACTTGGTCGATGAGAGCGTGAAGTGAGACAAACCATACGGTGCGACAGGAGGTGAGCAAACACAGATGATTTGTGGATTTTTCTTTTCGTCATGTTTGTGTTGACGCTTGCCGAAACGCCATCTTCGTGCCAACGCCAAAGTCCCCAAGTTCCATCACGAAGTCGCGATGTTCCCATGTCCTTCTGTACATGGCCAAGGGAGACGCGCAGACCCAAGGCTTGTTGCAGGGCGTCGTCTAGTATCGATAGCGTGTAGAGTAGTCCTTCGGACTGACGACCAGACCCCTCCCCTTCTTCGCTCCGCGGTAGACCGTCTCAATAATATCGATCAACTCCTGCTTGTCCTCTAGTACCCAGTTCAGCTTATTGTTGTTTCCCGTTCCAAAATCGCACATCATGTGCTTGTTCCTGAAGAAGAACATAACGGTGCAGGGATCATAGAGCTCGTACATGGCCTTGAAGTCCGGGACCTCGTCGAGATCGCACACATACAGCGCCGCGAAGTTCTTCACTCGGTCCGCGATCTTGTAGAGCACTTCGTCTTGTCGCATGCAGTCAGGGTCAGAGTCGCGCCCGAATCGGATAACGACGAGACGGTCTTCTTCGCTGAGGATTGCTTGGTCGACGTGCCAGCCTGTGCGCAGATGGGGAAGGACTACAGAGCCCATAGTGAAGTTGGTGTAGGTGACTTTGGTCTTCGGTGGGGTATTCGCGCGCTCGAGAGCGCAGTAGTGCTGGTATTGAGGTCGTCGCGTGATACGAACTTTGCGGAGGTGTCGCTTGGACCGTGTGTGATTTGAGCCGTGAGGTGAATGTAGTCGCGCGAGTGAGAAGTATCTTTTTCGAAGAGTTGTAGAAATCTTTGGAAGCCTCACAGCAAGGCTGCAGCGCACGGGCACGAACGCGTGCCCCGCCATCGATCCCTGTCTAGCGCTTCCGCCCGCTTTCCACCCAGACCTCCGCCATCTCCTCCTGCAGAATGAGACCACTAACCTGGCCAACAAGGTCCTCCATGCTGCGTTGTATATAGACCGGAAGTGCCACTTACATCCCAACCTCTACTTGCTGCACTTTTCCAAATATGTGCCACAATAGCTCTGATTTCTTCAGACCCTCCTGCTCTCACTCCCGGAGCATTACGCGGCTTCGCACTTCAACATGGGTCTGAAATTGCACAAGTCAAGCGCCAATCGCTACAGTTCGCACATACTAATCTCACTCACTTCCGGTCCCAGCTTCGCCAGCACAGTCTATGTGCTCACCGACATATTTGCGAAGCCTGGCGATCTTACGTCCGGTATTTGGAAGCTTACCCCTCACTATCGCCGATGGCTTTGTCACAGCGCGTTGCTTACAGCGCGTCGCGAATATTACATCACTCTTCTGCGGTGCTCCGCTACCACAAACCATCGCGTGGAGCATCTAGACTCAGCCTTCGAGCCATTGACGATCTCCGGAGTGAGCAGTGACCGGAATGTTGACGTCCGTTGACCCGGCGAGATGGGGCAAGTATGTTATCTCCTCGGCTGTCACTTCCTCGAAACTTTATGAACTAGATAAATACTGTCTTCAACTCAAGTCGTTCGACCTCTGTCTCTAACATAGAATTTGTAGCTCAACGACTCGTGTCTATCCAAGACCACCTCAAACCAACAGTCATGAAGGAGAACGTTGTCCTCCCATCTGAAGGAGCCCACGGTGAACGCGATGGTACCGCGACGGCGACCTGCTACTGTGGAGCCGTGCAAATCAAAGTCCCGACCGAAGGCGAGGGACTGGTCGACACTTTCATCTGCCACTGCACCGACTGCCGCAAGATCACCGCTAGGTCAGAGACTTCCGAACTCAATATGCTCACAGTTATGACTGACTCCTTCACAGCATGTTTGCATCCAACTTTGTAGTCAAAGACTCGCACCTCAAGCACGTCCGCGGCGAAGACAAGCTGACCCGCTTTCGCCAAAAAGATACCATTGCCACAGGCAATTACATGGAGAACAGTTTCTGCAGCGTGTGTGGCACGCTATTGTACCGCCGCAGCTCTGGCTACCCTGGCATGAGCATTCCGCGTATTGGCACGATCGACGACTTTGCACTGCAGGAGACCAAGTTCAAGCCCAGGATCGAGACGTTCGAGAAGGATAGGTGTGCGTGGTTGAAGCCAGCGAGCGTGGACGAACACGTTGATGGAGCGTTTTATACCGGTGGAAAGGAGTGGAAGAGTATCCATGATGGTGTTGGTGGCAAGGGGAATTAGTTAGGCCCATCGAAGCATATCGGCCTATGGCCAACAAATCTCAAATATCAGGGATCACGACTACTACTCCACTATCTTCGATCAATACAGAAGGTCTATCGATGTCTGTACTGCTGCCTGCGTACAGATTCACGAGCCTCGGAGCACTTTGCGTGTTTGAGGTCGCCGTCACCGCTGCAACGTTGTGGTTCTGCAACATACGTCAAGTATTCGTGGCCATACCTGCGAGGATATGTCCAAATTGGCCCTTTGGTAATTTTGGATACTTGTTCTCAAGTCTACCACACTGCACCAAAGTATCTACGGCGCATACTTTCTGACCATCTCCAGCACCGCCTCATTGACCTCCTTTGGATTCGTCGCGCTCAGGTAATGAGCACCACCCTCCACTATACTCAGCTTCTTCTCCTTACTCGCAGCAAACAGCTCGATCTGCTCATGTTGGACCTGGCATCCATACACGACATCCTCCGCCCCCTGCAGCCAGTACACAGGACACGTGACATCTCCCAGCCTCAACGTCACCGAATCCCTCAACATCAAACACAACACCGCCATTCGCGCCTTCCTCCTTCCCCCATCCCCCTTATACGTCTCCTTAAGTACCTCTGTCCAAAAATCAGTCGACTGCTCTGTAGCATGCGCGCCGAAGCCGAGACTAGCGACCATCCCGCACCACTGATCGTCAATCTTGAACTCTGGGGTAGCCGCGGCACTCGTCCATTTCTGCGCAAACGGATTCAGCACCGGAACAGGGTCCCAGCACCCCTTCTCCCGCGTCTCGGGCGTCTCGGCGTCCATGCTGGTTCCGAGTGGTAGCAGCCCGAGGATACGTTCAGGTGCGAGTAGAGCCATTCGAACGACGATCCAGCCGCCCTGGCTGGTTCCTAGGACAAAGGCCTTTTCGACGTTGAGGGCGGTCATAACTTCTAGGGCCACGATTGCGGAGTCCCAGTATGTGAAGTGGCTGGCTTTGGTAGGGAAGGTGGTTGCGCCGTGGCCGAGGGGCTCGATGGCGAGGATGTTCATGGCGCCCGTGAGGCTGTTGTCGTTGAATTGCGCATCGAATAGAGCGGTGGTCATGCACATAGAGTTTATGCATACCAACGTGGGCTTTGATGGGTCGATGGCATTGTTGGTGAGGCGGTAGCCGACCTGTAGGTTACCTAGGTGGGTGATTTTAATGGGGATTATGGAGGATGGCATTGTCGATGCTTCACGCCTTAGAACTGATGATGGGAGAGAAGGAATGAAGCAATGAAACTTTGACGAAGACCACTTCTGTAGATTCAGACAGACACCCAAGATGTTTGACACGTGTGGTTGCATACCGGTAGCCGAAAAGCGGGCATCCCGGTGGCCCGCCCTGTGTGTGGGCCAAGGGCGACACCTTCTGCCATTGCTGTTCAAGCTTTCAGTGATCTTCGATTGACGTGAAGGAGGTTGTTCACGAGGCTTGCTACACGGCACAGGCTCTCGTGTAAGCAATGTATTCGCTGTTTGGTACGAAGGGTGATGCAGCTTTGACGGCTGGCTAACCAGATTTGTGCGGGTGGGGCCAACAGGAGCTTTGACATGCCCCTCTAGGCACCTCCAGGCCTGGCGACGCAGAGAGAACGTCGAAGCTTCAGAAGGCATCGCTCGCTCTCCATCTGGTACACAGCTCTGCAATCACTGTGTCCACTCGTCACTTTTCAGCTCATTTATCTGCTTGCGGGCACCGTCTTCAATCTGGACATCTACATCCGAGCCATAACGCGGCGCGAGATGTCGACTTACCCAGGTACCGGTAGTCTCGGTAAAACTCCAGCGGAGAACTCACACGTGCTTCTACCATTGGCTCGGTAACGGCCTGCTATCAGTATCACCAACCACACCAACGATCTATCCCTGTATCATCGTACCGGCTCTCCGCCAGCGCGAATTTCTGCAGCTCAAGACGGCTAAGAGATTCGAAGAACTTGCTTGGGCTAGACAAGACTTGCTCAAGCCTCTTGTCAATGACGTTGCCGGTGCAGAAGCTTCAATAAGCCTAGCCCTTCGCCCTGGCGCGTGGGATAACTGCTTGGCCCTCGCGCGTTAGGTTCCTGCACCGTGCTCCCAGCTCGCGCGATTGACAAGCCGCCATGTTGATCCAGACCCCGGATGGTCGGTATTACTCTAGTATAAAATGAAGGCTTCTCGCCCATGTGGTCGGGAGGGCGTACAAGCAATCCATTCTCAAAGTACCAAGCTGAGCCATCAACATCGGCCATGAATTCCCTCCTGACTCTCGCTTTGGCAGCTGCTGCCGTTGCTGCTCCTACTAGCAGGTCTTACCCTACTGGCACCACCGGCCACCCTGGTCACACCAGCAAGGATGACAGCTATCTTGTCTCATTGGGCCCTCGTCCCTACTATATCGTCAATAACATGACGGATGGACCATTGAAGCAGAAGCTCCAGTCTTGTGAGAATAAGCCTGTTTCTATCAACCAATTCTCGATTGGTCACCGTGGTGGCGGTACTCTTCAATTTCCCGAGGAAACCAAGCAATCCGAAGACGCAGGTGCTCGCATGGGTGCTGGTGTCCTCGAGTGTGATGTCTCGTTCACTGGCGACCGAGGGCTTGTCTGCCGTCACTCGCTTTGCGACCTGCACACAACGACCAACATCCTCCTGCATCCTGAGCTGGCGAAGAAGTGCACAATTCCCTTCATGCCAGCAAACGGAACGGCACCTGCCAATGCCCTCTGCTGTACCTCAGACATCACCATCGCTGAGTACAGCAGTCTTTGTGGCAAGCAGGACGGCTTCAACGCTTCTGCCCGCACGCCTCAGGACTACCAGTACGGTACTCCGATCTGGCGAACAGAGCTGTACGATACCTGCGGCAAAGTCTTAACCCTAAACGAGTACATCGACCTCGTCAACGATTACCCCGGCTACCGCAACTTCACCCCCGAGCTCAAGACTCCTCCTTCCCAGGTTCCCATGCCCTTCAAGGGCTACACCCAGCAGCAATATGCCCAGGACATGGTTGACGCCTTCCGCAACAAGTCCATTGACTACAGCCGCATCTGGCCACAATCATTCACATACGACGACATCATCTTCTGGCTCAAGTACGACCACGACTTCGGCAAGCAAGCCATCTACCTCGTCGAGTACGACACGCCCGAGGACATCACAGCAGGCATCTCGAACCTGACCGTCGCTAAAGCCGCTGGTGTCAACATCATCGGTCCTTCCCTACCTATGCTTCTCAGCGTCAACGAGAACAAAACCATTGTCCCGTCTGCATATGCTCATGCCGTAAAAGCTGCTGGCCTTGATATCATTGCCTGGACATTTGAGCGCTCTGGACCACTTGCGACAGTCAAGAGCAGGGGCGAGTACTACTTTGAGTCTATTGCGAACGTCACGTATTATGATGGGCAGTACTATGAGGTGCTGGATGTGCTGGCGAATCAGATTGGGATCAAGGGGCTGTTCAGCGACTGGTCGTCTACGGTCACATATTTTGCAAATTGCTTTGGGCTTAAGGGGCCGGTGGGTGGTAGCTACAAGTAGAAGATGAACGAGTGATGATGAACTGCTCCATCTAAGGATGGATACAATGTGAGCTCAGAAGCTCCGCCTTACAGCTCATGACGGCTGATATCGTAATTCGGCTTGTGTCCACTCTGTGTCTTGGAACCATGCGGCTCTCGCTGCACTCGGCGTGCCCATACCGCTGCACTGTGATGATTCACTTCAATTGGGTCAAAGCTAGTCGTGCTCTTTGCCGATTGGGGTCCTACTGCATTCCTAACCATCTCGCCGAAATCATTGCATCGTCGAGGCGGTGCTTCACCAGACACGATGATTGCTCACATGCTATCACGATCGTACTTATGCAGGCAGGACGCGCTCAACAGAGCCACTAAGGAAGTCGTTCACTCTGTTGCAGTGTGCTTCTGCGCCATCGATATGATAAAGTGTTGTTATATTGATTGATTGTCCACAATACGCTTCATAATGAACACTGATTTCTCGTGAGTTTTCGCTGCATTCTTTGCAGAATCGGCTCTGGCCTGCAGGGTCAAGCCCAAACCGAAAGTCACCTTAGGCATGGAGAAGGTCCGTCTCATACTCGAGCGTGATGAGCATTTTCAAAGGGCCATCATCACTATTGCATTGTTCTGCATCGCAGCCAAGGCTCTTTTCAGACCTGGGAGAACCAATAATAGTCCTCGTTAACGAAGTCCACTCTTCTCACGGTGACAGAAAACTTGGATTGCACCCTCCGTCACCCCAGATGTTGTAACGAGGGCCCCGTAAGATGTGGCCCAATGCTCTGTGCATCAATCAACAGGGTCTTCAAGACGGTAGATGCCAGTTCAGTCGCATTGATGGAGTTATATTCTCTTGCTTGAACATTCTCACATGCTTGGGTCCCAGTCAAGGCCGAGTCGATCAATTAGCTCGATGTTTGACGTACGATATCATAACTGCTTCGTTCGATGAATTCTTGGCACTCCTCCACGAATGTGATCGATCATTTTGAGAAGGCGCCTAACTGACCTTCATAGCGAAGATATTAGATCGTATCGAGTAGTAGCACTGATGGGCAGTGGGCATTGTCGAAAGCTGATTCGCACCTTGCCACGTGACAGCTGGCTAGCGCGTTGAACCCTTGTCAACAATTGTTGTGGCAGTCGCAACTCGAAGAAGCTACGACACTGAAAGATGCATTCACGACCATAACGATAGCGCTCACTACAAGATTCTACCCCGCCTTCTATATCGCAGCCAACATTTACCTCTGGTCACCTCTATAGCCCTCCACAATGGGCTCACGACTTCACAATGCGACCATCGTCATTGACAACGGCAGCGGCACGATAAGAGCTGGCTTTGCAGGCGAGGATGTGCCAAAGATCTACATCCCCTCATACGTCGGGCGACCGAAGCATGTTCGAACAATGGCAGGCGCATTGGAGGGTGATGTGTTCATTGGGCCGTCAGCAAAAGAGAACCAGGGGCTATTTAAGATCAACTACCCATTGGAACACGGCATTGTCACAGACTGGGACGATATGGAACGGATATGGCAGTATGTCTACAACGAAGGATTGAAGACAATGAGCGAGGACGTAAGTAAGACCGATAGCATGAGCAGCTCCGGGGGCACATTGTGGGGGTACTTTGACTGACTATCACTTGTTGCACAGCACCCTGTACTTCTCACAGAAGCGCCGCTGAATCCTAAAGACAACCGCGAAGTTGCCGCCGAGATTCTTTTTGAGACCTTCAACGTCCCCGCGCTATACACCTCCATCCAAGCCGTCCTCTCATTGTACGCTTCAGGAAAGACAACCGGTCTGGTCCTGGACTCTGGTGACGGTGTGTCGCATGCAGTACCTGTCTACCAAGGTTTTGCGATACCCAACAGCATCAGGAGGATAGATGTTGCCGGAAGAGACGTGACAGAGCAGCTTCAGTTGCAGCTGCGGAAAGGAGGGTACATCTTTCACACGAGTGCGGAGAAGGAGATTGTCAAGGCCATGAAGGAGGCAACAAGTTACGTAGCGCTCGACATAGCGAAGGAGGAAAAGGACTGGTCCGGCAGTAGGTCGGAGGGCAAGGCCGTCGACTACACGTTGCCTGACGGACACAAGATGAAGGTGCGCTGAGTGTTGTACCACACTTGATCGCATGCTGACCGATTCTAGATTGGCGCTGAACGCTTCCGCGCACCCGAGATCCTCTTCAACCCCGAGCTCATTGGCCTGGAGTACCCTGGTGTGCACCAGATGGTCGTGGAGGCTATCCAGAGGACGGACATGGACTTGCGCAAGTCCCTTTATGGCAACATTGTACTCTCAGGTGGCTCCACATTGACAAAGGGATTCGGAAACAGACTACTCCACGAAGTGCAGAGACTTGCGGTGAAGGACATGAGGATCAAGATCCTCGCGCCGCCAGAGCGCATATACACCACGTGGACCGGCGGCAGCATTCTCGCTGGTCTGAGTACCTTCAAGAAGGTTGGATTTCTGACACCGCGCGAGGGGTAAAAGCTTAGACTGACACGTGTTGCAGATGTGGATCGAGAAAGATGAGTGGCAGGAGAATCCGCACATCATCCACTCTAGGTTCGCCTAGACGCTGCGTTACGACCTCGGTCGCAGACAAAACGCCGTCCTGTGCGTCTGCGCTTCCCCACAGCGCCTGCCGCCTCCGCAAAGGGGTCACGCGGTTCGAGAAGGGTGCATAACGCTTGTGCGCCGGGGTGTTAGTCATGGAAACCGGGACTGCGCAAACGACGTCCACAGAACATCACAGGACCCTGCGCGCCTGGCATCGTCCGGATCAACGTGTCGTGGCGGGAGTGCTACCGTAGTGCTTCCCCGCATTTGCCAGCGAGTTTCCCTTTTGAGCTTGTTTCTGTTACTTAACCCTAACATGGGCATCGCATACGACTGAGGGGTTTGCAAAGTTGTGGTGCATCATACATGGCGTTTGTGTGAGCACAAAGGGATACCCATATGATTTTGAGATGGAGTCAATACAACATACAGCATGGCCAAGCTCGCAATGGCAGGTGCTGCAAACTCAAGGTGTGCGAAGGCGGAACGCGCGTTGCTGGTCGACCAGATCGCAAACGCCAAGGATCGTGAACTCTTGTCTGCTATGGTGCGACTTGTTTAGCCATGTGCGACTACAATTGCACAAGATTGCGCAATGACAACTCGACGATCTGACCGAGGCGCCTCAGTCACGATGCACAAAGGGGAAATGAACACACCGCTGAGTCACTGACGGCGAGAGTGCGTGTTTTCTGTGTCTCGTGGTCGGTAACTGAGCGCAAACTACGCCTCTTGCTGTCTGGACTGCCGAGACTCACGATGTCCGGCGTCATGTGCAGCGCTTTGTCCGGGGAGGGCTGGGGGCAGAGCTGGAGGGAAATTGCGCATTGTGGCATTAGCGGCAAGGTTGTCGCGGGGGGGACTCATTGCAACATCGTGAATCACAACTGTGAGCTTCAAATTTTGCAGCGCGGCCCCTCCGGCACAAGCACCACGACGCAATGACGGCGGCTGCGCGGGAAGGAAAACTCTGCCGCCTCCACGCTCTGCCAGGTCGCAACAGGTGCTGCCTCACATCATCTCGCGCACGGCTTCCAAGTGATGGCGTCTTCATCTTGTTCCTGGTCACTTAAAATTCTGCAGCGGTGTTGGAAGTTTTCCATTACCCCCGTGAAATATTCTCATTGGCTGATTTGGTGTCAGGTGCACCTCAAACAAGGCGCGCCCGAGCTATTACGCTATCGAATGCAGAGCCAAGGTGGCTCCGACGCCTTTCGCTGAGGACCGATGGCGACCGTGCTGCTTTGTTTGCGTATGCGAGGCCCGCATGATCGAGAGACTGCCGTTAACTGCAAAGTGCTGGTTTATTTCCAAGCAAGCTGGTGCTCGTGCAATGCAATTGCGTTTGGATTCGTGGGTCAGAGATTTTTGACGGCCCCTTGCGTGAGCACCTGAGCTGCCACCTTTTGCATCCCCATATAAGAGAGCCGCCCCGGTGCCTCATGCCCATCACTTGACGAACCATCAAAGCACTTTACATCAGCCTCACTCCAGATTCCAATCACAAAGAGCTGTATAGCCGCCACCAAACTTGATCATCATAACACTCTTCCAACAACTTCTCCACCCACATTCAAATCTATCACCAACAATCAAAATGGTCAACTTCCACATCACCGAGCCTCACCCCTCCGCCAAGTCCTACCTGTACTCTGGCCGTGGAGGTGCTGGCAACGTTACCCGTGTAAAGGCCTCCGAGCTCACCGACGGCCGCACAGCAAGCGGCCCAGCATCCCGTGTCAAGCTCACTCCTCCTCCTTCCTCTGGATACTTCACCTCCGGCCGTGGTGGCGCCGGCAACATGCGTGCTCACAAGGAGCGCGCCATGTTCAGCTTCGACGAGGAACTTGAGCAGCAGGAACGCCTCCGCAGCCAGCAAGCCCCTGTCTACCACATCGGTCGCGGCGGCGCCGGTAACCTTATCGACGAGATGAAGCCCAGGAGCCAGCGCCAGAACTCTGCATCCTCTAGCAGCTCTGTTGAGAGCGAGAAGGACGGTGTCCGCCGGAGTCTCGAGAGGTGGGGCAGCCGTTTGTCGCGCAAGGTCTCCAACCACTAGACCACCTGCTATTCATCTTCTCTTCGCCATCTCCTATTACGGCATGTCGAATGCGGTCGAGGGCTGGTCCTGATTCCCTCACAATATTCTACGACATCTCCACCTCCATCTCCATTCAACAGCATCAGCAAGGCGTTTCGGATCTTGTACCATTATCACCAAAAGTTCATCATCATTTCCACAACCAACGAGTAGAGCCGGTCTCATAACAAGATTTGATACCAGGCGATGCTCGGAAGAGGGCTGCTATCTGCATTTTCACGACCAGCGGCGAAGGATATACCCAGTGCCGAACCGGACAAAGAGTCCATTGAATAGGGTCGTAGACCACACATCAATCAAAATACTTCAAACATTTCAAATATCCCAATCAAGTTTTTATGCAACAATTGATCACAAATGTCATCATACCACCAGTTCGTGTATCAATGTCATAGGCACTGACAGCGCCCCTGACACAAATCCAAAAATACCCCATCCGTGAAACAGTGATGTTCCCCGACGGACTTGGCGCTTCTCGCTAGCAGCCTTCCCCGGATTCCGTTGACCGGATTTGCGAGGCTTGGCTGCAGATCTGGTGCTTGCCAGCTCGCTTGCGCGCTGCTTTAGCGCGCTCGGCGGCCTCCGAACCCGGGAGGTGGCCAGCTGTGAGGGGGCGGGGGCGCTCAGCTGCGCTGTGAAGATCTTTGGGTTCGAGAACGAGACTGCTGCTCTTGGGAGAAAGGGGCAAGCCACAAGCGCGCTGTGGGATGGTCTGTGAGGTGAGATTTTTATGAGGGCTGTCTGCGTTAAGAGCGTGTACGAAGCGGTGTGATCTCGTGTCCAACTCAAAGTCTGGGTCTTCAGCAATTTGGAAGCACTGTAAATTTGCCGCTCAAGAGTGACATGGGTCATGGATCAAAAAATTGAGATCATGGACTTGTTGGTGTTTGGTGTTCCTGCTGCGCCAGGCCGAATGCGGTGTGGTGGAAAAAGCACACTGAGACTTCACACCTCACTCATCATCCTCGCAATCGTGCATGCATCTTGCCAACGTCGTACGTGAGGTATTGCCATCATATGGGTAAAAGATGAATCGGTTCCAGATTTTCTTACTTCTCACCGTTACAGGTGCATCACTCTCTCACTCTTCCATTCACGTCTCGTCGCAGACAATCAACACGCTGAGGTCAAATATCTGCTCTCTTCTCGTACTGTCTCACCTATGTTTCTCTTACCATATCACCCATGTTTCTCTAACATCCCACTCATCTTTCTATTACATGTCGAGAACCTCAACTTCGCCGCTTCTGCTCCATCCCTGCAGGATATCTACGCATGCAGCGCACTCTTTGTTGACACAGGCACGATCATTCGTACCTTTAACCTGCCGTCATGTCAACCTCCCAACATTGATCGATCTCCACAATCAACAATGCCGAATTGACACAAGCCGTAGCATCGTTCATGTGTTTACCTGCAAGGTTGCTGCGTTTGTACGGTACTCGCATGTCGCTACACGCATTCGATACGTTGGTTGATCTTGCTGTAACACACCTTCGGCAATGTTTTGAGGATGGCCTGCACGTCTGAGGAATGCTATCATCAGCGTCGTGCTAGCGTGCTTCTACCATTGAAGTAGCCAGCTGCAAAGCCCTCGGTCATACAGTCTCTATGTGGCATCAAGCTTCTGTACCCTCGTCCTGGCCCTACGGCTATCGTTTCTCCTGACTAAGCTATTGGCAAACGCATTCCTGTCGCACCTTCGGCGGCGCCACCAGGCTTACATAAGGCGTGATCATCCACACACTCGCTTCCTACCTGTGCGCTTCACCCTACTTTCCTGCAGCCGCGAACAGAAACACAACCCGCTGCATACGCTCTGGTCGCATCATGTGCAGCACTATGCAGTTGCCCTTGGCCGACCGCAAGGTGCTCGACGAGATTTGCGACGCAAGCTCATAGGCATGCAAACGCACGGTACTTTGTGAAAGCGGGCGCTCAATCTGAGCATGATCAACTCCGAATTTGTATGCTGGCCCTTCTCTGAGTAACTACCCTTGTAACTGCACGCCAGCTCTGCTGCTGATTACTTAGTGCCCAAGAAGCTCATGTCGAGCTCGGCGCTACATTTGCCGGATTGATGTTCTACCGCGGTCAAATAATGAAGAACATCTGCGAAGGCATTGCATTGCAGCACTGGAGTGTATAGGAGATTTTCTCGCTATTCTCTTCAAACACCTACAAGCACTGCAGCTTCAGCAAGTACTCCAGAGAGACTCGGAGCCCTCGGCCGTCTCCTGTATAACATCAGCGAATGCGTCAACTCGCGGAGCATAAGGATGCAAAACGCGCACATGCTCGCATGCATGGAGTACGAAGACGTTGGCACACACTTCAACTCAAGCGAACCTACGTGGCACATGCTCGCATTCACCAAGCTCTTTCAGCTCTTTTCAAAGGAGTGTTACATCGCCGACTTCGAAGAGAATTAGCGTACCCGCTATCAGCTGCAGCAGGGACTCACCTGTGCCCGCGAGCATGAGAACTGGGTTAAGCTCGATCCTGCCACGCACGAATCTGCGACTTCATCGTCCCGTCTCTTATCGCCGATCGGTCTATGGTCGATACTCAGCCAAAGAAGCAGAAGTATACGCGGTATGAGCAAGAAGAAGGAGAGCGGCGCATCCGCATCAGAGCCCACTGCAGTAGCTACGGAATTTCTGGTCCTCATCGTGGACCCAACCAACGTCGGATACAAGATGCGGGCGAATCACGTGCTTTAGGCCCTTGTCGCACCTATGCCAGGTGTTTTCTGGGGCAAGGACAGCACTGTGCAAGTTGAGCCTATCAACGAGGGTGACTTTGCGCAGCTCGCTGACGGGATGAGACACCTTGCCTTCGACAACAAGAGCGTTCCCTCAATTGCGCATGAAGTTCACTGGCCCACTGTGGCGAAACAGATCGCCGTATTCGACGCTGAGATGATGCTCCAGAGCGGTGGCGAAGTAGGCTTCGATGACGGTGACAGGGTACTCTTCGAGGAAGGTATCACGACGTTCAACGTCCGCTTGGACAAGCTCCACGTGGATAAGGACCTGAATGACGGCGAGGAAACGTGCATGTAGCCTTCTCGCACTCGTTTCGTAGTTAGATGAGCACTGAAGACTCCGTGTAGTCACCATCAGGCTTCAGCTTTGCTGTATGTATCATGTACCTCATATGAGAGGGTCCCGGTTATCTCCAGGTTTGTCGTTTCCAGTAATTAGCTATCTTGTAGCGGCCGCAATGCGCAAACAAGTCTCCAAATGTACACATACAGTCCGAACTTGTCTCTCATAATCGAGAGTGTTTTTACATGCAGGCCGAGACAACTTGTTACGGCATAAGTACTTTGTGCTTTGTGGAGGAAGTCATATCTCTCCACTTCTCGGTCAGCTCTTATGTCGTTGAACGCATTCAGGGTTAAATATATATACTTGGGAAGCGCCGCCACCCGCATGTCAGCCCGTGGATCATACCACACAACGGTGTCTTCTCTCTTATGCAATGCTCGCAGTCACTAAAAGTAATTGAGATACACTTAGACACTTGAAGTGCTCGTTTGTTGACATTGCAAGGCATCGCGCAACTGCAGTCTCAGTAGCAGAAAGCTACAACTTCCTCTTACTTCCAAGGTGTGTTCACTACCTCGATGAACAATGGCAGGGTCTCTTGCGTGACAAGTCGAAATTGCGGTCTGACTATTTCCACCAAATCGTGCATGTATGTAGCTCTTGCATTGCTCACAGTCTGCGGACGGCGCGTATACTTGTAGCCGACAGAAGTATCTTCGGCCAGTCGAGTTCCACGCATGACGGCAAGACATGCGTTTACGCTATCCTTTCCTGTCTGGTTTTTCGCGGTTATCTACCATAATCGCTTCTTATGAAGGTGCGCCAACCTATACACGTTGCATGAAGGCGGCAACAGTTCTCTGGAATGGATGCTGCTGTCCGTATTGTTTGATCAAAGTGTAACGAAACAATCGGATGAGAAGATCGCAGAAATGACTGGTAAATCTCACACAGGTTACATGGTTCAATTGCGGCCCCATAGATATGGTGGACGAGGGTAATATTTTCATGCTCACCTGGAATCAGGACTCCGTCGCCACGGCCTTGCAGAACGCGAATACTACCCAAATATATGCCGATCTCGATATGAGAATGTGTAACCGTACTAGTGCAGGCTCGCTTTGTACTTACAAAATAGTAAGGGGTAGTTGTCATAGGTCTTCACTTCACCCGTATCAGTCTCAAAAGATCTACAGGTGCTCACAGCGTGCTTGCTAATTAGAACGTTGCTACTGTACTATCTGACGAGGTAATTGCGTATCCAATACGTGAGGCAGTTGCGCAGTGCAGGGTAATAGACTTCATCATTACTGCCCGATGAAGACGGTGTTCTCCAAAATATCCACCTCAACCACGGTTCAGCTCGTTACCAACATCATTGCACACCAAAACCAGTCGCCATCGTCTTCTTTGCCAGTTTCTGACCCAGTCTCAGGGGTAAGTTGCACCAATCACTGTCTGCTACCGATACGACCAATTGCTGCAGTGCAAGCTGCACCAGTCCGGTCCCACCGTTGCGCGGTGCAACGCGGCACAATAACAAACGGGCGTTGACATGGCACACAGATCCAAACCGCCTCGCGACGCCGTGAAACCACATTACTTTCACTCCTAGCAGCTGCGACTTGCAGGCATACATCTGAAAGATCGTCCACGTTCATCAGCACCGCCGCTCACTTCGACCGCTCTTCGACCGTCGCATTGCGATACGCAGCTCATAGCGCAAACATGGGCTGGATAACGCGTTTTGGCAATTGGCAAGGGGATAGGGCCACACCGAAGAAGAATCCCATACAATCCAAACACATCACCACCGGTCTCCTCTGCATATTTTCCGTATGCGCATGCATCGCCTTCTTCCCGCTCATCATCATATTTGTACCAAAGCCGCAGCTCACAGAATACATGCCGAAGGGCATCATGTGCGCGACTTGCAAGGAGATGTGGTACCATAATCGCGATTTGTTCAATCGAAAGGATATGCTGTGCTACGGTCCGCCAACACATGTGAGTGACACCCATGATGAGTTTAGAAGATTTGAGCTGACAAGATACAGGATCGTTCAACTAGCAAGGAAGAGGAAGTCATGTACAGCGAGGAGAAGAGGTGTTGGGCATTGAAGAAGGGTCATGATAAGTGGATGCGTCCACTCCATGTCTCGGATGAAGAGACAAAAAATTGGGGCAAACAAGCACAAGTAGTCGCCGTGAGAGGTGGACCATGGCCTTGATAATGGAGTTGGTTCTATTCTTCAGGTCTGCGACTGGACCTATGGACTACCGCTAGGATGTTCAGCGCCCGGATATCTCTGGGTTCCAGCGTTTATCTTGGACACGTCTCTGACAGTCCCCTCAAAGCCGCCGTGGCCCATTTGTTTCCTCTATCAGTAGTATCTGTGAACATTGCATTGCGGTCTTTGCCATCACCATCTCCTTCAGAGAAATCACTTATGTGCTCATACCGTCTTCCTCTGCATTGCGACCATACCGAGCCCAATACGCAGGTAAACGATATCTTGCATCATTTCCGTATACGACCATTTCAGCTGGCCTTGATACTCTCCTTCCCATATTCCCAGAATCCCAGGTTTACTCCTCATCTGTGTCATATTCAGAATCGGGATCAATCATGAGATTATGATGCATCGAACGATTGGGTCTTTCCTCTCCTCCGTCGCGTCGATAATAAAACTTTTCTCGACTTATCGAACACGTGTTATGCTGTTGTACCTAGGCAAATAGGCAAGAGGAACCAGATTCATTGCTTCAGGATCGAGTTTCGCAGAGAATATGGTTATCTTCATTGACTGCATCCATTGAAGAATGGGTGGGGTCGTAGTTCTGTAGACAGATAGCGCAGGGCTCAGCATTAGACGCCAGAGAGGGAGTCAAGCAGCTGTGGGGGGGAAAGCGGAAATTCGTATTGTCTTGTGAGAGCTCAGAGGGGTATTATTGTGTCGGCTAAGGAAGCAAAAAGCTTCTCCGCAACGGGGCCTTAATTGCTGTCGAGGGGAAGAATCCGAAAAGGCTGTCTGGAAATGAAATCACTGCGTTCGCCTTCTATTGCATTCAGACGTTTCCAAACAGGTGAGAAAGATATTAGACCCTTGGGCTGCAAACGTATTTCTTACCATCTTTGACATCGCTGGTGGACCTTGGAGGCAAAAGATATCAAGGAGATGGCACAATTCGAAAACGGGCATTCCCCCTTGAGTGGCTCGTGTACCTATAATGTGTGAGGTCGAGAATTTGTGTCGGAGAAAGGAACCGCTGGAGACAGTGTGTAAGGCAGTAGGGCAATTTTCGACATGTCTACATAAATAAATCACAATCAGCAATCTTCTCAACCAATATGACAACTTACCAAAAAACCCCACCGCGTTGCACAGAGCACGCTAAAGTACAAAATGCTGAGGTCAATTTCGTTCCAATATCTGTTCTATCTCTCAACCATCTCGACGCGTCTGCCTGCGGCATTAATATCGCCCGCTCCAGCAATCAAGAACTTTCACATATACCTATAGCGTTGCTTAAGCTTCGCACCGCCGCTAAGAACCAAACTCAATAGTCAGAAATTTCGTCACACACTACAATGGTCAGCCCACGCTTCCAGATGATTAGCGATCTGCACCTCGAAACACCGCTCCAATCCCCATCGTACACACACTTCTCCTCACCATCCAGCTTTCCCCTCGAAGTAGGCCACCTCTTCCTGCTAGGCGACATAGGCCTGATAGCACATACACAACCGCTGCTCGCCTTCCTACGTTCTCTGCTCCGCCGCAATACACGCCTGAAAATCTTCTACGTCCTCAGCAACCACTAAGCGTACCACATGACGCTCGAAACCGCCGTGGCAAAGATTAGCAGCTGCGAAACGACACTTACCATCAAACTCGGTCCGCGATTCCGCGTAATGAACCGCACCCGAGTCGACATCTCCTCGACCCTGACACTGCTCGGCTGCACCCTATGGTCCCACGTGCCTGCCACACACCAGCAGGAAGTTGCCTTCATGCTTAAGGACGTGGACTAAAAATACGGCATCTGGGACCGCAGCGTACTTGACCACAACGCCGACCACGCCGTCGACTTATCCTGGCTCAACAGCCAGGTATCTCGCATCGAAACCACCAAGCCAGACAGAGAAATTTTGGTACTGACGCACCATTCCCCTACCACCGATGTGCGGGCAAATAGCAGACGCTTCCCGCCTGAGCGCGTGATCAATAGCGCGTTCCGCACGGATCTGAGTGGGGAGAAGTGCTGGCGTAGTCCGAGCGTTAAAGTGTGGTGCTTTGGACATACGCATTTTAGCTGTCAATTCTTTGACAGTGGGGACACGGGGGCTGAGGGCTGGCGAGGCAGAAATTAGTCGTGAGTAATCAAAAGGGGTATGCGTACGAGTTTGGTAAAGGGAATTGGGAAGCGAAGCCGGTAGTTGTTGGGAGGGGAAACGGGGTGTGGAAGGTAGTGGTTGGGGCGAGAGACGGGACAGAGGAAGAGCCAGAGATTGGGAATGAAGATCAGTGTGAGAGGGGAGGTGTCTGCTAGTGGGTCGTGAAGGAACGGCTTGTAATGTGTAGATATTAAGGACGAAAGCGTTATTGGTCAAGGTTAGAGTCTACAAGGACTCGAAAGGACTTTAGATACTGACTGATGACCTCGAAGATGCCAGGCAAACATAATCTGAGCCTAACTTGCACCGATGCCTAAGGTATCGCATAGATTCGTGGTCGAAGATTAGATGGGTCAAAACCACAGAGGTTGACGGCACATTTGAACGTAAAATTTCCATTGGTTGCATATACGTACACACCGTCTTCCACAGACAGGCATCCACAGCGCCAGCTACAGTTCAAACATGTATCCGTACCGACCCAGCGTTGTTGTACGCCGCCATCCCCAACCATGTTGCTTAGACTGGTAACAGGGCACGAAGGAGAAACGCTGATGCAAGACACCAATCATCTTGAGAATACACCACCACCGAAGAAGAGCTCGAGGCCAAAATAATACCGCACGCCGGTAACGCCAAGCCAGATCACCTGGCTGCACCAGTCGTGCGTGAACAAAAGCAGAGAAAGACCGTATAGATACGCCACAACACCACGAAATGAATCGACTCCACCGTGTATGTACTTGTTTGTGCAAAGGAGAGGAGGACCGCTGAACACCGACAAGATCGTTTTCGCGTTTCAGGTGCTGACTATCCGTCAGCCCAGTGGGGCAGAAGGAGCAGCTTTCTGGTGACCGGAGGGTGTTGCGTTCCTTGTTGTGAATGCCGGCATGACATACGCCAAGCGCCAGACCATGCATCGGTGCGACGCGACACCGGGAAGGACAGGAAGGATGAGGTGCGTTGAATTACAAGTTTGTATCGGGTGATGAGGGGAATCGAATAGGTGGAGCAGGCCTCGGAGGTGTTGGTACAACTACTGGGGAGGAGCCTGGTGATGGGCCAAAGCTCTACCTAGCCGCCTCAGAGATCATATTTACCTGGATGACCGTAAGTAGCTATTCTCGAGAGACGGGATGATAACGTGCGTTCTGTCGATCATCCGCACCTGACTGGTATGCATACCGATTCATCATCTGGCCCTGCATCGGCATCCCCATGTGGTGAACGCCGTTATGTTGCAGCTGGGCGATGCCATATGGGTTCTGGTGGCTCACGTCGCTGCCAAGGAAGTTGTTCATAGCGTTGCCGTGAAGACCTTGAGCTTGCGAGACGGGGCAGTCCTTGTGAGCGAGCAGGAGGGTCTTGAGGTTTACTATTTCCTCACGAAGCTGAGTAACAGTGGCAGAGAGAGCATCATTCTCTGTACTGAACAGCTCGACCTTGGCTTGCAGGTTGGCAAGCCACTGCTTCTTTCTTTGACGGCACTTGAGAGCAGCAACACTACAATCTGTTAGCACGCTTGTGTAGACTGTAAAATGTGGCATGAACATACCGATTCCTTTCGAGGAAGTTCTTGCGCTTCTCTTCGTCGGTCATCTTGCGGCCCTTGCTGTCGAACTCCTCTTCCTTCATGTTCATTTCTTCGTCTTCGTCGGACTCATCGTCCATGGAGGCAGCGGCACCCTTCTTGCGGCCACCCTTGGGAGCGTCATCGGCCTTGCGCTTGGTACCGGCAGCTTGCTTGCCGTTAGCAGCGCCTTTCTTGCCTCGTGTACGAGTGCCCTTGTTCTGCTCACTTTGACCAGACTCTGAGAAGTCACCAGTGTCAGCAGAGGCCATGCTGTTGATAGAGCCCTTGGTATTGCGACGGTTGTGGTCGGCGCCAATAGGTTGTACAGGCATGTGACCAGCGTTTACCGACTGGTTGTTTGGCGCCATAGAAAAGGGTGGCTGGTTGTTCCGAGCGCCACCGCCGTTTTGACTTGCGAATGAGAGCAGGTCGTTAGCGGCGCTGCTGACGTCATGGTTAGCGTATGGATCATTTTGAGACCTCTGCTGCGGTTGCTGGGCCTGCTGATAGTTGTTTTGGCGATCCATTCCTGCGGTTACCGTATCTGGCTGTGAAGTGGGTGCTGCAGTAGTCTTGTTGTGGTTAGCCTGTGCGGCCGCGCGCATAGCAGCCTGCTGGAAATCACCAGTTCCAGGGGTAACACCAGCACTTTGGAGGTTGAAGATAGCTTGAGTGTTGGGACTGGGGGCAGGGAACATAGACCCGCCGCCTCCGGGTGTCAGACCAGTACGCAGGGAAGACTCGTTAGGAGTTGGGAATCCTCTGAACGATTCGCTGAAGTAGTCGGTCTGGCCTGTGGGGCCGCTGAGCATAGCAGGGCTCAAGGGACCAGCGCGCAACGACTGCCAGCCAGGCGTTATGCCAGGCAATGGAGAGGGTGACGTGATGTTTGCGACAGGCGGCAGGATGGGTCGACCGCCGGGTGTTTCTACAGAACCGTTTCCGCCAAACGACTGCTCGAAGACGTTGGGCTCGAGCGAGAAGGGGTTGTGGACTGTGTTGAAGTAGTCGGGTGTGTCGCCGGTTGTTGAAGGCTTAGGGGGAGGTGCCAGCGGCACTGCATTGGTCGTCGCAGGCTTTGTGTCTGTGTTGGCTGGCTCAGATACGGTAGCTGGGCGACGCGTTAGCCATGTGCACTGGTGATGACAGTGACGACGCGCGACGAGAAATCGCCCGTCGCGTCGAGTAGGACGGCACTTACGAATTTCCTTGGTATCTGTCTTGATCTCTACAGGCTCTGGAGACGACATGGTCAGCGGTGCTCGCTATAGCAGCAATGTTTAAGGGATGACGTGATGCGCGCGCAAGAGACGATAATAGCAGCAGCAGCGTGCCATTGATGGTGAATGGGCAGTGGCGACGCGCCAGGAGGGCTGCACTCGCATTGCAGATCGGGGGCACTCACCTTCGGTCTTAGTCACGATAGGAAGGGTACCTTTGCTATCCTTGGGGGATGTCATCTTCGAATTTGGGGGGGGGGTGCGCGCAGTTTGAGTTGCAGCAGCCATGTTCGGGTGGTGACGTAGCAGTCGTGGACAGGGACGATCGCTGGTGGTACTCGGGCCTAAGTTCACACTTCACTCTCCACACACAACGTGTCTCGAGAATGCACCAACGCGCGCGGCGGTGAAAGCTGTCGCGATGCTCCTATATCTTCAACATTCAACGTTAGCACGCTCGCGGTCGGATTTGGCGATGGAGCTGCGCAGGGCGCGCTGATGGGTGCTGGCAGACGGCGAGAGGGTGGTTGCAGGGTCTTCCGGGGCGAGGCATGCGGCGCGCGTAACGGCAGCAGAGCAGCAACAGCACAACGACGTACCTTCAGTAAGACAGGAGAGTGCGCAAGTGCGGGGTAAGACACTGCGATCCGAATATCGATATCAACAAGCGCAGCCAGCGAGGATGCGATTGTCTGAGAGATCTCGAGGAATTTCGACGGTGACGTCAAGCCCCTATGAAGACGCTCACGGCCGTCGCAGTCTGCGTTCACTGGTCGCGCGATGTTCTACAAGCCCAAGTAAACCCCGGCAACCTGGTAAGAACGTGATTCTGTTTACTGGGATCTCAATGAGGCTCTTCCCTAGGCGGAGACGGGGATTGTTTGCTCGTGGTGACGATGACAATGGAGGCGTTCGCGATGAGGTCAGAGGGCAGGACAGCGAGCAATTTCTGGAAGTGACGCAGCTTTTTGCCAAGCTAATAACGTGATTCAGCGTATTCCGGCCTAGAACAATCGCGTCCGCTGGCGTGGCCACTCATAGCGCTAGGATCGCTGACCGCTTCGCGGCTGCGCTGATCGTTGCCCCATTCGCCTCGCCTGCCACGAGAAGCACGCTGGATCCCCAGCGCAGAGCCGTGCAACCTCTTCGATTTGGTCGGCATTCCGTTCCTGCAGGACCATCTGGTGTTGTTATCCCTTGGAACAGACGACTAGAATGCAGCAGGAAGCGGGCTCCCCTGCAGAGATAGAGTGCAAGACGAGGTGGTTGCTTTCCACGGATGAGCCGTCGAACCGTCGTGCAATCGATATCGATGCCGGGACCAATTGCATCTCGATCCCAGTGCACCCGTGGCACCGATGTCGATCGACAGCATTTGCACTTTGACTGGCTCGACAGATAGTGGTCAACCATCCACCAATTGGGATACATCCATACTTTCTAGCTTAGTTCCAACGGTAAGCGGAGGAGGTGTTTATAAGGGGTGCTGATTTCAAAGCAGATCGATTTGCAGGGTGTATTGAGAGAAGTGAGGCGGATGATAGCAAGCGAGGCAATGCCGCGGAGTGCTTCTTCATGCCTCAGGCTTGGAGAATGCGCACCCAAGGACGTCGTTGTGAGCAGTCAGCCGGCAGGCTACACTGAACAGCAAGAACCTTTAATTTCGACATGGTGAAGCATCGCAGAACATGAAGGTAGCGAGCATGCAGAACATTTATCCAGTCATGCCGGTCATCATAGTAACGCCCCAGGGTACAGGAACACTTACCGAATTTTGCTTGTTGATCATGCTACCAAGTTAGCGTGCAGATCTTACAACAAATTTCTTGGACACTGGATCTTTGTCGACTCTAGAGAGTAGCCAGAGTCCTGATCCTCAAGGCTCTTGGAGGTCACTGCGACTCATGCAAGCAGTACGAAGAGCGGATAATCGCAGAACCTTTTCCATGTCGAACTTCAAGAACAAAAACAGATTCCCTGATCAAATTGTCCACTATCAAATAAGGGTATGAGCAACTGATCAAGCTCGACGCATCAGGAACTTGCGAGAATCTCAGCTGCAATATTGGCACTTGCTTGCATTGTGACCAGTAACTCCTGAGACTTAGTTGCTAGAGGACACCAGTGTACCGATGCTGGCCTGGCTTCACATACCGTTGATCGTCAAGTATCGATCGTGTCATCAAATGTGTTCGTGGGCATGAACCGTGTACTGTGGTATCAACACTGCGATATCGATCCCAGTCTTCGAAATTAACATCCATCACCAGCGCCTATGTCAAAGTCGATCATCGTGAAGCCTTGCCACAGCCTGTCGAACTACGAGCGGTATGTACGGGGGGCTTGGCTACCGGGCGATCTCAGTTTGTGAAAGAGGAGGGAAGAGAGTGTTGAGGCTGAACAAATCGTATTCTTTCGATCCACTGATAGTCTGAGCAAGACTATGCGCGTTCATTAAAACGAAGGACCGCGCCGCATGAGAATTCTGGGTCGCGCAGGTAGTCGTAGCCAAACCTATAGCCGTGGATCATGTTGTGTTCAACATCATGCATTCTCACTAGTCAACATACACTGCCGGATATCGATCGGTTCGCAAGCCAGACGGACATGATGCAGGATGGGGTAGGATATTTCATTTTGGATTGTCACCTGCAAATTCATATGCTCGCTCCCTCTATTTCCGTCTTGTTCCAACGACCTCACCCCCCGTCCGCATCAGCTCTAGCCCCCTACGAGCCCCTATACGTCGTGTATCCAAAAGGCCCCAGCAACACAGGCACATGGAAGTGCTCCCCCTTCTGCTCCTCTCTAACAACAAAGCGCACCGTAACCTCCGGAAAGAAAGTCTTGACCCCCCTCTGACCAAAATAAGCCTCAGTGTTGAAAGTTAGGCTATAAGCTTTATCTCCTTTCTCATGCTGCCACTTCTCCTCCAGTGTCTCGTCGTCGTAGATCGAGGCAGGTTTCCAAGATGTGACTCGCCCGTCGCTGTTCGTTGTCCCTGAGAACGTTCGCGGTTCTCGGCCGCCGGGGATAGGAGTGGTGGGGTTGATGAGGGTCAGGAATACAGGTATCGATGCGCCGGGACGCCCGATTGTGGTGTCGAGGACGTGACATGTGATTGGGGGTTTCTTGTCTGTCGACATTGTGGGTCGATTTGTTGGCGTTAAAGCTGTTGTGGAGAGGTGGGCTGAGAGCGCTGAGAGGCGTTCGGAGGTTCGCGAGGGCATAGACTTGTGGTTGTGGTAGTGTGAGTTCGAGGGTCTTGGCCGACTCTTCGAATTGTATGCTGAGGGTGTGGTTGTGCGAAGCTCTGGGAGCTGGGAACTGAAGCTGACGATTGCAGTGTCCGGAAGGAAGCGATTTCGTGTGCAGAGCTCAAGTTTGAAGTCTGTGGCAGGAAAGCAAAACAGTCCTCCTAAAAGTAGATATCAACAAGACTCGCGCATCGCGGTCGGGGTTCGCGCCTGCCCCTCCAGACCCCACATCGGCCTCCTCCGGGGCTCCACGCGCCGATCACCGTCATGCCCAGCAGATGCCTTGCACAAACATGCACAAGCACCGTTAGTCAAATTGAACAATTTCGGCGGAAAAGTTGTGTTTGTTTCGACATCTGCCTCGGCAACGACCGGTTCTAAATGCAGAGTATTGAAACGCATGATCGTCTGTCACGCCAGTGTAAGTTGAAACGTCCCGTGGCTAAAATTTAGTACAAACACAGGCTGGATGAAAACTCGCACGCGCGATATGCTGGCTGGTAGTGGAATCGTGTGGATACTGGTAGCTTGTGAAGAGTGGTGGTATATGCTCAGTCAATACATACATACATTGAAGCTAAACGTGCTGCTCATGGCAAACGTAAGGTATCCAATCTTCGAAATGAAGATCGCAAAATGAAGAAAAGTGCCGTAGCTGGCTGTGATAGAACCGTGATATCTCCCAAATAAAACAAACAGATTGCTCGCCCAGTCTGCAAGACTTGGGGGCTGTGCACCAAACGCCTTGCCAATAATGAAACCTAACCTGCCCTGACGATCACGACCAGCGCCTACTTCAGGTCACTCTTGAAGTCGTCTGCAAACGGGCTCTGGTCCCGCTTGGACATGTGGCTTGCGCGGCGCTCAGACTCTTCGACAATGGGTGTCATTGGCATGCGCGAGCGGTCGGTGTCGTAGGAGGTGATGCGCGACCCTATCGCCGGGCGTTCGGCTCGGTCGACGGCCAGGTTGTCGCTGAAAGGGCTGCGGAGATCAACGAGGCCGGTTGGTGCGGCATCTTGAATCGGAGTCACGCCCGAGTCGCGCGAACCCAGAGAGTTGCACAACAGACTTTGACGAGAACGCTGGTGATCTTCTTCGTCATCAGACTCCGAGTCTGAGTCTGCTGAGTTGATTGCTTGGCGGGCGCGTGCGTGTGAGACACCTGAATCGGTAGAGGCGATCGAGTAGCCAGTGATCGGCCGTGCGGGAGGTACGAGTGCCTCGGGAGTCGCTACTGCTGTTCTGTCATCGCTTGTGCAAGAGCTCGATGAGCTTTGAGGTGGTGTGGTGTCGGAGCTCTTCTTCTTCGTGATGTTCAATGCGCGGACTGGTCCTAGTGTTGCAGTGCTCTGGACAGAGCTCTTGGAGCTGAGACCGGGCATCTGAATGCGAATAGGTTTTGTCTGCTGGGCGTGCTTAGGATCGATCTGCGGTACCGGTGGTGTGCTCATCATGCTTTGTGCGTCATCAGGCGTATTGGAGCCGTTTGACTTGACACTGACAACGGCTGCCTTTCCGCGCACGATCGTCTGAGCCGGCAGCGGAGATACGATAGCGTTCTGGCGGTACATGGTCGAGGCGACACTATTACGGGCGAGACTGGGCGCAATACTTTGACGGGTGCTGTCAGAAGCCATGGAGTCACGGAAATCAGGGACGAAGAAGTGCTGATCAGCGTTGGAGTAGGGGCTGCTCATGCCAGACGAGGGAGACATGGCAGGAATCGGCGGTACGGGAGGAACGAGGAGGTCGGGCGATCCAGGTCCAGAGCGGTTCGTGACACCGGGAATGTAGGCGATCTGAATGATGTTGGAGGCGCGAGTAAGGACGGACGAGGCCATCGAGGCAACAGTGTGGGTGGATGCTCGTGCGCTTCGCCGAGACGCAAAGTCGTTCTCAGCCTTCTCTTGCTGTTCCATCTCCTCCTGCTCCCATTGCATCTCTGAGATCGGCCTTCTCTTGCCCTTCAAGAAGTACTTCCAGATGACGAAAACGAGAATGGCGATGACGGCAATACCTCCAATGACACCACCGGCGATGGCCCCGACATTCGGCTTACTCTGCGAGGCTATTGTCGCAGTAGGGTCGGTATCGCAATACACGCTCGCGCAAGCATCACAGCTCTTTGGTGTCAAAATGCAGACTTTCCCTGACGGACAGTCCATGGCTGCGCAGGACGGCACGCCGCTCTCGCACTCAACGCAACGCTTGAAGAGAACATGTTCGAGTTCTATGTGCGTGTTAGCAAAGACCGGCCTGACTCGATAACGGTGAGCGTACCTCTGCGAGCGGCGAGCTTCATGGCTGCGGTTGTGTTGGCTTAGCAGATTGGCAGATTGACAGGTGCAGCGGGTCAAAAGGCCAGGCGTCAGCAGGTAGGCACACCGACCTGGCGATGTGGCCGCTGGCTGGCAAAGGGATGATAAACGCTGTGCGACAGGTAGTCCGCGGTGTTGATCGAGGACGGACAGAGAAGGAACGGTGGTCAAGGAGGCAAGCGCGCTAATATACGAGAGCAAGGAGGAGGAAGCGGCGACGGCCAACGGAGCCTGAAAAGACAATCCAAGATAAACAGCGAGTGACGAAGGTTGCGATACGAAGATGCAAAAATGGCGACAAAGAGCAGTGAAGACGCCCGTGTGGAGAAGGAGACGGTCTCAGGACAGGCGTGGGAGATGAGGTGCCGGGCGCTGTTGAGCCAGGCCCTGGTTCACGCTGTGGAAGCCGCGCGTGTTTCGTCTTCGCCCCGCTCCGTTGTGCACGCGGATGAAGGATGCAGACAGCGAACACAAAGACAGCGTTCAAACGCTTTTCTGCTCGCTTGTTGATGGTGTTGCAGCCGGAGGACAGTGGGGAAACGCAGACGATCAGCGCGTGGGCGGGTAGAGGGGTCTCTGCGTGTTGGAGAGCCCATCTGCACCCTCTTGCCTCTTTCGCAGCTGACTGCTCGCCCGAACCTGTCCCGGATCGTGGCGCAGAACTTAATCTATTCTTGCATGCACCCACCCCAAGCCGTGCCTGGCGAACTGCTGCGGCGCACAAAGGAACCCCAGCGCCCTGCACCACCTCAGATATCGCCATGCAGCAGCAGCCCTTTCATGCGTGCTCGCAAACACGTCGCACTGCTCCCACCCTTTACTGTCTGTGTTGAGCGTCGAAGACCGCCCTGCGTTGCCAGACCTGTCAGGCTCTGGAGTGGGGCCCTGCAGCTCGGCCAATATATCGAATGTCAAGCAGTCTTTGTTGCTCACCACGTGCAGCCTCCTGCTGTAACTTGCAGCACCCATCCACATTCCAAAGGGCCTTGTCTTCGTGCAATTGGATTACTGGCACATCTTGCAGCTGAGCTCTTGGATAGCCACAACAGCCTCAGCAGCTCAATAGACAACAATTCATCCGGGTCTGGAAGGAACGCAGGCTCCACAGCACTGTCACGCACACGCATTAGCCAGGCACACCTTCGCCAGCGCCCACCACAGCTCACCACAATCAATCCACACCGAGATATCTGTGCTTGAGGAGACCGTAAAAATGCCGTCGTAATCTTGCGCAATTTTCTCCTTCCACCCAGTAGCATGTCCAGAACGGCTTATTTCCACGGCTTTTCGTACCACACTATCCGCTCACCGTATCCCCCTTGCGGTCGGAGAGTTGTCTAGACTCCAGCACCGCCGATGATTGGGGTCCCTGCTGCCAACGCTCAACACATCTCTGCACGCGCCTGCACGAGATTTATTTCCGAGATTTGCTATCTGCTGTGGGCCTGTGGCACGGCAGATGCTTTTTGTCAGGTGTACCTAGACGCTGAGAGATGCCCTCGCTTGCTCGCCGTGGCACACGAGGACCCGAGCCTAGGCAGAGAGTGAGGACCAAACCGTGGTACAAGAACCAACAAACCTGGAAAGCGTCTCTTGACACTGCGGCTGCTGACCGAACAAGAACGTCAATCTACGCAAAACGGCCAAGCATTGCGATCTGCAGAGCATCCACTTCACCACATCCACCGGCAACACATCTGAAACGACTAGCTTGACTTTGCTGCGGTAGCTAGCTGTAGGTGATCGACGACACCTAACGCCTGGCCAATCTGGGACTATCCAGAGGATTGAACATTCAGCAGGGCGATGAGCATCCTGTGGAGACTCGAGAGCCCGAGCGAACCTCGTTTGCGTCATCGTTGTTGTCTTTCTTGTAGTGCCTGGCTGATGATGCTCTACGTTCGACCTCTTATGTTGCGACGATGGAAGGTGTTTGCGACAAGCGCAACTCAGCACTAGACTTCATAACAAATCCAACTTTACGCTTTGCTTGGTACGCTCGTCTGACTGTAGGTCTTGTGGGTGAAAGCTGCTACCCTAGCACTGTTGCTGCACTACAATCCCACTCCTCAAGGACAGTGTTAGGTCCAAGCAAAAATTTCCTCCTTGCAGCTCGTCACTGTTCAGCGACTATATGATATGCCTCGCGCAGATCGAGGGGCGTGTTCGTCGTCCTTGCAAATGCTTCCATCCCATCTAGTGTAGTAAACAACTCGTTTCTGCCGCCTACACACACCACAAATACAAATACACGCACGCACATACAATGCCACCTTACTTGTGTACTAGGACTGCTGGCGATAGCGACAGCATGCGAATCTCCCGCTACGACGCCGACGAATTCTCCGACCAGTCTTCCAACGGCCCATCTTCATCACAGCCCTCACGCCCTTCGTCGTCACGTCGAGACGTGTACGACGAGTACGGCTAGCCCATCATTAAGCAACTACAGGCCGAAGAGCATGAAGACTGCGACGCAGTCGAGCAAAACTCGCGCCGCCGGATCGTACACTAGGGTCAAGTGTCCCCTAGATCTTGCTCTGACCTTCGTGCGCGTCACAGCCAGTCAGCTCCCACCAATGGGTACGAGGCTGATGATGAACGGGAGGGTCGCGGAAGTTTCTGCGTGTGTGCAAGCTGTGTGCGAGCAGCAGCAGCGTGAGTTCCATGATCTCCATGAAAATGGGTAGCGATAGCGATGGAGCTATCTTGAGGTTTATGAGCAGCGCTTAGGGGGTGAGTCTGTGACGTTAGCAATGGAGAGTCTCGATAACAGTGAGGCAGAAAAATCAAAGTGAGCTCGTCTCCTCGGTGGATCGTACCGCAAGCTATGTATGGCATTTACTGAAGTCGGTACGCGAATCTCAATTTGTTCCGCAAAACACTCACTCGTCTAGGGTGCTTGAGTGAGAGTCTGATTAAGTGAGTGACCCTCGGCATCTGACCTTGACATCCACGTTCATGGGGGAGCAAACCTGCCAGAGCAAGCAGATGTCCGCGGCTCAGACCTTGCTGGGCATCCATCCGCGCACGAGCCTGATCGGACGGTACATCCTCAGGGGCGTTCCTCCACCCCCATTTTGGCAGAACGCTTTACTTGTGTCCGTAGGCCCTTGGACCTGACCGAGCGAAAGCGTTCGTTTCTGAGTAGCGCATGCGCTTCCTTGCCAGATGTCCGTTTCCAGTCCCGCTCGATCTTTCAGTCCTGAGTCTCAGTGGGCTGATGAGTTCGGTCGGTGGATGTTCGACACCTATGAGAAGGCCAGGGAAGCCGGCGTTACCTAGGCTGCTCTTTGCAACCTTCTGAGCCTGGTGGGAAAACCATCTATTTTATTTTGAAAATGACGGTGGTTTTCAACAAACGCGAGACTTGAGAATCACCCTGAGTGAAGACATGATCCAGTGTCATATACGTAGTCTAATATTCAATATCAAGTTTGGAAGAGACGGATGACCTCACGTGCACTTGACATACGCCTACATACCTAAGACCGCCGATATCACTTCGCTCTTTACGAAGAAATAAGATCGTAGCATTTGCTCCATTTCGGTAACACTTAGTAGGTGTCAGTATATCCTACTATGCAATCTGGCGTACATCTCTTGACACATGTGTTGGGGCCTTTCTAACGACGGCGGTTCTATACGACAGTCCTGAGTGCTTCCTTCGTCTTAAAGACGTGACGGGATTTTCTGATGCATCTAAAATGAGACAACTTCCTATTTCAGCGAGGTGACAGTTCATCTTGAAGGACTTTGTTCAGACACAACAAGGAATGTCTATAAGATCAGACGTCGAAATGACATCGGCTGAACGATAGTGAAAGCCAAAACAGCAAGCCTTCATACAATCTCTCAAAGCATCACTGCCAATAAATGAAGACTTGAGACACTAACCGTCCATAACTTCGATCACCTTTCACCGACCGGACAGGCCATGGAGTTACAAAAGCTGCCTTGAACTATTTCCAAGCAACTTCTACCACACACCTTTACACAACTCGACCTTGAGTTGCACATAACGCCAACATCCAACAACACCAACGAGAAACACTACAGCAAAGATGTCTCCATACTACGGCAATGACCCCTGGGACGAGAGCAACGATTACAACTCGCGTCCTGGTCCATCACGCCCACCAAACCCCGATCACCGCTCTTATGATTCAGACGAGGACGACTTGCGAACAGCGCGGAATGCTCAATTCTACCGCCCAACAGGTGGCAGCCGCTCTGGTGGCTCCAGCTACAACACGAATGGCAGCGGCTACCCTGGATCGCGATCCTCTCGACCCTCGCAGCCAGACCAAACCCGCTATGACGCCCATGATGAGTATGACGAAGAGCTACATGGACGTCTAGGCCGAGGCAATGGCGGTCCTACCTATGGTCAACAAGCATGGAGCGACGACGAGTACGGCGGACCTCGCATGCCACCGTCGCGTTCTCAGCCCGGCCAGCACCCTGACCGTAATTTCGAATTCGAAGAAATCGGTAGTGAGGACCCCAGGGCACGCATGGACCACAGTTCTCAGCCCTCTCGTGGTAGTCAAGGTCCACAGCCCTCCCGCCGTATCCAGTCCTCTCAGCACCACGAGCCGGATTGGCTCGAAAACATTCCCTGCCCGAACGACGTCCACATTGGTTTTGAGCATCACATCGACTATCGCCCTGAGGAGGGTGTTAGTTTCTGGCATTCTCGACACGCTGCTGAACTTGCCTCACAGTGTATTGAGCAGTATGATGGAGTGTCGCGTGAGCACCGCCATCTTCAGCAAGTTGAGCCACGCGTGTGGGCATCGATGGAACGTGGTGACGCACGTCAGGGAGGAAAGCGTCGTGGTGGAAATCGTCGAGGCGGAGAGCGTCGTGGTGGACATCGATGGATTGAAGGCAGTGGAGCGCGTCCGGTGGGCGGTGGTGGCGCCGGTGAATTGTGGTATTCGTAAAGTCTTCAAACACGAGTCTTGAAGAATTATCCTCCGGAGCGCGAGCGATTGTCGATGGTCTTGTCGGCACACTTTGATTTTGATGAACTTGGGGTGATATCCTGAGCTGCGCTTGTCGTGTAAGGAGATGCAGAATATCATGTGTAGAAATTAAGAAAGATACTTGCCAAGCTCTCTTCGTGAAACTGTCGAATCTGTCATACCAGTCACTCAACCGCTTATCGAGATAAATGCAGTACATACATGAGTAGATATTTACAATTCCCGATCTAAAGGACCCCAGCCTCCCTGAACGAGCCACATCCAGTTTGATATCGTTGGAAGTCTGCATGTGTCTTGTGGTGACTGGCCAAATTGAAAGTAGAATAGATATTGCCCCCATCGGTATCGCTATTGACTTTGCAGATACCATGGCGAATATCCTCGAGGAAGGCTGTACACACAGTGCAGATCATCTTGAATGTGGCGGCCGCATTTCCAACTTCGGTAATAGACGATGTAAATGCGCCGCACGCTGACCCTATCCTGTTGCAGCCGCCAAGTCAGATCTGGCAAGACCTCCAGCAGGGGAATGTAAGAGGTACCGTCTCGGGCAGTATTTGGCACGATGCGTCCTTTGACGATGCGTACGAGGAAACGTTCAGCAATAGAAAATCTTCTGCGAGCCTGGCGCGTCCAGCTCAACTCTCTGCGACTCATTTGCGTCGGCCTCGACACGTAACGCACTTACACTTGCTGCTTGCCCGCGCGAGAGCCTTTTCCCTCTTTCTACAGACTGCGCGAGGTTGTTTTGCCGTCTCTGCATCTCCACCTTTTCGATGACCTTGCGACAAATATCGCGATGCGCTTGTTCCATCTTGCTCTTGACAAAAGGCATTAGCCACCACAAGCAGCTCGCTTGCACATCCTCAACAAGCACCCACGCGGTGTCGCCGATACCCTGACCCTCACCGTCAATCTCAGCATCTGCGCCACCCTTTATGACACGGTAATCGGCACGGATCGTCACACCAGACGCATCTGCACGCGTCTTTATGCCCGTCGGTATGTTCTGGTAGCAGCTGGGGAAAGTAAGGTTCTTCCTGCCCCACTGCCCTACGCCAGGGAGGACGGTAACGCATTCGGTAACGCTGTATGTTTCGACTGGGTTTAGGTCGGTCGGGTACCAGTATGTATCCTTTAGCACATCTGGTGCGGTATTTGGTAGCTTCTCGTGCCTGGTAGTGAGGGCCTGGAGAGAGAGCGTGGTGCTGTGATCTTGGAGCACGGCGATGACCTCTGCGGGCGTGAGGTGTGCAGGTATCGGCGCAGCGATGTGAAGATTGTACTTTGCGCTCATCGCAGTATGCTACATGAAGCAGTCCTAGAGCTGGTGAGGTTGGCCTTCAACCAGAAAGGCCTTCTTTGCGCGAAGATTAGGAATCTTAGTTGAGACGAGTACCATGGAACAGTCTCAGGATGAGTAATGTTATTCGAAATGAGCGAAGCTAGTGCAAGTGATATCAGCTGCGAACGTGGACAGCAATAACATCGTCCTCCGGAAACATTACGCAGCTTGCTGACGCAGCATTCAGCTGGCTGCTACCCGCGGCAGGGTCAAGCCTAGGCGCAGCTACCGTAGCCGACACAGGCATGTCATCATTGAACCTGGGCGGTACATAGGTCGAGGGGCGTCTGAAATGTCTACTCGGCATACTTTTGAAGTAATCCAGTGCATGCCGACATACTTTACAAGGCAGTATAAAGGAGATTGGTGGATTTTTGTTGGATCGCTCGCTCTTTCGCCAAGACGACACTGCTTCAACCAAAACTAGACTAGCCTGACGCGTTGACACGTCTTTTCGACCTTACGACAACCCAATCAACAAGTCATATATTTGATTCAGTCTGAGATGGTACGGCCTTATGCCAGAATAACCCAAGATGCTATCAGCCACCAGCCACCAGCCACCCCGCGACAAGAGGCCTTCGAGCGATACCTACAGGCTATGGTAGCTAGAGAAGGGATTTCCGCATCGTAGGTAAAGAGGGAATAACTATAACACTATTGGGAGCATTTCCTCGCAGGTGGGAGATGGCGATTATGAGTTCGACGACAAGAGTGATGACTCTAATTCGATGGAGTCGATCAAACCGGTAGCTTCGTCACCGCCGCGGGCGTTCAAATTGCTTGCTGCGACGCCGACAAGCTCATAGTGAAGGAGAATATCGTCAGTGACTCCATCGTAAACCTCACAAACACTTGAACAGGACTGCTGACATAGCGATGGAAGCCTTTGACTAGTGTGGGTGCCTCAAACGTCAATATTATAGACATTCATCAGCCAGATCCTGCATCCGGCAGCAGCAATTCAACAGTGGCGATTCGTCTTCATTGAACAGTGTCTACGTGAATAACTCCTACGAACGCTGACGGCTCGCTTCGGAGCTTGTACTCGCTGCCATTGCAGAACGTCGCAAAGGATCGGAGGATTCCTTCGTAACCATCTTTCCAACGGTTCTCCACGTCAAAGTGCAACGTTGAGTCAACAAATTACGCGCTAGATGGAACCAGGAACTTGAGGGAACAGTTCAGGAAAACTCTAGCCCGCGAATTTGATGCTGCCGCTCTCATCTTCTAGAGACGCACGGCACCCAGCTCACTCACTCGCACCAGAGGGCGATTTCGTCTCTTCGGATCAGGAAGAAGAGCACGAGGTTTGGAGCTAGAACAGAGCACCACGCTCCCAAAGAGACCTCTCACCAGCGAGAGAGCGCACGGGTGCCTATTGGCAGCTGCCTGCTCACGGTGAAGGCGCACTTTCACCTTCATTCCTCGTTTTAGCGCCTTAGGTATACATATCCGTCGCATAACCCCTGCATCCTTTCTACTCTCCAATCATCTCTTTCCACTGAGCCTGCCGATATCTAACCGAGACGGGAACGTCGTCAGCTTTCACCCACAACATGTCGACACGCCACCGATTGCCAGAATACCACGCCAAGCCCTACAGCTACAGCCACTCGCATGACTCCGTCGCAGGCCTGCAAGTCATCCAGTATCGCTCGTATCAACGTGATATACACATATACCATCTACGGACACACCTCCTTCCGCTCCCTGTGGTCAGGAAAGCGCTGCAGAGCCAGGAAGGATACCGCGACCGACTAACCAGCTACGATCCTCTACGTTACTTTGATGTCATCGAAGGCGACGAGGTGCCACCCGGATGCATTGAGGCAGCCTACATGCCCAACATCATTCGTGGATACGGCTCTGCACTTGCATTGCGCGCAGCAGGAGATCTGGATTCAGAAGCAGTCGAGTGGTATGTCTTCAGCGGACCTATTGACGGTAGTTTCCTATCTCAGTTTGTTTGCGCAGATGGAAAGTGGGGGTTGCAACTGGAAAATAGTTCAGACGATCCCCGGAAGGTCTTTGATCTTGTTGGATACGTTGAGAAAGGCCTCAAAACACGGACTGTGAGGGGCGCGAATCGAGAGCATAAGGGATGGCATGATACGCTGTGTGCCTCTAAGCCAGTCAAGAAGAAGGTAAAACTGACATGGAAGAGATTTGGGAAGGAATTGAGGGCAGATCATGAGCGCAAGTCAAGGGAGGCGACCGTCGGCCGAGAAGAGCAGGAGCAAGATGAAGGTGGACAAAATGTCCCGATGAGGGACGAAAGCAAGCAGCCTCCGCAGCCGCCTCAGAAGCCAGTCACTCGGATCAAGGTGCTGAATTAAGATTTTGTGTCCAGCTTGGAGTTGCCTAGGAGTTTGGAGATGCCCATTTGCTTTTTGAGTAGTAGTTTGACATCTACAATTACTTCTACAGCTTCATCGCCTCGTGTCTCATCACATCGTCACTCTTTTTTTGCATTTCGCTGTTCACTTCAAACCAATCTCGTCGGCGGTGAGAATGAACTCCAAAAATCCCGCGTTGGTGTCGATGATGTTCTGGATATACTCTTCCGCGGTCGGGTAAAAGTTTGTAGGGTATCCGAACTCCAAAGTGTACCCATGGACCTTGTTCAGCTTCTTGTTTCCATACCAGCGGCTAGACGCCCAGTCATCAGATGCACCACTCGTGGGGTAAAGACCTGTGCTCGTTAGATCAACCTCTTCAAGAAAAGCGGTACTTTTACTTACCAACAGCCTGCTGAGGTACATATGAGCGGCCCCCAACAGCTTCCATGGCAGCAGTAGTCTTGTTTGCCTGCATTTCAATATTGTACCAGTCCTCCTCTTCGATGAACTCACCGTACAGAGTGTCGTTCACAATACCGCGCACGCCGTCGTAAGCAGGGTTAAACTGACTCTGCTTAGGATCGTTGGACTGGTTGATGTCGTCACCCCAGGAGTACAAAAGTGTGCCTGCTGCAGAATGCACATCGATGAACCAGCGGATCTTGGGAAATATATCATATACCCACTTCATGTTGCGGGTCTCCGGCTCTGAGAAAGGCCCAGTACCGTAGAAAGCCTGGGAGGCGGGGTTGGTGGATGCAGGAGAAGTCGAGGGATCAAAGTGTTTGGTAAAGTTCCACAAGAAGTCGAAGTTCCTGTTGAGATCTACGCCCACGCTGGCGTTGTTTCCGGCGATCGCTGAAGCAGGGTTGCGGTTCTTGCGCCAGAGGTTACTGTTGGCCTGGTCATGACGAACGCCGTCGGGGTTAGTCATGGGGATAAAGACAATTCCAGCGCCAAGGGCCTTCTTCACATCGGAGTTGGTGTAGGTCTTGTTGCCGTAGGTCAGGCCTTTACGGTGCTTATTGGCGTATAGCAGATCGGAGATGAAGTAGATCAGGTTGTCTGGCCCACCACGCTCGCGGGCGTGGATACCGGAGGTGAAGTAGATGTGCTGCTTGTCCTTCTTGATCTTCTCAGCCTTGTTGGCTACGCCGCCCCAGACTGTGTTCCCTTCGAAAGTCGTGTAAGGAGCCCTAAACAATTCCAGGCCGTACTCTTTCTCCAAGCCCTTCAGAGCTGTGTAGACTTCGTCGGCATTCAAGATACCAGCACTCTGGTATGAGCCATATACATCCGGCTTTTGACTACCCAGACCACGAGGAGCGACCTTGCCACCCTTGAAGCGGTCGCCTTTTCCAATGGGCGCTGTCGCAATCTGACGTTTGTTCAGGTGGTCGAGCGCCTCAACACGGATGATATCAGCGTCAAGGCTCCTCCTGTAGTGGTAAAGCTCCTCCTCAGTGAGCATAGCGTGAAGCTTGTGCTCACCCTTGGTGGGAACGACCACAGGACGGCAGCCATAGTCAATATGGTTGTTGTCTGAGACGAACTCCAGCAGTTGGGTCTTCTCTTTCGCAAAGAATGCCACACTTAGAAGGTCGTGTGCGAGAGCCGCAGTGGGCAATAGACCGAGAAGCGTAGAGACCTTCATGATGATGTTTCGCGGAGGTGGGAAGCTAAGGCCTGCGTAGCACAAATGAGTGCTACTACATAGACTTTATACATGATGACGGGCTTGTTGTTCTTTCCGTGACCTCCCTGTACATGAGGTGCGACCGACAAGTTTCTGGTCGATATGGGCGACCTCCTTCCTGATTGGGACAACCTTCCAAGACCGCCGCGTGCTTGGCCCGCGCAGAGCGCTCACGATAGCAGCAGGTCCGAGCAGGTTATCTGCAAGCAAAAGCGAATGGTAGGCGTGAAGCTGACCCCTGCAAATCTGCGCACAAGGTTTCTGGAATGAAGAGCGGGAGAAGGCGTTGCCAAGCTGTGAAAGGCGCTTGGCTATGCACCGATGACGATCTTGTGTATCCGCGCTCGTACTGCACAAGGAAGATTGCTTCGACTACCAAGCCACTTTGCACGAGTCGTGGCCATTCATGAAAATGAATAATTATTCTGTCTTTGGTGCTGCAAAACTGTGGCAGGAGATTGTACGTTAAGACCATTGGGTACAGAAGAAAAGATCTTGGTTGCAGATTCGCACATTGAATGTCGTAAATTCATGATTCGTACTATCTACACTTGCAGGAAGGTCTAACCAAAGATTAATGCCCTAACCTCGATGCTCTCACGCCCCACGGCCCCGTCGGGTGTTCTTGGGTCCACGAAAGCAGTATGCGGTACTCTGCCGTACTGCCCGACTGTCTCATCGCTGTCAAAGCACTTGAGCAGAAGTCGATCTTCGTTTCGCATGCCAGACCAGTAGTACCACTTCTGACTAAGGTTGTACCGAACTGCTGCTGTCTGCCCGTTGCGGTGAGGGTATCGATGCTCAACGGGCACCAGATCCTCGTCCTGCACACTTTGGCTATCGGCAACAGCCAAAGAGAAACCCATTACCGGCCCATTGAGTGGCCGCCACACATTGACGATACGGTAGCGACCCTGGAGCAGCTGCTCAGCATCCTCGGGTGCGTGAAGCCTGACTCTCTCAGCGGCGGACATTGGCGTCTGATCAACGTGTACGCGTTGAACGGGATTACGGTTTCCAGTTGGTCTGCGGATTGTATGGTCAAACAGAATGACTCTATTTGCGCCAGGAACGTTGTCCAGCAGTAACTTCTCGACTTCAGGGTAGTAAACGCTGCGTATCTGCTCATCATCCTTAAACCCTGTTTCTGCGCTCTTAATGTTTTGGTGTGTCTCGAACGCGTTGTATCCAAGATTGAACTTGTGCTCCTGACCGCGCAAATCGTCCAATCTTACTTCCTCCCAGCCGTCACCCCAGTTTCGCTGGGGAACACCTGGGAGCGGCTCGACGTAGTTGTATGGTGGTGACCCATCCTCAGGAGCCTTGTAAAAAGACAAATTCGCACTGACAGGTCCACGAGGGATGCGCAGGCCTTGGAAGTTTACATCTTCTGACTTCGACTGAGAAATGGTTGGTGTGGATGCTCCGGAGAGCTGATGAGCCGGGGTCCGTCGCGATGCGGCGGTCGTCATGATGGTGGTGTAGGAGTTTGACGACTCAGTAGTAGTCGTATCTATTTCGCTTCGTTCGAGAGACGGCGGAAGCGTGGATGTGATGCTATTGATTGTGGCAAAGCAACTAATAGTCATGGCCTTCTTAGATGGGGTATGAACCAAGGTCTAATGTATGAGTAAGGGAGATCAAAACAGTATCCGAAGCTATTATATACGACTGTGAAGTTCGGGATTATAAATGCTCAAGAAGGCTATTTGTGTGATTCGACAAAGTCAGCCTGTCATCCGCCGAGGCTGGCGCAATGCGGGGGAATGCGGCGATGATGCCATCGGTTAGTAATGCCCTTTGCTTTGCCAGCAACGCCAGCTGACAAAGATGAGCATGGCGTGATGATTGTCAATTCATATTTGTTTTCCTTCACATGAAGCTGTTGATTTCAAAATGTCGGGAGATACTGTTGGGGGTGGGGTTGGAAGTAGAAGACAAGAAACGTGAAAAAAGACACGCTGGACCGGAAGAAGCTCTGCAACTGTGATCTTGGCAACTGTGATCTACTGTATCATCTAAGCTCACCAAAAGTGTCGACCCTCATTCTGCATCTGCAGTTTATCAGCAGCAGACATCTACCAAAATCGTGGCCAAGACCTGTTTTCATTACACAGCCAATCACAGCACAGACGCTTGCCACGCCTGGTCGGCGGCAAACATCCATCTGCGGATCTCAAAGCTGCAGAAACGCTACCCGAGCACGCTAGCTCAGAATTTAATCATGAGCTCTGGCTTGCGCGTTGGCACTGCCATTTCTGACCGTGACATGAATTATGATCAGCATATTGTCGAGCTGTTAGATTGAGCGACCGTCTAGACCCGCCCTCAGCTGGTTATCGAGCATCTTATCGGCAGTCACGTGAATAAGCGATGCCTCTTGTGTTGTCTTCACGGAGATCTCATCATTTGATACCTGCGATCAGGCCAGGGGTAAGACGCATCTATTGAAAGCTTAAGTGGGATGAGTAGCGATCCAGAGGATGTCAAGCGCCTATACAAGGAGATCAGCGAGAAGGAGTCTCAGGGTATCCAGTTGCTCGTCAATAACGCTGGCATCGCACGTGACGACAACACCAAGTTCTCCACCGCTGGCGAGCCCAAGTGGAACGACGCACAGTCTGTCTCGGACCACTTCTTGAAGTCGCCCCCAGAGTCTTGGGCAGACACCTTCAAGACCAATGTTGGCAGCATTTTCTACATGTCGATGACCTTCTTGCCTCTTCTCGCTAAGGGCGGAAGCAAGACGCCTGGTTACACATCGTCAGTTGTAAACGTCACATCCATCTCTGGTGCTATGAAGGGTTCCAGCTCAGGACAATTCGCGTACGCCAGCTCCAAGGCCTCCGCAACCCATCTATCCAAGATGCTTGCGACAACATTCATTGGCACGGAGGTCCGCGTAAACGTTATTGCGCCCGGTGTCTTTCCATCTGAGATAACCACTGGCTCGTCCGACGAGGACAACAAGAGTGTCATCGAGGGTGGCATGTCCAACCCTGCTGGCAGACCTGGTAAAGATTCTGACATGGCTGCGTCGATTCTTATGCTGGCTGGTCCAGGAGGTGTCTTCTACAACGAGCAGATCTTATATCCTGATGGTGGCAACACCCTCAGCCAGCCCAGCTCGAAGACCTGAATATCGGATGATGAACAAAAGGTCCCGTAGTATCCGTATAGCTCAGACGTAATGGATTACGACGATGACACAGAAGGTTGCCTGGCAATGATCTGTGTCGAGTGCATCTCAGACATGACTACATTCAGTGCTTCCCACAATCACAGCAGCAGGGCAAACCTGAAAGTAGGATAGGAAGACACTAGTGCTCTCGTACTTACCGGCGATCTGACATAACATTAAGCAAAACAACGTGACGTTCGTTAGTTGCCCTAGCGTTCGGGCTTTGCCTTCACGGCCACAATCAGGACACTTCTTAAAGTATTAAAAGATAATTAAAGACAGCAAGAATTAAACGAGTAGGGGATAAACCGGGAATCTGGCTCGGGCGTGGGGCCCGTAGTCACGTAAATAAAAGTACACTAAACAAACGCGCTAGACTCCATGCTTGAACAACACAAAAACAGACACGATGCACATGCAAAAATGTACCGTCTTGTGACCTAACCAGGGGTCGCTAGAAAACTGTTAGGAGTCGAACGTGCGCTGTCATGGGAAATTGATTACTTACAACCTGGAATCTCTTGATTACTGATTGCATCGTAGTCAAGCGCCTTGCCATTGGGCCATTAGGCCAGATAATCATCTGTTTGATGGGATCGTCTTCAATTTAATAGTTTATATACAGATTTTTAAATTTACTCAGAAGCCTCCCGTAGTTACAAGCTGTTTTGGTTGTGGAAATTTCTGCAAGCGGGTACATCGGCTCTAATTTACCGAAGTGGGGCAGACTACCAATCGCTAATGAGCTTGATTATTCCCACAGTCTACCGAGCCTGAGGAAGACTGTTGACGCTGTTTTATGGTCAGTGCAGCTTCCGAGCTTATGAGGACTAGTCGATTCCCCATCTCACAAGTACACCAATTCGATGCAGGTGGTGGTGGTCAACTTCAAGTCAGTCTCTCCGGGCGTCGCAGATAGGTAGGCGCCCGAACGTTGACCATCACGATCTCTAACACTCATACCATTCGCATGTCCTTGGAGCAGGGCTTTCGAAGCGATGAATTTCGTCAGTGTCGCCACAGTCATTGTAACTGACTTCTGTTCACGACTCGCAGCCCAATCGTGCGACAGGGGCGATTTCGTGACTTTGGAAACTTTGGTTGTGAATCTCCGAAACGATCGCAAGCATGCACAGAACGCTGTGGTCGCTGCAATAAGGATGCATTGCCTGTCAAGACGTTTACTGATCAAACAATCCACTGTCTATTCTCCTTCTCAAGCCCAGTAGCGCCTGGTTCATTCATGCACCTGATCAAGTGTCAGGTCATACGCTTACACTGTACTCACGAAGGCTCATGTTGACGTAGTGATGCTTTTAGCGAACGTTAGGACCGGTCATCCCTGGTCACCATCAGCTCTCAGCTCCGTACTCGGATACCTCTAGGCCCTTGGACTGACTATTTCGAAGATTCGGGCCGTAGGCTTGACATTCCAACGTACAGGCTCTGCAGGACGACCATCCGTTCTTTCTGACAGTGTTGTACCCATGAGTCCAACCTGAGGAAGCGCCTTTGCGGTGCTCAGGTGTGCCACAGCAGCAGTCGTGTAACGATCGGCACGCTCGATACGTATCCTTGAGACCAGATCAACCCCCAACGAAACCGGGGAGAATATCCCAGCCTATTGGAATCATCGGGGCACTCTGCAGACAGTGCCACTGTAGATTCACTATCACCAGTGCCTGGTCCACGGAAGGCGGCTCAGCCCACCGCTGAATACGATCCCTTCCATTGGGAATTTATCTCCCGAGCTGCGCGTTCGGTAACTTCGTTGATCTGTTCCGCCTTAGCTGGCGAGCCACGGAACGACATTATGCCAGCTCTTCCTGAAGCGGGTGCCTCCCATGCAGCAAGTCACGCATCCGTGAAGGGCTTACCTTCACGGTCACGTCCTTGCCCTTGAAGATCCACAAACGGCTGCCACCAGTCCCCAATTTCACCTTCGCTGCAGGGTACCGATGTCAAAGAATCCTTGTCAATCAGCAATTGTGCAACAAGCCCACGTTGAGCCGGCATGCACGTCTACGGTTTCTCCGACCAATACTCAGCTCAACTGGACCTGATCACATTTAGAAAGACGAACCTGGCGCATCAAGGCCCAATATCACGTCTTGGGTCAATCACTCATGACGGATCTCTTCCGGTTGTCGCCATGGCTCGAGATTCGGCGACGGATGTTTCATCCCGAACCTAGCCAAAGTGTACAGAGTCCCTGACTCTTCCACCGGGGATTGATGGGGATCTCGTTGGAATGAGCCGGGCCCTGTTTGAGGAACATCACTCAGGCACACGACATCATGTTGCAGCCTTGGAAAGGACATTGGAACTGATTAATGTTATCATCGCTTCTAGCATACATGAAGCACATAACACCTTCCCGCACCCTTCTAGTATACTATACTGTACCGTCCCGCTTTTATTCAGCACTCTGAATTGACAATAGAACTTACAGCAAGCATCATCCATCTTTACTATCCAGTTCTGACAGTCTTATCATGTCCTTCCACTACCATATCGCCGCAGGAACACCACTGTCAAGCGCAACACCACCCCCTTGTTATCTGTACCATCCTCACGCAATGAATATTACCACCTGTAGAGGCTGTGGCGGTAACCCGTACGTCAAAAAGTGCGTTGACAATAACCTGCAGCTCACACATCGTCAGTGACCCACGAGTTGCATGCACAGTCTGCTCAGGCACGGGGTTGGCATTGGAGCGATGCTTCGCCTGCGAGATGTACTGGCGAAAGCTTGCTATAGAGCAAGGGCTCATGAAGCCGTGACTGTCACTGTACAGCCGGAGAATGACTCGTAGGATAGAGTACGAATAGGCCAGTCTTGATCCAACCCTCATTTTTCATTGTTGCGGCAGTCAATGTGCAGCCTTCTTTCACCCGACACTATCCTGTAGAGATTTCAGAGCTCTAATCACCCGCATATACTGTGTTTCATCGTCAAGTGGTCATAGAGAGAATTGTTGCGTACTCGACGGAGGCACTGGATCTGGGCAGCAATCGTGCTGCGGTCGACGAACATCACTTGCAACTGGTCTCGATGCTCGCCAAGTTCTAGCCTCCCGCCAGCTCGAAACTGAGCTCGATGCAGTCGCTTCAGACAACCCTGTTCGAGCTTTTCTTACTACCTGCCATCTTCATACCCCTTGAACCATGCCCTACGAGAATCTCTGGGTGAGAAACCCCCCTGTGTAGAGCCAGAGTAGAGACGCCTGTGTGAAGACGTTGGCACTGGAGTGAGGAGATCATGATTGTGGTGAGAGGACTTCAAAAGTCAGTAATTGGGCGTTTGCCTAGCTTGCGCGAAAATTGGCGGCCCCGTCACCTTCACTCACCCCATAGCCTACCGAGAACCCCACCTTGACTATAGATGAATACCAAGCAAATTGGTAGCTCCACGGCTATTTTGGTCCTACTGTTATGGATCGCGTCCTTCAGCTTCCAGCTTCGTCCGTACCGAAAATATGGCATGTATCCACGTAAAACTGCCCTAAGTAACAGTGAGAGCGGCACAGGGCTCTATATGTATGCAGATATCAGGAGTGAGATCTTCATGATCGGCTGGAAAGGGAAAGCATACACTCCCTCACTATTCATGACGGCACAACACCCATAGTTCATCAAAGTGCATTGAAACATCCACAACACACTGTTCACTCAGACAGCCATCCCGACCCTCTCACTGCTCCCCTTATACCCAGTCTCCTCGTCTAAGCCCCCACTACCACTCCTCCCGCCCTGAAGCTCCATTTTCATGCTCCCCTCCCTCCTGATTTCCCTCTCCTGCTCGCGCACCAGCCTCATCGGGCCCCTCACAATCGCGCCCAGCAGATCTCTAATATCGAGCGCTTGGACGATAGCCTTGATCGGGCCAACAGAAGCCGCTTTATTGCTGTTCTTGTACGGTTTGGAGGGAAAGGCGAAGAGCATGAGGACGGCGAAGAAGGGCATTTCGCACGCCAAGATGAGGGAAGCAAGCCCGTCGTTGATATCGTGGTAGGTCATGTATTTGGTGGGCGTGAGCGTGCCATGGCCGGCTAGGATATTGATTATGAACTACTCTTGTCAGTTTCAATTCCTATGTATCCCTTTGACATGCACTTTTGGAATTAATGGGTTTGAGAAGGAGGGACATACTGTCTGCGCGACGTTCAGTCCGATAATACTCTTGAATGTGAAGAGCTTGAGGAGAATCCTATGCTGCAGCAATTTGGGCTTGTTCTTGCTGTAGAATAGCAAGCAGCATAGAATGGAGATCGTCGTTACGATGAACTTCAAGATTGTGATCCACAGATGCGCAAAGTGCACGCTGTTTGACTGTCTGCAGTACTTGCCGACTGCGAGCGTGATGATGGTGCCGATCCAGATGATGATGCTGGTGGGTATGAACTGCAGAACCCCGTACCAGATGCACTGGTTGTGTCAGCGGGCTGTCGTCTGTGCCTGAGGATGGGAGACGTACTTTGAACCATGCAGGTCCTGTCGTTTGCAAAGAGCCTCGACTCTTTGCGCCAGCGCCGGTGCCAAAGAGATTGTCGAAACCATCAGGATGCGATAGTACGAAGTCGCACATCAGTAGCAAAAACGCTGACAGCGCAATCGCACACCCAAAGTCGAGACTCTCGACGATGTAAACACCAGCCTTTTCCTCCAACACAACGATGAAAGAGAACAGCGAAACCCATGGGATTAACAAAACAATACGGATGATCTGGCGTTGTTGCACAGGAAACGAGTAATTGGTCGCATGGCCGGCAATGACAAAGCTGCAGATGAGCAAGCTGAAGAGCCCACAGGCGCCAGAGGCTATCGTTGCAACTTCGTGGAAAGTGTAGCTGCCAATGATCGGTACGATGGCCGGGCCATTAAGGTTCTCGGACGGACAGATACGACTTGTTGCGGAATTGATGATGGAACTGGTATTGATGTAGTTCTTTCTCGACACGAGGTTGATCTCGAACGCCTCCATGGCTCAAGGGGTTGGCGCAGAAGCTTTGATGTCCACAGATGGATTGAAAACAAGGTGGAGATGTGTAGAAACCGTTGGGTCGATGACCTCAAAGCTTGTCACTCAAGGGAGTCCCTGCGTTGCTAAATACCCTCCGCCGGAGGCACTCCGCTCGTATGCACCATGTCATAGCCACTGAGCATCTGCGTCCCTGGGCACAGCGAGGGGAGGCCCGATCGCCTTTAGCTCGCGCTCGTAGCCGCTTTCAGGATGGAACATCGAAAGTAAGCACTTTGAGCAAAGGTAAAACCTGAGCTTGGCGAGGCTTATGAGCGTGTGAATTGCGCACAGCCGCGCTTTAAGCACGGCAAAACCTTGCCAGCCGTAGATCTCATGCTTCATCGAGTACTGTTGAGCGACAGAGGCGACGTCTGCTTACCTACAGTGCGCATCGTGCTTGGCGTAGACTCGGCCGGTCCGGTTACAATCGCGCACCGAAGTTTGGGTCTTTGAGCGCAGCTGAGGTTGCAGCCCACTCGGAGAGCGCCTACGGGCAGCCACGCAGAAACACCACGGTCGTGGCTGTGTACTTGCGTATCATACTAAAATGCAAATGAGGTGCGCCTTACAGCAGACTGCCGTGCGGACGATCGGCCGTCATCTCGATGGCCACAGAGGCGCGCTGACAGGACTCGTACGAGACCTGAAGTCGAACGATACCATCCAGCGTCAAGGCCCAGCTATGCTGAGGCATCAAACAGAATACTGCGCTGGGCATGAGTTCATAGCGATGCTCTCAGCTTTGTGGGGGTGGCGCCAATGAGTTAGTTCGCGACAAATACAGTAATTATGGACTTGATTGATTAGTCCTATAATCGGGCGTTCGAAAGTAATTAATTGGATGAGGAACCAGGTGCATTCACACCGCGATCGGCGTGAGAGAGGGGGCCCCCGCCCATGAGCAATCTTGTGATGTGGTCCAAGACTTTGCGACTGATGAGAAAAATTATATGGGCACGCAGTATCGTGACGCAGTTTGAATGCAACAGGCTGGAGGACTTCAGTGTCCTGCACGCTCGGCATGCTGCATCCGCGTCTTAGCACAGCAAATTGTCGTGCAAACTCCGCAACTTCCGACAAAGGATCGCGCAATCAACGGCATGCCCAGAACAGCTGGCATGTGCATTGTCTAGGAGACCGCTATTATTGGTGACGAGCTGGAACGGTCGCCTGCGCCCGGCCTCATAGCGCGACAATCTCGCGTCGCAGCACACCCCTTTCCCCGAGCCTGGCTTGACAAGTAACGCGTTGCCCGTTCGACGCGACTTGTCGCTTGCGCGCACGTTTGCGCGATTGCTGGTCGCAGGATGACATTGCTTCCGAAACAAGCCGAGCGCTTTGTCGCATCGTGTCAGTGATCGTGTGGAAATGACGATGTTGGATGGGGCGGCCAAGAAATTTCTTGCGAAAAATGAGGCAGATCGGCAATTGCGATGGACGGCTTGCGTTTGGGTGGCTGCAATACAGAGATCGGTTGCGTTGCATCGAGCGCTAGAGCGTAAGTAGAAAGCAGTTGCAAGCAGATGATAATGTGTTCATTGACGGTGCCTGTAACTTTTAGTGGCAATGAGGTATGCGACGCGATCGTACATCGACGATCCGGCTGTCGCGACACGAGCAAGCATGATAATGTATAGTACATAACGATAATCCACCCCAGTGAGCCCATCCAATCCATTGCCAAACGCCGAGTTGTCGAGAAAAAACCAGTAGATCGTGAAGCATGAATAAAAACATGCGAGATAGAACCGAGACGCATCCGTACATGCTTTGAAAAAAAAGTTCAGAATGGGAAGAGAAGGAGCAATCGAACGTCGATCACATCTCCATCACGTCGCCGGCAACAGCGGCGGGTGCGATGACAGCCTGAAGGGTTGGTATTACGGGCTCAGACGGGGAAGAGTCGCGGGCGTTGATGCGGTCGCCCTCGCAGTGAGGTACAGGTCCGGACATGAGGTTCGGAACGGCGCGCTCAAGGGACCAGCCGACAAGCTGGCACCACTTGAGTGTGTCTGCGAATAGCCAGTAGCCCTGCACACCGTGTTGCTTCGCGCGCACAAGATATGCGTTGAGCGACTCCTTCTCGAGCATGACAATCACGTCGGTGAAGTCGAAGTGGCGCTCGATGAAGCGTGCGTACGCGCGTGCCTGGTCGCGCAGGTTGGGGTTGGTCATGATGTTCTTCCAGCCTACACCCAGCGAGGTGATGAGTGTGTTGATCGTATTGCCGTTGTCGTCGATGATGGCCTCGCTGATCTGAGACTCCATATCGTTGAGAGATGGGACAACGACGTCGCGAGACGGACTGACGCGTTGCGACTTGCGCGAGATTGCGATTGGACGAGCTGCAGCCTTCTCTTCAGCTTCCTTCTTCTCTTCGTACCACGTGCCGGATTGCGACTCGGCCGCGATGCTATAGCCAGGTTCGTCAGGGTAGATGAGCGTCATCCCCGGGCCGTAGACGGGCTCGCCCCGAGACTTGATGGGGGCAGGAATGGCGACAGATCCAGTTGGTTGGTTCTCTTCGGGATCGTCAACGTCGGCAATGGATCGTTTGCGCCCAGCTGTGGCATTGGAGACAGCAGCTAGATAGTTGAGCGACGGTGGAGTAGGATGCTTCGGACGGAATTTACCCATGGTTGACGGCGAATGGGCGCGCTGGTGAGGTGAGAAGTAACCCTGCGGCTGTTGGGGCTGCAGGACGACGGTGGGTGACGAGGCATAGTAGTTGAGACCCATGGTGACTGCTTGTTTAGTAGATTAGAAGTAAAATGCAGTTCAAAGATACAAGCGTCTGCCTAGCAGTTGAGCAGACAGTAGAGCATGCGACTAGCGCGGCTAAATGGCTGATAGCAACGGTGAGGTTGATGCTCAGTTAAGAGGCGTGATGGTCGTGGTGATGGATGAGGTAGGTAAAGGTGATGGGTGGTGTGAGTGAGGTGAGAGCAACACCAAGTACGATAATTGGGCGTAGAGGGAAGGCGCGAGACGACGTGTAAGGGCAAGAGGTGAGAGGGGAAGGAACGATGGTTTGAGGGCCTAGGGCGCTTCTTGTAAGCCTTCGCGCTCGTCCCGTGAGAGGCTGGAGTCGCCGGCAGGGTAGCACTAACCGCATCGGCAGACCTCAGGCCTGCAAGGATGTAGAGATCCTCAGGGCAGGTCTAGCGCGATTGGCTGGTTGCGCGTCGAAGCAGGAGGACGCAAACGGACTGGTGCTGAGTTCGCTTTGCCCAAATGGTACGCTGGGTTGTTTCGTGTGCGTTGGCCTTGGCAGGTGGAGAAAGCTTGCACGTGACCATCTTGACAGGAAGCATCTTACCTTCCTGATGATGCTTGTGCACATTAGAAAAAGAAAGTAAAGGCGCTAGTTAGGTGAGGGTTATCTCCCTACGATTGCTTAGTGCATGCGTGGATGTGAACGGCAGTGCCGCAAAGGAAAGTGCCTGGCGACATTGAATGCTAAGAAAGGTGCAAAGAAGGGTATGTGAAGAACGGCAAAACAACACCTCGATAATGGATATACGCTCCACTCGGCATCCTCAACGCGTACTCATCCGACATCTTTGATTACATTTGTCAGAGCTCCAAGACAGACAGGTGCACGTGATTGATCACATGATCGCGGACCGGCGAAACTAACTGCGGGCGCGGGACAAGAAATGTTTAGTGAAGGACGCGCCAGCGACAGATACCCCACGCGTGCTTAGTTCCACGTCCCCTCTTTCCTGTACCAATACCCTAGATTCGTCCCTCAAAATGCAGGCGCCTGTGGTTGTTATGAGTATGTCGATCCCGAGTTACTGCTTCCAGCAAATGCCTAATCCCCCGCAGACACCCAGACCCCTGGTGGGGAGCGCCAGTTTGGTCGCAAAGCTCAGATTTCGAACATCACAGCAGCCAAGACGGTTGCAGACATCATCCGGTCATGTCTGGGCCCCAAGGCCATGCTGAAGATGCTGCTTGACCCCATGGGCGGCATCGTCCTTACCAACGATGGCCACGCTATCCTGCGAGAAATCGAAGTCGCTCACCCCGCCGCAAAGAGCATGATTGAGCTCAGCCGGACACAAGACGAGGAAGTCGGTGACGGCACCACGACCGTCATCATTCTGGGTATGTTGGAATATGCGCGAAGAACAAGCTTGAGCAATGACTGACTGTCACAGCCGGTGAGATCCTTGCACAGGCCCTGCCCCAGCTCGAGCGCAACATCCACCCTGTTGTTGTCATCCAGGCCTTCAAGAAGGCCCTCGCCGATGCCCTCGAGATCGTCAACGAGATTGCGACCGAAGTCGACGTCGACAACGACGAAGAGATGTACAGGATCATCAGCTCTTCGATTGGCACAAAGTTCGTTTCGAGGTGGTCAAAGCTGATGTGCGGTCTTGCGCTCAAGGCTGTCCGTACAGTATCTACCGACATGGGCGGCAAGAAGGAGGTCGACATTAAGCGGTACGCACGTATTGAGAAGATTCCTGGAGGCGAGATCGAGGACAGCGAGGTGCTGGACGGCGTCATGGTGAACAAGGACATCACACACCCCAAGATGAGGCGGAGAATCGAGAACCCAAAGGTGCTGCTGCTGGACTGCACACTCGAGTACAAGAAGGGCGAGAGTCAAACGAATATCGAGGTCAGCAAAGAGGAGGACTGGAACAGGATACTGCAGATCGAGGAGGAGCAGGTCAAGGCCATGTGCGACGCAATCATTGCCCTGAAGCCTGATCTCGTCATCACAGAGAAGGGTGTCAGCGGTAAGTGAATTCCAGTTGAACAGGCAACATCATCGCTAACTTCAGGCAGATCTTGCACAGCACTTCCTCGTCAAGGCCGACATCACAGCCATCCGCCGTGTCCGCAAGACAGACAACAACCGTATCGCCCGAGCCACCGGTGCTACCATCGTCAACTCCGTCTTCGCCGCAACCCCGTCCGACATTGGTACACAGTGCGGTCTGTTCGAGATCTCAAAGCTCGGCGACGAGTACTTCACCTATCTCACACAGTGCAAGGACCCCAAGGCCTGCACAATCTTGCTTCGCGGTCCCTCAAAGGACATCCTGAATGAGATCGAGCGCAACCTGCACGACGCCATGGGCGTTGCTAGGAACGTCATTTGGAACCCGAAGCTGTGCCCAGGAGGTGGAGCAACCGAGATGGCCATCGCTGTTGGGTTGGAGAGGAGAGCAAAGCTCATCGAGGGTGTTGCACAGTGGCCATACAAGGCGGTGGCAGAGTCTATGGAGGTCATTCCCCGCACCATCATTCAGAACTCAGGAAACAGCCCCATCAAGGTCCTCACACAGCTTCGCGCAAAGCATGCAGAAGGTTACGAGGATGGCAAGGCCACTGGCAGTACCTGGGGTATCGATGGCGATGCAGGAAAGGTTGTTGACATGCGCACATATGGCGTCTGGGAGCCTCTCGCAGTCAAAGAGCAGAGTATCAAGACAGCCATTGAGAGCGCGTGCTTGCTGCTTCGAGTCGACGATATCGTTGCTGCGAAAGCGGCGAAGCAGGTTAGCGGCCCCATTGGCGGCGGAGGTGACGACTAAGAAGCTCCACGATGGCTCGATCTCAACATAAGCGACCATCTACTGGAAGCAAATGATCACGACAATAAAGAACGATCAAACAACAACACATCAAGTGTTGGCACACAAAGCATCGTCTCAACAGCCCGTGACTTCTAAGTTTTTGACCCCGTAGCTGTCATTCACACTAACAGCCTTACGCTAAGATCAGCACTTGCGGCCTGTTACAAACAGGATAACACACAGCCATTCCATGATGCACTCCCGCCAAGTCTGAAGATTTTCAATCACTCGTTTAGTACTACACACCCAAATGATCAGGAACCGACTTCCGCGCTACTACAGTCACCAGCATCATGTCGACACAACAAACAACCGCCGACGTCACCGCGGCAGCCCTATCGCAGATTGACCAGAACATCAACAACACAGAAGAGGATAGGAGTCACGAGGCAAGAGGCCACAAGGCGAACCTAAGCAATCCGAGTATGTCCATCTTGACGTCGTCTTCGCTCGTGTTGCTGCTCAGAGATAGAGCTTCTCCAGTGTTGGTACTGACACGCAACAAATACAAGTGAGGCTTCGAAAGAGAAGTCAGCACGAATATTGGAGGAATTGGGCGAGGACGAGGCGTTCTATATGAAGCGAGGGAAGGGGGAGTGACGAACAGTATGTGTTCTGCGTCCGATGGCAAGGGGTCTTGGATACCTGTTCTCACGGGTTCAACAATCTACATTGCCATCAAAGCAGCTCTCTCAAGTCGCGACGCATTTCAGACCAGTAAATGGGCCCCACAATTTCGTGCCGTCTCTACCATAGCCAAGCGTTGCGACTTGAATTAGAAAGGCAAACAGCAGTAGGCTTCTTGCGTAGGTACGATTTAATAACGCATCTTGAACGAGGCTAGGCTGACATATATAAGAACAGTACATTTAAACACGAACCACGTCCCAACAACAGGAAAACAATACAACACCCGGAAACCTTATCTCCAACTTATCGACCAAGCACAGTCAAGCACTTTCAACAATCATGTCCGACCAAAAGTCCCACCAAGGCATCACCGCCCCCGGTTACACAGAAGCTGAGCAGAACATCAATAACACCACGGAAGACAACAGCCACTAAGCACAATGGCACAAGGCTAACCTAAGCAACCCCAGTATGTGACATATACCAGCAACTCATCCTTGACAGATACCGCTGATAACCTTCAGACTCAAGCGAAGCAAGTAAGGAGAAGTCCAGAGAAGCACTAAAGGAGCTCGAAGACGAAGACGTCTTCTACGACAAGCAGGGCAAGGGGGATAAAGCCTGCTCCCGGGTGGTCGTCAGAATGATAAGAACTACTTCCGAATAACACATCTGCTAGTCACATCCCCACATGCCTCTCATTTTTCCTACATCACATGACGGTCTGCTCTATTTCGCCCCGCTGCCCTGCGCAACACGTCCCCGCCCCAACGCTCTCTCCACAACCCTCGCAACCCCCTCCACATCCTCAAACACACTCCAATGCCCTACACCCCCAAGTACCTCTAACTCCGCCTTGCCCCCCATCTGCTCAACAATCTCTTCACACTCAGCCACCCTCGCAACCCTATCCTCATCCCCCGTAACAACGCACACCTTTGCCCTGACCTTGTCCCATTCTGGCACCTCAGCACCCGCAATCGCAGAGCACGCCTTCGCGTACCCCTCACCATCTTGACTCTGGAGACTCATACGTACACTGTTAACGGCGAGCGGGTTCCTCGCCTGCGATGTGGAGCTCGTCGCTGACGAAGCGATTCTATCCGCGATGCGCAGCATACCTTCTCGCCTGACGATTTCGGCGCGCTGGCGTAGCGCGTCGACTCCCTCGTCCGGGAAAGGGAGAGAGGGCGGGTTGAGCAGGATGAGGTGGGCTACGAGCTCGGGGTGTAACGCGGCGAAGGAGAGCGCGACTAGGCAGCCGAGTGAATGCGCAATGATGATTGCGCCATCTGGGGGTTTGATGGTGGCATGGGCGAATACGCCGCTCAGATCGGCGGCGAAAGAGTGTATTGAGAGTGCGCTTAGAGGGTGTGTGGGCGACCCGCCGTGCCCTTCGAGATCGAAGAGGTGCAGCGCGTGCGTGTAGGTAAGGCCGAGGGCATGGATTAGCGGCGTGAAAGAGGCTTGTGTGCCGCCTAGGCCATGGATGAATACGACAGGACAGCCAGACTCGGGGCCAGAGGAGGTGTAGTATAAGGGCTTGTTATTGATGGTTGTGAGTTGAGACGTCGGGACGCGGGTGTTGTTGTACGGCAGGCTTGTTTGCGGTGCTGTGTTGGCGATGGGTGTTGGTGGTGGAGAGGCAATGCGGTTTGTCAGTGTTCCGAGCCCGGTCACTGAGATGGAGATTGTGTCGCCTGGCTGCAGGTAGACTGGGGGTTTGAGACCGAGGCCTACGCCGGCGGGTGTGCCTGTTGCGAGGACGTCACCGGGCTGGAGAGTTTGGCCTTCTGACATGGTCTTGATGAGGTAGGGGATGGAGAATATTAGGTCCTTTGTTGTGGCGTCTTGTCGAAGCTCGCCATTTACTTCAGTCTGAACTCGCAGGACACTGTCAAGATGGGATGCTGGGACTGCGATTGGACCCATGGGACAGAATGTATCCGGACTCTTGCCGATGTAGAATTGCTTGTGGTCTCTCTGCCTTTCTCTTGCAGTCATGTCATTAATGATCGTGAACCCCCATACATGGCTCATTGCGTCTTCTTCCTTGATCCTGAATCCTGCCTTCCCTATGATCACACCAATCTCACCTTCATAGTCGGCGGTCTGGGTAAACTCAGGATGCGGGTAGATGTCTTCCCCATCAGCAATGATCGAGGTGTATCTCTTGGTGAAGATGACCGGGTGAGATGGTACATCAACCTTGTCTGAGCTGTCGAAGCCCGAGCTGTTAAATTCTTTGGCATGGTCGAAGTAGTTCTTGCCCACACAGAGCACGTCTCGAGACGCGAGAGGAGGCAGTATGTGAGCTTCTGACGACGAAACAGTGTCACCTGTGCTGGTAATGTTGGACTCGCCGGCTTCGATTATTTGGTAAAGACTGGAGATTGGAGTGCCTGATTTGAAACACAGGGGCTGGATTGTCTTCTTAGCAAGGTCATAGTGACCAACGCGATCCTCTTGACTTTGCGGGTCGTGATAGGCCACATAGTTGGTCAGATATTGTTGCTCCATCTTGGCTGCTTTGGTCGAGTACAACCAGCTTTAGCAGAACGACTTTCGTGGTTTCTAGTAGGGAGCTAGCGCAGCTTCTCCAACGCGAAGATCAATCTGCTGGATGATGAGAACCCTGCCCCATTGTAGTTGATGTCGCGATAATGAAGATGGTGGGGAAGCTCGAAGCGACATTACGTCAGCTGCCGCCATCTCTGACGCCAACATCTCTGCTGCTTGTCCATCTCACCAACGTCCTCTTATCTCGAACTTCCGCACCGTGGTCGCGCAAACGCTCGAGCAGAGCGACTTTTCCGGTGCCCTCGGCTGATCGCCGAATGGATGGATGTTCCTGGATTCCAGCGCTACAAACATGAGACAAGGGTGGTACCCAAATACCTATGTAGCAGTAGAGAATACGATGGCTACCTCCTTAAATGAGGTTGTGCACTGCGGTCTGTTAATAAGTGGGTGACAGGAGAGACCTTGCAACAGCACTCTGTTGTTCCCTTCTCGGCCATTAGCCCTGAGGGCATCGTATTGACGAGCTCCGCCCCCGCAGAAAGATGCCAGAAACAGAGATGAAGGCCCGAAGTTGCGCACATAAACGACCGAAGTGTTGTCGCTGCGCTGTTTGTAATCCGCGTCCGGAGATTGTGCATACTTGGGAATTTCCCCGGGCGTTCCTGGATCCGCGGCACAGCCCCGCGAGCCAACATTCCGCCCACGTTTTATCGACCGACCTCTGGAGTCTGGAGGTAGTCAGCCAAGCCGCTCTCTCGATCCCAAGGTGTGCAGGATGACGCCTGGACTTCACAGATACGCTCCCCATCACTATCATTGAAACTATGTATACGCGTACAGTGCCTAATGACGCATACAAAGCCAAGTGCCACGGCGCCGCTGCATGTCTGCGAGGCTCGTCTACCGTCGAATGCCTTCATCACAACTTCACTTCACATACGCGATGACCGATCAGACTTTAGCCTTTACCTATCAGAGTTCCTAAGATCGCCGCTTTTATGATGCGCCGGCCGGGGCGCGGACTTATCCCGCTTGCTGCACCGCAAACGGCAAGTTGTATGGTGGTACCAAGCACATGTCTACGAAGAGTCCACGCGGCATGCGCGATCTAGATACCAGATGCATTGCGACAGACCACGATAGAGGTTGTCGTTGATTGTGGATGAGGAATGGACTGATCTGCTGTTCGGTGATGGTTAGATCCGGCGTAGACCAAGCAATCAAGGATACCGGTACAGCCGATGATCGATGCTCAGCCCCGGCATGGTTGGTGTTGATAATGTAAAGCGCCTCGTTATTTGCGCCGAGTGTAAGTCCGTTTCGGTATTATAAGTTCCCTAATTCCTCAGCAGGCAGCGGATTAAGAACCTTCCTTCAGACTCGTGATTACCTCCTGGGTATTCTAAAATTTCCTATCGGCACGCACTGCCGTTCTAAACAGGTTCACACGACATGCGCTATCAGGCTACGATAACGTTGCTTGCAAGCTTGAGCCTTGGTATGTAACAGTCCGCCTGCTGACTATATCCAAGACTGACAGCCTCAGGTGCTCTTGCGCAGACACAGATTGGGCAGACATGTGTGAGTAGCGATGTCTGCTACAAGCTGAACATCCCTGAAGCAACAGCCCAGAGCGGCAGCGGCGATATCTACCTGTCTCTCAGCGCGCCGACAACATATACTTGGGTCGGCCTTGGAATTGGATCGAGCATGACAAATTCAGACATGTTCATTATGTACACCGATGGCAATGGGAACGTCACGCTTTCGCCTCGCTACTCGTCAGGAGAATCTCAACCACAATACGACGGGGATCTTGACGTCGAGCTACTCAGCGGGTCCGGCGTCGCGAACAGTGTCATGACAGCAAACTTCCGATGCGGTAAGTGCGCGCGGAGTGGGAGCACTTCCTTTTCATCTTCGAGCGGGCAATGGGTCCACGGACGAAAAAGCGGTGCTGCTCTGGACAGTACGGACGTCAAAGCCAGGATCTCACAGCACGACGCTGCGGATAGCTTCACATGGTCCTATTCCAATGCAGTCGGAGGCTCGAGTACAAATCCTTTCATGGCTACTGACACAGTCGTCTCTGGCACTACACCTGTGAGCTCTGGCAGCGACGACACATCTATGCGCAGCAACATCATACTCGTCCACGGCATCTTCGCGTCACTCGCCTTCATCGTCTTCTTCCCCATTGGCGCCATTATCATACGCCTGGGCAAGTTTAACAACAACGTCATGATACACGTTTCTACCCAAATCTTCTCATGGTTGCTCTTCATTGCTGCATCTGGACTCGGCCTATACTACGGCATCACTGGCGACGAAATGAACGAGGCGCACCCCATCATCGGCATCGTTTTGATCGCGATGATGTTTATCCAACCTATTGCTGGCTGGCTCCATCACCGAAAGTTCTTGCGCACTGGTCAGCGTAGCGCGATATCTTATGGACACATATGGACTGGTCGCACTGCGATTATCCTCGGCATGATCAATGGTGGACTTGGTCTGGAGCTAGCTGGTACTGAAACCAGGTATGTAATCGCATACAGCGTAGTTGCCGGAGTTATCGGCCTTGCGTACTTGGTAGCGATCGTGTACGGGGAGATTGCCAGGAGCCGCCGCACAAGTGTCGCTGGTAGCCAGCACGAGAAGATCCACCCATCCCCAGAGCGGTCTCCTGTCAGCGCGTAGGCACTGAACTACGATTGTCACAGCAACCAGGGGTACTTTCATATGTAACTGTAGTCTTCGTTCTAATCTATGGAGTTGAAACGCAGATTATGGATAATCGGCACGTTGGAGCATCTCGTGACTGAGCCTTATCTGCAGGATTGGTGCTGCAGCCGACGGGGGTCGTGACTTACTGATTGGTCCAGAATAGGTATTGGCATGCGCGACTCCGCCACCACGATCGGAGGACTCGGCTCCAATAGCCCTCTCAGATGTCTGACAAAAGAGGCTGAGCTATTTTCATGATGATTGCCTTAGCCCACTTCGCTGTTGCGAACATAACTCTCCAATATACAACGTACTGCAATCCTTGACTTTTGAGGCGCTGCTGCCTCTCATACCGCGATCGGCGTGACATCATGATCTTCGGCGGCCTGGAGGTAATTGCCGGCGGCTATTTCGCCCATAAATACTACAAGAACAAAAACGAGAAGAAAAGACTAGAAGATGAGGCTCAACATCGGAGAAACAACACGTTTCCCAGCAATGGACTGTCTACTTATCCGTTAAAACCGCAATTCCAGCACCAAGAGCAACGCCTACAACATCGGCCACAGCAGACAACTCCACCACAGAAGTATGCGTGTCATGCACCAACACCACCTCGACCACAATGTCAGGGTCGGCCTCGTCCACAGCAGGTGAGACCGAAACCAAGTCACACTCAGTCGTTTACGATACAGCGTCGACCTGTACCGCAGCGCAAGCCTGATATCATCGTCCAGCCCAGTCTGCAACGAGCTGATTCCATGGCCACGTTGTCACGCATGCCTATCGCCAACGGTTACCGACCATCGAATCAGGCTGGCCAGAATTCACCGCCACGATACCAAACGAGCGGTCTCTCGCCCATCCAGCAATCACCTTATGGCAATGCTGCTTTTTCGATTTCTTCACCAGCCTTCGGCGCAACACCTACGTCACCGCCTGTTAGCTATGTCACGGCACCTGAGGGAGGAAGGCATACAACCGAAGACAACTGGGAGACCTACGAGCATCAAGCTCATCGGTACTCGGCGTATGCGCCAACGGAAGCATCAACGCAGTTGGGCGAGCAGGAACCTCCGCCCCCATATGCGCCATGATTAATGATGGAGAGCACAACGTCAGGATAGCTTGGACATAGGCGCTTAAACATCTGAAGATCATTTCTCTTTCAATTCTTTGGGGCAGGTTTTGCTTATACTATATTGCAGTTGTAATAGTCCTTAGGGTAACAGAAGAGCGGATTAAATACTTATTTTTAGAACGGTCCCTGCACGGCCGTACGTAAGTACATTTTGATGAAGTGAAGACAAGCCCGTCTTACGTAACCAAGGCTCAGGGTCTCCGAGAATTACACCTGCGATATAATTTCCTGTCCACATTACCAGAACCACCATACATCATGCCACAGCCAAATCGATTCCAGTTACCTATCGAACTATGGTGTGCAGTTCTCTCTCGCATTGACGACCTCACCCTCTGGACCAGTTGTCGCCGAGTTTCGAGGACATTCAGGGCCGAAGCTGAGCGCGAATTTGCAACAGCCATTGCAGCATCTACGCATGGTTTGGAAAGCATCTGGGAAAAGGCCATCTTTCGCCTTGCCGGCCCACTACACGCTCTTTGCAGAAACCACGGGTCTTCAGTCAATCGATGCTCACTGTGCCACGTTTGGGCTAAACATGAGTCACAATGTGACTCATGACAAATGCGACCCCAGACGCTAGCCTCGACCCTGATATAGAGTACAAAGGCAGATATGGTTTGGCTCACAGGCTTCTCTCGAACAGCGATCGCAATGTTGGCGCTCGGCTGGGTCGCAGAGCAGGCGTCGCTCAAATCTGCAGCCTTGGATCATACATCGTTGACGCTCCACTAAACAAACTCGATCTCGAATTTGACGGCATTTAGATCATGTTCGATTGGAGGCTTTTCTTAGACAACCTCCTCGGCATATATGGCATAGTCGACAACAAGCCCGGTTGGAAGGATACACAGATCTGGAGGTGGAAGTTATCGAACAACATCTCCTGCGCAAGTACGGAGGCAGATCAGTCGTGCGTACATTCCAGTGCAACGAGTGGGCATGGTCGTACGGCGCAGCACCGACCCGCAACTGCTTACAAGATGTGTACGCATAGCGCCTGGTGCGCTTTCACAAGAAGAACAGCCTTTTCTTCGAACCAAACCTTGACCGCACAGACTTTCACCTCGACGAAGAATCTTGGAGACAGCTTGAGGCGTACATCGACGCTATCATTGATGCGAGGAACAAATATCTATAGGGTGACTTCATGGTAAGACGCGGCATTGTCCCCGTCGAACAAGACTTGCCTTGAACGACTCAGGGTGTGTGAGTAGTTCCGGAACATGGTGAATGAGACTCATTGAATGATACAGTCTACCGCTCTGCGCTACCGCTTTTCGTTTCGCAAATGCAAGTGTGTCACATAGTGCTACACTTGTTTCTTTGCTTTTCGCCACAACAAGATTATTCATCTCATGCTTGCGGCACTTTCGCTGTTATCGAGCCCTCGGCGCAATCACTCCATGTGAATGAGATACTCAGACGCAACGAACGTCACAGCAATTGCCGCTTTTGACAAGGCTCGAGTCAGGTTTATGTACAGTATGTTCTCTCACGGAGTTCTCGTTTTTTTACTGATAATCCAGACACTTTCGGTCGACCACGACGCTACGACGACGAACTCGCGATACCGTCATACCTTGATCGCACTACCGTCCGCGGCCTAGCTATCGAGGCGTACGGAGATATGACATAAGTATTCGCGCTCGACCGCCCACACTAAAATCATATTTTGGGAATGCAAGTTACCTCTATCGTTTGCGCTACGGAAGCGTAATTTCAAACTTTTCTTGGTCAACCGCACTGTTGCTTCTCACTTGTCTGGGCAGCTCAATCATTCTGCTTACCTGTCTCACACAGAAGCAGATACCACTGCGCTCTCACACTCAACTTGTCGCATTTTACACAAACTCTTCGTGGTGCACTTCGTCTCATCTCATCCTGCTTAGTTCGAAACCTTTCTTCAATAGTGAAAGACAGACTTTCCTCACCATCAGAGCATTACATCATACACGGCACCTTCAGGCGCTCACTTTGGTTCTCTAGTTGGTTTGGCTCACCGGCATCTTCTGTATATGACCGCAGGGACATCGACTGCTCGGCGGCCCTGGTTGCTCAAAAGACCTGTACAAGCCTCAACTCCCAACCGAAACGAGGGCTCTTGTGAGTCTTGTCTCTCTTTAAGTAAACAGATTTTCTGTGTGAATCGTTCGGAGCTGGATTGAAAACTCAATACAGGTGAATGAAGCAGGTTTGCCCATGAGTTTTCTACGTTAAGATACAGAGGCTATATCCCAGTGATTTCCACGTTTACTCTCTTAAAAGGGACTCAAAATCTAAGGTCACATGCCGCAGGAGCTTCTTCCGAGAACGTACGCCGTATATCCGATATCGGGCACTTGTAACGGGTTTCCAGAAGCCATAGAGGAAAGGCATGCAGTTCTCTTGTTTCAGAAAAGTGAAGGTGCCAGATCATCATCTATAAATGAAACTAAGAGACTTCAGGATCAACCAGTCTCTTGTAACAGCTTTGACTGACACTCTCACTTTCAGCGTCCATGGAGGTTTCAATGATCACCTCGAGTAAACATCAGGTAGGTGTATTGAGTACTCACTGCTCCCGGGTATCAGTGTATGTGGCCCCTTCTAGTTATGTCGATCCTGCTTGCGTATGATTCCCGTCTGTCCAGAAGAACAATCTTTCTCAGATATTTCTGTTGTCGATGCCTTCTTGCGACACGCCTTAAGCGCCGCCACAAGTCCGCAGCGCGATTTGAGTTTAGCCATCTCTTGCCAATTTTTGCAAGCAGTATAGACGCACCTTCACGATGGGGCTACTCAGGCCTTTTGCATGACTCTAGGGCGTGCATAAGACCACCGAGTGGTAACCAACATCTAGAACATTTCTTGGAACAATGAAAGACTGCATTCCAGCCAGTGTGTTCCTGATTAACACTAAGCACTGTGTGTGCCCGCCTCCTATCGAATCAAGGCTGGTCAGTCCTTCTCGGTCAAGTCCTATACAGGTGCTGACGGGTATCCCTTGCCGCACAAGCGTGCGATTGATGATCATGTCGACAGCTTCCGGAAGAGTCAACACGAGTACCTCTTCGGTAGCTCTATCGAGATATGACACGCAGACACTCTTGGATGAACCATTGACAACTTTCAGGGTGAGGTATTTAGCCTGGAAATTCAGCCGGCAATCTACCTCAACTTCAGTAGTATTACCACTCATTTGCACAAAGAATCGATGTTAAAGACCCAAGAGAGCGCCCTTATGCTCACTCGAAATCTGTGCACGCCACAGGCTGGTCTCGTTGAGCAAGAACAGCTGCCCATTTGTACCGAAGCAGAAGTTGGCAACACCACCATCGACCAGAATCTTTACCAACAGAACTCCTCCTGGTGACCAAATATTGACTCCATCACCGCACCCACTATACACATTGCCATGTACATCGCACTTGATACCGTCTGGGATGCCAACGTCGGCCATGGCGAAAAGCCGTCTGTTGACGAGGAACGGCTGCCCTGAGTAAGTCTTTACATCAAATGCATATCTGTTGTTGTCAGCGCAAATATTCTACATTATTCAATTATTAAATCAACTCACATGTGTGATGCTCTTGTCGCATCCGTGGTTCCATCACCGTGAATCCAATCTGTGTCCGTGATGTAGCACGTCTCTTCATCAGGACTAAAGCAGATCCCATTCGGTCTTCCGAACCCATCTGCGACGGCCCTTATACTTTTACTCTTCGGGTCGAAGCGGTAGACCTGATTCGGTAGCTGAGGTGGTGGACGTATGCCCTGCTCTGACCCATAGATAGGATCTGTGAACCAGATACTTCCGTCACTGTGAATGACGACATCATTTGGGGAATTGAACGGCCGGTCGTAATAAGACGTAATAAGCAGCTCAGATGAGTACGATGTGGATGAGGTGTGGTCCAGGGGGAGCGGCATATATGCTAGGCCACCAGGCGTTGTGAGCGTTCCTTGCGCGCAGAAGAGGATGCCATCTTTGTAGTTGACGCCGCCATTGGCCAATGGAACATTGTCTGTGCTGATTTCGGTACACGTGATCTCTGTGCTGTCGATGGACGACGGGAGGGTGATGCGACTGATGTGGATGTGCGTTTGGTTGGTCTCTGGGTGCGGGTATTGGTTGCTTGTTATGAAAAGACTGTTCGATTCTGGAATGAAGACACCGGCTTCATGAGCCCATGGGCGATCATTGTCCTCGTGAAGCAGCTCAAGTTTTGGATTGTCGCCTAGAATCGTGTGTGCGACCTCATCATAGACTTTGAATGCTGAGTGGTAGTCGGGCATATTGGCGGGGTGATGTAGCAAGCTGGATGTTGGCCTCGATCGATGTCCGATGTACAATTTGTAATGCGTCTTGACGTTCCCGAAGGTGTGTCCTGCTCATAAGCCGACCGAACGCGGCTTCAGCTTCGGTGTATGAGTATCCTTGGAGCGGACCGACCCCAGTCGCCGAAGGAAAATACCGAATCAGTGATGGTGCGATTCGTATGTATATGCACTACACAAGTGCGAGAAGGGCCGTCGCAGTTCGGAGGCTACTCCGCATCAGTCCAGTCCGGCCATGTTACGAAAGAACGGCCGACGGCATAGCTGAGTATTCAATGCCTGCGTTATTACCTATCTTTCTTGCGCGTAGTGCAATAAGCTGCCCTCTTGGTACGCAGTAAAACTGATCATACGCATATACAGAGTCTAACATTATAGATGTTGCGTTGAGCTGTTCTTTGATTGTGCTGCTGTAGGGCTTAGCCCATCTTCTCGGTTGTATCGTCGGCCTTTCTCATGTGTAAAATACGCATGGCGCCTTACTAGGTAGCCACGATCTGCCTCTGTCTTCGGTGACACTTGTCTGGATGTCACTCAAATTAGCCGCAAATCCATAATGTGCACGTGCAACTGAGATTATACGGTAGGTTTCTCGAAAAGTCGGCAATCAAGCGTGCCGCAAGTGGCGTCAAGCGCATCGCTTCACATAACGGCGAAGCCCGCGGTCTATGCATGGACGTTGACCCAGCCATGGGCGCCCAGCTTTCGACTCCGGGGTAGGGGAGGCTCCATCTCCACCTGGTCACAAATCTGGGGTACGACAGCTCCTTGTATATAAGATCCTGGACGCCACCCCACTGTCACAACCTCCAGACAAACGAGACATCCTCAGCCTGACTCGATCCTTCACCTCCATCCTCGGCCAGCCACCACAATGCCTGAACTACAGGGCAGGTCCCTTTTGCTGACGGTCAGCTTGTTGACTTCGCTGGGTTTCATGCTTATCGGATATGACAACGGTCTTATGGGTGGACTTGTCAATGCTCCTGCATTCCAGGACACCTTCGACAACCCGTCAGCGAACATGATCGGCACAATCGTTGCGATCTTCGAAAGTGCGTGGTCAAGACTAGTTGACGATATCAGGTGCTAACCCCTCTCTAGTCGGCTGCTTCATCGGGGCCATGGCCACTGCATTTGTAGGTGAGAAGCTGGGTCGTCGCAAGAGCGTCGGTATCGGTGCTATCATCAGCATTATTGGTGCCATCCTCCAAGCAACTGCTTTCACTCGCGCACACCTCATTGTTGGTCGTGTCGTATCTGGAGTTGGCCTTGGTTTCATCAACTCGACAGTGCCGGTCATGCAGGCTGAATTCAGTCCAAAGGCGAGCCGTGGTATTTACGTCTGCGCGCAGCTTTCGACTCTCAACTTCGGTATCCTCATCGTTTACTGGATTGACTACGCCTTCGTCAGCCACACAGCCAGCTACGCGTGGAGAATTCCGACAATCCTGCAGTGCATCGTCCTCTTCGCCATTTTAGGTCTACTGTTTGTGATCCCAGAGACTCCACGTTGGCTTGCTGCACATGATCGTCCGGAGGAGTGTCTTGCGGTGCTGGCACGCATCAAGGGGACCGACGACTTGAGCGACCCTGAAGTAAGACGCCTGCACGCCGTCATCACTGAGACGGTCGCGTTTGAGAACTCCCGCCAGGCAGGATGGAAGGACATTGTTCGAAGCGACCCCATCAAGTCCAGGAGACGTTTCCTCATTGCTTGTGGTATCCAGATCTTCCAGCAGCTCGGAGGCATCAACGCTATTATCTGTAAGTACACATCGTCCATGTCGCGCCCACATGTACTGACTTCCGTAAGACTACTCTGGCACTCTGTTTCAGAAGAGCATCGGTTTCGACACCCATATGGCTGCGCTTATGAGTGGCTTCCTCCAGACCTGGTTCTTCGTCGCCTCGTTCATCCCCTGGTTCTTGATCGACCGCGTTGGTCGCCGACCTTTATTGCTATCCATGATCAGTGTCATGGCCGCTGTCATGGCAGTTCAGGCTGCACTCATCTACCAGGTTCAATTCGACACATCGGTGGCAAAGAGCGCCGGTATCGCCGCGGCTGCCATGCTCTTCATTTTCCAAGGCGCCTTCACCATCGGATTCCAGGCCACAGTCTGGGTATACCCCTCTGAGATCCTGCCTATGCGTCTGCGACAGCGCGGTTCGGCTATCTCTACCGCCGCCAACTGGATCTGTAACTACGTGAGTACTCTTCAGCAGCCATTCCTTGAGACTGTCGCTAACACCTGAATAGATCATCGTCCAGATCACACCACCTGCTATTAACAACATTGGCTGGCGCACATACATCATCTTTGCTGTCCTCAATGCAACTTGGGTTCCCATCATCTACCTCTTCTTCCCTGAGACCAAGGGCCTCGAGCTCGAAGACGTTGACAAGCTCTTCTCAGGTGAAGAGACTCTTGCCGATCTCAGGCGCGAGAAAGGCATGGAAGAGGAGGAGCGGTTCGAGAATATCGCAAAGTCGTGATTGATCAATCGGCATCAATGCGATGCAATGACGGGTCTCCTCGGTGGCTGATGCATCGCGTCACCCGCGCTGTCTTCCAATTGTGAGCTTTTCTGGCGTTAGCTAGTTGGAAGTACAATGAACCGCCCTCTGTTGATCTTCCTAGAATTCTTTTCCGTGAGCAATGAATATTTGACACATCCCTGAACCACATGTACCATCATCTTTGACACTGCCAATGAGGGGGCACACACGACGAATTCATGACTGGCAGTAAGCACGAAAGACCGGGGACGACATCGCCGACGATAATTACATGGCCAGTAGCAACTGCCGAAGAGAAGTTCACGGCGTCCGAGGCTTCACAATAAGGTTCTCCGCAATATTTAATGCTTGCTCTCATCATCGACGAGGCGCGCGGAGGATCCACTCCGAAACCTTAATCCCTTTCTAGCAACGTTAGCACTTGGATCATAGCCTTTTGAGGCTCTTACTGTAGTTTGTGTCTTCACTGCCGAAAAGTGGATGATGCGAAGGAGCCAGCGTGTATAACTGGAAGTAGTACGGAAATATACGGTTACGGTGTACAGCAGAAGGCAACAGTAAGTAACAGTAATTAAAACAAGCTATGGCTGTAGCTACAGGTAGCTGTAGTACAGTGGTAGTGTGGCAAAATTCAGTATGAATTATGAAAGTATAGCTTCTACAATGTTTTAACATGCACCAAAAATACTGTAGTACTTATGCAAATTATGCAACCTACTACAAAACTGCTTATAGATTATACAGCGATGTAGTTTTAGGATGCTACAGTTGCTTATGATTGCCGTAGGTTATGGTAATTGACCTTCACCGCAACTATGTCCCTCCTGTTGGACACGCTGGAAGGTGCTTCATATGTCGACAGGCGGAGGTATCAGCGGGCAATCGCTGATATACACGCCTTGAACTGGAAGCAAGAAGAAATTGTGCTCTGCGAAGCACTCGGTCTCGCCAAAGCTGACTGGTGTGAAGTTGCGGTCGAACAAGGAAAACGTTGTGTGATGCGAAGGTCCAGGTTTCGATCAGGGCACGGTACCAACTGGGGTTAGTAAGACTAGGCTGTTTAATATCCTCGCGTCTCCCGAATCTCCGATAGGGCTGCATACAAAGACGGTCATCGGAATCTATCTTGGAACAAGAGGCGGCTCAAAGTAGAACTGTTGTGTAGTCACCCTGGTACCAAGTCTCTCAGCAGCCATCAAGTCGGTTATAAATAACCTCGTGGAAGGATTACCAGTGAAAATGACACTTGAAATGACATCCTTGACCTCCTCTCAAATTCAAGTCAGTGTACCTGGTCAGGGCCTCGGAAAAGCTAAAAAGAATCTGCAGCAAGGCTACCTTCTGCTCGTCTTCGTATCCAGTGCAACTCGCGAAGCTATCGCCAAGACTGCTGTGTAGAGATTCCCCAACGCGCTCTAAGAGCCGACATCTCAGAGGCTTAGTGCTACTCAGGTGTACGCATACTGTACTTCCCGACGTACCCGTTCAGGGTGTCATCGGCATGTCAAAGCACTTGGACATGCCAAGGCCCTAACAATGACAAAACTCAATGTCAAGTACGAAAACTCGAGGAAAGACGACGCTGGCTTGCTTGAATTGAAGATGTTGACTTCCGCAAATAAAAGCTTTCCGGTCATCTGCTTGCTCGCAAGAAAATGCTGGAAAACCAGGACTAGGTATATGGCGGGAGGATGGCGGATTACTGGACCAGGGCATGGTCTAGCTTGCGTCAGTTATGCCATTTAGCTTAGGCTAGAGTTCGGCGCTCACTATATTCCTTCAGAAGCTTCGCATCCGAATGACCAGATCGCGTTGCCTTGTGTCGTCGTCTATTGTCTCACCGCAATCTGATGCGGTGAGCAAGAAGGCACTGCGCCTGTGGTTTTTCTTATATCCTGTGTTATCTTTAGCATCCTCTGCCTTAATCTTCTTCAGCTACTCTTCTAGTGTCATCAGCTCGCTCTGCATATACAGGATGTTTCGTGCATTTAGTGCACCGAAGCGCCGGAACATGGCTATTTCGGGCTGCATGGCCAATGTTCCTACTGAAGTTCTCTGCGGTGGCGCGTTTTATGTATGCCCGCGACCCGGGGATCACCTTCATGAGGGCTTTTACCAATACTCTCATTGTCAGGACAACTGCAAAAGCAAAGGGCGGCAAGATTGTTGGGAAGGCGATGCTAGTGACAACGGCACCGGCATCTCGGATCTGGTCTATCATTCAGCACCGAACGAGCTTAGCAAACAACATCGTCACTACACCATCAAAGTATCTTAAAAGTTCTCTGTATTGCTACTCTGAGGCACACAATTGACATCGAAGGATTTGAGAAGGACACGACAGACATCGTACTGATATGAGCCTCCACGGGGCCCTCACCTCTTTCCAATCACGCACGACACGTTCTCTGAGAATTTCGAACAGCATACTGTAGGACTTGAGCCTTAGTGGGTATTACAACATAGACACTCCGAATCTACCCCGTATCCACCCCTCTAGAAAATCTCCTGGTCATCATACGCCCGCACCTTCTCCAAATGCGACTTGACCTGCGAATAGTCGCGGCACACATGCTTGCTATCCCAGCCATCACTCCCGCCATTGTGGTCCGGGAAGGTAGTTTCCAATCCTTCGAGCGCCAAGTCCGCGCTGCACATGATCGCCTGCCTCATGTAATCAAAGCAGTGGATCATATGCCAGTGGTGATCTTCAGGCAGCTCGATGTTGGACTTAAGGCCGGAGTACACTTCGACTACGGCGTACAGACAGTGCAATTGGTGCGTCATGCTGGTCGTGAAGACAGTCTTATTGTGGTCCCAGACGATGGGGTGAGGCAGGTCGTGGTACGCTTCCGGATGCTTGATGTGCTGGAAGCCCATGCCGACGGGAATCAGCTCGTTCCAAGCGGCGAGCGTTTCGGGCTTGAAGAAGTCGGATGTGTTGTAGGGCGCGAATGTTTGGTTGATCGCGAAGGTCGTGACTTTGGTCGGAACTAACCGGATATCAGCGTGTGAAGAAGAGTGTTGGGGTGCGGGAGAATATACTGTGAGGACCCCAGCCGGTCATGTCGCCACCGACTTCCTTCTCGCTTGTTGTGGCTGCCCGTGTCCATTTTGAGTCCATCAAGAGGCCTTGTTCGCGGGCTAGCAGCCCGACGATGACGACTTGGAGTGCTATCACGATGAACCATCGTAGTGCTGAGAGACAAGGCGGGCATAGTATGTCTCGCCGTATTCTAGACGGCATTGCGTAGTCGTTTGCTGCCCATGCTTTCTCGCCACCGACGAGAGATTCAACTTCGGTTGATGAGTCGTCATCGTGGTGGTCCTGCGGCTGGACGTCTGTGTATTGGTGTTTGCGAGGCATGATGTGTGATTAAGAGACGACGCCAGGTCGAAGGGATCGTATGTTCAGAAGAGAAAGTGAGCGCAGCCGGAGAGTCAAAGGCAGCAGGGTGCCGACGAGGGTAAGTATCCAGATCATGCAGGTTGGCCCACCTGGTTGCGTTGCGACCAGACATGTTTGACATCGACTGCCGCTCAGGTGTCTACAGAGCGGCCTTGGAGAGACGAACAGTCTTTTCGGTATAGGATAAATGTTCTGAGACAATCTTGGAAGCACCACAGATGTCGTCTAGCCGACAAGCGTTAGCTCGTTGCGATGAAACACCTTGTGAACCGCCAAGCGTGAGAGGCTACATCTGCCTCCCGCACAAACGAGCATGGTGCGAAACCCAAGCTGAACTCGTTGGACACCTGCGAGTGTGTCTCGTTGTTCTGTGTGGTCTTGGGTTCCTGTACAGGCAGCACACGGTATCAGGCACTGCGTGCGCTCCGGTGTTGTGGGCAAAGGTCGCAAATGTGTAGAATGATGTACAGCGTCGATCGTGTGAGGCAGGTCGCCTGGGATGCGCGTTCGAGCAGGCGTGGAATTGGAGTCGAGAAGCAGCGCGGTGGAAGAGAGATGAAAACGCTCGACAACGAGAGCGCAGTAGTCATCGATCGATCGTCGAAAGTCACCTGTTATGAACAAGATAATGGGATGCAAAGGTAGTGTGAGAAGACGAGCTGATGTGGTGTTGTAAATTTGGAGGGACTGGATTTTGACAATAGGCTCCAGGTGTTTGTGGTGCAGGCAACCCCATCGCTACCTGCAATATATTCCCAAGCGTGCAGAAACCCAAAGAAGTAGAGTCCCTGACGTCTGTCATGTCAACCTCCAGTGAACTTCCATGTCCGCCGCGAATAGGTACATGAGCCTAGGCTCTTGACAATAGCATAGTACGTAGTCGTGAACGGATGTTGAACATGTAGGATGATGTGAGGTGCAGCGTTCCATTCACTAGATCGACGACGGCCTTTCTGGTAGTATAGAATGCACCGTCTCGAAATTGTGACTTAAATACTGCATTTGCATTTGTATGCAGACTTAAAGATGGATATGTGGTAGAGTGGTTGAAGAGGCAGAGGAGCTTTTAGGAGTGCACAGCGTCGATTAACAGCGCTAGTGATGCGCAGGCGGCCTACGCCAAGGTATCAGGATTGGGCGTTAGAGACCACTGAATATTGAATGCACAGGCCTCTAGTTCTTGCCGTTGGTGGATTCTGCAGGTCGGCGCAGCAATCGTGGAGCAGGCTTCAGCGCTTGACGCAGAGGTCACTTCTGATAACCCACTTCTCGCCCTGCAGTACCTCGCGCCCTTCGTGAAGCATACAGTCTGCTCCGTGCTTGTGCAAAAGTGCCAGGCCAGTCTCGAGCCCCACCACAAAGGGCTCCGGCTGTGGCTCTCTACTCTTCTTCTTGGGCGGATCCGGATAGAACACAGTCTCACCCCCGACGCACCCCGTTGCAGGGCTCGTGAGATACAAAAGCAGTGTCCACGTCGTGCGTCCAGGAATTGGCGGTGAGCCTGGGACAAATACGTTGTTGGAGTCATCGTAATGTTGGTCGAAGAACTGACCCTTCGAGTATCGATATATGCGAATATTAGGATTGAGACCGATGACCTCGCCGCCCCATAGCTCTTTCCGTTGATGATCGGAGAGGTTGAGCCCCTCGCCGGCCACAACGCCGGTGACCAGGTTTTTCAGAGATGTTCCACTCCACAGCCTCTCAGCGAAAGCGGGATCATCAATTTGATAACGGTCATTGACTCGCACTGCGTCACCTTTCTTTGGCTTGCCAGGCGTTGTAGTCAATGGCAGACCAGAAAGAAATGACACGTAGTTCTTGCACAACGTCGCGGTGAAGAAGTTTGGTATTGTGACAATCTGTCCAGGAAGCGCCTCCTGCAGCGAGAGGTCTGATTCTGGGATCAAGGGCGTGAATGCAGGCCAGTTCGGTATCTGCTGGGCTGCCCTCGGAGGCGCTGAAGCCTTGAGCTTTCCTTCCTTCTTGGGAGCCATGATGGAGAGGGTGGGCCGTTGGATTTCTGCGTCGCAGTGCGCTCGACCCTGTCCCGAAGTTGATAATGTTGGGAGTGCTTTAGGTGCGCCTTCGAATCCCAAAGTTTATGTGTCGCGGCTTCAGGGTCAGGGAGTATAAAAAGCAGCTCAGTCTCTGATCCTTTACACTAGGACTTCTGCACCGTAGGCTCGTACTAAGACGCCAGTATTGCTAACGTTTGCATGCCTCGACAACAGGGTTACTCGCACTGCCAAGATGGAGATAGCCAGGCGAAGCTGGGTCAGTCAATGCGTCGATGAGCCGTCACCAGAACACTATCTGGAAGAATGGCTTCGGTTGGAGCCCGGCTATTCTGGTCTGCCTAATAACGACGATGAAAACGAAAATGGCGAGAGCAGCATTCAAGATGGAGAAGGCGCTATGGGCAATTCCTTGCCCGAGGGTGGCGCCAATCAGCAACAGCCAGCCCTAGCGCGTCAGGCCTCTCACGGGCAGGAGCGACCGCCTTCGCAGCGGCCGCAGCGGCGAGACCTCACTTCAACGTGCAACACCTCGCAGCACACTGGGGACGAAGTCACTCCCTTCTGGACCACCGGCAACCACGCGCAGACCTGCGTAGCCCTTGGTGAGTGTGCGCGACACGCCGGGCGCCTCCTGCAGCGACGAAGAAGTGCCGGGTGCGCCGCCGGAGGAGCCAGTGCTAACGTTCCGCGCAGAGTCCACCGACACCGACCGCGCCTTGAGACCCCAACAACAGTTCCTGCCCGTTGAAGATGGAGACGCCGTCATGCTCGTAGCAACCGGCGCGTCTCAGCCCTCGCCCTTCGACCATGCCCGTCCCCACCATGCGCCCAGCGACGGTCTCTTCTCGCCCGTGCAAACAGCTGCTGCCGATATGGAAGGCGCCGCCTCCACCCAGCCAGCGACCCCCGGTGCGCCTGCCGCAACAACACCACCTGCTCTCCTCGACCTCACCCCAGCCGAGGGCGCGCTGCCGGCTGCAGACCTGAACTCCGACGCCTCCGCCGGAAATGGCCTGCCCACCCTAGATGCGCCCATCTCGCTCGCCCAGCCCTTCGACTTGGGTCTCGCCATGGACATGTCCGGAACCACGTCCGTGCCCATGGACGTCGACATGAACGGTCTCGGAATGGTGCCTGGGTTCATGCCGATGAACTATCAGGAACCAGACCTCGTCAGCGACGAGCGTGTCAACGCATTTGCCCGTCTGCGCTTCGACGATGGCTCCTACTACATGCACACCTACCAGATCTTCCTTGGCCGTAACCTCGCCCTTGCGCGCAAGGATATGAAGCGTCTCGCCAAAGTCGACAATCTGGAGAGAGCCGGCGATCTTGCTGGCGCCCATGCGCTGCTGCACAAGAAGAAACACAAGCGCAACGGCCGAGGCGCGCCCAGCGTCGTCAGCGAGAAGGGTGGCATCGTCAGCGCACGCATAGAGTCCATGCCCCTGGAGTACCAGCAGCGTCGCCAGCCTTCCCCATCTGCCAGCTCTGGCTCGCACCAGAATGGCGAAGGTGTCGAGGAAAAGCCTGCTCGACGTGCTCCTCAGGATGTGATCATGCAAGCATTCCCTGAGCGACCCGAACAATTCGACGGTCACATTCCTGAAGACCCCGACGATTGCCCACTAGTTCCCATCCATCCCGAGCATGTCACCGCAAGGACCGGAAATGCCGGGCCAAAGGGTATCTCACGGCGCCATGCTAAGATCTTCTACAACTTTGATGAGGGAGCTTTCTGCATCGAGGTACTTGGTAACAACGGACTGCACCACGAGAACCAATTCTGTCCACAGGGCGCAGTCGTTCCTCTTGAGCACGGCGACCGTCTTTCCATCGGCGCTGTCAACATTCAGTTCTTCCTTCCTGATGTCGCACTCACTGAACAGCAGCGGCAGCGACAGGAGTCTGGTTCTCGACCTATGAGCTTCTCGTTTGAGAACGGAAACGGCGAGATGGAGAGTGACGAAGAGATGAGCTCCGACAGTGAAGGCCAGATGAGCATTAATCCTCGCCAAGTCTACTATCACCCCGTCGACAGTGACCTTGATTCTGAAGACGACGCGAACGACGATATGGATGAGTATGAAGAGCCGGCACCGAAGCAGAAGATCAAGCTCAAGCTCAAGGCGCCGCGTCCGCGAGAACCGTCTCCACCACCAAAATTGTCGAAGAAGCAAAGAATATTGGAGAAGAAGAAGAAAAAGAGGAAGCGTGAGGAGAGGGAGAGGCGGCGTGAGCGAGAAGAGAACGACCACTCTTCGGTCGAGTCGCCTGTCAAGAAAGCTAAGAAAATGAAGCCTCCTCAAGAAGAGCCTGTCAGAGCTTCACCTACAAAAGAGGCTAAGGCGCTCAAAGAGGTAAAACAAGCCAAGGCAAAGGAAATCAGGGAGAAGGAGGCTGAGGCACACAAAGAGGCCAAGGAGTCCAAAGAACCGAAGGAGCCGAAAGAGAAGGGCAAGGCTGCAGCAAAGGCACCTTCCAAGACCCCTGTGCTTGATGAGGCAGCTCCCGATGCTATCAAGAAAGAGACCCCTGTCAGAGAACAGCCTGCGCCAGTCAAATCGGTGCCCAACGACAGTCCACCGCTTCTACGCAAGCCACTCGAAGCGGAAATTGAAGCAGGTGGAGAGATCGAAGGCCTCATTACGGAAGAAATGGCTCGCCAACACAACCTGCCTGCAAGCCTCGTCGGTCATGTTGTGGAGAAGCGGAAGGGCCCCGGTCGACCGCCGAAGGACGGCATTATGTCGAAGCGACAACGCTCACAGCTGATCAAGCAGGCTAAGGAAATCGAAAGAGCCAAAGCTGCTGGTATCGATCCCGCCGATATACCTGCGCCGTCTATCAAGCCAAAGATCACGAAACGCAAGGAATCGAACGCGGGAGAATTGGATGGTGACGATATTCTGGAATCGACTGAGCATGGAGACGGTACCATGATGGACAAATCAAAGCAGAAGCAACCGATCAAACCGCCACGTACTCCGTCTCCGGAGATGCGCGTGGAGGACTACACCGATGAGCAGTTGCAGCGACCGTCAGCCAATTACGTGGTACTCATTCACGAAGCTATCTCCTCTTCGCCTACAGGCCAAATGAACCTCCAACAGATATACACTTATATCGAGAAAAAATATCCCTGGTACAAGTTCAAGACCACAACAAGTGGTTGGCAGTCCAGTGTCAGGCACAATCTTGGGCAGCACGATGCTTTCGTCAAGGGCGACAAGGAAGGCAAAGGCTTCAATTGGCGCATCAATCCAGATGTGTCTATCGAAAAGGAGCGCAGGAAGAGGCAAGTGAGTCCGCCGGTCAATCACGCTCAGCGACCGCAGTACTATCCTCCGCCGAATGGCTACCCCCCATATCCTCCACAGCCTGGCTACCCATACCACCCAGGAATGCCACCGCCTGGCATGCCGCCTGGCATACCACCTGTACCTCCTCGACTTCCAGCGGGAATGTCTGCCCCTCGTCTGCCGCCCAGTATGGCGCGAGATGCGAATGTTGCGACCCCTGCTGCATCTCAGGGCGCCCCTCCACCATCCCCCTATGCTTCGCCGTGGGCTGGTGGTAACACAGCAGGTAGTCCCTCTGCGCCACAGCCGCCTCGACCGTACCCACAGCCGCCTCATGGACCTCTTCCGGCCAGTTCGGCAGCTACAGGCTCAAGTGGTCAGTATGGCGTGCTTTATCCCACAAGTGCGCCGCCAGCACACAGTGGGCATTCAACTCCTAGTCCGTACGGTGGTCCGTATGCTGGTGCAGGTGCGAGCCCATATGCTGCTGCGCCAAACCGCCCTTATGCTCCGTATCCTTCTCAAGGCTTTCCGCAGACTGGTCATCCAGCTCCCCCTTCTCAGGGCCCTTCACCTCAAAACGGTCCACCTGCAGGTCCTCCATCGCAGAGCCCAGCGCCACCTCCGCAGCCATCTTCACAAAATCCGCCAAGCCAAGCGCCCCTGGCTAGCCCAGCCCCCCCAACCATAAATCTTACGCCTGAGATTATAGCGCGCTACCCCGCTAATACCAACCACGGGGTTATTAGCAACTTAGAGATGTTCAGGAGCCAATACACGAAGCTGAGGACAGAGCCTGGCGAAGCCATAAAACTTGACAATGCGATCAAAGCTTTTGTCGATACCAGCGCGTCTCAGTCCAGCCTCAATGAGTCCGAACAGATACTGTGGACTGCATTCCTGAAGGTCCCCAATCTGGCAGCCTACAGGATGAACGCCACATTGGGATCTCCTGTTTCCAGCAGTACAGCCGCTGGTAATGCAGCTGCCATCGCGGCGGCTGGGGCTGCCAGCACACCTCCGAATGCACCTTCAAGCATTCAGTGCCCGCAGGTGTCTCAGCAAGCAAACCAGCATGCACTGCAGTCGACGTTTCAGCAAGTACCCCTACAAGGAGTTCCATACGCCCAGCCGCATGCACCGCAACAGGCCCCGCAGCAAACATACCTCCCACCTGCATCGTCTCCTGTCACACCTGCACTCGTGGAGGCCGCGCCAATTACACCTGGACCTCCATCCAGCGAGCCACACAAGTTTGCACCCAACATGACGGCCCCTTCTGCTGCAGCGCCTTCGGCCCCCGTTACATCTCTGCCGCCTTCACATCGACCAAGTGTTGAGCCCCTCACGCCTGTGCCCGGCTCACCAGCAGTACAAACCGGGACGCCGCTAATCAAACGTCCGATCACCGAGATCACTGCTGCTGACTTGACTGCGAAAGAGGGCGATCGGGCATTCGAGGACGACAAGCCAGCCCAACAGACAGAGTAGTACTCATTTCCCGCAATACCCTGTCAACTATACTGGCATCAGGATGGCAGCTTCAGACTATGGTGACTTGTCTCCAATTCTTCTGCACATATCCTTACGCACTTTGATTTTCTGCTTTCAGCTTTACGACACGGACACGGTTACGACCCTAGGCGTTATGGCGGCCCACTGTATCTCGATTCGCGACATTGATACCCTGCGGTGGCCCGGTATGGGCTTGGGCTTCAAAAGTGTTTTTCGCAATACCCGATCTTTTTGCGATGCATCTTGACTCCGACATGGCAGGCGTTGGAGCATGATGTATACCTGCCCCTGAAGCGTCGTTGTGTGTCAGTGGACTTCCGCAGCGCTCACCTGATTTCAATGAGCCTCCAGATACTCAAGCATACATCAATCGAAGTGCAACCAGCACAAATAATTATCACGCGCTTTTCAGTGGGTTCTCAAAGCCGTCGCCTGACAAGATGCAGTGAACATATGCTTGTGATTCACGTTACACAGTGCTTACGCTCTCCTAGGCACTATTCGCTGAGCTCCCTCCGCAATAGACGCGGAAGTTGTCTGCCTGGAAGCAACTGTAATACAACGTTGCCTCAAATATAAACTTTGAAGTATTTGAATTTGCAAGGTATATCGTTTCGCACTTCTCTCAGACCGGTATCAAAGAGACAATGCAGGCACACAGCCTCGCGAAAATCCAAGCGGTAGGAGAATGCACAAGATGCCGTAGAATCGCCATACGCCGTTCGTGACTCCCTTCCTCCAACCTTCTATGCCTCAAGTCTCACGCGGGTCGGGCAGCCAGACTCCCTCCTTTCTTGCAGGCGTGCCGTGTGATGTCGTGCTCGCACTGGGCGGCTCACATGGCCATCTCAGCCTGCAGCTTCCTGAGCTCCTCTTCCTCGTCGTCCTCCTCGACTCTCTGCGCCTTGCTGCGGACCTCTGTCGACGGCGCCGCGGGCAGTCTTCCTTGCGCGATCTTGTCATTCACGGGCACGTTGCCAGTCTTCAACATGTCCTCGTCCAGCTTCTCTTGTTGTAGCTCGGCCAACTCCTCGTCCAGCTCGTCCTCGTCGATGCCGCCGGTTGTTACGCCGCTGGTTATCGCTTCGCTGATTTCCTCGCCGATGGCATGCTGCTCGCGGAGGTCTTCCCTGTTTAATTGTCAGCGTGTACTTCGAGACCGAGCGCCAGAACATGGGGTAGATAAGCTCGTATGGGATGACTGGGGGTCCGTACATGACGTTGTCGACCTTGTCGATTGTGAGGCCGGCGTGTATCTGCTTCATGGCTGTGCCGGCGTTCTTCATGGCATCTAGTGTCTCCTTGTTGATGTTCGCTGTCTCGATGGAATATATCTCGCGTTCGAGGGTCATGATTTGTGCGGATGTTTGCTCGAGAGAGTGCTCAAACTGCTTCTTTCGTCGTAGCGCTGCCTTTGCCGCTGCTCAGGCGTCAGTATGACATGGATGCCTACGCAGCAAAGACGTAGTGGTGTTTGATGTACCGTACCAGCTTTGTTCGAAGATACGTGTTTCCGTGCGAGTGTGTCTTGCTCTTCCATCTGGTTCTGTAGGTGCTTCTCGCGCTTGTTCAACATCTCGAGTTGTCCGCGCAGTTGCAGGATGGCCTTCTTCGGCGCCTCCTTCTTGGCTTGGCCGCCGCCAAACCAACCGAGGCCCCAGCCAGACATTATGATAGTAGGGTCTGTAGATTTGGAGTCAGTATGGAGGGATAGTATAAGCGCAGTATGAGCGAAGTATGGGGCGCGGTAAACGCCGAAGTGGTTATCAGGCGCGAGGATGGCGGGGCAGGCGATAGCGGAGAGGCGCTCACCTTAAGGTAGATAGAGAGAAAGTGCAAGCTTTGAAGGAGGGAGGTTTTGGAAGGGGTTGGCGGTGTGCGCGGTGGACCTGTGGTGTGTTTTGTTTCTGCCTTGTGAATGTAAGTCAGTATCGGGCATGCGCATGAATCAAGAGTTGCTATGAGATCACCCGCGCTAAGGATGGCACGTGCTTGCTTGGCCTCGGTTCCAGTGACCAGGGATTCGTTCAGCCCATGAACACCATATCAGACGACATGTCTGGGCCTGTTGCATCGAATCTTGTCCTGCTCAGCGACCTCAAAACAACTGCACAAGGGACAAAGGTCCGCTTCCTGGGCTGGTACGGATGCGTGTGGGAACTTCAAGAGCTGGAGCTGATTTTGGCAGCGTCGACGAATATGTGGTTCAAACAGCGACCCTTAAACTCAAGCACAACTATCCCGTAGCCAGGACCGCAGAAATTGCCAATGTCGACATTGTCCATGTTCTGGAGCGCATCAGGAGCCATGAACTGGAGGTGGGATCCTGGATCAACGTGATTGGCTATGTTGAGCGCCGCAAAGAGAACGGAGTGCTCGTGCAGGCCATCACAGTTTGGAGTGCTGGGAACGTCGATCTGAGTGCATACCAACAAGCTGTCGAAGCCCGGAAGGCAGCCGGATGAGCTTACAAGGGTCTTCTCGCCTTCCCATTTAATTCTCATGGATCAAACTCTCTTTCTTCCAGGACCACCTAATTATCCACGTCCCGGAGGCTCCCAAGGAATCTAATATCGTCGTCCACAACCTAGATTGTTGCCCTAGAGTGCTACAGCGTATCCACCGCAGATGTATGCAGGCTTAAAGGAGGGTCTAGAGATCCTAGCCTACTTGTTTGACTCTGATGCAAAACAGTGTTGCAAATCAACATTATCTCCGCCGCGACGCCTGCGCAATGCTGCTTAGTGTTTACAGTCTACGCATCGCCATTCTATCTTTGATCTTATTTCTACGCTCGGTCAGTTCTGTTCTCCGCTAGGATCCGTGTATATCCGACACAGCTCCAGCCTGCATTTATCCAGCAACCAGAAGAGCGACATGGGCAGCACATCTGGTCCGCTCGGAACTCAAGCTGAGTAAGATACGAACTTATTTATTTACCTCTCTACCTACCGTAGAGGACCTTACCTGTGTTTTATGTGCATCAAAGAGGTCAAAGCAGGGGCAGGAGTTTCTTACATCGTGTTGCAGCAAATGACTCTACGTCCGCATGCTGGGTTAACGTTCTGGTTGCCGTCACGAGCAGTCACGAAACTGTCGTCGTCGTGCAAGCTGCCACTGTCAGGATCTTCTCCTTCATCAGGCTCTTCGCCACCGCCATCGTGACGCCTTAGTGCATCCTGGAATACTTTAATAAACTACACACGAGCTGTCGTCAACATTTAGTTAAACTTACTTACTCCTTGCGCATGCGCTGCTGGCGTTGTAGGTCCATGGTATGCTGTTGTGCTATACAGTGCTTTAGATGCTGTGCAAGTTAAGTCTAGTGAAAACATACGAAGTCTAGTCTTCTGAGGGAATGTCTTGGAAGGAGGGTACAATGAGATACTTACAATTCACATATAATTAGGCAAATAGCTGCGCGCAGTTCTTCACAGTGCACTTTACCATGCCAAACGGACTCTCATTCACCTCACCTTGATCTATATCCAATAAAAGCTGCATCAGATAAGACATGGGAGCTGTTTAGCGTATAGTGGGCCAAAGCGCGTCAAGCCGCGTCACGGTTCGAATGACTTCAGTGGTGCTCTGGCATTGATTTGCTGTTGCGTATGGGATTCTGGAAGCAGACGACACAACGCATTCCCATAGCACCAATACTTTAAATGTGCCAAATGGCTATAATATTCAAAACTGTCTTGGTCAACTCCCAGATCTTATGTTCATGCTAACACATAGCAGACCATAACAACGTTCAACGCAGGTGTCGAGTATCTCTCCTCCTCACATCGCTCTTTCTGAAAAGCTGCTCTACTAGACACTTGGAGCTTACAATTATAGCATTAGCTATTATCGCCGCCCTGGATGGAGACGAATCTATCGTGCGGCATCACACGGTGCACAAAGCCACATCCTCAGGCTTTCTATTTTAAAATTGATTCCGATACTGAACTCAAGTCAAACATGTCAAACGCTCGAACTCTTTTTCGAAGATACTGACTGGTATCTCGCACATTCACGGACGTATTCACATCGCACGTGTTCGTACCACGTCCATCAGCAATGTTAGGATATGGCGACTACATATCACAGCAGGCGTAGGCGATCCGAAAGCAAACGCGCTCGTGCAACGAGATGAGACATGCCAGATACGCGAAGGAGCTTTGCACCACTACTCGTGCGATGCATGATATATTCGAATAAGATGCTGAGCCTCGCAGTCTTCTGAGCAGTTCTTGAGCTCTTTCACACCAGCGGTCTCCATCATGGCATCAGATCTCTGTTCAGAAAAGTCCTCGATACGAAAACCTTCCACCGTCGCAGAAGCTCCAAAAGTGGTTGATGTGTTCAGTCGTCTCGTCAAAGGCTATCTCATGTTAGCCGGTCGTAAGGGGGTTCTACCTGAAATGGGGACCAGAAGATCTTCAAGTTGACATTCTGGTTGACGAGTACGATTGCCTGCGCAATACCGGTCGCTTCCATCGCGGTACTGACGACGGTCAAGCCGCTGAGCGCCAGGCTTGGGACTATCGCAGGATTCAACGCTCTTATATCGCTGTGCCTCTCATTCTTCACTGATGCAAAGAGGACAGATGTCTTCTCGGTCACAGCCGCGTAGGTACAGCCCAGATAGTTCACTCATACGTCGCTAAAAAGGAGTAGTTTCGCCGCTGTTCAGGTGGTCTTTGTTGGCCAGGCGCTAGATGATGGGTCGAAGCATGTTATCGTCGCATCGAACAGCACGTTTCCCAACAATACTTGTCGATTTTGAGTCGCGACAGGTCACATCATGCGCAATTTTGCACCGTCAAAATCAGCTCATCCTCCTTGAGGTTGCATTCCCAAATGATTGCGAGGTGGCAAAGCGTGATCACAAATTGGGACAAGAAGTGTAAGGCTTACTTGCAGGAACCAGGACATATTCGTCCTTCCTTTACTACGTTCGTTGCCAAGGTGCAAATGCAAGCCCTGCCGGAAGAGTATACTCAGACAGGAATGGTCGCAGTTCCCAATAGCTGCTAGATACACTTACGTGATACGTTTGTAATGCTGCGCATGTTGATTAGGGCCTTTCATCACTCGTGAGCTCACGTTCCCCATGCGCACCCTTGTCTGGCTTTGCCAGCCGCAAACGAATGACCTCATGGCTGCCTCCAGTCCGACCAAAGTTCATTCCACATTGGCGTGCCCAACCAGCGATAGTGTATCCCAGGTACTCCGAAGAAGGTCACAAGCTGCCCATTCATTCTTTCCAGTACTCTGGCTTTGCTTTAAAGAAAATGAAGACAAGTTAGTGGTGATCATGCCACTCCCGCTTAGTCGCCGCAATGTCTACATACTCGCAGAACTTGTCGATGTTCTCAATGCCGCACAGATCATCCAGGGTATCTTCGATGCTCGCGTTCTCCTCGCAATAGCCAAAGTGGGTCGCGTAGATCTTAAGAGTTGCTATGTATAGACCTGGAGCTCTTCTACTGCGAAACAACCGTTTCTTGATAGATCCGGCTTTTCCTTTACCCTTGCCCTTCAACTAAGCTCCTTCGTAGGAAAGAGAACCACGTTCAACGGTCTCTTCTTCCAGAATATATACGTCTCCTGCTCGCCCCAGTCGAACCTGTCCTTTTCATCTGCCAATTTTAGATCAAACGCAAATATCATCCTCGCTACAATAATTCTCATCTCCGCGTATGCCAGCTTCAGGCCAATAAACTGATGCCGGCCAACGCTGAACGGGTTGAAACTCGTCATGTCATCTTTGGGGTGATTGTGGGATGCCAGAAAGCGCTCGGGGAGGAAGGTGTTGGGGAGGTGGAAGTTGTAGGCCTGTCGATTGGCCGCGAATTGATTGTAGGATACGTAGGTCTAATGAGTGTTAGCAGATAGACGATCGTCTCGTGAGTGACTGAAGGGGGAAACTGGTGTCCACGAAATGAGGCAGGAGACTTAAATCGGCAGGAACAAACAGGCCACATACTGTGTCCCCTCCTTTGGGCACAACTTTGGGCGGAGCGCCTATAGCGACAGGTGGATTCAGACGCAGGCCTTCGTTGATGACTGCATCGAGGTAGGGAAGATACATCGTCGGATCTATGCGGATCTCATCTTCGGAGGAGAATGTGGTGCGGAGCTCAGTAGTCAGATGTTGTAAAACGCCTGAATGTTGGACCAAGTGGCGGAAGATTCCCACCAAAGCCGTAGCTATGGTCTCGCTCGACGCGAAGACCAAGATCATGAGATTTATTCCCCATTCTTCAGGTCCTATGCCTCCTTTCGCTTCCACATGCTTCTTTGTTGGAGTCACGAAATCAGGCCGGTCGGTGTCCATGGCTAGACGCTTCTGTGACATAGCATTGCTCATGATTGCATGATCTTTCATCTTCGCGAGAACCTTCTTCGGGATGACGAAGCGTAGAAGTTGATCGACTGGCGGGTACTGGTTGATCGAGGCTATGAGTGCAAGACCTTTGCCAAAGTCCTTGGCGACCTCAACCCAAGGATGTGTCTTTCCACTCTTGGTAGAATCAAATGATTCACCGAAGGAGAGTTCGCTACCAATATCGAATGCTAAAGATTGGAATACGTCTTCCAATTCCGCGATCTTGGATGTTGATTGTCGCAGCTTCGATACGAGCAGGTCAACATATCCTTCCACGATTGGCGCTTGGTCTCTGAGGCTCTTATCAGAGAAGGCGTTTACAAACGCGCGTTTGTACCGTGCGTGAGAGGCCTCATCGAAGCCCATAATTGAGTGCAACCCGTCTGGAGTATGTTTCTTGAACCAGGTCCTGTTTCTGTGGAAAGGCTGATGGCCTGGGCGATTTGCGTAGATGTCTTTCTACACCCAGCTGTCCGCATACGAGAGTTCGTTAGGCGCAATTCTGACGATAGAACCGTACATCGTATGGAACTCCTTCAAACGCTTGTGTAGCTGCCCTTTGTGCATTGCAACCACGTAAGGCAATCGGAAGGCTCGCCATAAGATCGGTCCAGGGTAATGACGCAACGGGTGGATCCAGACGTTGAAACCCCCAAACAGGAAGACAGTCTGGCATCTTAGATAAGCTTTTGTATGCTTGCTCAAGGGACCATACCCACCAGGAGCGGCAGAAGAGCGTGGATCAAGAGGCCTAGTGCGCTTTCACTTGACGACAGTGAGTCCGTCATTCTGCGGCCATGCTCTGGTGTACCGGTAATGCCTTGCTTCGGCTAACTGGACATGGATGGCTACTCCAATTGTTAAAGGAACAGACCGCTAGCAGGACATCGCTGCCAGGGATACTCAAAACAGCGAGTGGCTAATCAAGGTCGCGAAGTTGTCAGCAATTCGGTTCGCGGACCCACTTGGTTGCCTGCAGCCGAGCAGCCTTGCGATGATTCTCATACTAGAAGCTGCACTACTACGCTGCTGATTTGGTGATGTTCTTGTGCTGCCTCTCGTGAGCGACTTTCATTGGTAGCGCAAGCATTCATAGCGAGAGGTGCAGTGTATCGACGAATCGGCAGGCTGGAATACTTTCTGCACTGCATGCTGTACCATAGCTCACTCATAGACGGTCGCTTGTCACGGACCTCCCCCAATATGCACTATAAATTGTATCCAGGCGCCTCGAACACACTGCCTCCTCCGCACACAGAGACCATTCTTTGCAACAGACCAACGCACGAAGAAGCGAACGTTTCTAACATCACAAGATAGCGCCCGCCACCGAGAACTTTAGTGTCGACCCTCCTGATCCGGCCGACATGCACTTTCCAACCTTACCCCGTGCCCCTTAGGACAATCCAGCATCAAAGGAAGGGAAGATTCAAGAAGCTGGACAGCACATAGAGCGCCGTGCAAACCTTGCGTAAAAATCCAGAATACAACTCACACGCCCTCGGACTACAAACCGCCGCTGAATATGGGTGCTCTTTGAGCCATTGTATTATCGTGTATGGCGCGTCCTATATCGTCTTTTGCGAAATCCCCCACCCAGAACCGTAACGCCAGAAGGATATCTCAAGAGAAGTAGGTACATGAAGAGAAAAGCGGGGAATATCATGAGAGTGCGCTGCTGTACGTTCGAGAGGAGTACAATGAAGCTGACGACGATAAGATTCTGCAGCTCAGGCTCTGATACCTGGCGCTCGGGGATGTGTACTGGTCCCAACGGTGCTGTTTGTCGCGTTGTCGAAACAAGCATGTCGTCCAAGGTACGTCAGCAAGCAGTTGAGCGGCCCGACGCCCTAGGTCGAGACGTCGTGGCCGGTGCTCTTGGGGCCAAAGATCCAGTCTAGACACACATTAGCCAGGCTCAGACGTATTCTTCCAGTTGCAAGGAACTTACACTGCGCACTGTACTTGACCTCAAACGTCTGTTTCTGGCCCTTGCACGAAGCCGGCTTGTTGCCACCAGCAGTCTCGATGCGATACACGGTATCAATGCCACCCTGGCTCAGACCCTTGGTGTCCTTGAGTAGCAGCCACTTGATCGCGCCCTCCTTGCCGGTGCCGGGGCAAGACGCAGTGGGCGCGTCGGTCTCGTTGAGCTTGGCGACTATAGTCGTGGGGAAGGGCGAGGGGAGCTGGTCCAGGGCGAAGACAGGCGAGGCGCCGGAGAAGAAGTGGTTACCCACCATGTGCTCATAGCCGAGCGACTGCAGGTTCTGCACGAAGCGGATGGGTGAGGTCGACAAGGAGAGGGCGAGGGGCGAGATGGAGGGGATTGTCCAGCGAGCCAAGGGGTCAGTGGAGAGGTGCGTGCCGATGTCGTAGAGCTGGGCTGTATTGTTGTGTCAGTATGATTATTCTTTGCTGTGTTGGTGGGCACTTACCGGTGGCGCCAGTGGTGCCGGGAGCAGCGTTCTCGTCGCCGGTCAAGCAGGTGTAGTTCTGCGTGCCAATACCGAGGACGACGTACTTGAGCTGCAGGCCATCGGGAGCTGGGAGGGCGCTCGTGGGCATGAGAGCCTGGAGCTTGGAGAGCTTCTCGAAGTTGTCCGAGGGAGTGTAGACCTGTTTGCTAGGCAGAGCGAGAGCAGTGACCGAGCCAGTCGAGAGGACGAGGGCCGATACGGCAGCTCTAAGTACGAAGCGCATAGTGACGATGATCTACTGGAGAAGTCTGTAAGTGGCGGTTCGTGGGAGAAAGGTAGAGAGGTTGAAGGTGAACAAACCTAAATTGACCGAAGGTGACGAAGATATTTCCCTACACGGGCTTTGCCTTCACCGTGCGTTCACCAGAGAAGGAGCAGTCAGTGTCGTCGGCGTGCAGCGTCTCTCTGGCACCTGGCGGCTAACTTTCTTATACCTCTTTACCCGTTCTACATCCCTGCTCTTCGACGTTGGACAGGCCGCGCTGGCATGCCCAGATCACACACCATCTGCATGCAAGTAGATGGAGGCGACCATGTTCGCGACCACATGTCCCCTCTGCTAACCGTGCGGCGACAGGCATCTAGGAGCTGGTGTGACCCTGAAGCAGCAGGCGGGTCCTAAACCTTGTCTCGTTGTAAGCGCTGATACGTCCAAATAGGAAGAGCGGACAAGGACCCTGGGTGTTACGGCGGGAGTGCATGCTCACTGCTTGTCTGAGCCGCATGGTCATGGCGCTGCTTCTCGTATTGAGCCTCCATTCGCACGACGCAGTCTCGTGCCACGGTGTTGGATGTTTAACATCGCCTCCACGCTCGTGCGGCAAAGCAACAAAGTCTGCCTTGTGCAGGGCGACAATGACAATGTCCAACAGCGACGCTGAAAGCCCCTCAGGCGTCCCGTAAAAAACCAACAAAAGCATGACTGCTCGACGACGCCAATTCGAGGCTGGATCGTTGTGCCTTTCCCGAACGAACAAGAGGTTGGGCGTGGCTATAGCTCCCTGCAGGCGCCTTGCAGCACAACGGCTGATAAATGCCCACAAGCAGTCGTAAAGGCCGCAAATGGCCTGAGAATAGCATGCATAAGCTATTGGTCAGCCCCGCTTTTGGCTCGAATGCGAGCTAAATGTTGGCGGCGCCTAACTACAGATATTAGATTGCGGCGCGCGTATGCCACGGCGAGGTGGTGAGCACCAGGCTCGGCAGTGCTGCTGCCACACGCGACTGTGGACAAGCTCGCATCGAAGCTGCTGTCAATGGCGATGTTGGAGTCAGAAGCAGATCACACATGCAATCCCCACGCCCACGAGCAAACGTCTCAAACCATGTTCAACGCCGCTCTGGCCGGAGAAGCAGATCTATCGATGCGTTAATTGGGGGCCTGCACGTCGGCAAAAGGAGTGATTTAGCATGCTTCTGCCAACACATGTGGAGATTTGGCAACGCGCACTACGAGCATGCCCTCTCGGTTATGCGGCGCAGGCTGCTCGCCGACAGATTCGATGCATTGACAGTCACGAGCATGGGCTATCACGAGCGTTGGCATCACGAGCATGGGCAGGCAGTGGGTCACCGACTCGGCTTTAGATTCCAAGGATGTACACCTAGATTGATGAGCGGCCGCTAGGAACGGCAGCGGGAAGTGGGGCCCGGCCGCTGGATGGTCGTTCGTCGACAGCTTCACGAGCGCTTGGGAATCGAGAATCCGTGACTGCAATGCCGTCTAATGTACTTGATCGCAGCAAGTGCTGATGCGTCCGAACATGCAGGGTCAAGCGGTTACGCTGTGCAGAATCCACCGTAAGACTGGAACGAAGCCTCCTCCGAGGCTGGTAGAAGTAACACAGCACACGTCGTATTACCACATTACTCCACAACTGCAGATGCAGTATAGTTTGAAGAACCTTGGAACATATTAAAGTGACGCATATTCATTCGAAGCTGATGTACATGTACATTTTACAGCGCCATTCCACATGACAATGACAGATAACACGCCGTCCGAGCAGAGTAGTAGTAATTACAAGTTCGAACTTTCCACACCAACACTCCACAATCCAATCGACATCATCTACCTCATGCCGAAGCCACCCGCACCGGCAGCACCGCCCATGGCGCCCAATCTGCTCGCAAGCTTGGGGTATTTCTCCTGGACCTCGAGCTGCGTCCGGGTGGCCTCGGCATAGCTCAGGGCGTTGACGATCTCGCCCTCTGTCCTGCTCAGCTCGGCCGCGCGCTCGAAGTACTTGAGCGCCTCTGTGACTTTGCCCTGCTGGAGGAGCAGCTGCGCCATGGTGGCGACGGCAATATCGCACTCCGGGTCGATGATCAGTGCCTTCTCGCACAGCTTCTCGGCCTCGTTGAAGTCGTTCTTCCACTGGAAGAGGGCGAGCGCCTTGTTGATGAGGGGCAGGACGTTCATGCCCAGCGGCTTGCTGGACTTCTCCATCTCGACGGCCGTGTCGAACTTCTCGATGGCCTCCTGGTACTTTTGCTGGTCCAGCAACAGCTCGCCGTAGTAGTTATAGACGTCGGGGACCTGGGAGAAGTTCTTCATGCAGCGGCGGAAGGTGGCCATGGACGAGGCGATGGAGCCCATCTTGTACTGTGTAACGCCGAGCTGGATATGCGAGAAGATGAAGGACTCGTCGAGGTCGATGGAGCGCTGGTAGTCCTTCGCGGCGTCGCCGAACTCGGACTTGATGAAGTGCAGCTGGGCGCGGTGGTAGAAGATGTCGGGGTCCTTGTCGTTCTGCGCGAGGGCAGTGGCGAAGTCGGCTTCGGCGGCCTCAGGGTTGGCTGTTGGGGTCAGTGGCTGGCCGTAGGGGGAGGGAGGGGATTAGAAAAGTACGTACCCAGCTCCAGGTGCATGCTGGCGCGCTTGATGAAGCTCTGCGTCAGGGCGGGCTGCAGCTCGACGCTCTTGTCCATGTCGTGCAGGGCGTCCTCGTTGTCGCCCTTGAGATAGCGGAAGGTGCCGCGCATGTTGTAGGCAAAGGCCTCGTGCTCGCCGAGGTCGCCCAGCTCCAGGGCGCGGTCGAAGGCGGCGGCGGCCTCGGCATAGCCCTCGGCGGTGCGCGTGGCCATGGCCTTGAGCCCCTTGCGCAGCTGGCCGCGGGCGCTGTCGTCATCGAGGTCGGCGTCATCGTCGAGGCCGGCGGGCGCGGGCTGCGGGCGGAAGCTCTGCAGGTAGTTTGTGACAAAGGTCGGGCTCGGCAGCTTCTTCTCCTTGTCGGCGAGGATGGCCTTGCCCTTCTGCTCGGCCACCTTCTTCAGCAGGCGCTCGACGCTCTGGGCGCTGCTCTCGTTGCGGAAGCCGTCGATGATGCAGCTCGCTGTGTAGTCGAGCAGCGCCTCGCTGTTGCGCTCGACCTGCTCGTACGCGTTGGCACGGCGGTTAAGCGCCTTGACGTACTCGTTATCGAGGTTGATGGCCGCCGTCGTATCGTCGATGACGCGCTCCCAGTCTGACATGGCGTTGTAGCACGCCGCGCGGTTCGAGTAGAAGACGGGATCCTGCCGGCACAGGATCGCCTTGCCGTACAGCTCGATGGCGTGGTTGTAGTCCTTGGACCCGTACGCCTTGTTCCCCGCCGCCTTGAGCTTGGCCGCGTATTCCTTGCGCGTCTCCTCCGACAGCGCGCCCACGCTGCTCTGGTCGACGTCCGGCAGCTCGTCGTCGCCGCTCGCCGCCCCCGCCGCCTTCTTCTCAGCCGGCGCGGGCTCGACCGTGGTCTGCTCCTTCGCTGCCCGCTCCTTCTCGCGCCGCCGCTCGCGCTGCTTCTTGCGCTTGTTTGCTGTGCCGGCCGCCGATGCGTCGCTGCCCGAGTCCGACGAGTTGAAGTAGTAGATGGCTCCGCCCGCGCCGACGACAAGCGTCACGCCAGCGATGGTGTAGACGACGCCCTTGTTCTCCGACGCCCAGCTCGATAACCGGTCCCAGAATGAGCTTGTGCCGGGCTCGGGGATGCCTACGGGGAACGGCCCGGGCGCGCTGAGCACGGGGGCCGGCGCGTTGCCGGATGTGTTGGCCATGGTGCAGAAGAGAATAGGGAAGGTACGAAAATACAAAGTCGAAGACAAAGTCGGAGGGGAGGGCGCTCAATGGCGATGGTGATGGAGGAAGCTGCAGAAGCTGCGCGCCAGAAAGATTCCAAGTCGAGGCCCATGCACGGGATGACTTCATGGTCGTCCTTGCAACCACCGAACACGTCAACACAGCTCTTTCACCACGTTTCTACCTTTGCTCCACCACACTCGCAGAGTGGCCAGTACGGCTCTGACTGCTACCCACACAAACTACTCTCTTTTCCGTCTCGACAGCTTTCCTCGCCTCTCGTCGCCGTCATCTTCACGTGACAACGTCATGAACAGGCATGCTCGTCCAATCAGAACTGACTTTCGTCGATCATCAGCAACAGCAACAGAGCATAGAGCGTTCAGCATCATCAAGCCTGACACTTCCACAGCATTCTTTACTGATATTGGCTCTGGTACGCCTTGAAGGAACACCTTGAACATCGAGCCCAAAGACTACTGCGCAGCAGACACCGCAGACAACTCTTCACCCAGACATCCAACATGTCATCCACCCCAACGTTCCAACTCTTCACCTCCATCCGCTACGACCATCTCCTCTTGACAAGCAAAGAGAATTCAAGACCGGAGCTGAACTTCATCACGCCCTCGCCGTTCTACATGCTGACGTATCACCGCGACCGTATGGTCGAAGCCGCACAACACTTCGACTTCTCCCCTGTAGTAGCCTTCCTAGCCGACGGCACAGCTCTGCATCGAAACCTTCAGCAGCGAGTCACGGAGTGGCGGGCGAAAGAGGAGAAGCAAGACGGGCCATTGAAGGTCAGGATTTCGTTTGACGCCGAGGCAAATATGAGCGTGGACTTCCTGCCAATCCCAGCGGTGCCCTTAACCACACTGTACCCGGCTTCGTTCGATTCTCCACACGCAGCTCCGAAAGTGCATCCCGCTCAACAGCAGGCGAAGAAGCCCTTCAGCTCCTCACCGCTGACCGGCGGCGCGCTGGATCTCGGACCCACAGACGCCCTGCCTGCAGGTGACTCGTCGCAGTCCTCTCCACCGCCTGAGCCCAAGGATTTCAAACCCTCGCCACTGACGGGCGGTGCTCTAACTCTAGGCAAAGGCGTCACGCTCCCAGCAGGGAACCAAGACTCGAACTGGCACCCCGCATCATCAGCATCTCAAGACCTACCCGCCATCCCAGCGCCACCGGAGTGGAACCTGCGCGTAGACACCCATCCCACGCCCAGCTCGCCCTTCACGCTCCTCAAGACGACAGAGCGGGACGTCTACGACGCGAGCCGGTCGCGCGCCCTGCCGGAAAACCCCGCATCGCCAGTTCACAGGGAAGTCATCCTGTACAACACCGTGCACGAAGTCACCGAAGGCACGCTGACTTCTCTCTACTTCTTCCGCGGCGGGAGGTGGGTCACGCCTCCTGTAGGCGTGCCGGAAGCCTTCAAGACCGGCCACAGTGGCCGGGACGAAAGCAGCCGAGGCGAGAAACACGATGATCCGCAGCAGAAAAACGATCTTAGAGATGAAGGTGAGCTTCGCAAACCGTTCGCTGGGCGCTGGGGCCATAGCGTGCGCAGCGCCAAGGTCGGCGCCGGCGGACAGCGCGGCACGAGTCGGAGGTGGGCGCTGGGGAAGGGGTACTGTATGGAAGAGCCGATTGACGTTGGGACTGTGGAGGTGGGCGAGGGTGTGTGGGTTAGCAACGGCGTGAGAGGGTTTGGATGGGGGAGGGTGGTAAGCTAGATTGGAATGAGTAGTACGTCCTTGGGGGTAGAAAAAGGCGGCCGTAAGACTAGTTTCCTTGATGTCGTGGAGGTACGAGAGACTGTTCGTGCATCGCTCGAGTACAGAAACCCCTGTGAAGGCTGCCAAAATACTTGTTCATGTGCGGACGTTGTTTTCTGCTACCTAAGAATACATGTCCCTCTCGCATCGTGCCAAAGAGCTGTCAGAAACCACCATCTCGTCTTCCGCATCCGACACAGTTTCCACTTCTCTGCACACCACACACCGCTCCACCCGCGCCACTCAGATGGTATACCTGAATCCAATCTGCCCTTCAATAGCATCCGGCACCTCACCCCTCGCGACCTGCTCATCAGTCCTGCGATTCATCTTGCGGAAATACCAACTCGTAACCGCCAACACTATCAACGTGTAAAACTGCAGCCCAGCAGCAATCCATAGCCCGACAACATAGCGCGGCGCATCGCGCTGGCGGAACACCGTCGACGCGATGATACCGCCGATGGCGCCAAACCCAATCTGCAGCGCACTCGCCGTGCTGCGCTTACTTTGCATACGGATGTTGTTGGCTTGGTACGTCAGAATGGCTGGCACGTTGCCCTGGGACCCCATGATGCCCAGGAAGACGCCGAAGTAGCGGACGCCGCCGTTGGTGGCGTAGGCGACGATCATCAGCCCGATGAGGCAGATTATGCTCTGCGCGGCGATGATGGGCGCGCGGACTTGGTACTTGTCGCCGATCCAGGCGAAGCCGAAGGCGGTGATCATGGCGAGCACGGCGGGGGGCGCCGAGAGGGCGTTTGCGATGCCGGCAGAGTAGCCCAGGCCGACGAGGATGACGGGAGTGAAGTAGCTGGTGCATGTCAGAAGTGTGTGTGTATGTTCGGAATGGGATACTTGCGCGAAAGCATACACAGGCACGGTGGTGCTCATGAACAGAGTGCAGAAAGCCCACAGCTTCAGATCGCTGAGATGCTTGCAGAACTTGGCCCACGTAAGCGGATCGGCCTCAGAATCACCTCGATCCTCCTCGATGCGGCGCAGGACAAAGGCTGCCTCGCGCTCGTTCAGGAAACCCTGCTTCGCCGCCCTGTCCGGGAAGTCGAGGATGATGAACCACGCCCCGATGGCGACGACGCAGGTCAGGATTCCCTCGAGGATGAAGATCCATTGCCAGCCGCGGATGCCACCGACGCCCTCCATCTGCATGATGCCGTAGGCGAGGATGTTGGCGATGCCACCGATGCCGACGGCGACGAGGTAGAAGCCGCCCAGGCTGTGTTTGTCAGTGACGGTTCGTGGGTCAGGCTGGGTAGTACGGACCGTTTCTGCATCTCACGTCGCTTGTACCAGCACGTAATCAGGTACTGTATTTGTCAGCGAGAACACAGGGTAGGGAATGGTTGTACTGACCACACAGCCCGGGAAGAAGCCCGCTTCGAAGAAACCCAGCAACGCACGGCACGCAGTGAGTGCCTGCCAGCTCGTGACGAAGCCCTGGCCGATCATGACAGCACCCCATGAGAGCGCGATGAAGGCAAGCCAATTAGCACTCCCGACTTTGCGCAGGACGATATTGGAAGGCAGTTCGAAGAGGAAGTATGTCGGGAAGAACATCACGAGGGCGATGGTGTATCTATCGCCGATATTGAGCCCCAGGTCGGCTCCCATACCTGCAACACGGGCATTGGCGATGTTGGTGCGGTCGATCTATGGTGTGTGAGTTGGAGCTGGTAGGGAACGCGAATACAACATACAAGGGAAATGGAGTACAGGGCGCCGAGGATGGGCAACAGTCTCCAGTCGATCTTGCGCACAATCCTCTTCTCCTCGATGCCGTCGACGTCAGTGTCGGCGTAATGAGGTACAGTCGCATCGAACTTCTCCTGGCGGATTGTGCCAGGCTTGTACTCGTCGTCGCTGCTGCTGTTCGTCATGGTGTACTCGAGTTTCAGTGAGCAATCTGGAATCCCCCTGTCGATCTCCAGCATCAATCAGGGCATGAACCATAATTATATCTCTACATCTACAAGCCCGGCCGCGGCAATTTTCGTTAATAGCACCTTGGCTTCCAAGCATGTTCCAGCCTTGCAAGTGTTCATGGGGGACTCGGAAGCTCATTGACTGAAGGATAGCGGGCTCAGTATTGCTTGGAATCGTATTGGTGTGGAGCTAAGATCGGTCCAAATCGTGGGGTACCAAGCTCCGAGTGCACCAGTGGTTTGTTCAAACAAAGCGCCGGAGTGTTGGGATTACGAGGGCAGCTGCGTTTGCCCTGAGCTCGATGAAGGCACCGACCAAACAACCAACACGCGAGGGCTCTACGATCGAGCCACACAAGTTGTTGTTGTTGTTATTGTTCCACAGCTGAATTCTTATCTTGACCACCCATTCATCAGTTGCAGACGATCATCAAGATACCTTTGTCGCACCAGTCAAAACACCGTAGCTAAAGCGTCAGTGCTAACCAAGCACCCCGGTCTTGGTCGACAGGAGAAGGCTCCAAAACGAGCCATCGTCGTCCTGCCCGCGAGTTCGAGACCACGCGGCAATCTTCAGCCAAGCACGTCAGTAGCGTCGGCAGCTGGCCAGACCATCTGTATGCGGCGATAGAATACCCTTTAGGCCGGACGCCATCGCGGTGTGGCAGTGAGGCAGGTCACGACTCCAGAAGCGTGGTTGCGGCTCTTGGCGGATTGTCTTCAGCGGAGCGGAGGAAGATCCGCATGTCATGGCGCCCAGTGACCACGTTGCGGGGTCAGTCTTGGATATACCTCGCTCGCCGACGTGGAGTGATCACCGAGCACGTTTGGGGTACCGTTATTTGGCTACGTGCACCAGAAAAGGCATGCTGAGACTCCTCGTCACGAGGGTGTGAGTGTTGTGGTCTGCAGTAGCAAAGGCATTGGCGGGTGACTAAAGGCGCTTGAGCACGGCGAGATACCTCGGTACATGGCCTCTGGGTTTCGTCCGTCTTGGGTGCTGGTGTTGAGGGCGGAAAGAGGTTGTAGTTGGTGCGGGGTTGAACCTAGCGGCTGTGAGCGGCTTCCGACTGCTGTACTAGCTGGCCTTAACCCACCCCGTCACTCCAATTGTCGATCGGGTCAATTGCAACTGAAAGCAGCCAGAGTAGGGGCACTATGCAGGTAGTGAGAAATCTGTTCATTCAGCACGTTCGGCAGCTCAAAAGTCGGCCAAACTTCGCAAGAGGTATTCAAACACTCGCATCTCCCTTCTCTTCCAACCATCGTAGGTGAAGCTGCCGTCGTGATACTTGAAGTCGTGTCATGGTAGTCTTACTGTAGGCGAGACAGAGTCGGTGCTCTACCAGCCACCACCTCCACTGCCTGCGCCCCATTCTCCACCAGCCGTGGCAGTAGCATCTCCAGTCCCCCAGTCACCAGTGGCCTCGACAGCACCGCCTGAGCCCAAGGCTTCTCCCTCGACGGGAGCGGCCTTACAGCACTGCAAAGAGTTAGCATGTGATCGCAGGTATTGCAAGAGATATCTTACCTTGATGGTGTGTCCGAACTCCTGGCAGTTTTGGCATTGTACTTTCGACCAGTCCTTGGGTTCCGGACAGTCACGGGAGAAGTGTCCCTGCTTCTCGCAGTTTCGGCAGGTCACGTTGTCTGGGTTCCGAGGCTGATCGCACTCCTTCGCAATATGGTCTTCGGAGCCACAGTTACGGCAAGTCCTAGGAGGACGAGCCTCAAAGTTGGGACACTGTAGACATATCAGTCGAAGCAAATCATATGGTGTAAGATCCATCTTACGTCCTTGGAGAAGTGACCGGTTTCGTTACACTTGCGGCACTCGACACCCTCAGCGGAGCGGGGCTCAGGGCACTCCTTGGCGATGTGGTCTTCCTGCTTGCAGTTCTTGCAAGCATGAGGGTTGACGCGCTCTTTAGGACAGTCACGAGCACGGTGACCCTCCTCCGAACAGTAGACGCACTGAACGGCGGGAGTATTCGAGACAAGCTCGGGCTGCTCCTGCTCACAGTGCTGGCAAATGTTAGCGAAGTTAAGCTCGAAGGATTAGGTGCCTTACCTTGCGGACATGACCGAGCTCGCCGCAGTTGCTGCAGAGGGGTACACCGCGATCCTGGATGAAGCCAGCCGAAGCAAGACGCTGCAGATTCTCGGCTGCGTCCTTGGGCCAGCCTTGGGCCATCTTCGCTCGTCGGGGCTTCTCGGAGAGCTGGATAGTCAATACAAATTCACGTTCCGGGTTGCCGATCACGTCGACAATGGTCATGTTGACCGCAATTTCCTGTCGAAGGGCAACGAGGAAGACAGGAAGACCATCCTCACGGAGAGCGGCCTCGACGTCAGGAAGGACGAAGTGTTCGACAACTGCGCGAGCGTAGGCCTTCAGGCATGTCCGAAAGCCATCGAGATCCTTCTCCTTGGCTGCGTCGATAAGTTTGGCCCAGGCCTCTTCAGCCTCGAGTTCTGGAACACCATCCCAGTCGATCAGGCGGCGCTCCTTACACTCCAGGGCTTTGTGGCCCTCTTTGCCGCAAAGTTTGCACTTCATTGGATTGGTCGGGCAGCTGCGAGCAGCATGACCCTCGATACCGCAGGCGTTGCAAGTTCCGGTGAACGCGCGCTCGAATCGAGGGTTGGTACAATCTGCCTTGTTGTGGCCGACTTCGCCGCAGTTGAAGCACTCTCCAGTGAGACCGCCGCCAGCAGGCTTGTCCGGGCAATCGCGAGCAAAGTGGCCAGATTGGTTGCAGCTGTGAATAGTGTCAGCATGGTGAACCAATGTTGATGTAGCTGTCAAGAGCTATCGTTGAGTGCACACTGAGGGTGGGAGTGAGGACTTACATTCGACAGGCGTCGTCGCCATCACCGCCACCGATGCCCCAAGAGTCTCCAGCGTCACCACCAGAGGTGTCGCCGCCACCCCATGCGTCGCCACCTGAAGGAAGTTAGCAAGGTCCATACAATGCGAGAGCGAGCGACTCGCCGCTAGCTCCTGTGTCCCAGCTCATAGCTGTGTAGTGAGAGCAGAGTGCGAGAAGACGAAGTCGTGTACGTGTGACGCCGGTCTAAGAGGAGAATCAGGTCAACATTTTGATCGCGATTCGGGCTCGCTGTGCGCAAGCCACTGAGGAAGCTATGGTGAGAGCACTTACACGTTCAAGCGAAGCTCGGCGTCGCGAAGTAGCGTGAGACCGGCTCAAGCTGTTAGTTTGATAGTAATCGAGGACGCGAATTGCAGTCACGTGAGTGTGGTCGCGTCGAGGAAGTGCGAGGTAGGAAAAAGGTTCTATGTGTGTGGTTTGTTTATGTACAGAAGGGGCGACCGCCAGCAGCGGTCTGTGCGGGGCGACGAGAAGGCAATGACGACGGTGAGAGTGAGCAGGTTGTAACCAATACGATCACTGCCACACCGCAAAATAGGAAGAAGGCAATGAAAAACAGCGCTGAAGGGCGATGTATAAGCAGATCAGCATACGGCTGGGCGACTGTGTCTAATGAAACAAACGGAGCGGCAAGAGAGCTACGCAGCTATGTTGCGACAGTGCCATCACAGTAAGGACAGAGAGTGAGGTGGAGGTGCGAAGTCGGCGAGACAGAGATGGAGCACAATGGAGGTTATGAGAACCAGAAGGTCATGCCATTCAATACGAGATAGCGTACTATCGAGGTATAATACTGGTAACAAATCATGAAGCTCATATGCAACAGACGAAACGCGATCATAGCATCAAATCATGCTGGCCGCTAATGTGCATGCCAGACCAAAGGCTGTTGTACCATACATACACAAACCTGCGCCAAACACCCATGGGATTGCTTGCGGCTACAGACCCTTATACACCTCGGAACTGTCGGTGATGTCAGCTGGATGACCTTGGACGTCAAGGGTGGGAATAAACATACCATGCGCACAATCAGGAACCACACGGCTCCGATGAATCGGAACGCCGCGAGACCAGCAACACTCCACAAGACGACACCCAGGTAGATGTTCGCAACACGAGTCTGGTGCTCGGTCTTCTTTTCGTCGGCGACCGTGACCTCCAAGCCGCCAGTTTGCAGCACGAGAGCGGTAAGACCCAGGTTGCAGAGCATCCAGAACAGGACAACACCGGATCGGAAGCCCTTGTAGTAGTCCTCCTGCTTGTCTTGGGGTGAGGGAATCTTCTTCTCTTCCTTCCACTTGACGCTAAAAGTTTGCAACTCTTTCTCGTACATGGTGTTCAGGTCAGCATCGTCGGTAGGAGCCTGGATATCAGCCTTGCCGTCAGCCTTGGTGGTGACCGAAGGGAGCTTCTCGGGCTTGTCGTCACCCTTCGTACCCCAGGTGATATCGTGCGTGTTACAGAAAGCGTAGACATTTAGGATGTTGATGTATGTCGGTGTCATGAGCAGGTACTGGATGAAACAAGTGAACATGTGCCACGGATCCAGGAACAGGAACGAGACGACAAACCACATGATGTATGTCGATGCCAACGAGACAATCAGGTTGAAGAAGATCGTGTTCTGGAAGACGTCCGCAAAGCTGAAGCCGTCGGGATCGTTAACCACACCTTGAATCGACTTGACCGTAATGAAAACCGACGCGAACATGAGATATGTCATGATAATACACCAGAAGTATACCATAGACATGTACCACTTGTTCGAACCTTGCGGTCGATTACCGAGTGACAAGATGAAGCACGTTATCAGCACTGCAATGTAAAGCCATTCGAACACGATGAACAGAACTTTACCAGCAGTGCCGATGTAAGTAGCCAGGGAGCCGGTGAGGATGTGGAAGACCAGGAAAAAGTTGCCGAGAGCGAACCAGGCGAAGAGCATGCTGATGGTCTGGTAGAAGAACTCAACGAGGAACATGGTCTTGCGGATCGCCGAGTGATCGCTGCGGAAGATGTCGAAGGAGTGGGCCAGGGCGTAGACTGCAGCGAAGAAGGAACCGTTCAACCATCGACGGCGCTGACCGATGAATTCCGCCATTGTGGTGGGCACATCAGTCTCACCGTTGGAAGACTTAACGTATTGCAGGATCCAGTGGCAGTTCCTCTTGGAGACGAGCTCGAAACAGAGGATACGATCTTCGGCAAGGTACATGTTGGCCGTGAAGATACCGGCGTTCGCACCATGCATCTTCTCACCAGCGAAGTACTTCTCGAGTGGTCCCTGTCCGGTTTTGTCGTTTTGGAGAGCGACATAGCGGTATGCAGAGAAAGCACCAGGAAGCACAGTGATAAACCCAAAGGCTGATTCCAATGGCTTATCCAAGATGTTGGACATTTTGTACTCGAAGTTTTGAGTGGCGACAAGCGGGTTCAAGAGCTTCTTGCCGTGCACCAACATAGCCTTGATCTCACCACAAGCGCCTGCGCACATGGGCTCGAGATCGAACGCTTTCCAGAGCTGGTAGATGGAATCCTTGCCAGGCTTGGTACCAGCATCGATCAGAACGCAGATGTTGGGGTCCAGGACCGTACCAAAAGCCTGGAAAAACCATCGATGCGAGTTGATCTTCTTCTGGTTCTTTTCCTTCAGACAGAATAGCATCTGTACAGGTGTGGTGCCCTTTTTGACACCAACGACACCTTTCTTGATGTCAAGAGTCATTTGCGTGGTGTACTAGTCGATCTCGTTAGTCATTATCCCGAACACAGCCACTTTGCTCACGTACTTCGTAAATATGCGCCGTCACATCCTTGCCGTTGACTTGCTGCTTGGCAATACCGTCCTGGTACACACCAAGACCTGCGAGAACGGATCTGGTTCGCGGGTTAATTTTCGCACGTCCATCGCTGACGACGCAAACGACAATCTTCTTCCACGCGTCCTTGCCCCACGTCTTGCTGTTGGTTCGCGAGTTCATGTACTCGATGTTCTTGATGACACCCATCATGGTTCGCGCAAACAGCTCGTCTTCTTCGTTGTACATGGTCACAACAATGAACAGCTCTGTGTGCCTAGGCTTTGCAAACAGTTTCTGGCGCAGAGTAAAGCGCTCTGCATCAAAGTCTGCGGGGTCGCATGTGGCGGCCGAGTAGCGCATATGTGTGAACTCGTCACGCTCTGGGGGCTGTGCATGTGGAACCTGGTTCAGCAGTCGCGGAGGAATTGGGCAGTCAAGCACCAAGTTGCCCTTGAACAACTGCACTTCCTTGACTGTCTTCCATCGCTTGATTGGCGCCGGGCTGGGGGTGTGCTGGACAGGCTCGTCGTCAAATGGGTTCTCGGGGTCCATGTGGTCGTCCAAGTCGTGAGGATCTGGGCCATACGAGTTGGCGCCCCCCAGCATTGGCCTTCCATCCTGTTGGTCCTGCCAGTAATGATCTGGCTGTGTGCCATAGCCTTGGTGCGGGCTCTCGTCGTGCGGCGTGGGATCGTAGGGCTGGTTGTAGTACGCATCGTGATGCGCCTGCGGGTCGAGCGAGTAGTCGCTGTCGTGTCGTTGCGGTCGTGGATCATAGTCGTCGTGATAGTTTCCTGCAGCGTACGGGATGTTCTCCACCGAGTACTGCGCCTGTCAGCTCCTGGCGCTTCTAGACTCTCCTCAAGAAGCACCTACACTTGGTTGCAATGGCAGTCTGTCTCCCGAAGCGGCTGGATGTGTCATGTTGGGTCCCATGGGGATTTCGAGCGGCCCGGCTTGCGAGCCATAGTTGTCTCCGAGCTGGTAGCCTGCGAGCGGGTGTCCTGGCGAGGGTGTGCGCCCGGGACCTGGGCGTCGAGGATCCATCTCGTACTGGTGGTCCTCGTCTGTGGAGATGCGCGATTAGTTACTGCCTCAGGCGCGGTAGGGGCGACAGCGATAGTGATATGCAGCGAATGAATGCACAGGTAGCGAGGAATGCAAAGAGTGCGCAGAGCCTCGATATGTGAGACTTGGTAGCTCGAGAGGAAGCGACAGGGAACTTGGGAAACGGCCTCTGGGCGCAGTAGCCGGCTATGCGTGCGACGCAATCACAATGCGCACAAGCGTGAATCCTAAGGTTCAAGTACTCACCTAATCGGTTGTAGCCACTCATGGTGCTGGGTGCGTTGCTGCGCCTTCAGTCGACTTGCGGATGTTGCGAACACCGACTCCACTGCCCAAACACGCGTGACAATGCGTGACTATGGATGGCCCAGCACGTTAAGAGTCACTTTGTTGGCCGCGCAGAGGTAGCTGTCGTATCGCGCCAACTTGAAACCAGATGCGTTTGGCGGGGATGGAGGGTGCACGGCAGCAATGTTTACCTAGCAACGCCGTTGCGAAGGACGATATGACGCTGCTGCGGGTCCGGTCGAGGTACAAGATGCGCGGGAAACAAGTTTGGCTCCACAGCTGGGGAACCTCTGCTCTTCAACAAATACACGCAGCGGTTAGAGGCAGCGTTGAGCCTGACGACGAGCTATTCAGCCCGGCGACCAGCTGGCTGCGCAGCTCTTCCCTTGTGTAGTCCGGCCAAGCAACGCTGCATCCCTGAAACTGTGCATGTGGCGCTGCTGTGTTGCCGCGTCCTTCTGACGAAGCCTCGTCTATTTCAGGACAAGCACAAGAACACCCGCACGGCGCAATGGTTGTCAAATGCCCGAGGCTTTGCCATCAGCCACTGTGGCGGGACAATCCTTGCTCTTCATCTGCTTTCCACTACAGTGTTGGGCTTTCAAGAGGCAAGATGCTCTGCACAACTCTGAGCTCTGCGTATGTGGAGACGAATCCTCGGTGCGGCTGAGCACTGAGCTGACAGCTGTTCTGACCGCGTTGAGGCCTCCCAAGCGAACCACAGATGGAAAGAGATTAGCATCGCGACTTGCGGCTCAGGACGGCACTGCTACCATTCACAGCCTTGTGGGGAAGAGAGGCTGACTGCGCATGAGTTGGCGAGCTCACACGAGGTTCTTGCTTGCACTTGCCATTTGAGGCAATCTCCACTTGGTGGACAGCGAGCCCTGAAGTTCGCAGTTAATTCAGGTCATGGTAATCTGAACACATTGGATTTCTAGTATCCAACTGAAGCATGCTGAACGAAGTCCCGCATATGCTCGTACCTGTCGATCATCCGTCATCGGTCTTGGCAAGTTTAAAGAGCTCCAAGTCGACCATAATGACCTCTTCAATCTCGAACTTACAGCACCTCAGTGCCACGAACCTAATCTCACTCAGTCGACAATAAACTACACTGCAATCATAATGAGCGACTCAAAATCCCCCAAGCCCGTCTCCGTCCTCTTCGTCTGCCTAGGAAACATCTGTCCGTACCCCACCACCCCCGCAATCCTTCAAGTCTACTCGCGCCCACTGCAACGCACCAACTGACGCTCCCAGGCCGTTCGACAATGGCAGAAGGCGTCTTCCAATCCCTCGTCGCCTCATCACCCCCACCTATCTCCTCGCTAATCACCCACGTCGACTCGTGCGGCACCGGCGCCTACCACGTCGGCGACAGCCCCGACTCGCGCACCATGGCGACCCTCAAGTCCCACGGCATAACGACCTACCGGCACGCGGCGCGCAAGTTCCACCCGAGCGACTTCGAGACGTTCGACTACATCCTCGCCATGGACGACAGTAACCTGGAAGACCTGAAAGACCTGAAGAAGAGGGTTGTGGGGAAGAAGGGCAGCGAGGACGGGTCGGGGAGGGTCATGCTGTTTGGCGAGTTTGGGGGGAAAACTAGGCGAGGCGGACGCGGGGAGGAGGTGCAGGATCCGTACTATGGGTCGAATGACGGGTTTGAGACGGCGTACGAGCAGGCGGTGCGGTTCTCGAGGGTCTTTCTCGAGAGACTGGAGAAGGGCGAGCTGGGCTAGACGTGCAATCGAGTGGGCTGAAGAATAGACACAAGAGGCTTTTGATACCCAGAATCAGCTCGGTGGGAGCTGGCACCTCCACACTATACACAGAATCGTACATGCAAGTAGAGTCACACAGACCCACGCCCGCTGCGACATCTACGAGTTCTCCTTGATCTGCGCCTCCAACTCGCGCAACCGCTCCACAGCCTTCCCTCTCACAAACTCACTAAGCCCCAACACCCCCTCGCGCGTCACAGCGCGATAACTCCCGCTATCCTGCCAACTGCCCTCGACGATCCTGCCCTTCCCATCGACCTCCAAGCTCCCAAAGATATCCTCGGGCCACGCAATGCGCCCGAAATCCGGCGGGTTCCTTGCGTCACTAACGTGAATCCAGCCGCCCATGTTACCACCCCCCGCGCCGCCCTGGTGCGAGGCGCCACCCGCGCCGTCGTTGGGGCGCGACAGGTTGAAGCCCCCCGGCGACGCGAAGGCAGCAGCTTGGCCCTGCACCATGGGGTCATGGGGCGCGTGGACGGCGAGGATGCTGCAGAGGAGCGGGACGAAGAGCGGGTTCGGGGTGAAGCTCTGGGGCGTAACGGGGAGCGCCGAGGTGGTGCCGATTGCGAGCTGTGGTGTTGGCGGGGTTGTGGGAAGCAGGGAGAGGAGGGATTTTGTGGGGTCGAAAGGATCTTTGTGGACAAACTGTGGCGGGTTAGTAGGTTTGCTACCGTGTTCGAGGAGAGGGGGGGGCAGGTACGATCTGGGGGTTTTCTGGGAGTGTCGAGATGGGTCGCGAGCCTCTGAGATACAGTGTCGGTGCTCTAGTTATGGGACGAATGCAGCGCGCTGATCGCGCGAAGGCGTTTGACAGCATGCTGAGTATGAGCGTTGTGTCTGGGGCCACAGATGTTACCTCGGCGAGGTTCAACTGCAATTCAACTCGAATGCTTCGAGCTCCAGCGATGATGTAAACTATTTCGCCCGAGCTCCCGCACCGATCACTGCAGATCACCTCCCCTTCCAACAAGCGCGTCCATCTCGTCAAATCTTCCGCGCGCGGCTGGCCCGCTATGCTTCAAGAGGTTTCCCAACACACTTAGCGAGTAGGATGAAAAGCTTGCCGTCGGCCCTGGGCGAATCAACAGATGCGAATCGACAAATGGCCCAGGCCGGCCGTTATCGGTTTAGTAGCTGATACAACCGCTGTTGCTCGCTTGGCGGCTTTAATATAATCTTTTCATCTTGACCTTCTACCGTGCTCTCGATCTTCTCACCGCGTAGAACAATCGAGGAGATGGCAAGCGCGACTACGGACCATGCTGTCTTCGACAAGCAAATCCACGAGACCGGCGCACCGAAGCATGGCGACCTGCATCAAGACGTCGAAGTCGGCGCGGAGGCCGTCGACCTGGCCAGAATCGAGAAAGTCTATGCGTGAGTCGAGTGCACCGGCTCCTTCACGTTCTCACTGACGGGAGCGCAGCAAACTCGATCGCAGGATTCTCCCGGCGTTCTGGGTCCTGTATTTCATGTGCTCGGCCATCAGATCGAACATCGGACTGGCGCAGACGATGAACATCAAGCAGGGCCACGACCTGGCTTCACAGCTCAGTCTGACTCCCAAGCAAGTGTCTACAGGTCTTGCATTGTTCTACGTGTGCTATGTTCTTTTCGACCTGCCTTCGAACCTGATCATGTCGAGGGTCAGTCCGCATGCGTGGATGAGCAGGATTGTTATCTCGGTTGCTATCATCGGCATGTGCTTCACTGCGGTGAAAGCTGTGTGGAGCTTCTAGTACGTGCTTCAATTATGTGGGAAGAGTATTTGACTGACGCACACAGCCTTCTTCGTCTGCTTCTTGGAATTGTCATCGCAGGCATGTGGCCGGGCATGTCGTACTACTTGACTCTGTTCTATCCTCCGTCGCGGACGGGTAAGCGCATCGGGCGCTACTTCACTGCATCGCAGGTCTCCGCAGCTGTAGTTGGGCTGGTCTCAGCCGGATTCCAGAAGATGGATGGCATGGGCGGGCTTGTGGGCTTCCAGTGGATGTTTTTACTTTACGGTGTGGTTGGCTTCATGGTCGGGGTCTCGCTTCTTTGGTGGCTGCCCGATCGACCACTGCCTCCCGGTGAGACCCGCATCCGAACGGGCTTGGAGCGATTCCTCCCAGCCAGCAAGCCTGCGTTGACAGGCGAGGACGCGAGGATTCACTACGAAGACCTGACGCGGGTATATCACCGCCGCCAATGGAACATGAAGGACGTCTGGCACATCCTCATTGACTGGAGGCTGTGGCCGCTGGTCATGATGTACTTTGGCGTGGTGGGCGTAGGCATTGGAACGCAGAACTATGCGTCCGTCATCATCCGCGGCATTAACCCGGGCCTCAGTGGCATTGACCTGAGTTTGCTCACAGCGCCGATCTGGATTGTCAGTACCTATCCAGGCGTAGATCAGATGCACATCAGCTAACTCTTGCAGATGGATCTGATTGCTATCTTGATAGTCACGCCACTCTCGGACCGCTTCCACCACCACCGCGCCCTGTTCTTCAGCGCAGCAGTCTTGATCCAGATCACCGGGCTGCTAGTCACGACATTTGCAGGAGGTCTGAATTCGTGGGCTCGCTACGGCGGCCTCTTGATGGTGGGCTTTGGCTTGGGCCCGACAGTGCCCATCTGCATGGCCATGACCAACGAGATCTTCCAGTCGCGCCACGGCGAGGTGGGCGTTGCAGCAGCTAGCGCACTTGTGTCTGGATTGGGCAACCTGGGCAGCATCCTGACCACATATGCGCTGTACACGGGATGGCCTGCCGACTCTGTGGGTGTGAACAAGTACCGCAAAAGCAATCTGGTCATGATTGGCATCCTGTGCGTCAGCATCCTCTCGGCCGCGCTCATGGTGGTGCTACTGAGGGTGTTTGGGAACGACAAGGCGAAGCAGATCAGCAGCGCGAGCTCGACCAGCGAGGGCGAAGCTGGCTTCTTGGATGGGGCTGCACGACGCGAGGTCCAGCAGCGAGGACTGGGACGCTTGTTCGTCTTCAGATGAAATGTTGGACCCTGCTTGCGGGCGGGGATGGGTCCAGGGTGGCGTTCAGGATTCGAAATGCCGTGCAGGTGGGCAGGGGCACGGAAGCCCATGGGGGTGGTCACGAGAGGGGGCCGGCTGGCGTCGCGTGCTGCGGTTGGAGCCGAGAGTCACGATCCATGATCCATTTGGGGCTGACGACATGCGAACTGCTCGATAGCTCTGACCGGGGTTAGCTGTGATGAAATGGAGCGCAGCAGGCGCAGATGTGCACGCTCCTGCCGCATGGTGCGGAGAAGAATAATGTGTGCGTGTAGACCTGCAGCCGATAGCGGCGATGCGGCAGAGCGGTGGTCGAATGCCTCCTCGCGTGGTTCTCTCAGCCGATTGGCAGCGTATCGTGACTTTGCACAGTGCACTTTCACTGCTCCCTGCACGTTGGCCCGTCTGCCCGCCACCACTGCTGTGCACCACAGACAGGCTCCATCACACGTAGCACGCAGGACGTGATTACACGCAGCACGCAGAAAGTGACACGAGAAGCTCCACCCTTCGCGTGCAGCCCATCGATGGTCTTCCCTCCGGGGCCGTGAGCGGGGCACAACAGCGCGGCCAAGCGCACGTTCGACGCCATTCGAGCCGCAACCACGGTAGACGACGGCCCTGACGTAAGTCCAGTCCGCGAAATGAGCCCGGCCCAACAATTGCTGCCCCACGTTGCACGCAAGGGACGTCCACGCGGTGTTGACGGGACGGTGAAGGACGATTGTGGATAGATACACCTGCTAACGGCGACTAGCTGCACAATCTCCACGGTGCACGCCACAGATTTCGGGCTGGTAGCCTGAGGTATACCTCTGTCGTGCCGCACAACTTAACCTCTGTCGTGCCGCAGAACTCAACCTCTGTCGTGCTACCGCGGCCTGTCGTGCCGCTACCTATCGTCGCCCATCGTCGCCGCTGCCCAACGCATCGCCCACCATGTCGGCCGCAATCGATAACGAGGACCTGGAAGAGCTCTCCTTGAGCATGCCTACCCCACGGCGGGGAGGTGCGAGCACCACCAAGACGGTCGACTTCCAGCAGAGCACCGAGCCCGTCTTGCCTGCGCTGGCCGTCGAACCGAACAAGGCGCGAGACTCCAAGGCGAGCCAGCGGCTGGGGCAGTACACCATTGTCCGGACGCTGGGCGAGGGCTCCTTCGGCAAGGTCAAGCTGGCCACGCACCAGGTCAGCGGCCAGAAGGTCGCGCTGAAGATCATCAACCGCAAGCGCCTGGTCACCCGCGACATGGCCGGCCGCATAGAGCGCGAGATCCAGTATCTGCAGCTGCTGCGGCACCCTCATATCATCAAGCTGTGCGTCAGAGACCGGTGCACATGGCCGCCGTACTGACTCGAGCACAGGTACACCGTCATAACGACGCCCACAGAGATCATCATGGTCCTCGAGTACGCCGGGGGAGAGCTCTTCGACTACATTGTCAACAACGGCAGGCTGCAGGAGGACAAGGCGCGCAAATTCTTCCAGCAGATCGTGTGCGCCGTCGAGTACTGCCACCGCCACAAGATCGTACATCGCGACCTGAAGCCCGAAAACCTGCTCCTGGACGACCAGTACAACGTCAAGATCGCCGATTTCGGTCTCAGCAACATCATGACCGACGGCAACTTCCTGAAGACGAGCTGTGGAAGCCCCAACTACGCTGCCCCCGAAGTCATCTCCGGAAAGCTGTACGCTGGGCCTGAAGTCGATGTCTGGAGCTGCGGTGTCATCCTGTACGTTTTGCTCGTCGGGCGACTGCCTTTCGACGACGAGTACATTCCCACGCTGTTTAAGAAAATCGCCGCGGGAAACTACAGCATACCGAACTACCTCTCGCCCGGCGCCGTCTCGTTGATCAAGAAGATGCTCATGGTCAACCCGGTACACCGCATCACCATCGGCGAGATCCGCATGGATCCGTGGTTCACCAAAGATCTCCCTGCATACCTCGAGCCCCCCATCCAGGAGTTCTTCGACACAGGCATCGACCCCAACAAGGCCATTGACCCGAAAGCTGCGGCACCGTCCCACCCAGCCCCGATTGTCCAGAAGCTGCACGAAACGGTCGTCTCGAAGCTGGGCAAGACGATGGGTTATGCGAAGCATGATGTCCAGGAAGCGCTGGCGCGCGACGAACCTAGTGCAATCAAGGATGCGTATCTGATCGTCCGTGAGAATCAAATGATGAAGGCAAATCGTGAGTGCCCCCACCCCCCTGTTCAAGCCAAGTTGCGGGGTGCATATGTACCCCGGCCGTACCTTCAGTCTGCGGATGTCGTGCAGGACGGCACAATGTAGCGTAAATCTTATGCAATATACTGACCATCCTTGTAGCACTCCTTACGAACGAGCAAAACCTACATCCGTTCTTGGCATCATCACCTCCGACTGGCCATGACTATCTGAGTCAATCTATACCACAGGTCTTGGCTGGCGGTCCACGACCTCAGATCATACCACCGCCTTCAGCCGATCATGAACGCGCCAGGCAAGGCTCGAACGCAAGCAGCCAGCTTGCAAGCGCCCGCAGTCCTGTCAGCACAATCGCCATCTTGCCCAGCAGTCTCACAGAATACCACACTGCGTATATGAAGGGTCACCCGAGACCGCCACCGGCAACACAAGGGCTAGAAGACTCGCCATCTGGGCAGACTGAAGAACAGCGCGCGGCCAATGCTCGACGACTAAAGCCCAACTTTCGAACCCTGCCAGATCCGCAACGACCAAGACCGGAACCAATGACAGCTTTACCTGCAAAGAAAGCAAGGCCAACCAAATGGCAATTCGGAATCCGTTCACGGAACCAGCCCGCTGAGGCAATGCTCGCCATCTTCAAAGCCCTCAAGGCCATGGGCGCCGACTGGGAAATTCCTGAACCACGCAAATCCGGCGAACGAAGCGGCAGCCGCTCACGCAGCGCCTCCCACGGCTCCCACGACGCATCCGGTTCCCGCTCGCGCATGCATTCTCGAAGCTCATCCATATCCTCGCACTCGTCTGAAGGCGCGGTGCACTCGGACGACGAGCACTCTCTGCACCGCAAACCGCTCACGGTACGAAACACGGACAGCGAAGAGCCCCGCGGCCGCAAAAAACACCACTACAATCACACCAACGACTGGGGCTACCGCGTCCCCGAGGACCCATGGGTCATCAACGCGCGCTTCAGGAAAGACGGCATGTTCCCGCCCGGCGTCGCGCACCCGTCCTCGACACACTCAAGCCGCGTCGATCTGCACCGCGACCCCGAGTCCCGCCGCCGCAGCTCAACAACAACCAGCACAAGCAGCCACGCGGTCGACGGACTGACGGGCCTAGGCAGCCCGGACGAAGACGCGTACCCCGAGCCCGACGAGGCCGTCTGGATCTACGTCAGCATCCAGCTGTACTCGATCGACCGCGACTTCTTCGTCGTCGACTTCAAGTGTGCCGGCTACGAGCGCCTGGTCTCCAACCTGGTCCGCGAGATCAAGGCCACGGGCGATGTCAACTTGGCCTCGTCACACCGCAGCAAACACCAGCACGAGGACGGCTGGGACGACGAGCAGGGCGTCTGGCGCCGCCTCGACGACGGCGAGCCGCTGCCCGAACACGTCGAGAGTGAGTTGAAGGGTGGCCGCGGCGTCTTGCGCGAGCGCACCGAGGAGATTGGTGCCGGCCGCATGGAGGGCGAGAAAGTGTGTACTTCGCCGTTTCCTTTCTTGGATGTCGCCAGCACGTTGATCCTGCAGCTGAGCGGCGAGTAGATGCGTCGAGGAGAGGCGTGGTGCACCGGGTCAGAGCGTGTGAGTGCAGGTGTACAGGATAGACGGTCATGGCGCAAGGGCTTGTAGATACGTTATACCCGGCTTGAAGCCTGGCGAAATGGCATTATACATTCGTCTCAAAAGCAGCCCTAATAGCTCCTCAACACAGCAAACACAATCCCTATCACCAGCCCGGGCAAAACACACACGACCAGCGCGGCCCAGACACCCACCATAGCCCTGCTCTGGTGCGTCGTGCCCACATACATGGCGAACAGCAGCGCGAACGGGAGCGCCCAGAAAACGTACAGATCGCCGCTCGGCCCGGGCAAGATGAACGCGCGGACACACAGCCCGCTGACCACCGCAGACGAGAGCAGTGCAAGCAGCCACGCCGCCTCGCGCTTCGCCCACGCGGCGACCGTCCATTCGGCGACGGCGGTGCGCGCGTCATGCTCAGAGGGAGAGGGAGGGGAGGCGTATGCGATCGTGCCCCCGCGGAGGTCCTTTGCGATACGCCTGCGCAGGGTCGACTCTGTGGCGTGGCGCACATCAATCTGCTCTTCGCTCTGCAGGGTCTCGAGGTGTTCGTGCATAGCGTCTGCGAGCTCGAAGATGGCCTTGTACTCGCCTGCGACGTCGTCGCGGCCGCGCTGCTTCATTGTGAGGGTCGCTGTCGCCCATAGCGTTGTGATGCCGACGGTCCAGAGCCATAGCAGCACCATCATGATTGTGAGCTGGATGAAGGAGAATCCCCATTGGTACGTCTGTGCGCGTTAGTGCCGTTGCGTCGGTGGGAGTGCGTGCGGTGTACCTTTGTTGCTTGGCAGATGCCGGTAGACGCGATCTGGTCGTATGAGAAAAGCTCGCCTGCGACGGACCATCTGCGGGGATTTGCTGTACTTTCGGCGGGGCCGGTTGCGTTGAGCCACTGTGAATGGTTGAAGAGGGGGGTGATGAGTCCCCATGATCTGTGCTTGACCTCGAAGCCTGCTGAAGTGTAGTACGATGATATGTTGAGGAGGGGAGCGTCGAGCTTAGAGCCAGCGAAGGTGGAGGATTGATTCCGCAGCCCACGGTACAGCCCGACGTCTATGGATTCGTCAGCAGTGGGGTCTTTTGAATGCAGAGGTTGTCGTCTCACATGCAGATACGTTGAAGATGCGCTGATATACTGTGCAGCGACCGGGTTCGAATTTGTTGCTGGTGCAGTCCAGGTCCAAAGGGTATATCGAGCGCTGAGTCCAGTCGAACATCGTGTCCATGACAGGGTCACCTGAAGTTAAAGTTAGTTACGCTTTATGAATCCTTATAGGAGTGCGTACCATTCTCAGGATAAGCGACAACCTCGTAGTCCTTGGTTAGCCCGACCCTGTCTCCATCGTGGATGACATAGTACAGTGGACGGAAACTGCTAAATGGGATGTTGTTGCTATTAGAGTCGGGCACATACGCCTCTACGTTGCCACTGTAACCCGTCATCGCACCACCGAGCGTGGGAAAGACCAGGGTGAACATCATAGTCAGGACGATGAAAGTCATGGCGAGCTTGGACTGCAAGCCCCGGCGTCTGGTAAAGTCTCGGATGATGCGTGGGATACCGATAATGAGGGACTCGCTTTGCAGGAACACAGTTCGGAACGTGTTGAACGTGACGGGCTGTATCTCCATGGAGGTTGTCACGTATCGCACAAAGGTCTCCCAGGAAAGATACGCAATGAGCGCTTGGCCCCCCCGGCCGACCACCTGCATACAGTCAGCCTCAACCTACGAAGTGCAGAGTTCGTGTCACTTACTATGTCCCAGACAACATCAATAGCTTTCGCCTGTGTGAAGGTCAAGGTCCCACCGCCCAGAGTGATTTGGAAGAATCCCGAGTTTCCCCAGTACTGATACGTGCTAGGCCACAGACTGAACGAGTCGTCCGGGAGACACGCCGACTGCAAGTTGTAATTGCTCTTCTCCCACGTGGACCAGACACACAGGAAGATGAAGCCGGCGGTGAGGCCTATGAACCAGAGGGAAATCAGAACCCACAAACAGCCCCGGCCGGACCGGGAACGGAAGTCTCGACCGGCTTGACGCTGGCTATCGAGCCAGAATGTTTTGACATTCGACGGTGACCTTTCGAAAGTGGATTGCGTTCGCGCTCCCACCCAAGACATGTAGCTGGACGCGCGCGACAGGGACAAAGGTTTGATGTCCATATCGGCGCTGAAGAGTGCCGCAATGCGGCTACTCTATGCACATCCGTGCGTTATCGATAGCGGGGACTATGGCCGGCTTCACAGTGCCAGTAGATGAGAGAATGCGGTGGCAGCGGCGGGCGCTGGGTAAGGCTGATGCTGTACAAATCGAGATGGAGTGCTTAACTCCTGGGGATCGGCAATTGCCCTGGCGAGACTGCTGAACGCTTGCCCGCTTTGAGTGTGGCTGGGTAAATTGCGGTTGGAGAGTGGACGGGAGGTGACGGTCTGAAAATCAAAGGCTAGCGCTATCGCATGTTAGCTTCGCTTAAACATCTCTCGTCACGGACTGTTTGAAGAAGCTGATCCGATCTGCGAATATGGTTTTCAAATCTACTGTCTCAAGCGATGTGCTGCGAGTTGCGGGGTGGTATAGGATATGTCTAATAGCGGATCGCCACGCACCGGAGATGATCTCTCGCGTTGCAAAAGAAGCGGCTGTACATAACAGAACTTCTCCAGGAGTTGTCGGGAAAATCAACACTGACACCGTCCCATGGTTTAATTTCAAAAGTCGATTTCAGAAGCAGGATTTGCTTTCGACTTGTCTGCCACACGAGAGGTGGTGTCTTGCGTTCAGTCGACGACCAGTACCATGCAGAATGATATGAACACTGCATTCAAACGACCCAGCCCCAAGGACTTTGCCTCAGTGGGATTTCGTGCATTGACGCGCAAATGACAGTTGAAGTATTCGGTCTGGATGACCTAGGATCTTCATCGAATTCCGTCTCCCAACCTACCTACTCCGTTATCTTTCCGTCTTCCATCGTTGCTCTGCCCGGGCATGAACAACTCAGCGCTCAATATCAAGACAGCCGGGACGACAGCCAGGGCATCAATCGTGCCACTTCTAGTTCGCTTGCTTCGGTAGCTGAGGTTCATCGCCGCAGCGACTTCCTTGTTCTTCACCTCCTTCTTGATCCTGGGCCACTCCTCACTTGCCTTCCCTGACGAGGAGATTGAAGAGCTCCTGTAACGAAACGGTGACAATGGAGATAAAGAGACTGCTCTCGAGCGGGACCTCGGTGGCGGTGAGAGGGATTGTTGTGGTTGCTGGTACTGCTTTGGTGGGGCTGGCACAGCGGGAAGTGGTATATTGATCTCGGTATATAGAGGACTCTCGTTCTCATCTGACTTTGACGGGGCAGGAGAGACAGTACATGGTAATGATGATGGCCCAGGCGCGGCGTCTGGTGTTGCACCGGCAGAAGTTGTGCAGCTGAAATCGCAAAATGGATCGACGTGCGTGGTGATGATCTCACAACACATAGTCCCAGTATTCATGATGTTCAGAAAGTTGCGATCGCAGTTCGGACGATGTTGATAGTCGGCGTGTCGCGCAGATGCCTGAAGCGAAACACAGCCACCTCAGGCCCCCTATGGTTTGATTTTCAGTGCAATGATCGAACGATCGCGCAATGAGACCTCGGAACTAAAGCACAAAGATTGACCAAAGTTCTGCTCAAGATCGTCAATGATCGCTACGGCGTCTAGCAGTGTCCTCGTTTACTCGTCCTTCGTAGGTATGCGTATTCGGGTGTCGGCCAGGTGTGAGAAGTCGAACGCAAGAGGATGATGACAGCAGTGCGAGGGCGCATCGCGCTTTCACATATTGTTTTCTTTGCCTGTTCAGCTGACCGTCATTCTGATACAGCCACTGGGGCTCACTCAGCCTCAGCTGCCATGCGCTGTGAGTCGCAATTTCGGTGGCCGTGCAGCCGGACTTGTGGTGGGCTCAGTGGGGCGCAGCAGCGAACACTGTAAGATGACATGCGTGCGTCAGAGACATCCTGGGCAGGAGGATCTGCACGAGCGAAAGGCTGATTGCTATGTCATGATTGTGTCTGAGAGGGTTCGATGGGAAGACTCCCGAACTACCGGTAGGTAGAGAGCGGGGCAAAGCGCGGCTTCCTTCAGCACCACATGCCTCCCATCACACGTATACCTACGACGTGCGGCACATAAAGAACCTCGATACAACGCGCAAGTAGCTATGATGCACCGATCACTCCCTGCACATATATAACGCCTTGGGGGTTCGGTCAGCGAAAAGTAGGTTAGCATAGTAGCTGCGCACCCTTTGCCCATGCTCAGTCTCACATGTCATGGAACTGGTTGAACCTTGAAAACACAGGTGGTCTTTAGAGATCCTGTTCTTAAGAATTGCAAGACTTGCGGATCAATAAGACTTTTCGCGACTACAAGGGCGTCTTATTGTATTCAGCTTTCTCTGCGACATGAGAACCAGTAAAGACCATCGAGAAAAGAACAGCAAGAGAGACGGAAAAAATGTGGCTCAATGCAAACATACAGTGTGATCCAGATATCTGCGTGGTTGAGTCCAGGTACGTGCACGCAAGACTTGTTTATTACATATTATATCTTCCGAGCAGATCAGATCATCTTCATCCACCGCAACTGAGCGATTAAGGAAGCTCATCAAAGCGTGGCACGCGCTCTTTTCCGTCTCCTCATCGTATCACTTCTCCTGCTTAAAGAGATCTATTACCTGTACTGGCGCCACAGATGCTCTCCATTCGAGCCAGGTTGAAGGGCAGGCAGGGCTAAGTCTTTAAAACTCTGTCAGATCACCGTCTACGGGAAGCCATCAGTCCGGAGGCCATGCTTTCGATACACTGAATTTTCATGTAGACAGTTTGCATCGGATCTGCTCGTAAATACTTCCCAATCGTAGGCAGCTAGGATGTTCGCGGTGCTCCTGCTCCTTGGCGGTATCCTGAAGCAGCTTTCGAGTAAAGATTGGCTGACTGCCGTCGTCCTCGAAAATCATCGCGTCAACAAGACTATTTATTGGCATCCTGATACGCACGGCAGTCTAGCCATGCAATCTCCTCCGGATTACCCCTGCCACGATAGACCTTAAATTCCGAGTGCATGGTGAATCATGATCTTCAACTAATTGCTCTGGATGATTTCAAGATGTTTGATTCATTAGTTCATGGCAGCTTATGGCTAAAGAGCTGTGACGATGCTCAGTGTTGATCATGACACCAGTATAATTAAAAGAGAAGCGCTTGGGAATCGGCTTCTCGTATTCATCCTACAATACCCCACTCTGATCATCAATTTACTTGAACTGATCTTCAGTGACACCCTTACCCATTGCCGCCGTTGAACTGACGCCTCCCGATACCATTTTCAGCAGGCCATCGACATAGTTGGCACCGCTCCACTTCTGATGTGTCAGCACCTCGACCTTGTTTTCAGCCTCGGGCTCCTGGATGATCTCGCCGTAAGCGCGCATGCCCTGCTTGGCGTACGCCTTAGAGAATGTGTCGGCCATAAGAGCCGTCTGGTGCAGACCGGCAAGTGTAATGAACTGCCAGCAGTAACCGAGCGCACCGAGACGCTTGATGTAGGTCTCCTGTTCATCACGGGGCATGGCAGTCTTCCAATTGAAGGAGGGTGACAGGTTGTATGCAAGCCTGTCGGAGGGTTAGTAAAGTGAAAATACCCAGTTGTGAGAGAAACTTACTTCTGCTCGGGCCATGCGGCGTGAACGCCGTCAGAGAACTCCTTCGCCTGACCGTAATCGGGCTTTGCCGACTCCATCCAGATCATATCGCAGTACGGTGCGTAAGCAATGGCACGGTTGATAGCAGTCTGGCACCCGCCCTGGTACCTGTAGTAACCCTCGCGTGTTCGCGCGGCATCCCAGTTGAAGAAGACATCAACACCCGTTAAGCCCTTTGCGATGGCGCGAGCCTCGGAGTTGCTCTTCCCTTTGCTCTGCTCATTGAATTGAGCAATGAGCTCTTGCTTGTTAACGTGGACGCCAGCGTTGACGGTGTCTGCAACAGCCTCGTGGAAGAGCTTCAGGTGGGCTTCCCTAGTCCACGCATCCTCAATCGCTTGCAATTCTGGGCCAGTCTTTCCAGCCTGCCCTGCCGCATACATGAGATCGCTCAGGGGCTGGATGGCAGGGTTTGTTACACCCAGGATGTAGTGATGATCGCGAGGATCAATCGTGGATGTGATGAGGGTCGCAGCTTCCGAATCTGTACGGGCAACGGCCAGGAGATCACTGCCCATGATATCTGCCTGGGCTCGGATGGCGACCAAGCGGTTGATGTGCTCGCTGATCGGGACCAAAACCTTTCCTGCCATGTGTCCGCACTTCTTTGTTCCCGGTGCCTGGTCTTCGATGTGAATACCAGCAGCACCCTTCTCGACAAACAGTTTTGTGAGCTTCATGATGGCTGTCAAACCACCGTGACCGGTATCAGCATCGGCGATGATGGGCCGCAGGTAGTCGATCTTTCGCAGCTTCTCGCGATCGGCCTTCGATGTAGTGACACGCTCCTCACGCTGCTTTCGGTCATGGAACAGCTGAGCCTGGAAGAGATGTCCAACCTTGTTCGGCACGGTGGTCTACTGAAGTCAGAACGAGCATCGGTACAGATAATTTAGCACTTACGTAGGGGTAATCTGCTAGATCTGGTCCAGGCTCGTCGGTCGACGAAGCTGTAGAGGAGCATTGCCAGCCAGAGACGTACACTGTGTCCAAGTACTTCGCCATTTGTGTAACCATCACAGGGTCAAGGCACCCATATGTGTAGCTGACATCATTCTCCTGTTCTTCATATCAACACTGCCACTGTCCTTATCCAAGAGGTCAACGTACCTTGAAGCGGCCCTCAACCGTCTGCCAAAGCTTTTTCGACAGAGTGTTTCCCGGATACTGAATCTTGATATTTCCACGCTTCGCGACAATTTGCTCAGCTGTGAATGGTCTCTTCGTGTACCTCCATCTTGAGTCAGCCCACCACTGCTTGACCTCCTGGATTTCCTTCTGGTACTGCGCCTCCTCGGCGTCGGCGTGAGACATTGCGGAGATATTCGGTGGCTATTGATCGTGACGTAGGGTATCGAAAGTGCTTTTGAGCCTCGATCTTTGAACAAAGAGAGCAGCAAAGCAGAAGGTATGTTTTATTTGATCGATGGCAGGCAGTGATGACACTCTCTTAGTTTCGATCTCAAGCAGCCGGGCAGCCAAGTCTCTTAAGTAGAACCACAGATCTCACGGCTATCTCAGAGCCAAGTTAGCACGCTCATGAATTCCAGTCACAAAGCTCGGGAAGGTCCGGTTCAAGAAACCATTGGGCCGACCGCTGAGCCCGAGGAAGCTGGCGCATTGAATCAGCGTCCAGCATGCGCAGCTAACGCTGGAGCGTTCAGTAAAGTTCCCTCGGCTGAAAGGGAAATCGCGCGACTGAATGCGTGACTGGTGCAAATCCGGTGGATGAGGGGACATCGGGCAGGAGCTTTGACAAGAATGACGTTGTGTGCTAATTACTTGGGCTGGACCTAAGCTTCTCACAGTGCCGTCTGCTCAATTGGCCTTCCTCATCAGCAGTGCTGCTTATGCTGAAGTGGTGAGCTTGTGGCACGCGGCCTCCATGCAGCTTCACATGCCAATGTAAGTGTGTTCTTTTGCTCGCTGCATGACATGTGAAGGTGCAGGTCCTCAACCCCAGATTTTGCGCCCCGTCACGCTAGGTCCCAAGAGATGGTCTCGCATAACCTCGGCTGTCGAATCCGGCATGGCCTGCGCTTGGCCAGAACACTTCGACTGTAGCATCAGGATGATGGCACGCACATGTGGTTTGACATGATCTGAAAGATGACTCAGGCCCGGTTTCGGAGCGGTGATTCTTACTGGAATTCGAATCCCTAGATGACTCCGAATAAATGCCGCACGATTGTCAAGAAGTCCAGAGTGGACCCTTTCTTGTTTTCGAAAATGTGTCGCTTGTACGTTCACGAGCTCATAAGATGATTTGGAGTGATTCGTTGCATGGATGTATTTGGTGTATACTATTGCAACTGTAATTTACACTAACAATAGCCCTTCAGCAGTCCATATGCGTGGCACGCAGTGGCTGCCGCAATACTTCCTGACAACGGCCACCAGTCGTCTTCAAGGAAGACATTCCGACCAGAGCTATTTGGGTTTGACACCTGTGTTGCTGCAAAGTAGCATAGTGAGATTCTAAGAGCCCAGTCCATTAAAGTAATGACTTGGGGGAAGCCCAAGCAGAACCTCTGAGCCAGGAACAGCTTGGTGACTGTTCTTCGGAAGTCGCCAGCGTACTCTGGTCGCTGATTCTTGACGAAGCTGTCCATCTCCGAGTGCTTCGTAGCACGGATATGTTCTAAACGAAACTCAGGGCTTTTTGGAGTTGCGTTGTATGCAGGCTCGGCCGGCGCACATCGTAACTTCTTCAAAAGCAACCACTTTGCTTCATTCAGGCGCCCTCTTCGAACTGTGCTTCGCGAAGGTGTAGAAGCAGATTGCGTAAGTATTTGCGCCAGCAGCTCAGAACGTGAGATCCAACATGTTCGGTTCTTCTCGTCGGTGAAGATGCACTCACGGTCGAATGCTTCTGACGTGTAGGCGTAGTGAACGAATCGGGAATAGAATGCGGGCGTGAGAACACGGATCTCGAGCTCTTTGACAGCGCCTCCTCTCGGGGGCCGAGTACACTCAATGTTCTGCGTCGGAATCTCGGGTATTGTGGTGTGCAGTATGATCCGAAAGTCGTCTCGAGCTGAGTTGACGAGGTGAGTCAAGTAGTCACAGAACACCTGCTGGATCGCGCTGTGCAAGTTAGTATCTTAGAAAAGCCTAACCTCACTAGTTGCACTTACACTTCTTGCGAAGTTGGAAGCCGACCTAAGCTAGGCGTGAGGACTTCTGGACGGAACCACACATGCAGACTTCGCTTATAGAAAAGACTGCCCGCTTCCTTCACGATACGTGGGAACGTGACGAGACCTACCCACCACCATCTCAATATGAACCACGCTGCACCTAAGAACCCAAGGTCGTCCGGATCGACTGGCGTTCCAACACTGTTGAGGTGAGCCACAACCTTCGCATGGTCTTTTGATGACTTCAAGGTAATCGTGTTGTCGATCATCGGCCTGTCGTATCCGGCGTAAGGGAATGGGTTCTGGGCTTTGAGTACGTACGAACCCTTCCGCGAGTTGAACGGCGAAACATGGAAGTCCTTCATCCAAAGATCAGTGAACCAGGGCTTAGCTCCAATGGGCATTTCTGATGCGGTCTCCGCTTCACGGGTGGAGTCTGGAGTCTGTGGTGGAGTTGAAGGACTGGTGCCGTTCAGGAGGTATGTCCTACGCTCGCCGAATGTGTTATTGACCTCGAGTATCATATTCTTGAGCTGGTACTCCCGATCGTAAATATACCAGAACGACACGGGATTGAAAGAGTATCCCAAAAAGCGAGGGGCAGTGACCAGGTAAGCGTACGACCAATCATCATCGTCGACGTTCTGGTTCCTCATGAACGTCTGCAATTTTCCATAGAAGCCAGCCTTGCCATTGCCTCGACTGAGATAGTCGACGGCACGGATGCGCAACCACCAGCTACCTAGCTCTTCATCTGCTCCAGTCGCAACATCGTGACCGTCACCATCTATACCGCCAGGTATGATTGGAAATCCGCATTGGAGATAAGAGTATTCGAAGGCGTGGCGTTTCGGAAACATGCGCGCATGTTTCGTTTCACACGGGAAGATCTTGGCCTTGGGATACTGGAGCGTCCATTTGCTGATATTCTTCGCGATTTCGAGTACGTCTCGGTCGTTGTTCGATCTGTGTCGAGATTGTAATCCTAGAACGGCAAGTGGGCCTGTGATGAGAGCAAAGACCACCATTGAAGACCCCACAGTCGCGCCAGATGCATCCCAGCTCTTGTGCAGAAAATCTGCCAACTGCTCTCTTGAAAGCCATGCTGCAACGACTCCAAAGATGCAGCAATCTGTAGTCAATTGTCGGTCCTCATAGTACCTCCGGAATCCTGCGCCAAGCGCCCAGGTGGCGAATGCAACAAGCATCACCGCGCAACGCTCGCTGATACAGTCAAAACCTAGTGGAGAAGCAGACAGGAATAATAAGGCCGTGAAGGCCACGAGGGCACTGCGCACAATATGAAGTTGAGGTTGTTGTCACAGTCGAGGTCGAAAAGCCTTGAATGATCGTCTTTCTAGCTTGACACGCACTAAACCGCATCCTGTCTGTCTATGCAGGGCTTACACGCCGAACACATTTGCCATGCGATCGGAATCTCGAAAACGTTCCATGGTTGCTCTTTTTGCGTTTTCCGTTTCCAGTGGAGCATTTCTGCAGAGGATTTGCATTCCATACCACGAATGACGGTGTTGCCGCATGTCGGCGAACCAGACGCCATCTCGTGGAACCGTTTCGAGAAGGCAGCTAGCGAATCAGAAGGGGTTCAGCCCATATGTGCGTTGCATCAGCACAATCTGTTCGGATCTAGGGTAGATAAGATCGAGAGCAGTCGAACGTCGCACGGTGTCCCTCCTCAGTGCTACCACTTCTTCGTGGAACTAATGCTGCGATTCAGAAGTTCGAAGTCTGCGTATTGACCGAATTAGATATTCACGACAATCGACCCCGTATTGCGTTGGATCTTTGTATAGACCGGCAATGGTCGACAGTATATTCCTCAGGTGGAAGTATGTCTTCGTAGTGCTGAAAGTCCGATTGCCCTTGCATATCGAGACAGTACCAAATGCTGCACGAAGACATCAAGCTCCAGGCAAAGTGCCTGGATAATAATTGTATGCGTCGTCACAGAGAGTGCGATGAGAGGCTCGCAGAAGCAGCGACAGTCCTCACAGCCTATTTTAGTAGCCCAGCCTGAGGTAGTCAGAGCATTGGCGCTATGGAACTACGTTTGTGGACGAGAACCCCATGTGCTGTTTTGGCATCGTGACCCACGCACCTTTCAGTCAAAAGTAAATTGCATCTGAACCCTTCGGCTCAGCGCTTGGGTTTGAAGGGCCTGAAGGTCTTGTTCGCGTTGTGTATTGTACAAGTGCATCTAGTCTAGAGTCTCATGTTACTGTCACTTGGGAGCCTTATCGACCGCACCGTCTCCTGGTCGGTCTTGCAAGCAGCTTGGAGCTGTGAGATTTCGGGGAAATAGAGGTGGTGTTATGCACTGCCGTTGGTCGCCTTTTCCGCTTTGGGTGGAGTGTTGTCAATCTGTATAGTGACCTGTCGCATTCATCAGTAGGTGGTATTATTGCAGATTTCTACCCATCTGCTCAGAGGCCTGGGAGTATAGGATCAACTTACTGGGCCATCGTTGATCAGCGCAACGTCCATCATCGCAGCAAACTGGCCGTTCTTGACCTTATCTTCGCCGTGCAGGGTCTGTATCCGCTTATAAAAATGGTCGTACAGCTGTTTAGCCTTCTCTCCACTTGCAGAAGCGTGGAAATCTGGTTTGTTGCCCTTCTTTGTTGTTGCGTACAATGTGAACTGAGAGACTGGACAGGATCAGTGCATTGCGTAAGATGGCTACAGCAAGCTTCCCGTACCGCAAAGGACCTCTCCATCAATCTCTTTCACATTGTGCTTCCATCGGCTCACAGGATCTGTCGACTCGTCGTCCCAAAGCTTGGTCTTCAAGACCTTAGCAGCCATAGACTCAATCTCTTTCTCCGAGTCATCTCTGGAGACAGCGGCCAGGATCAAGACTCCTCTACCAATAGATGATATGATTTGACCGTCGACTGTAACTGATGCGGACTTGACTCTCTGCAGCACGGCTGTGCATAAGTCAATGGCCTGGCCTTGGATGGCTTGCAGTAGACGTACTCCTCATGATGGCGGGGTAAATTGGAGGCTCTCAGAGGCTGCAGCAACAAAGCTGGTAGTCTATGCTTATGTCTGGCAGATGAAAGAATTTATACGTCAGTTCACCATGGGTTTGATCGCCTAGACTGGTATAATGATGTTTAATTGACCACAACGCGTGGAGACGCGCTGGTCGATTTCGGTGGGGATAGGGCTAGTGTTCCCTTGGCACGCTAACCTCAAATCGCGATTACCTCCAAGTGGACGCATTCGACCCTAACGCTTGCCAAACGCCCGTGACGAACACCCCCCGCCCATTGCGACCGAGCAGACACACTCGCGCTCGCCGTCGATACCGCCACTCTATCATTTCCGCACGAATCACGCGCCCCGAACGCCGTAACCCAAGCTCTCGCGTGAGGCTACGCAAACACAATGGCAGCTCGCAAGCTCCAGCAGGAGATCGACAAATGCTTCAAGAAGGTCGCAGAAGGCGTCGCGACGTTCGAGACCATATACGACAAGATCATCCAGACGTCAAATCCTTCGCAGAAAGAGAAGCTGGAAGACCAGCTGAAGAAGGAGATCAAGAAGCTGCAACGGTCGCGCGACCAGATCAAGACATGGGCTGCCATGAGCGAGATCAAGGACAAGAAGCCACTGTTGGACCACAGGAAGCTGATTGAGACAGTAGGCCGCTGCCAATCGCTGCGATGATGTCATGCTAACGCAGCGCAGCAAATGGAGAAGTTCAAGGCTGTCGAAAAGGAGATGAAGACCAAGGCATACTCGAAAGAGGGGCTATCATTAGCAACGAAGATCGATCCGAAAGACCGAGAACGGTTGGATATGGTCGAGTTCTTGCAACACATGAACGAAGAGCTGGAGCAGCAAGTGGAAAAGATTGAGGCTGACGTGGAGATCATGCACGCTGGCATGAAGAAGGGCAAGAAGTCAGACAACGCGAAAGCTGAGCGGATAGCGGAGCTCGAAGAAATTGCAGAGCGACATAAGTGGCACCAAGGCAAGCTGGACTTGCTGCAGCGAGCGCTGGAGAACAGCAATGTCGATACAGAGCAGGTCAAAGAGATCGAAGACAGCATCAAGTACTACGTTGAAGAGAATCAGAACCCGGACTTTATGGAAGACGACACGATATACGACGACTTCAACTTGGACGAAGAGGAAGCTATATACGGCATGGGCAACGAGGCAGATCGCGTCTCGTCACAAGATACACAATCGATAGCAGAAGAGCCAGAGTCGGAAGCTCGACCGACGGCAATAAAGGCTAAATCTAGCGAAGCAGCAGGTGCGCGACGGCCATCGACGCAACTCAAGTCGCCCCTACCAGTGTTGGCAACGCTACATACACCGCTACCTGGCGCATCAAATACAGCAGCAAGCTCCATGAAGCCCGCACCGATACCAACGAGAACGCCAGGGGAGCCACTCAAGTACGCGTCAGCAGCGGCAGCGGCAGCTGCAAGCGATAAGAACGGCGTAGGGATAGCGCCCCTGCCTCCGCCACCAGGGTTGGCCTCGAACCTAGCTCCAGGACGTTCAAGCGCGGCAGCTTCTCCAGCGATCGCAAATGTGCAACCAGCAGCACGGCCCCAGCCACCAGCCGACGCACCGACACCAGCGCAAGCACAGCCCTCGAAGTCACCAGCTGCTACGCCGAGTGTGCCAGCAACCCCTGCCGCAGAGAAGCAAGGCCTTTCTCGTGCAGCATCAGTTGAGGATACCAAGGCTGCAAGCAGAAAGAAGACACCGGCGCCAGAACCTGCAGCCGACGAGGAAGATGAGTCGCAGACAACAACGCCACCTCTTACAAATGGTGAATCACATGCTGATGATGAGGAAGAAGAGTCAGTCTACCACCTCCCATCAAGCTTGCAGGACTTGCTCGATTCCTTCGAGGCGACGAAGAACGATATCAGTGCAGGCGCGACGAAGCCTCCAGACGAGCGAATGCTGGCAGCATCCATGACTACCGCGCCCGACTCTGCTGATACTGACGCACCGCGTCACTACCGTCCACAAAATCCTTACCCATTCACACCTGCACACTACCCACAAGAGCCGCTGCCGATATTCGACGACCCTCGGCTGTATTCGCGCATCGAGACAGATGCTCTGTTCTACGCTTTCTATTACCGTCAGAACACGTACCAGCAGTATCTCGCCGCCAAGGCGTTGAAGTCCCAGAGCTGGAGGTTCCATAAGCAGTACCAGACCTGGTTCCAGCGCCATGAAGAGCCCAAGGCGATCACCGAAGACTATGAACAGGGGACATACAGGTTTTTTGACTATGAGAGCACATGGTAAGCAAATCCCTTCTCAATACGGCTGAAGGTCGACCGAGTCAAATCATCCCCGCCGATATCAAAGACTTGACAGTAGCAATGCGGCACCCCCGATCGCTATATGGCACAACGGAATTGGTAGAGGGCCAACTTGTGAAGCGGGTATAGACTCTACCTACGTTCGTGGTAGTCCAAAGTGTTGAAGTTTGTTATCTGCAGCGATCAAGAAAGTCTTCGAGGCAGTGGTTCGAGCGATCGGTCATCTCCGTGTACTATTACTTCCATAACTTTGCTGACATATTTCAGGATGAACCGTAGGAAGGCAGACTTCCGATTTGCCTACAAGTTCTTGGAAGATGACCTATGATGGCAGGCTCCTCCGGCTCGAGCAAACGCTGAGATGGTCACGATAGTGTCTTTCTGTAATGGATGTAGGTAGTTCAGGAATCGGGGTTCCAGTGCGGAAGTTATTGTTCGCTTCTCAAGTAAATATCCGCGTGTGCAGTTGTTGCACATCTCATCGGTCGCAGTAGGCTGTGTCTGCAAGACGCGATCGTGATTGGACAGCTACTCGACGACTATAAGCTTGTGGCGATCCGACATGCAGTAAGCGTAGCATCGCTCAAGACCGCGTGTCGCTCAAGACCGCGTGTCGCTCAAGACCGCCGCTTACATAAATGTCACCCCTAGGAGGCTGAGCTGCATATCATCCTGTGGCTTTTGAAGCGAGGGGTCCTTACACTGCAGGCTTAACCCACTTGTGACCGGCTAATGTGTACACCGTCGTAGTTGCAATTTGCCGGTTAATGGTCGAGATACTGTGCAAAGAACACAGACCTCTCTCGTTGGCAAAGGGCCGAGAATTCGCTTCCGCGTTGAGCTAGGTCATCTCGAACGCGCGATCGCTGCTTACTGACTTGGGCAGGTACTAAACTCTATCAACCAAGCCCGTTCTTTGCGATGCTCCTGGTCAGTTATTCTGCATGGCGGAACAGAATACCGAGATAAATTAAGTTCTTCACAGGTCGACGCTTGAGCTTTCACGGCAACCCAACGCCATCATCCATGAGGCTAGGCAAGAAAACGCGACTATTCCCTAGAGTATCGAAATATTGACTTTCAAGATCACTTTTGAATGCACATCCCATCACGGCGTTCTGCATTGGCCACTCCGTCTCAAAGCTACAATCGAAAGTCGATGATCGTTTTGCTTTGGGGACCAATCATAGTACCCAAATGTCACACCGGCGCCTCAGAAGCTCCAGCAAGTTTTACTTGGATATATGGGGTAATGTACGTAATCACAAGCTTGTTGATTGTGCAAACCAAGTACATGTAGTCTTTGACCTCGCCCAGCACACCCGCTTAGGCCACGCTGTGCTCCGTTGCGGGTTAAGCTGTGCCGTGTCAACCTTGCTCTTTCTTTCTTACTATTGACCAGGCGCCAAGGTTTGCCAAGTGTCAGGCCTCTGTGCCTGATTAAGCGTGGAGGCTGCTTCAATCTGTCTAACTACAGGCTCTCTAGCATTTAAGTTCTTCCAGCTATTATGTTGCCCCCCCCCCCGCTGGCATGGGCCGCTCCCAATTCACAACTGATCATCCAGCCTAGATTTAGGAGCATCGATTGTCGTTGGCAATTTCTATTCCAGGCTACGTCTACAGTTTCTGTACCATGCTGTCGAGCTCATGAAAGTTTTATCACGACGCAGGGCGTGCCGGGGGGTTGCGGGTAGACACCCGCGGTGCGGTGTACACAATCAAAGTGTCGCAGCAAGGATCGAGGTGAGGGTGCATGTCACGTGATCCGCATCTGGATATTGGACCGATCAGACACTGGCGATCGACCACGTCATGGTGAGCGGAATCGGGTACAGCTTGGAGCCGTGATTAGGGCTCCAATTAGGGTATAGCTGGACGAGTATCGGTGTATATATTCTGCTCATTCAGCACCGTAGATAGAACAAGGAACTTGATCACTTTCTTCACACTTGATCAACGATCAGAGACTGCTCAGCTTCCACACAAAGGCTTGTAAAGCGTCTGTCGGTCCTCAAGTTAAATTGAGATAAACTCGACCTGGTAGTAGAACTCCCCGAAGGCGATCATCGAGTATGCAACAAAGGCAGGGAACACCATGGTCGATACTGGTTTATGTGAAGGCAGCCAACACACGTCCATGTCTGCTCAAGTACACACGAACTTCCTAGATGGGTTCCACTCAGGACGCACGCGAAATGCCCCTACCGTCCGCCCGTACCATCCTGTTGGGTACTTGGGCGCTTTGTGCCCAACATCCTCACTCCATCTTGTCGAGGATCCTTACACCCCTAACATGTCTGGATATGGAGTAAGACCTCGGCCTGCATCTTGACCTCGCAGAATGTAGGCTGACCATGCCTTCAGTATCCCTCATCTTACCCAGAACAACCTGACTTTTCCTCATACACGACAGCCTACCCCGGTTTTGCACCATACACCCAGACACGGATGAATGAGTACTTTGCACAGTACCAATGCTACCTACCGCAGCCGTACCAAATCCTCCCAGACTTTTACACGCAACCGATCGCTCAGCCAGTCAGACAGCTACTGCCAAGAACAATGACACAACACCTCCCGACGGCCTTAAATGCTTGTCAGCCAATCTTCGATGTACCTTTGAACTATGAGGAGCCCAGGGCTCGGTGGTCCTCACAGGCTAGCCCGAACGAGCAGTTGCAAAGCATAGCGCAGACTCAAAGCCAAAGTCACAATCAGAGTCTAGAGAGGTGAGCAGTGAGGAACCATCCAACAGCCGCAAATACACTTCGGAAAGGGACACTGACCTGGAACAGAAGCAACAGTCGAACAAAGTACCTGCCACTTCTACTTTCCCCTACTCACCTAATCGGCACGATCACCCAGAAATGTCTCAAGCGGTCCATTGACAAGGCCCAGGACATGGACATGTAATGTCCCGCGCTGCACCTCTTTCGCGAATTTCACCCGGCTGGCCGACCTGCATCGTCACCAAGCCACGGTACACGGTATGGGCAAACCTGAGTTCCCATGCACCATTCCACACTGCCTGAGAATAGGAGATAAGGCATTCACAAGACGAGATCATCTGATCGAGCACCTGAGAAATTTCCATAAGGTCGACGTGCCGAAACGGAAGGCGGGCGAGAGAAGCGCTTTCCCGCATGGGTGGCCAGAACGCATGGAAGCGGAAGGCAGCCGAAGGATAAGCAATTGAACTTCTTCACTTGCAAAGAGCATGCAAGTGAAGAGTCTATGGCTGATACTAGAGATCTTATTATATACAGGAGGATAAACACACATTTCGAACATGTCATAGCTATTGATGGCAGGACTAAGACCACGGTCGTATCGAGTGTCTACCGACAGAACCGTTCAGCATTCGGTATGAATCCGGCTAAAACATAACCTCGAGTAACTGCCAGCTTGCCGTATCTATACATCAAATGCCTGGGCAAAATTCGTCCGAGTCGGGGCCTTTGCACCGAAGTGACCAAGTCCGCGTGATTCGTGCGATTTCTGCGTACGCGAGGATGACTTTCCAGTAATAAACGGCCAACAATGCAGCAGCACTTACGGGATATAACCCAATTGCATGGCTCTCTATCCGCAGACCCACTTAGGCCACTTACCTATGTGGCGTCTCTCCGTTGGCACGTATAGGCCGCGGTACATACTCCCGTAGCAGGCCACATCCGAGCCTACGACAAGCTCACCAGCCTTCACGAGGCTGTCTATTCTTGTCTTCTGGAAATGGAAAGATTGCACAGTAATGACTGTTCGTCCATTGATGGATTGTGTGGTATAGCTGAGATCTGTGATTGCCCCTACTCGGATGCCTGAAAAGCTTTCACAGACAGGGGGGCAGGTTTAAAGTTGGCAGGCAGCGGGAAATTGACTAACTACGAATTTGTCTTCATCGGTAGACCTTATGCGAATAAGTCAGCGTTCCGATGTCAGCAGTAACACTCCCGGAGTACTTGAACCGGATCAGCCACTCTCATATGTTCGATATTCAGAATAAGAAGACGAGTCAAAATGACGTGTTCGCGGCCACTGCTGATGTTCTGCAAGAGTTCTGGGTGGTGCTAGTTCCCAGCTGAAGGCCAGGATGCTAATCGTTGTGTAGGGCGCTACTTCAAGTTAGCAGGAGTATTCGATTGCAGATGATTTGAAACTCTCGAGACTCAGTTTAAGGGAGCTCTAACCTTGATGGAATTCCGTTGTGGCGACTACAGCGGCTAATGATATCTACTACTCAGATGCAGAACCGTGATTTGGACTCGTGAGATTAGAGATCGATGTGCACGGCAAAATGAAGGTAAATCGATCTGATTTTCCAGTACAGCGATCAACGGTCTTGACTGAGGCAAGTCTTCACTGCGTAGATGCTGGTAGACCGCTATCCACAGTTCTTAGCCAATCAGAGCGAGAGAATGGCTGCGTACTAATCAGTCGCGTTGTGATACTGCGACAGCGTCGAGGCAATCAAACTGCACACAATTTAGGTCGTGATGTCTCAAGATGTCTTCAAATAGAGTCAAGGGCGTACGCGATTTCGTCAGATGGGAAGCATGTCAACCTATGACGTACGGACAGGTGAGACTTGTTCACACTAGCGCTACATGCCCTTGGAACAGGCAGCGCAACCATAGACAGGGTCCTTTTCAACATCGTGCGACCTATCGTTGCCCCTACAAATATTCATCCTGCAGCTATCGCCACGGCTGTGACTCATGTCGTATAAACCTCGCATATATCAATATTCGACTGACCTACCTTTGCAATAACTGCTCCCACCTTACCTCGTGGCCCCGCATTCGAGCCGCCCAACCGCGAACGCATTTAGAGTGCTGTTGACAGCACCTATCCTCAAAAGCCCAGCGAAGTCCGCTTCCGCAGCGGAATACTTTCTGCCACTATGCGCGACCTTCGCAAACAGGCTCTCGAGAGCCACAAGACCATGTCGCGCAAAGCGCGATCCAAGGTCGCCTCTGGCGCCTCCTCGATCGCCGGCTCACGCACTGCTAGCCGCAACGTCAGCCGAGCTCCCTCAGACGACGGCGATGATAACGGCTATCTTAGCGACGACACCGCCTGGAGGTGAGTTTTGGCCATTTCAACAACTTTTTCGTCGCTTCCCCACATCGCGGTTCGCAGAATGACATCATTACCCGCGACGCGAGCAACGCGCTAACAGTGTCGTTCACAGCACCAATTCGATCGACGAGATCCTCAATGGCGAAGATGTGCACATATCTGAGGCGCAGTGGAAGTCTGAGCTCAGCGTGCGCATCGAGCAGATTACCAATCTGAAGCGTAGCACGACTGAGGGCCGCACCGAAAGCTTTGCGGCCTATGCACACATCCTCATGGCACGCTATGCCAACGAAGAGATCGAGCCTCACATCAGAGAGCTCTTGCAGTCTATGCTACGCAGCGTTAGACAGGAGACCACAGAGCGTGAAGCTCTAAAAGCACTGAAAGGTACGATCCAGAACGCTCCAAGCACGCCGACGTCGCTAACCTCTTCTAGCACTCGCTGCAACAATAGTCACTGTCGACACCGGTGAAATCTATGATGATGTTTCGACTGAGCTTAAACGAGCAATACAGTCCGAGTCTGTCGATGTACAGGTCCACGCGATACACTGCCTTGGTCTGGCTACATTCTTTGGCGGAGCCGGCGAGGACGAGATCAAGGACAACATGACGTTCTTCCTGGAAATCGTAGAATCAGATGGCGCCTCCGTAGATGCTCAGGACAACGGCAATATCGTCACCGCTGCGCTCGAGAACTGGGGGTTGCTCGCAACAGACATCGATGACCTCGAGGAAGAAACGGAGGCTGCTGTTGAGGCCTTTGTGGATCAGCTTGAGAGCTCTGATGCCAATGTGCAGATTGCGGCCGGTGAGAACATTGCCCTTCTGTACGAGAAGTCATACACAGAGCAAGAAGCGGACGAGGAGATCGAGAAAGAGCCAGAGGACGAAGATGACCCAGAATATACTAAGGACGGCGAGAAGCTAGTCAGGCGCTATCAGGTTTACCGCAATCAACCAAAGCTACTGCAGACACTCGACGAGCTGGCGAAGGTGTCATCCAGAAGGATCTCAAAGAAAGACCGTAAGACATTACACTCTGGTTTCACGGAGATCCGCAATTCGGTCGAGAAGCCATCTCGTGGACCTGGGTACTCAACAGCGATCGACCAAGAAAGCGGACGAGCATACGGTGCCGGCCGCATGAAGGTCAGGATCAATCGCAACCTGGAAGTTAGGATCGACAAGTGGTGGAAGCTTTTGAGACTGAACGCGCTGCGACGGACGCTTCAGGGTGGCTTCGCGTACCACTATGAGCAGAACGAGATCGTCTCATCAGCCTTGCCGTTCTCCGTGGGCCGTGGCAAGAGCTGGTGAGCGATAGGTCATGTTGTAGAGCCCTTGCGTTTGGCTTGTGTGTGGCACATATACCTGGTTTGCATTGGCGTTTGGACTACCCATCAATGACTTTTGCTTTCAAGACGGCATTTCGATAAAAGCAGAGCAGCATTTCCTACGATAAGAGTATTATGAAAATGGGATCGGCAGCCTTGTTGCGCACGGTCATTTCGACGATGCCCCGCGTTGCCCCTCACCAGTGAATGTTGGTGTTTACAAATACATTGAGCTGGTTCTGGCGGATGTGTGAAGCGTAACTTGATCTCTAAATTCATGTAGCATGCGATTTGAAGCTCGTTCTCACCGCCCTCGCCAGTCTCCATGGACGGTCGCACCCGTTGTAGGGGAGCACGCGCTTGGCGGGGCTGTACAGCTTCGAGAACTTTCTGGCAGCTTGACCGGCGCTTCACTTCAATTACATTCCGCAGTTACCTCTGCGACTGTTCAACCACATACCTCCAAACCTCATACACACGCTCTGTAGCAACTGATACGCGAACATGGCCGACAGTAAGCAGACGTCACAGTCATCAGACAAGCAAGCACTGACACTCAATAGAGCGAACTCGCTGCTTCTTCGACATCGACGTTGGCGGCGTGAAGGCTGGCCGTATCGCCTTCGAGCTCGTACGTCCACCCCTCGGCCACTCCTCAATTTGCTAACAAGAGCAGTACAACGACATCGTTCCCAAGACTGCCGAGAACTTCCGCGCGCTATGCACCGGCGAGAAGGGTGTCGGCAAGGCTGGCAAGCCTCTGCATTACAAGGGATCGGGCTTCCACCGCGTCATCAAGGGCTTCATGATTCAGGGCGGAGATTTCACAGAAGGCAACGGCACCGGTGGTGAGAGCATCTACGGCGAGAAGTTCGAGGATGAGAACTTCGAGAAGATCCACGACAAGCCTTTCCTGCTGAGCATGGCCAATGCTGGCCCTGGTGAGTTGAACTTTGAAGTTGTGCATGCGATCATTGCTGATTTAAGACAGGGACCAACGGCTCGCAGTTCTTCGTCACCACCGTCCCCACACCGCACCTCGACAAAAAGCACGTCGTCTACGGCGAGGTTATCAACGGCAAGAGCATCGTGCGCCAGATCGAGAACTTGAAGACCCAGAGCGGCGACAAGCCGTGGCACGACGCTACCATCATTGGTGAGACGCACAAATACCAAAACAACTGGATCGTGGACTAACGAGGGGACAGACTGCGGGGAGCTTACAGGCGATGAGTATGAGAAGGCCACCGAGAAGACTCCCGACGTCACCGGCGACCCGTACGAGGATTTCCCTGAGGACCAGTTGCCGGGCGACGAAGAGTGGCAGAGCGCGCAGATTTTGAAGATCGCGACCGAGCTGAAAGATATGGGCAACGCCGCGTTCAAGAAGCAGGACCTCAGCCTCGGCATCAAGAAGTACAACAAGTCGCTCCGCTACCTGCACGAGATCCCTGCGCCAGAGGACAATGATCCCCCGGAGCTGTGGAAGAGCCTCCAGGCGCTCAAGGTCACCGTCTACTCTAACCTCGCCCTGCTCCAGAACAAGACGGACCAATACAACGAGGCCGCTGAGAGCGCGACCAAAGCGCTTGAGATCGAGGGTATTACAGAGAAGGATCTTGCCAAGGCTTACTTCAGAAGGGCGACTGCGAAGGTTGGCAAGAAGAACGAGGAGGATGCGCTGGCGGATCTGAACGAGGCGATCAAGTACGCGCCAGGCGATGCGGCTATCGTGAAGGAGTTGGACCTGGTCAAGAAGAAGGTGCAAGCAAGGAAAGAGAAGGAAAAGAAGGCCTACGCGAACGCGTTCAACTTCTAGGCGATGGATATGAGAGTCTGCGGAGAAAATAGATACGACCACGATTGCATGAGCGACAAGACATACTGAAGAAGAAGAATAATATCAACGAACCCATCATGACTCGAAACCAACAGCTTGAGCTCGCAGTGGGCCCAAAATGGAACCGCAGATGCTTGTCTCTGCAGCTAATTTTGTCGTCATCAAGGCGCGAAGGATTCAGAAAGTCCCCGTGCTCCACTTCGACAGCTCGCGTGCCCACATCCGTAGCCGTGCACACAGCCTCACCGGCGGACAGCTGGACGCCTTGAGACAAGCCTCAGTCTCCACCAGATGGATTCCGCCCTACACGAATAGATACATGTACGCAAGTCTTGTATGTCTCAAACCATCTGGAGCATACAACCGACACCCCTCAAATCCGTGCATACCGATACAATATGAACGATAGCTAGAGCTTCTACTAAGATCTCCTTCACACTTCATTTTAAGCAGATAATTCCGAAAACAACACTGCCACATACATTATTACACACACAATGTCAGGGCACTACGCACCCCTCGACCAAGACCATGGCCAATATCTTCCCGCACAACAGTGTACGTCTGCAGCTGTCACTCGCCCCATACCCCCCTGCCCTCCTCACGTCACCATCCCTAACTATATCCAAAGCCGGAACGGCCCCGCAACCGCAACCGCAGCCACAGCACCCCATGGCGTGGCACGCGCAGATCGCGGAAACAGAGCATGAAGCCGTGCAGCAGAGGAGAGAGGATACGTGGTGCGACACGCGCGTGCCTGCGTGCAGTTGCCGCGGCGGGATGTGTGATTGGCTCCTGCGGTGGTCGGATTTCGTGTGCTGTTGGGCCTGTTTGGGGAGTTGTCTCTGCCGGTAGGGCCGCTAGGGAGGCAGGTTTAAGGTGCTGTGCGAGGGCAGTGGTTCTGCGCTTCGGGACCTGCGCTCCAAGACTCACCGGATAGGTGGGTGCTATGTACCTTTTTTCTGTGCGGCACTGGCACGTGTGTACAGGTGGTGTGGGATGGCTGGGTGTGTGTGGGAAAGAAGAGGAAGAGTATATCGAACGTTGCAATGTGATTGTATTGTACAGTGGGCTGGAATTGTATGTACTATAAGCGTTGTATCACTCGTGAAGACATGCTCATAGGAAGACGACTGTCGTGCTTGTCTCCGAGTATATCTCGCTAGCACTAAGCAGGGAAGCTCCTCCCGGCAACAAGGCCCCTGCCCTCGCGTGCCGAAGAGTCCCTGTCATTGCGTCCTGGCGCAGCAATTTTCTGTCCAGGCTTCGGTGAAGGAGCACCAGCCAGAGCCAAACCCGTCCCGTTGAACTGGAACGCGACGACGCCCCCAAACGACGCGTCCTTGTTGCTTGTCGCGATCTTCATCATAAACACGTTCTCCTGCTCGACGGCCGCCGGCACGCCGTTGCTGAAGGCCCCGGTGCTTGAGGGATCGATCACGGCGGATACCGGGCCCGCACCGTCGGTGTTCACGATGCGGAATGGGCTGGTATCAAGCCGCCTTCGGTGAGGGGAGGGTACCGCCGCTCTGGGCCATTATGCTGGCGACCATGTCGAAGGTGTTTGCGCCTTGGGCCGATCGTGCCGAGGCCGTCGGTGGCGATCTTAGTGCTGCTGAAGACAGTGGCGTCGTTTTGGTTCCTGCTGGGGCCGGGGTTGATGTCGCCCGCAATGCCAATCGCGGTGCTGTTGTCGCCAGCGTCTCCCTGGACAGCTGCAATCTTGCCATAGGCGGCGATCACTATGGGGGCCGCGGAGCCGACGAGAAGAGCGGAGAAAGTTATGTTGGTTGATTGAAGGTGATTTTGAGGAGGTGTAGATTGATGATGAACGTAAGGAAGGATGGGAAGTTATGAATGAATGTAAGGTGCAGAAACGAACCAGGCGCTTTGCTTAAGAATAGATAAGAATTAGAGGTAACTTGAGATTGTGAACTGATGATGTTACCCACAAGCTGGGTGCAGTCGTCTTATATACCCCTTGTCTGTTGAACGTGAACATAGTTGTGGCGTTCTGGTCATCTCCTCACATAGAATCAAGTCGCGAAACTCCTCCGCTCGAGAATCCCAAGCCCCAGATCTGCAGCATCGAGGCTAGGTAAGCCTTGCTTGTAGACGAACCGTTTTCAGATAGGGCGTGACAAGCTCTAACAAGCTTTCAAGGTAGGGTCTTGGTGGGTCTATACGGATCGAGCTTCGATTAGAGTGATGAACGGATGGCCTTATATCTTTTGACTTGATCATGCCCCATGGTGATGCGCTGGTGCTACTACAGGACGCCAAAGCATGCGCTTCGCCACATTTCGGGGTGGGAATATCCTGTCGAAGCACTCGACGAATGTGCATTGTCCAGCGCGCAGGTGAAGACGTGCGTCAAAACGATGTCTCGGCGTTCTGGACTAGGACGTTCTCGAAGACACTGCGACAGAACCGAGGTGTGAGATACTGAGAAGCGTACCGTACTGTGTAGAACCTCAATTAACTCGGATCGAGCCTAGTAGGGGTGCCCCGGCTAGCGAGGGACGCTTGTTAACAACAGCTCATTCACGATTCTTACTGTGTAATCGTCTCAATCGCATTAACAACAGGCTAGAATAAGCGTGTGAAGATGACTCTATTAACTTGAAGATGACTCTATTAACTTGAAGATGACTCTATTAACTTGCTCGACCGTCCGCGAGTGAATTGACACCTATGATATACCGCAATTCTCTAGCGATATCCTATGGCTGACTTTGTAAGCAGTTTCAAGTAAGTAATAATTGCTAGTAATTTGGTCAACGTTAGCTGTAAGACGTTCTGATATTGCGCAAATGAGGGGCTGCTAAGCCCCTCCGGCATTGGTTCGGAAGGTTCAACACCCACTCAACTGAGTTCTTGTACGGTAGTTGCGTTTTCGCTGGCCATGCGTCGGCACAAGTTGCACACAGTGCATGATGATTGATGTAGGGCGTTTCCGTCTTGGAGATTAGCGCCGTAAAGGTGGAGCTGGGAACACAATGCCGCTGTCAAGTTTGGGACGTACCGTGTGCACTAACTACCGACAGCGGACATGCCCGGACAGTCTAGTCTGATAGTCAGTACCAACACTTGACAAGCAAAAGCGCTGTCGCTGACGCGGCCAATGCCTTCTCTGTTCTGGATGCAGAACTGAAGGTTGCACTGACACGTATATCTGGCTCCATTCTTGCTCAGGTGGAGCTTTGGGGTTGTCCGCACGCCATTGCGCGTCTCTGCTGGTGTTGAGAAGTATTGGTGAGTCTAGAGGGGTTGCATCGCAGCTGCTGCAGGGTGAGTGCCTTGGTACGGTGACTTGGTCGATACATGAGGGAAATGAGGTTGGGCCGCACCCCTCGATCACAGGTATATCATGTTGAACGAAACTTGGCAGGAGCGTTGGATGAATTACGATCTTCGGGCTGTGGCACTCGAAATTATTTCACAACGGGTACCGTTGATGGAGGGCAAACGGGTGCGGGACGCGTCATTGTTTAGAGCGAGCGGAAAGAGGAAGGCTGGTGTGTGTGTGCCTGGCTTGGGGGGATCGGCAGAGATGGAACGAGAGAGGGGCACGTCATATGTTGGCCGCACGTGGACGCGAGGTCGAGTGCAGGAGAGGACAGGTTGAGCCCAACAGTTTGCTTCTCCGAGCTGCTGGCACGATAAGCTCGCGATTTGCAGAGTCACCTGGATACTCGAATCTTCCATTCATAGGTAGGTATTGGAAAGCGCTTCTACAAGCGCCCGCGACCAAGCCTTGCAGCTCGCAACCGTTTCCAGGGTCCTCAGCACGAACCCAGCATCCTTGGAAGCGCATCGGCCTTTGAGCATAGTTGGACCGCAGTGACGGCATTGATCGCGGTGCATAGCAACGCACGCACTTCAGGACTCGCCCTCCAGCTCTCGGCCCAACGTGCCCGTGCTACCTCCTCTGCCTGCCTCGACATCCGCCCAGTACCGCGCCCCTTGTAGAGCAACCCTAGCACAGCACCACCAGCACAGCACCACCGGCACAGCACCACCAGCACAGCACCACCAGCACAACACCACCGGCACAGCACCACCAGCACAGCGCCACCAGCACAGCGCCACCAGCACAGCACCACCAGCACAATGTCTCCGCAACAGCCCGCTCCGGGTTCGCCAGGCGCGCCCCTTGCCAGACTGGCCGACGACACGACGACGACAGAGGGGGAGAGCTTGCTCATAAAGGGGAAGAAGCTGCTGGGGCTGGGCGGCCCGCAGGAGGGGATTGGACAGGCTGAGAAGGACGCGTTTGCTATCGCTGGAGAAGTCGCGCCAACACGAACCCTCGCGCCGGCGTCCAACTCGACATTGACCTCTGCGCCGGCGCCTGCATCGACGCCATTTGCGCCATCGCTGCTCCCTTCTCCGCCCCTGACTGCGTCGCCGTTTGATCGACGAGCGTCTCCCCGCGGCAGCCCGCGCATAGCGCCCATTGGCATTGGCGCGTCGCCCAACCGCCGCAGCGTCCACTGCGCGTCGTCGCCAGGGCTGCACTCGCCGGCGTCTTCGCAGATCTTCGAGCGCAATGTGCAGGAGCCTGAGCCGTCGCCGGCGATCCCCAGCCACGTCAAGACCGAGGACATGATACCGCCTGCGCTGGATGCGTCTGCGCTGGCCATCACAGACGGCCACCTCAGCCCGGAGAAGGTGGAGATCATCACACACTCGGCGCACCAGCCTGCTGCTGCAAGCGTGTCTGCCAGCATGGCGGAGTCGGTGTACTCGCCATCGCTGGCGCCGGAAGACTCGGTGGTGTCTGGACACACGAGCACGACGGAGACGACGGAGGCCATGTCCAACTACGGATCGCTCGACTCGGAAGACGTCAAGCGTCTCAGCTTCATCTCGTTTGCCGACGTGGTGCAGGCAGAGCACGTTGAGAACGACAGGGAGTCGTTTGGGCCCGCAGAGGGCATCCAGTTCATGAGCCTCAACTCGACGTCGGCCAACCGGTCGCCGTCGCCTGTGCGGTCAACGCTGTCGTCACAGGGCAGGACGGCATCGCCCCCGACCAGCGGGGGGCCGACCAGCGGGGCACCGTCAGAAAAGGGTGTCGAGCACTCGGGCACACGCTCAGCCGGCAGTTCCCCGCCCCCACACGTGGCACACAACGCACCGCTGAGCGAAGAGCTGCCTCTGCAGGTCGAGACGATGCAGCAGGCGATGCGCAAGCCAGGCACGGCCAGCCATTCACCTTCACAGCCTCTCTCGGTAGTGAGCACCGAGGACGAGAACGCGTTTAGATGAGCGGCGGTCCACACGAGCAGCGCGGACACTCTGATTAGGCGGCGGTCGGGCGTGGGCGTGTGCAGGTGGCTGCTGGGGCAGGGGTGTGTCATGCAGGGGGCGGATTTTGCCTTTATCTCTTTCGTCTCAATTTTCGATGACCTACTTCCCTACCTTGTCGAGGGCTGGCTTCTGGCCGATGTGGAGGGCTGGCTTCTGGCCGATATGATATCCTGTAGCTTTTGGCTGTTGCTGTGCGGCGGAATACATGGTCGTTTTTGTCTCGAGGCTCGGTGCTGCTCGTCTGAGATTCGCCCGTGGATTGGTGGCATCAGAGCCTGCCTGAACAATAACGGGTGCACGTGCTGCCCTCGCGCCCAACGAGCGTCGCCGTCGGTTGCAGGGCCTCGAGTGCGCTCATTCGCCCATTATCCGCAGATAGATGAACGGGCAGCGTGCATGAATGAGCTACCACGACCGTCAAGACGGGACGACTGGGCCTCAGTAGTCACCACCGACTCCCTTCTGCGCAACTCGCATTGAGTAGACTGTACGGCTCACTAGGGTGCGTCAGGGTGCTAGGCCCGACAGCGACGAGCCTACCTACTGCTGGCTAGTGAACCGCAGCCTGACTACCGGCCGCACCCATGCGCCACAGCGCCGGAACACAGTCGTCCTCGTCTGCGTCTGCGTCTGCGTCCTTGTCTCTGTCTTCGTCTTCGACCTCAGTCTGCCCGCGGCGCCTCTGGCAGCAACCCCCACCCCGATCCATGCCCACCCGTCGCAGAAGGCCTCGCTAGGCACCGACCGCATTGGCAGCACCAGCCGAGCCGTCGCACGCATGGATCCGCGCGCGAGCAACGGCAGCGCCAGCGGGCGGCGCATCAGGAGCTCGACGACGGCCGACGGCCAGCGCGACCGCGACCGCGACCGCGACCGCGACGACTTTGACTACGCGACCTTTACCACCACCGTCGAGACGCGCTCGGGCACCACCACGTCGACGTCGTCGCGCTCGCTGCAGCCGACCATCCGGTCTGTGTCGCCCGACGCCCGCGAGGAGGCGCCGTCGGCGTATACCTCGCCGGCGTATACCTCGCCGGCGTATACCTCGCCGGCGTATGCCTCGCCGGTGTATGCCTCGCCGGCGTATGCCTCACCGCCGCCGCCGCAGCCCACCTCTTTGCAGCCCGCCTCTTTGCAGCCCGCCTCTTTGCAGCCCGCCTCTTCGCAGCCCACCTCCCCGCTGTATGCCTCCCCGCCGCAGAGCCCGCCGCCGGCGCGAGCGAACAGCAGCAGCCACGGCGCCGCGAACCCGCCGCCCGTCCGCGCGAACAGCAGCGACGCGTACGGCCGCCACAATGCGCGGAGCGCCGGCGAGAGCAGCCGCCCGCGCACCCGCACGCTCGAGGAGCGCAGCTTGCGCTTCCAGAGCCTCGAGGAGGGCCTCGTCAGCAGCATCGGCCACCCGTCCACCATCCCCGGGCCTGTCAGCAGCATCGGCCACCCGTCCACCGTCCCCGCGTCCGGCCACCAGTCCACCGTCCCTGCGTCCGGCCACCCGCCCTCGACCGCCGCCGCCGCCGCCGCCGCCACCCCCACCGCGACCGCCACCCCCACCCACAGCGCGGCGCCCGAGTCGTGGGCCGCACCGGTGCCCGCGTCCGACGTGCGCAAGCTCAAGACGCTCATGCGCGCGACGTGCGGCAAGATGCAGGGCCTGCTGGCCTTCCGCCGCGGCGAGGCCAGCGCATGGGCCCTGTCGTACTGCTGCATCAACGTCGACGCCGGCAGCCTGCTCTACGAGCCCAAGAGCGACCCCACCTACTCGCGCACCCTGATCCCCGACCTGCGCGGCTGCCACGTCAAGAGCGCGTTCGACGGCGACGCCTACACGGCGTACCTGCACGTCACCGTCCACAACTCCAAGCTCGAGGTCCACCTGCGCCCCCCGACCCAGGACGAGTTCGACTCGTGGTTCGCCGCCCTGCTGTGCTGGCAGCCGATGCGGCCCAAGGGCATCCAGAACCGCATGGCCAAGCCCCAGGCCCCCGTCGTCATGGAGCGCCGGCCGGCCGACCCCCGCGGCTCGGACGCCTCGCTGCTCAAGGAGTCGCCCAAGAGGGAGGCGCCCATCATCAAGGTTGGCAAGATGATCTACTGGGACACGAGCGTCACGTACAGCAACACGGGTACCCCCAAGTCCGCCCAACCCCGGCCCCACGCCTACCGCGTCCAGAGCCACGGCTCGCGCCGCTGGCGACGCGTCTCGTGCACCCTGCGCGAGAACGGCGAGCTCAAGCTCTACTCGGACACGGACGTGACGCTCGTCTCGACGGTCCAGCTCTCCCACCTGTCGCGCTGCGCCGTCCAGCGGCTGGATCCCTCGGTCCTGGACAACGACTTCTGCATCGCCGTGTACCCGCAGTACACGGCTGCCTCGTCGTCGATACCGCTGCTGCGCCCCGTCTTCCTGTCCCTGGAGTCTCGCGTCCTGTACGAGGTCTGGATCGTCCTCCTCCGCGCATTCACCGTCCCGCAGCTCTACGGGCCCAAGTCGGACGCGCTGCACGGGGAGGGCCCTCTGTCACCCTCGTTTGAGACCCAGGACATGTTCCGCATGGAGAAGTCGCTGTTTGTCCGAGTCATCGAGGCGCGCCTGGTCCCGCCCGTCAGCCCAAAGGTCGCTACTGGAGAGGGGCCGGCGCCGATACGGCCGACTTCGTCTGCCACGACGAACCCAGGCGGATACCTGATCGAGGTGCTGCTGGACGGGGAAGCACGCGCTCGAACGAGCGTCAAGAACGAGGGCGACACGCCATTTTGGAGAGAAGAGTTTGAGTTTTTGGATCTGCCGGCACTGCACACGGCGTCGCTGTTGCTGAAGAAACGACCGCCGAGCTACAACCGGCACGACAAGAGCATGTTTGAGAATGTCACCGGCAGCGACAACCCGTACGCTTCAGAGGGGGGCTACGCTGGCATCTCATTCGACCAGACACTGGGCAAGACAGACGTGTACCTCGACGACCTGGGGCCGAATCACGAGCTGGAGAAGTGGTGGCCGGTCGTGAACATGTACGGCAACAGCGTCGGCGAAGTGCTCGTGCGCATCAGCAGCGAGGAGTGTGCCATCCTGATGGCTCGCGACTACTACCCCCTGTCGGAGCTGTTGCACCGCTTCTCGAACAGTCTGACGTTGCAGATTGCACACATGGTGCCAAATGAGCTGAAGAAGCTGTCAGAGTACCTGCTCAACATCTTCCAAGTATCTGGCGCTGCGTCCGACTGGCTCTGCGCGCTTGTTGAGGAGGAGATTGACGGGACACTGAAGGATTCGCCGGCAAGCCGACTCCGATTCAGCAAGAGGCTTGGGTCGAGCGACTCGAACGAGTCACCCCTCGGCGCCTTTAATTCTGCAGGTGACCGAGAAGTGTTTGTGCGAGACATGGGCGTCAACGCCAAGCTGGAGGCCAACTTGCTCTTCCGCGGCAACACGCTCCTCACAAAGTCGCTGGATCTACACATGAGGAGGCTGGGCAAGGAGTACCTCGAGGAGACGCTCTGCGAGAAGCTGCGAGAGATCAACGACAAGGATCCCGACTGCGAAGTCGACCCCAATCGCGTCTCGTCCCAGCACGAGCTAGACCGCAACTGGAGGCGCCTCATCAACTGCACCGAGGAAGTCTGGCGGGCCATCTACAACTCGGTGCAGCGATGTCCCCAGGAGCTTCGAGTCATCTTCAGGCACATCAAGGCCTGTGCTGAAGACCGATACGGCGACTTTCTGCGCACGGTCAAGTACAGCAGCGTGTCTGGCTTCCTGTTTCTGCGATTTTTCGTGCCGGCTGTGCTGAACCCGAAGCTGTTCGGCCTGCTGAGCGGTGCGTTCTTCTGATCCATCGCATCGCTTCCACGTACTGACATTGCACAGATCACCCCAAGACGAAAGCGCGAAGGACCTTTACCTTGATTGCAAAGTCCCTACAGGGCCTGGCCAACATGTCCTCTTTCGGCACAAAAGAGGCTTGGATGGAGCCCATGAACGTCTTCCTCACCTCGCATCGGCAGGAGTTTAGGAAGTACTTGGACGACATTTGCTCCATCTCGACCGCCAACACGCCGGCTCCGCCCATACCGCCGTCTTACAGTACGCCCATTGCCATTCTGCACCGGCTGCCTCCCACGTTCAAGGAAGGCTTCCCCTCGCTTCCGTACCTGATTGACCACTCGCGCAACTTCGCCATGCTGATCAACCTCTGGCTCGAGAACACCACCAAGACGGCGCACGAAATCCAGCCGAGCGACGGTGATCTGCTTCGATTCCACAACATCTGCGTATCGCTCAGCGAGCGCACTAAAGATTGCTTGAACCGCGCCGAGCCGGCCGAACGCCCGTCTTCTTCGCTGAGCGTCAAGTGGGAAGAACTGATCGAACAGCTGAACGGTGCGAATCTGGACGCGACCCGCGGCGCAATGACGCGGAGTCGTGGAGCGATCAAAGAGGAAGAGCTGGAAGACATGCCAACCTCGCCGGGCAACGGCAACGTTCACGGAGAAGACTATCCCTCGCCGTCGGCTGCAACCACCCCGATCACCATGAGGCCACGGCCGAAGACGCGGCACCAGCACAGCACGAGCATATCAGCATCCCACGCATCCCAAAGCTCTCTCAGGAGCAACAACTCGCAACAAATCTCCTATACCAACCCCTACGCCAGTCGCGGAGGGTACGCCCCATCGGCCCACGAATCTATGACCACCTCCCAGTCTGCATCCGCATCCGCAAGCGCCTCGGCCTCGGCCGGCGAAGAAACACCCCCCGGCTCAAGCGACGGCCTGCACATGGCCCCGGCTCCGTCCTACCCGCAAACACACACCCATCCCTCCGCCTCAACGAGCTCCTTCGGCCGCAGCAACCCCGCAGCCCCCATCAACAGCTCGCGCCCTGAACTCATCTCTCCCGACTCGAACACGCGCACCGTGCGCCCTGACCTCATCTCTCCCGACTCGAACACGCGCACCGTGCGCCCTGAACTCATTTCTCCAGACTCGAACACGCGCACCGTGCGCCCTGAACTCATCTCTCCAGACTCGAACACGCGCACGGTGCGCCCAGAGCACGAAGCCACCCACAACGGCAAACCCGCGAGCGAAAACGGGTCAGTGCACGAGGACGAGTACACCACGGCGCTCCCCGCATTCTCGTCCGCGCAGCCCGAGAAACAGAAGGAGAAGGAGCGCAAGGACCGCGGACTCCGCGGGGTGCTACCGTTCCAGCGCAAGAAAAAAGACAAAGACCGGGGCGACAAAGACAAAGAGAAGGACAAGGACAAGGAGGACAGGAAGAGCAGACACAAAGACAAAGACCGCGACAAGGACGCAAAGAATATCCTTGACCTCGTCGAGCGCGAACGCAGAGCCGAGCACGCAGTCGCCTCCATGCGTGGCAAGCGCGAGGCGCGAACGGCCGACGACGAGTTCTGACTACATGGCTGGTTCGAAGGGCACAGGAGCGCCAAGCTGCAAGGCCAGGAGGTCAGGAGGCGTAAGAGCGAGGGCGAGCTGCTTAATTCCTTCTCTAGACTTGGATCATGATGGATGCGTTCTTCGACACCGCACAGCGCCTGTGGCTTTGCATCAGCCTATCTTTTTTTTTTGTTTCTTGGGCTTGGGGGTACTGTGCAAATACCAATTTTTGTCCCTTTTTTTTGGTTGCGTAGATGGGGTGAGTGTGGGATGGCATGGCATGGCATGGCATGGAGGGGCGGGTGGGATCGTTGTTTTCTGGACATAGCGTAGCGTTGCGACGCTTTGCATTTGATGATATCACCTTCTTCATGTCGGTCTGGTGTATGCTGTGCCTCTTGATCATATCCGTCACACATCCCGAGCCGCCGCGCGTTCGAAGCTCCGTTCTTCGTCGCTGAGGCATGGAACATGCAAAGATGGAGACACACACCGCAGATCAATGACTGCGACTAGACTTACGCAGCGTTCGAAATCGCGCGTGCGTCGAGACGTCGATGACGACTCGCAATCTTACACAGCTCACACAGCCCACGCCTCGTCTGTACAGAAATACTCACAGCCTCGCTCGTCATGTGCGGTTCTCGATGACCGGCGCGTGCATGGTCGGACATCTACTAGGTGCAGAGCACACCTCTGCTCTCACTCTCGGCTCTCTGTTTCTGCTCTCAGCCTCGATGCGTACGGCCATATTCTTTCGAAAAGCGGTGTTCATCGCTTCTAACCCAGCGCTGTACGCCCCAGGCAACGAAGATCTCTAGCTTTGTTTGGGGTCGATGACGCTATCAATTCGATCTTGGATCTGGAGAGGACTGGGGCGCGTATTGTCTACAGTTCACAGCAATGGCGGGACGCATTCGGGCTCGACATGGCGTCCCAATAGATACATGCAGCGGTGGTCCTCTTAATCTGTACAAGGTGATGCATCGGATACTCAAGCCTTGGTGCTTTGTGGTCCGCAAACCTATCTCGAGCGCAGTAGCTGCCGAAGAGCTTACAAGGTGTACCTAAAGAATGGACTCTTGTCGCCCAGCACCAACAACTCATCTTCCGTGTACCTCGCCCTAATCGCTTCTTCACCGTACTCCTGAATGAGCTGGTCCCTCTTCCTATTCTCTTTGGCGTACGCCCATCGCAGAACGAACGTCATGGCAACAGCAGCAACACACATTGCCAAACTGGTCGCAAAGCCAGTGGTGTACTTCGGCTTCTCCCTTGCAAGGTAGATGTTGCTACCCATGATGCCACCCATGTTGCCCACCGAGATGAGCAGCGCCATACCAACCGCGCGCTTTGAGCTGGGCGCCAGTGAGTTAGCGACCCAGGATACCAGGCAAGTGAACGGGCAGTACAGGCCTGCTGCCACCGGGAAAAGGAAGCCGTAGGTCAGACCCGGGTACCTAGGGTGCGGGATAGCGAGTTGCGCAATGAAGCCTACAATGGCGATGCAGAAGCCGCCAATAATCCAGGGTGAGCGCTTCTGGGACAGGTCAGAGCCCCATGCCCAGATGAGGGTGACGATGGCGGCGAAAATGTAGATGGGGATCGTAAGCAGCTGAGCGTTTGCGCTGGAGTAGCCCAGGCCGTTGATCACGGTCGGGACTGTGGCAGTGAAACTATCCGTGTCAGAAAGTCTGTTCGATCTCTGCCAGTGGAGTTGCTTACCCGTAGATACCGACAGTGCTACCCCAGAAAATGACAACACCAGCCCAAATCTTCCAGTCCGAGAGACCAGCAATGATATGCTGCTTGCCCATCTTGTCATTGTTGGTAGCCTTGCCCTGCCCGCTTCCCGCATCATCCTGGAGTCGGCGAACTAGGAGGTCTCTCTCTGGTTGGGTGAGGAACCTGGCTGTCTCAGGGCTATCAGGCAGAATTTTCCAGATGATCAGAGCAAGCGCCACTGGGATCAAGCCCTCGATCAGGAAAATCCACTGCCATCCCGCGATTCCTGACCTTCCGTCTAGCTTCTCAATGCCGTACGCGAGAAGGCCGGAGAAGGCTCCAGCCAGGGAAGCAGCTGCGTAGAACACCGCCATACGTCGCTGCAACTCAAATCGACGGTACCAGAGCGTAAGCAAAAAAGTGGCTGCGGGAAAGAACCCACTCTCGGTCACGCCGAGGAAGAAACGGCCAGCGAGAAGACCTCCATAGCTATTGACGAGACCCATCAAGGTCATCACCAATCCCCACGAAAACATCAGGATTGCCATCCAGTGACTCGGCTTCATCATCTTGAGGACAATGTTCGAAGGTATTTCAAGGAGTGTGTAGGGGACGAAGAACAGCGTCACCGCGGTGTTGTACCGAAGGCCGCGGAGATTGAGGTCCTTGTCCATACCGGCGATTTTGGCGTTACCAACTGCAATCGATTAGTATCCATCGAAACCCATGAGAGGAACGGCCGACTCACTGTTCGAGCGGTCGATGTAAGCAACGAGGTAGAGCAGCGTCAGCACAGGCACGAGCCGATAATCCACCTTGCGTAACACGCGATTCGCCTCTGCCTCATCAAGCTGAATACGCTGTGCCTCCAGCTCCTCCAGCTCCTCCAAGCTCGTCGAACTCTTCTCCGTCACCTGCTCAATATGCTGCTGACCACTGGGCCCAGCACGCTTCTCGTCGATGATGCCAGTAGATGTCATCTTGTCAGAGCTGGGATAGCTTACTTATTTCACCATGAGTCTTCCCGGCAGACGCTTGCTCTTAAGATAAACTCGACGCATTGTGCTTCCCGAAGGACTGGTCACAGCTGGCTATTTCCGGCATCCGCTGCCATGCCTTGCATCTCAACGTGCGCGCACGTTTCCGCAAGCGCGTATGGCATGCCGCCGTGTGGGTTGTGGCATGATGTTCTGGGGTAGGTAGCATCGCAACGGCGTACAGCGTGCGGGGTACTTCGTACTTCGCAAGAGTCGGGAGCGATCCGCATGCAGATTGGTATGACGTCCATGAGCTCGAAGAGGTGGCATTGTTGTTATTGTTAGAGGAACGGTGAGGACGGTAGCACAGTCGGCGGGACATGTTCGGGTGCTGCGACGAGAACGGCAGAGGAGGCTCAACACTTCACAGATATCACGATGCAATTCGGGACATGGAAGTGTGGGTGTGAAGTGACCTTTGGTCATGAGTCGGGTATAATTATTACGTGCTATGACATTACAGTCGCTGGCGACTCCTGAAGAGCGCAACACACGACGCTGTGATCCAAACGAGCGATCTCAGAACTGACAACAGCTGGAGATGAGACAGTGCGCAAATAAAACTGCGTCGTTCATGTCACTGGCGTACACGCTTAGTAGCTGGGAGCCTTCTTCTCATCAATAGGTGCGGCGTTGACGCTGATGCGCCTCTCAACGTCGGCGGCCTGCTCAGAGTTACCAAGGTGACCGGTAGGCAGCATGTTGAGCTTGTCCTCCTCCTTGTCCATCTTACGGTAGGCAAACCAGAAGAGAACACCAGTGATGAACGAGATGATGGCAACAGCGCCGTAGTTCCAGACAACGAGAGGGTCGAGGGTCAACGGGGTGAAAGCCTGAGCAAGAGCCGCAGAGAAGGCAGTGGTGAAGAGCTGGACAGCCATGACCAGAGACCTCATGTTCTTGGGAGCCTTGGTGAAAGCATACTCGAGAGTGGTGACGGAGGCGAAAATCTCAGAGATGGCGATCAGGATGTAAACACCGGTGACAGCCCAAACATTGATGGGAGACTTGTACCCGTTCTCATCAATCTCGGCAGCGGTCATCTCGTAAAAGCCGGAAGTCTTGTAGACATAGTACTGAAGGACGGAAGCCCAAACCATGGAGAAAGAGGCAACGATGAAACCAGCACAGATCTTCTTGAGAGGGGTGAACCTGATTCCTCTCTTGCGAAGGAAGGGGTACACGACGGTATCAAGGACTACGAACAATGTTAGTCAAGTCATATCCGATTGATCCAGGGTTAGACTTACTCGGGACGAGGATGATGATTGAGATAGGGTCCAAGTTGGCCAATAGATCGTTAGGAACACCGTGCAGAGCCATCTGGGAGCACATCTGGGTTAAGTTGGAGTCCATCTGGCGGTAAGCCAGCCAGAAGATGGGGACCCAGAAGAAGACACCGCAGGCACGGAAACCACGGGCGACCTCGTCAACCCAGGCATCGTCAAAGTTGTACCAGGAAGGCTTATTGGCGCCGAGAGCGGATGGCCTGATCGACTCCCACATCTTGCCGTCGTTCCAGTTCTTCAGGTTCCTGGTGCCGAGAGCCTTACCAAGAAGCTTGAAAGCAGGTCCCATGACGCTACCGCTTGGGGGACGGAGGATGTAGTGCTTCTTGCAGACGATCAAGACGGGGAGAGCAAACAGGAAGAAGACGGTGGGGATCAAGTATGACAGGTAGAAGCCAACGTAGCGTTCGGCGTAGACCATGCCGAGCTGACCAGCCAAAGCACCGATGTTGATGAAGAGGTAGAAGTAGTTGTAGACGCGAGTGACGGTGATGGCCGGATCGATGATGACGCGCTTTCCGTTTCGCTCAATAACCTGGAGCTTGTCGGTCTCAAGCTGCTCAACAATGAGAGGCGAAATATTGGGCTTAAAGGTACCCGTTCCGAGACCCATGACGAGGAGACCGATGATGAAGCAGGCAAGGCCGCCCTTCGGGCTGTCCATGACCGCGGGGATAGCCGAGACGACGAGAATGATGTGACCGATTTCAGCGACGATAACGGAGTAGAGGATAGTCTTGTAACGTCCGAGGTAAGTGTCGGCGATCCAGGCTCCGAGAAGAGGGCAGCAGTAGACCCAGAAAGCATTGAAGGTCGTGAGGGAGAATGCAACCTGCTTTCCGAGTCCGAGGGCACCAGGCTGAGCATCGGCGTCACTAGGGTCTAAGGCGGCACCAGTGGGAGTAGGTCTGGGCTTGGCGATGAAGTTGGAGTAGACTTGGACACATCCATAGTATGACATACGCTCGACAAGCTCGACGAAGGCGATAGTGTAGATCCTCCAAGGAATGGCAGCGCCAACGCGCTCAAGCGTCGCAAGCTCCTCCTCTGTGGGAAGGCCATCCTCGCTAAGGTAGCTCTCCTGGAGAGTAGCCTTGCCCTCAGAGAAGAGGTAGGGCGGCGCCTCTGTGGAGTGAAGGGCCGGGTTCTTGCGTTGAGGGTCACCAGAACCATCGACGAGAGCAGGGTCTAAGCCGACGGCTTGCTGCATGAACGTGAGCATACGAGCATGTCTGCGGCACTGCGTGACTTACCACTGCGTCGTTGTCACCAACAGGCATGGTGATGGTCGTGCTACTGTGTAGACTTGATGAGTTGAAGTGGGAGTAGTGGGGAACGACAACGAAATCGAGATCTTTGGGGAGCCCTGGTTTAAGGGTATTTGAAGTGAAAGCTCATAGTTGTAGCTCGCGTGTCGCGTGCCCGGACTGGTCGCCTGAGTGTAGCCGATCAGGAAGGAGGTCGTAATAGTAACAGATAAACGCCGTAACCTAGCTTTGATGCGGCAGGTCTACATTGTCAATCGCCTTGCCACCGCCATTCAGTGTCCCCAATTCTCCCAGGGATGTGCTGCAACCTCAGCGCGCCAATCACCGCCCAGAGGCGAGTCGACGCACAAGCCTCGGCGACAGCACCAACAAGACCCACCAAGCAGCGGAAGAGGTTTCTTGGAAAGCTTTGTAATGCCAAGAGGAGTGAAGCTGTTTCGGAGGTCGTGCGCAGCAGCCTGCTTCTTCTCTTTCACCCGCAAACCATTCCAGTCTAAATTCCATTCACGGTGCTCGACTGCGAACGGTCGCAGCATCCTCAACGCAGTAATATCGCAACCTTGAAGGATGCGCGACAAAATTCTTGGCGTTATTACGCTCCGCCCGCGTTTCTTTGCTCCTTCCTCAAGCGGTGCGCCAACAAAAGCGTGGCGCTGGCTAGAATGCTTACCTCGGGGCAGCTAACGGTTCAGGGCTAGCTGTAGAAGACACACCTTCGATCGGGTTTCGACTGACCCCGCTTTGGCTAGTCGACACCATGTTTTGTCGTCCATCGACGCGATCAGCGCGGCCACCTGCGACAGTAGCATCATGGCCAACTAGGTAGACGCGCCGTGGTAATTTTGAAACTTTCGGACCTTCCGCGAACCACTCGCGACATTAATCCCGCTTGGAGGAAAAGTGCTGCGACTGATTTTGTCTTGGAGAATTGGTGGCTGGTATGCAGCGGCCGTTCCTGTCGGTCGGTACACTCTGCATGCGGCAGAGCGCTTATGAGCGGCTGATCAGAGCGCCACTATCTTTGACGGTCTGAAGCAGTGTCATGCTTCGTCGGTTTAGGATGCCAACACAGTTGGAACACGGCTGGAGGTCGTGATATCGTTCGATCAGTGTTCTATTGTAATTTGCCAGAAGCCGGGACGGTGGGTATTGGCACATGCGCTCGGTTGGACCTCTCCGGGGGCGCAGCACAAGCTTTGCAGACGGCAACTACTAAATACGCGCCTTTGTATAGGTTAAGTGCCTTAGACAAGCTTGTGTCCACCGCCAGTCGCAGCCCTGTCACATCGCTGCTATCATTTTTGATAGTTCGTAAGATCCTTGGGACATGTTGTAGCCGCCTGTCATTAATGTTCGTCGACACTCTTGTGGCGATACTCACAGCAGTGCGTATATTGTCGCCAGGCGAAAGTACTGACCTTTGCTGAATTTCTTGGAAGGACTGCAGCCATTAACTGCCACTCACTTAATTCAAGCCAAATACAGAGTCAGCGAGGCCCCCCTTCGAGAAGTTCTGCCGCACAGCTGTGGACAGAAGGACTGCACCTCGGCCTTGACCCGCAGCGTCAAATTTAGGCGAGAACGTCAAACGGTGTAATTAGAAAAATTGCATTTCACGTCATTGTCAGCTGGGCAACATCGAAACATGTTGCGCGAAATGTGCAAACTTCTCGTTCCTCAAGGTTGCAAAAGCTGCCTGCATCTCTCCACCTCAGGTCGATCCTGGAGCAGATCTCAGAGCGCACCAAGGCAAGGTTGGTCTTAGTTCGATCGGATGCTCAAGGGGAAAAGAAGAGAGCTCGTACGATCGAGTTAAACTTAGTAGGATTCATGTTTATGCTGCTGCTTGCAGGTACTGCTGACAGTAAGGATAGTCAACGTACCCCTTCGACAACTTTGGAGTGTAGAACACCGAACGATCATATCCAGTCAGCGGCACCCCTTCTCTGACACGAAACACAAGATCTGGGTTGGCCACAAAGTATCGACCGAATGCGACAATGACGTCGTACTTTTTGTATATGTCGTCGACCGTTTGTCTCGCAGATAGAGGTTTGAAACCTCCAGCCAATACGACTGGGCTTGCGTTATCCCACCGCTTCACCATCCAAGACACGTTCTTCTGGCCGCCGCAATTAGCGTCATCGTTGCCTTTTATCCGTGCTTCAATCAAATGAAGATATGCGAGACCGAGAAGCTTCAGTTGAGCTAGGAGGTACTCGAACGTCGGTTCCGGCTCGTCCATGAGCATGCCGTTGAAGTCACTGTAAGGGCTAAGGCGCATCGCCGTTCTGTTGGCGCCAACAGCAGCGAGTACTGCCTTGGTCACTTCCACATGGAACCGTGCTCGGTTTTCTAGACTCCCGCCCCAACTGTCCACGCGCTTGTTGCATGTGGTCTGTAGGAACTGGTCAGGGAGGTAGCCGTTGGCGCCGTGAATCTCGACACCGTCGAAGCCTGCAGCAATTGCGTTTTTCGCTGCCGTTGCGTAGTCAGCGATGACTTGTAGGATCTCCTCTTCTGTCATGGCATCTGGTGCTTGGCCCTGTGGGCTGATGGGAATGACACTGGAAGACAGCGGTCTGAACCCTTGAGACTCCAAGACCCCCGGATGAGCGGCTCGGCCTTGGTGCCAAAGCTGGCAGTAGATGACACAACCTTTTGCGTGAACTGCTGCCGTAACTTCTCTCCAAGCCGCGATCTGAGAATCTGACCAGATGCCAGGCGCGTTGTGGCAGCCTGCGGCACTCCTGGAGATGATCGTAGCCTCGCTGACAATGAGAGTGCCAGGGACACACGCTCGCTGCTCATAATACTCTGAAGCCATGGTCAATCAAATATACGTTCTCGCTGCTTGTATGTACCAGAGACCTGCCTTTGCTCAAAGCTGTCGCATTCCAGTCATCGTCCATGCGATACCGGGTCAATGGCGCCATTGCTACGCGATGGTCTAATCTCGTCATGCCAAGTGCCAGAGGCTGGAAAAGCCGTGACATCTTGGTGAGAAGATGTGGCCTTGAACGTCAAACGGACTGACAAGATCAAAGCGCCAGGCGTCGCAGAGTCGATTGAGTCCGATTTATGCTTGAGTGAGCATGTCGGCTCAGCTGAACCTTTCCATGGTAGTGTTCCCGGGAACAGTAAGTGCTTCTTATTTCAGCTAGCCAGCGACCGAAATCCTCTGTCAATTCCCCTTTCGTTGCGGTGATAGCTATTGCGTGCGGTGCCAATCCACCTTGCGTCTTGCTGCTCATTTTCGGATCAAAGCAGCGGAGCTGTCAAGAACGCGTCCCGCATCGGCTTGTTTTGGGCCGAAGGACCCACTTTCGCTTCCCGACCGCGGCTGCCTTCTTCCATCCTGTATTCTCACCGCGGATTTACCGTCTCTTTGCTGTCAATGGATGTATCGCAGCCCGAGCTGCCGTCCCCATCGCTGTTGCGCGAGACGACTTACCGATGAGCGAGGTCCATTGTCATGCTGTGCGGTGGGGACAGCTTCTCCACAGCTCGCTTTGCGGGCCGTCTTCGCACTGTTTGTTTCATACTTCCTCGAGTGACTTTTGTTGCGAATCCAGGCTGTTGTTCAAATACTCTTCATGGGTTTCCCAGCCATATCAATGAACTGACAGCATTTGCATCGAAGCATGTCGAATTCTACACTGAATCTCAAGGAGAAGAAAGGGCTTGATGAGCCACCTCGAAGTCAGGACTCGCAAGTCGTAACAACCGCCACTTCGAACATCGACCAACCCAGATCGATACACGCGATAAGTACCAGTTCCCACGATGATGATGCCAGCGATACGCACTCCATTAGCGGTCAACGCAACACCATGTCCGCAAGACAGCTTCGAATAGCGATACCGACGTTGTCTGTATGCCTCTTTGTGTCCTTCGTTGATCAGACGAGTGTATCGACAGCAACACCTGCCATAGCTGGAGATTTGAACACTGGGACGGCGACATCATGGATCGGCACATCTTTCCTGATCGCTTCGACAGCGTTCCAGCTTATCAACGGGAGACTGTCTGACATTTTTGGTCGAAAGGGTCTCTTGCTCTCGTGTCTCTTTCTTCTGGCAATGGGTGACCTGGGCTGTGGGTTCTCACAGACTGCGAACCAATTTTTTGTGCTGCGTGCTATCGCGGGCATTGGTGGCGGGGGCATCAACAGTCTGGTCATGATCATTGTGAGCGACATCACGACACTGCAAAATCGTGGAAAATATCAAGGTGAGTAACGTCGAAATATTTGGTGCGATGATACAGTGGCTGATATCCGTTTCTAGGTTGGCTTGGTGCTGTCATCGCTCTCGGCAACGGTATTGGTCCATTCCTTGGAGGTGCTGTCGTTGAAGGCGGATCGTGGAGATGGGTCTTCTGGATGATCCCCATCATGACAATCCCGACCACACTGGTGCTTTTGTTTTTCCTACCGCTGAAACATGTGTCGAGCGATACCATGGACAAAATGAAGAAGATCGACTATGGCGGCATAGTGCTCAACATCGCATCGACACTCTTGCTTCTCATCCCTCTTTCGGGTGGCGGAGTCACGTACGCCTGGTCATCCGCATTCTTCATTGGCGCCACCGTGGTCGGTGTCGTCCTAACGATCTTATTCGTTCTATACGAGTGGAAAATTGCATCTCTGCCGATCATGCCTCTTCGACTGTATCGTGCTCCGCACTGCTGGGCGCTGTATCTGCAAGCATTCCTCACTGGCCTGGCATATTTTGGAAACTTTTTCTATCTACCTATTTACTTTCAGTCCATACTCCGGTACTCTCCACTGGTGTCAGGCGCTCTGATCCTCCCAGTTGTGGTAACTTCATCAGTCGCGTCCATTGTGAGTGGGCAGTACATGTCACGGATCGGGAGCTACATGCACTGCATTCTAGTTGGCTTCGTACTCTGGACGATTGGAAACTGCCTCACCTTACTGTTCAAGAAAAACACGGGTCTTGTACTGCTGATCGTGGCACTTATCGTGGAAGGTGCTGGAATTGGTCTGACCCTTCAGCCGACACTCGTAGGCATGTATGCCAACAGCCGCACAGAAGACCGAGCGGTCACAACAGGGCTACGCAACTTCATACGTACCATAGGTGGAGCATTTGGCCTTGTCGTCTCCGGAGTGATACTTTCCAACACGCTTCGAGAGGGTCTTGTGGCGGAAGACTACGTGTCTGACAGCTTGCTGTCTGATTTGACTTCCTCGACGTATACGCTCGACAACCTCAACCTCACGCAAGTCCAGCAGGACCATATCTTGGATGTGTACATGCGAGGGCTACACTACATCTTCGTGTTCTTCATAGTTTGCTCGGGTTTAAGCCTAGTTTTGACATGCTGGGTTGGCAACACTAGCCTCAAGGCTCCGAAACCTAGGGCAGAAGGTGAGGATGACATGGCGGCCGATGTAGAGGAACTGCCTTCCTCACAAGTCATCGATGGGCAGGATACTAAGGCAGACAAGCTCTCCGTTGCAGAGAAGGGCATGCACATCGTCGATCATGATGCGCAATATGATTCTCGGCGATGAAAGCCGGCCTTGTGCTGATCCGAAGTCGCAATAGAAGATGGTCGGTATGTCGTTGCGCGCCCCAGGCGCAATCGGACGATGACTGATCAGGAAAGGGAGACAGGATATCCGAATGCTGATTGTGTATCCATGGCGTCAAGGTTCTGGCTACTTGCGAATTTTACGGTCGAATTGACCCTCAGGAGCGATAAACTTACCATGTCAGGGTCAAAATTTGGATCACTTAGAAAAAGACCTGCTATCAGGGAATGGATGGTCGAGGGATCCATCAATGATGGCGGACGACGCTGCTGGCAACACACCATGATGGTAGTTCTCATGAAACAAACGAAGTGTCACGGTGTAGAAGGAAAGCTACACATTACAGTGGAACGATAGGAAGGCTCTCTCAGATCGTCACTGGTAAGAGATGAACTCAAGAGCGGATTATCATTCATCACAGCAAATGGACCAATGTCTCGACATTTCCCGTCTGGATGATTTGCCCGTACCTATTGTCACCAATTCGCGGCGTGAAACGTAATTTCATTGACATGTCCGCCGTGCGTTGCCCATTCGAGTGCTCAACGCTATTGAGTTGCTCGGCGTGCCTCTGAGGTCAGATTTAGGTAATATTACAAGTTTTGAAAGCTAATTTCATACCCTATACTCACCATGAACAGATTGTGCTTGGTCGATGGGTACAAGACTTGACCTGTCAGTGTGAAGAGCTCATCACATTTCACGAGTATCGTCTCAGGCTCGTGATGTGTTGCAGCGTGATAATCGCGAGTGCCACCAGATTAGTAACAAAATAGTTGTACCACATCTGTCATAAAGTAATTCGATGTACCATATTCACACCTGACTTAGAATGCGCCTTTCGCTGACTTCTCGCCTACAACCACCTCTTCGACGTCCGTGGTAGGCGGAGTAGATGGACAGTACATTTCTCCGTCGTCTCTCTCTCCATCGAAGAAACCCTCCCGACCTTCATTAGCGAGCCATTCCCACTTCAGAGCAGTCGTCTCAAATCCTGAAGGGAAGATGCGGGGTTTGACAAACAAAGTCGCAATGTAGTAGACGGCGGCGGACGTGAAGAACGTCAAAAGCCATCCCATCATGTACATGTACTTCGCAGCATTGCTGATAATCTGCGGCTGGTACTGGCCGATAAGACCGGGGATGCCCATGACAGTACCAAGGAGCCATGCTGCAGCGCCAAGCCAGTTGACTCCAGACCAGAACCAGTAGAGACCGCTCTTGTTGCCGATGTAACAGGATCCAACGTGCACATTACCCTTGCGCACGATGAAGTAGTCGATGATGATGACGGCGCATAAAGGCGCCATGAAGATACTGTACGATCCCAGGAAGCTGTGACGATGTCAGTGTAGTCCATAAAATATGCTCGTCGACGACTTGCCTGAGGAAGGCGGATGCGTTGGCCATGAGCTGCCAGGGCTGGACGACAACACCCAGAATTGCGCAGAGAATCTGACCTCGGCGGATAGTCAGCCATTTCGGGAACAGACCGGTCATGTCAGAGCCGAAAGGAATCGAGTTGGCCCCGAAGTTGGTCGTGAAGACACCAAGGTAGAATGCGAAAGCCGCAAAAAATATACCAGCACGTGCTCCGGCAGTGAAGTAGTGGTCAAGGATAACCTCGAAGAGGTCCCAGACGTTCCAGTATGCAACACCCCATTTAGCCTGGATCGAAGTGGTCGAAGCCATACCGAGGAAGAAGACAATGACCGAGGCGATGAAAACGCTGACACCCTGGATTGGACCGGCATCGCGAGGCTTCTTGCAGTAACGCGCAAGATCAGGCTGATTGACCAGCATGGGTGACAGGGAACCGAAAATGGTGTTGATGCCAGACATGATGCTCCAACCCAATGGTGTCACTGAGGCAGTTGACTGCCCCGCTACTGATGCGAGGTCTATGGAACCTAGTCCGCCTCCGTTCGCCATGCACCAGCCGAAAACTGCAAACGCGGCGATGGGCATGACGACACCTTTGACCGTAAATATGTAGTGGATGTTCTTGGGATGAACCCACATCTGTGTGATGTCAGTGACGCTTCAACGGATCACTGCCTTATCGAGAGCGGAACACCTACGAATGGAAACTCCATTAGCCAAGCCATAAAGAATGTTAGGAGCTGCTTCGAGGTGACGTTGGAGCTGGTAGGGAGAGTGTTGGGAAAGTTCTCCCAAGAGCTACCGAAGATGCATCGAAGCATGACGGAGAGGATGTTGCCTGCGTAGAACGTCTGGATGCCATACCAAATGATGCATACAACAGCCCTGATGAAAACGAAGAAGTAACCACCGTACATTCCCATGACGGATCGAACTAGGACAGGACTACAAATTGTCAGCTGTAGAATCTGATTATGGAAAGTCAGACTCACTATCCAATATGGTACTTGGCACCCGGTCGAGCCATAAGGACGACCACTATAGCGGCAAGAAACGACCCAATACATGCCGAGACAAAAGATTGCTGCCATGTCTACGAAATATAAGCATAATGTCTCAATACCATGGCGTATCAACGTATACTTACCAATCCGACAGCAACTAGAGCGGAGCCAGTGTTCCAGCCGACCAATGAGAATTGGTTGGAAAACCAATACAGCGGAAGGTTATACCTAGGTATAATGATGAGCTGCAATCCTCTGAAGAGAGCTTCCTCCATTGCTTACCATGTCCATGTCCTGTCTTTCTGTGGTGTTGGCTCGAGATCCTTATTTGACCATTTCGCGTCGCCCACGGTAGCCTGACCCTCGTTGCCCTGTGGAGTCCGAATGAAATCGACGAACGCTTCCTTTGATTGGAATGGTGCAACAATTTCTTGCCTCGAAGGCATTGCAACACTTTTCATTGTAGCGAGTGGGCGATAGTCGGTGTTTACTTCTTAATTGGCGTGATCCAGTGTCACAAGGATCAAAGCCGTTCATATGTGGTTTGCGAACCCATGATTCGAATTCACGCCTTGCGTATCTCATACCTATCGCGCACGATGTCTCGGACTACGGAGTGCTTGCTAGCAGATTCATCGGCACAGTTTCAACCGACGTGCCATGTTGTTTGGGCAAAGCTGGGTGGCAAATCCCAGCCCGTGAGGCCAAACTTTTTGGGATGATAAGAACAGCTATCTTTGATGGTCGTTGGCGGCGGGGTAGTGAAGATAACGCACCCTGCCTCTCGAAGATAACAGATTAGCAAAACGCCAAGACCCCGCCAGTCGTCTGCCCTTTGATGGTCTAGGCCTGATGCGAACGGCATCCCCATGCTCATCTTTCATTATGGCGAGACTATTGGTGAACATGGCTTCACGATCCACTCTATTCGGCAAACAGGACTCCATCGGCCACCAGCTGCCGAGGACGTCCCCATGGGAAGCAGCCCTGTCGCCATGATCTGCGAGCAATCGCCTAGCTCTGCGGCGACGTTGCTCTTGACAAGCCCTACGCTCTCATCCGAATCATCATGTTGCAACTGGGAAATGATAGCCACGAGGCTTCGACTCGCGCAGAGCCCGGAACGCCTGCAGTTCCAACAACAGCTCAGGGCGCTACAACCGCTGGTCACCAAAGGACGGCCAGTCGGAAGTCTCGCATCACTCTGGCCTGCAAAAGATGCAAGCGCCGGAAACAAAGGGTGCGATTGGCACAAATGCACCGCAGCTTGCGCCGAGAGCATACATGATACTGACGAAGCGTCGCAGTGCGATGGTGGGCACCCTAGCTGCCAAGCTTGTGTAAAGGCCAAGGAGACTTGTATATACGAGAGAATAGCTCGCCCTCAGTACCCAGGTGGGAAATCATTGTAATCTTCCTCCCACTAGCTTGTTCTGCAGTATCTGATAAGTAGTAGGTACATCAACGCCTTGGAAGAGCGCATCGCATTTCTTGAGGCTCGTCTTCCTGATCACGCCGAAGATCACTTCAACAGTGCCTCTGAAAACCTTCAGCGAAACAATTTCGAGACCTCAGAGGCACTTCTCTCGAGTCCTGAAGCTCGACGCGAATCTTGTCGTGAGTCACAAGCTGGATCGATTTCGGAAGAGCTCGAGTTTGACGACGGTAACTCGTTAGTCAATGGGGTAGCTTACCTGTCTCTGTGCGCCTCTGGCACTACCGATACTGACCATGAACCGTACTATGTGGGTTCAAGCTCTGGAGCCACCATAGCTCGGGTCATTCAATCTTCGATCTATCGAGGCTCCGGTCGTCGACCATCTGATCTGGCAACAACCGGCCGAGATCGTCAAGCTCCACCAACAGCAACACCATCTGCTCAGCCTGTTGTGCCTGCAGCAAGTGCTGCTATAGATACACTTCCTGACCCGCCGCAAGCGCGAGCTTTGTTTGACTTCTTCTTCGAAAGGATTCATCCTCGCTGGCCATTGCTTGATCGGGCCGTCTACCAGCAGATATTCGACAGGCAGTACTTGCTTGGCGCACTTTCAGTTACAGAACGCAGCATATTGCACCTCATCTACGCTATCACAGCTCGGTTTTTGGCTGTAACGAAGAAGCCTTGCGGCGTCGATGACGAGGTTGGCATCCCACAGACATCTTTGCTGAAATTCTAACGAGATTAGGCTCAACTCACTGCAGCAACTGAGCCAATGGAACAAATACTTAAACAACACGATCTTGCGACCGTTCAATACCTGATCCTTCTAGGTGTTCATGGTCAAAGGTCTCCGTATGGCGCAGGAGCGTGGACGCAGATTCGATACGCTACTTGTGTCTGTATTGAGATGGGTTTTCACAGGAAGAGAAGCTCGTCCGGGTCGCCCATACAACGACGAGATGCTGAGATTCGACGTCGAGCGTTTTGGTCCTGCTACTGCCTCGATCGAGTGACTAGCATAGTTCTTGGCCGAGCCTTTGCAATCGCAGACCGAGACATAAACGTTGAGGTGCGTTATTTGACTGCTTGGCAAGAGTTTTGCTGATCCCTTCCCAGCTCCCAAGCACGAGTCCGGACTTCTGGACGTTAACTCATCGGAACGAGTGTGCTCCTAATGTGGGCCAATGGTCCAACATACAGCCGTTCATTCATATCATCAAGCTGGACAAAATCCAATCGCGAATCCACAAGACTGTCTTCCGTGTTGACAAAGACGTAATGCGAAGCTCGCCCGCAGAACGGGTTAAGCTGGATCAGAAGATGACCAAAATCAGGGAAGAACTTGACGATTGGATCAGTACGTTTCCTCAGACACCAAAAAATGACAATCAGAGTACTTGGATGTACGACCCAGAGAGCGCGTACTTAGATGCGCGCGACTTTTATGGAGTGTAAGGACCTCTTCAAGCATGCAGGCGTGCACGTTTGGCTGACCATCTAGCAGGCAGTACCACAAAGCAGTATTGTTTCTCTTCACCATCTTTCTCCCAGCTCTCGAGACTTCGGATGAACGCTTCATTACTTGCGCGCGCTCTGCTGCCAGTGTTTGCAATGCCTACAAGCGCCTGAGCCAGAACAAAACTCTGACGTATACCATGATATCCTTACATTCGTGTTTCATGGCTGGCTTGACGCTCGTCTACTGCATCTGGCGAGATCGCAAGCTTTTCTCATACGAGGTCATTGAGGCAACGCAAAGTTGCTCCCAGATCTTGACCATTTTCGGCGAGAAGTGGCCTGGAGCTGTGAAGTATCGCGACATCTTCGATGCGCTATCGCAGAGTCTGTTCAAATTGACCATGAGACAAGCGGACTCAGCATCAGTTACGAGAAGCCCTACATCGCTTCCCCTGAACCTCGAATCAAAACTGAAACCTTCACTTGAAACAGCCGGTATAGCACAGGGCAGCCCTAAATCTTTGCCATTCGAAGCAGCGCAAGCCAGTCGACCTACTATGTCACATCTCGTGACTGATGCAGTCAAAGAAGCTTTCATGGAAGTCGACGACGAGGCACCCGGCGGATGGCAAGGATGGAGAATGTGGAACGAGATGGTCACTGAGGATGGGACATCTGCACCGCGCCAAACTTCAGGGCTGGATGCTGTTGATAATGAGGCATTCGATACCGATTGGAACCCTCAACCAGGCTCGGCAGCGTATGGAACAGACCCTGTTCAAGACGCAGCGATGCAGATGGACAACATCGCTATGATGCAACACGATCAATGGAGTTTTATTGGGTACAGATGAAACAGTCAGGCGGGCACCATCTAAACGCACACTTCGATCTGGAGTGCGCAGTTTTCGGACTTTACAGCTATGAGCATACCAGTTCACCCTTCATATACTGTAGTTTTCAACATTCTCGTTGGCTTGCAGGACCTTGCTTAGTAGACCAGGAAACCCTCGGAGAGTTCTGAAGGCCAGCATGGCCTATTATCTCAAAAAATCATGCTGTGAACTTCGAACGCCCTACTGTCATAAGCCCGCAAGAATGATAGGCACTCTTCTTGGCGATCACATCATTACAAACGTTCACTGACGTCTCTGCACGGTTACTTTCATGGAAAGATAATCAATCTAATATTGATTGATCACACAGAATCGACTCTGACGTTGCGTCGTATCCGTCATGGTGTGCTACAAAGTGTGGAGAAGTCAGTGTTGTGGGGCTGGAGCTACCGGATCAGGCCAAAAATGGTAAAATTTGGTCTCATGTTATCATCTAAGCTAGCTGGCCCTTCTTGTATGGGAACTGTTCCCTGAATGCTTCCGCAATCTCTGTTCTGGTTGCCACCCAGACACCCTGTGCTAGCGTTAGTACGTCCAGAGTAACAGGTATTGAAGAACTTATAACTCACCTCCTTCTCCGAGATATACTTGACAAAGTCCTGCAGAACCTTGAAACGCCCCGGGCGGCCGATGATACGGCAATGCAGTCCAATGGTCATCATCTTAGGAGCGCCATCCTCGCCCTCCTCGTACAGAACGTCGAAAGCGTTTTTGATGTGCTCGTAAAAGCCGCCCGGGCTGCGGAACCCAGTCCCTTGAGTGTGAAATTTGAAATCGTTACAATCGTAACTATACGGAACCATGAGACAGCCCTTGGGGTTCTCAGAGCCACGCTCTTGCGGGAGATCGGTCCAGTAGGGAATGTCGTCGGCGTAGGTATCGCTCGCCCAAAGGAGCTCCTCGCCCATCTCTTCGTAAACGAGAGGAATGAGAGCCCTGCTTTGAGGCGAAGGTCTCCCAAAGTACCATCCTTTGGGGGCGTAGCCGGACAGTTTCTTGAGCGCCGTGATATTGTTGCGGATGTGTTGCTTCTCAGCTTCGACTGAGAGATCGCCGTGGTCAATCCAGCGGCTGCTCAAAGTTAGATGTTTCCTCATCTTAGAACCCTTGACCTACTAAGCGTGTGATGCAACATCGTGACCTTCCTCTACACAGCGTGTAACGACCTCTGGCTGTTCCTCGACGGCCGATCCTACTGCGTACAGTGTGAACTTCATCTTGTAATCGTTGAAGAGCTTGAACATTCGCCACCAGCCGCGTCGTGATCCGTATTCGAACTCAGATTCACCGCTGTAGTCTCGCTCATTGATCTTGTGCTGGGCTGGGTATTCGCGGAGAGCGATCTCCGAGACACCATCTCCCTGCATCACGGATCGCTCACCACCCTGGTCACCACTTTGTCAGCTACGATCATGCTTCGACTTCCAACCTCCAGTGCCGACATACCTCCTCATAGTTGATGACGAAAGAGACTGCTATCTTTGCGCCATTCGGCCACTTCAAGCCTTCGAGGCCTTTTTCGCCATAGCCCTTGAAGTTTCGCGGGAAGGCGAAATCCGGGGGAGCTGCATAGACTTCAGGCATGATGTATTGCTGTAGAGGTAGGATGTATTGCGTTGAGAAGCTGAGTATACTGAAGACTATCCAGATGGCGCACGTCTCGTTTTGTAAATAACAAGACCAGTCCCCCCATCCTGAACGATCCTAGACGAATCTTCAATGTTCACCCGAAATCCGGTGAGCAACAGCCGTCATGACTACAAACCATCGGCAATATCACCTATCTTACCGTGTATCATGTTACTACTCATAGCGACTTTGTTTGGCATGCTCTCACACCCCGCGTTATCTCGAGACCATGCGGGGCGTTATCATGAGCGAGCAGGGGTTTTAACACAAAATGGATTCCAAGCCACACCAACCAACAAAGATCGGGATGAAAGCATCCGCGCGTAATGAGATAGGGGGCTCTGACCGACAAGGACCGTATCTGTGGGCATGAGCAAAGAAGACGGGGGAGTTCGGCAGCGTGCAGGCGCGGCAGCCCCGCCGCACTAGGGCCGCATTCGGCAACCCGCCGATACCGGAAATGTATTCGTGGAGCGCGATGGTTGCGACTACAACATGTTGCATGACTGGCCGTCGGGCTACTGCTACGATATCAGTGCCGACCCATCAAAGTTCGTTACCTTCGGGAACAAAAATTGACTTCGTTGTTGCCTAGTCTACGGCGTGCATATCTGTCCTCGCAAGATCGCTCGGATACAAGTGTTCCCAGCCCAACTCTTTGTCGAACGCAAGAAACAAACACTCGAAGCACAACGACATGACCACCGAGCTATACAGACTGACCGCCACCGAAGTCCTGACTAAGGTCAAGGCTGGTGAAGTTTCCATCGAGGATTATGCATCGTCACTCTTGAAGCGCATCGAGGCACGAGATGACGCTGTACAAGCCTGGGCATATCTTGATCCAGCATACGTGATCGAGCAAGCAAAAGCATTGGATGCTATTCCGGAATCTGAACGCGGGCCTCTCCATGGTGTGGCCATTGCCGTGAAGGATGTCATCTTCACAAAAGGTTAGTCAACTTAGCAAGGCCCCAACGTGCCCAACTAAACGTGCCCGCAGATATGCCAACACAGTTCAATTCGCCTGTGTACACCAACAATGCCCCAAAAGTCGATGCAGGATCTATCATGGTTCTTCGTCAGGCTGGTGCCCTTATTCTAGGCAAAACAACAACAACAGAATTCGCAGCAACAACTGTAGGACCCAAGACACGGAACCCACACGACTCTGAGCGAACGCCTGGAGGTTCATCGTCGGGTTCCGGGGCGGCCGTCGGTGACTTTCAGGCACCCGTTGGTCTCGGCACTCAGACTGGTGGTAGCACGATTCGGCCAGGATCCTACAACGGCATCTATGCGTTCAAGCCAACCTGGAACGCAATCACTCGTGAAGGTCAGAAGATTTACTCCCTCATCCTGGACACGCTAGGGTTGTATGCTCGTAGCGTGGACGACCTCGAACTTCTGGCCGACACATTCATGGTCTTCGATGACGTTCCAGCTCCAAAAAACTTCTCGGTTAAAGGCGCAAAATTTGCGATCTTGAAGACCATGGTGTGGCCGAACGCCGGTCCGGGGACCTCTACAGCAATGGACAAAGCAACCTCCCTCCTTCGTGAGCGTGGCGCAGAGGTCGAAGAGATCGCTTTCCCGGATCATCTCAACGATCTTCCTGCATGGCATGCCACAGTCCTAGCTTCGGAGGGGCGAACTGCGTTCTTGCCTGAGTATGCTGTCGCGAAAGACAAGATCTCAAAGCAGTTGGTGGGTCACGTGGAGAACAGTGACAAGATCTCGCGCAAGGCGCAGCTGGAGGCATTCGACAAGATTTCGGCGGCGAGACCTGTTGTAGACGATATTTTGGGTAAATACGATGCTGTCATCACCCCGAGTGTGCCGGATGAGGCGCCCTTAGGTATTGCGACGACGGGCAACGCATCATTCTGTCTTATTTGGACCGCGCTGCATACGCCTGTGGTCAACGTGCCAGGGTTCAAGGGCGACAATGGCATGCCAATAGGGTTGTCACTTGTCGCACCTCGTTACCATGACCGGCGTCTGCTTGCAGTCAGCAAGAAGGTTGGGGAGGTTTTCGAGAAAGAGGGTGGGTGGAAGTCATCAGTGTAGCAGCATAAGCCGATAGACGCAATTGAATCTAGATCATCTAGCAGAGCTTCAAAATTCGTTTTGCATAGTGTGATAATAGCGCTAAGCGTTAGAGGTGACATGTTTAGTCGCAAGTTTGCCTGAGTCGGTGACATCAGAGGCGTAACGCGTGCGCAACGCGTCGACCCTGTTTTCACTCTCACCACCCCTCATAGTTTCCCACCTGCAGCCTCACATTGTCGATTTATATAGAACGTATGGTTCCATTTAGAGTCACATCTGGGACATGTTGAGCGGCCGCTTAAGGGGCCCTCGATATACGCGTTTTGACTTTTGCTACAAAACATCCCCACCATTGTTAATGCAGCGGACATACTCAAGTCACGGTCTTTCGCTATCCCAGAAGCGCTTGCTTCGGATTCAGAATAAGATATCGCTTCTCGCCTAGGGTCATAGAAATAAGTTTACGAGTGGTCTCCACATTACACTCTGGTACCGATACTTTGTGCGAAGTTTGCAGTTGCGTGATTCCCCATCGCGCCTGCCCTCCACAAGTATCAGGCAGCTACCTTGGTATCTCAAACTCGCCTGGATAATTCGGACTCACCTCAGTTTACCACACTATTCGTAGAGACTGCAGATCTCCAGATCTCACACTGTCTGACCATCTCTCCAGTCAGAAAACCCAAGCAGCAGCTACAGCAAACAATCAACATATCCGACATTGAGACGGACTGTACCAAGTACCGCATTGGTAAGTGGATCTTGGCATCATCATCATTTAGCCTCTGACTATAATCAGAGCACGCATCGACCGGTCAAGCTACTTGTCAGCAGTTAGCATGCAAACGCGCAGGAAGTAAGACCGTGAAGGGCGAGCTACGCGTCGGTACCAACACACTCTTCAATCGAGGTGAGGAAATGCGCTGGTACATGGCGTGGAGTCACTGGTAAGCTCCGATTGCCTTTTACGTGCGACTCGAGCTCTGCCCATCATCGATCCTCCGTTTAGTACTGAAACATCCGCAGGGCTTGCGCCACCCCACATAAAATCAGAGGACTTAAGGAAATGGCCGAAAACAATGTCACCAAGACGCTTGCGTGTTTACCATCTCAGCCCTGAGAGCGAAGAGCAGCTTAAGCTCGCCTTTGAGGCAGACCGCATTGCCGACAACGCCTTTAAAGACATTCGACCTGATCTGGCCGGCCCAGCTCCTCCTTGTGACGGAAGTGAGATCGTCGATGCCGAAGACTACAAGATTGACATGTCTGTCCGTCCAGCAGTTTGTCGAGCGAGCGGATGCGCGAACAAAGTCGTTAAGGGTGAACTGAGGGTCGGCTTTCTGCACCCCTTCGATGGCGACCACTCAAGCTGGGTCTAAAAGCACTGGTACGTGGCCCTCCAAACATCTGTGTTTCTTCATACTTCATCCGTATCACTTCACGCGGCCTGACGGCCACACCTGGTTTCTCAGCCTAGCCCTCGCTTTTATTGAATGTTCCCATCCTCACTCTTCGTCCATCAAGGAAGAAGCCCCTGCGGCGGAACTGAACCGCAAAGATCGCAGCCATGGCCGCAGCTATGCGCAAAGATGCTTCTCTCGGTTGATTTTAGGTGTAGCGAACGCCTCTGCCGGGGCATATTTGTTGTCGTTCCAAGTTTGGATGGGCGCCAGCCATCTGGTGCCGATCTATAAGGACAGTGCTGCCTCTCTATCAACTCAGAATGACGGTGGGTGTACGAGAGCGTGTTCGTCTGCCGTTAAGCTAGTTAATGTCCGGTGCTGTTGCTATTGTAACTTGTACTTCTGTCCCATGTCTGTACAGGCGACTTAGTTCCAAGGTTAGCTGAACAACCGCGTATGAATAATCAAATCTCCTTATTTATTTATTTACTTCTATCGCGACTGGACAGCGCTCTTGCACGACTATTGAGTGAGTCTACTTCGTCGAGGGTAAGGACCGCAAACTCCAATGCCTCCTCATTGTTGCTTGTTTTCCGGATAGAACAGTAAACTGATCGGCGGTATCATCTATCCTGGCGCATTGTTTTCTCATTGCTCTGAAGTTGCTGTTGCTCTTTGACTATTTTATTTCTCCATAAGGCCAATTTTGGACCTTGTACTTGGTGTTATCAGAGATGGACCCAGGGCCCCCGCGGTAACAGCCCTTAGTATATTCTTCTACCACTATGTCCAATGCTTCAAGTTCGAGTTATCCCTCCGAATATCAGCTAAGCCTACCTCTAGGAAGTTTCGGCTGCTTACCTGAAGAATACCTGTCGTCGTCGTACACGCTTGTCGCAGGCTGGCATCTCCTCCTGTTCTCGTCGCACTTGAACTGCCATCTTGTAACTTAGTTTAGCTTGGGCTGTAAACGTCCTGATACAAGAGAGCAGTGCTTTAAGTTAAAGATCTGGTAAGACCTGGTTCTGATCATCTATAGGTGTTTTTGTCTACAAGTGAGCAAAATCCTAGAAGTTGTAAGGCTTACTGAGCTAGGGCACAGTCTAAGGGAACAGCCTATCATACGTTTGACTAGGATACGCGTACTAGAGCCTTTCACTAATGCTAAGCAGTCTTACAAAGAGGAGGATGTGAATCGTATTTCTAAATAAATAGCACTTACTGTTTCTTCTTGCCTCTATTCGTCTGCAACTCCACCAGTTCTCTATATGCATCTACAAGAGCCTGTCTCGCACCTGCCCACGGCTTTCTCTTGCCCGTATCAAAGACTCTGAAGCTGTACGCGCAGATCGGCAAGTTGCTAATCGCACGATACAACTCCCTGTCGTTCCACCACAAGCGCCAGGCCCGCCATCCCCACCCTACGTGCTCGTACAACCCAGTCCCCGCTGCCTCATGCAAGAAGTAGCTCCACTCTCCGTTGTCCACTTCCTGGTATCCATTGCCATTTGGTCCGACCTTGGCAATGCGCCTCCGGACCCAGGATTGATGCGTGGAGATCCAAGAAGTCATGGTAGACGTAGATGGGAGCGGGGAGCGATTCGCCCAGATCTGCGGGATGGCCATAGCAGCGAGGACACGGCCTGGGATCTGGGGTCCGAGCAGGTGTGTGAGAGATATGTGCGCGAAAGAAGAAGCATACGCCGGGGGGAAGATGTTCATGTAGAGGTTCGGGAGTTCTGGACCGCCGTTTTGTGTCGGGGTGAACTCGATAGCGTCTTTCAAGATGTCGATATCATCGCCATAACCTATGCAGAGGATGATGGCGTCAATTCCTTCAGCCATGCAGCCGTCGTCGAACTCCACCGAGTTTGGGCCAGTGATGCGTTTGATCCCGGGCACGGAGCGTATCTTGCCGGACTTTATATTGGGAACAAGGTCCTGGCTGCAGACAACTACGTGCTGTCCATCGCCCAGACTGGGCGATTGTGCGAGTCCCCACTCGTCCCGGTTCTCGCCCCAAGAGTCCTTGAAGTTCTGAGCGATAGCGCTGTCCATCATCCAGCCATACACAGAGGGGCAATGCTTCTGCAGGAACCACGTAACGGGCAGTAAACTCGTAGTCAGCATGACATCTGACGGCACATCAGTCTTCGGGTCAGAGGGGTTCAGGATCTTCGCGCCGCGACGGTGAGAGAGCCAGATCGTATCGGCGTTATGCTTAACGAGGGCATTCGCAACATCGGCGGCGGTGTTACCAATACCCAGGACAATGACCTTTTGGTCTTTGAAGGTGGAGAGATCGCGGGCTTGGGAGGAGTGTATGATTCTGCCTTCAAATTCATCTTGTCCGGGTAGGATGAGGCCTTTGGGCTGAACAAATCCTCCTGTGGCCCACACGATCTTGTCGAATGAAAGTGGAATGGACGGCGCGTCGGAAAATTTCAGCTGCCACGTGTTGTTGCTGTGATCCCTTGTGAGTTTGGTGACAGTCTTCTTAAACCGGATGTTGCGGTAAAGATCGAAGTGCTTGGCGTAAGCATGAAAATGTGCTCCAAGTTCTGGGGCGGACACAGTCCATGGGAAGTCTGGTTAACACTGTTACTATTGGTTGTCTGTGCAGTTCGACACGAGCAGCCACTTACCTTCGGGGTATGGGTAGTCGCCCAAGGTAAGCTAGGTGCAGGATTAAGTACTTAGTATCTCGCAGATGGTCCTAGAACTCACCGAGTACTTATTGTTGCACAGTCTGGTCTCTTTCAGCGCTGTAGTGGAGCCCAAATCCTCGCTCCACGTCCAAACTCCTCCGACATCGTCTTTCTTTTCGAAGACTGTCACTTCGAAGCCGAGATCTCTGAACTCCTTCAGTGCTACCATCCCCGCAGGACCTGTTCCCAACATTAGTTACCCGTCCTTGTTCCGAATCGTGTGCCTCACCAGCCCCGACGATTGCGATCTTTGTTTCTTCGTGAATCATGTTGTACCGCGAGCGCGTAATTGTGTGGAAGAAATGGAGGCAAGCAGTCAGAGTGAGTGGAACAAACAAATGCCTTATAAGGCCCCTGTCAGCGGCTATACGGCACAAATCATACCGCGAGGGCTACTCCTCTGTGCTGTCCGGATCGAATGTTCCTGAGGTCAATCGATTGATTGATTGGTTCCTTACCGATTGAAGGCGTCCTGCATTTGTGCTGATGTGAGATTCCAAGATGAACAAACGCAACCGCTTCGTGCAGGCAGGCTTTACAACATGTTTCTGTTGATATCCTGAGCCAGATATTGCATTGGTCCTCAGGAAGATCCAGTACGATACTATGAGAACTTGCACGCCTGAAGTAAGCCAGCGATTTGCTGATCGTATTGCGAGAGCGCGCTGTCCGGCTTTGTACCAGTAGCGGTTGCGTTCAAAGCGCATATTGATTATTCTGTTGCTAGTTTTTTTTTCAAATTCGCTGGAATCGCAGTGAGCGATGAATAGAAATTGGGTATATGTAGGACAATGAGGGACATGAAAATATCGTGACTCATAACATGGCCGCTTAGGCCTTTGCACGCATAGAAACGCTGTTGCCTACAAGGCGATGGCAACAGCTCCTACAACAGCGGCGACGGCGCCATGCGCGTACACACCAAGACCGGTTGCTCGGGGGGCGGCGCCCTGGCTGCCTGTCGTCCTTGCGGCCTTGGGTACAACGCTGGTCCAGATTTTGTCCTCCTCTTTTCGAACACTCTCGAACACTTTCAGGGCGTTTGCTGGCATTTCCGTGTACCTTCGCGGATGTTAGCAGGGCTCCGGTCTTTGAAGAAAATCAAGTATAAGGATAGAGGGGCTTCCGGCCTCATGTCAAATATGACTAAAAACATGATGGAACTCACCAGTCAGGCAATGTGGTGAATCGCGTGAAAGTCGTCCCTGTTGCGGTGGCAACTTCTGGAATACCATCACGTGTTCGTGCATATGTGTAGAATGCGCCAACTGCGCTCTTCCAGTCTGATTGAGTTTTCACTGCTACTTCATAGCTCTCTCTGGCTTTTGACATGGCACTGGCGATCGATGTGGACTGAAATTGGTCAGCCTTCATTCAGCGAGACTGCCTTTCGAGGCTTCTAACATACCTCTGCGTCGTCAGTGTAGTACCATGTTTGTTGTCCGGTCTTGATGTCAAAGCCAGCGAGTGCGGAGCCGGCCATGCCAGTCATTGCGAGAATTGATGTGAGGAGCATTGTAATGTAATTTGGGTTCGATTGTTCGATTCCGAAATGGTCGACGTAGGTTCGGTAGAGATGATCGATGTAAGAGAAGGTCAGAGAGTCGAAATGCAGAGATCTCTTAAAGGCACAGCAGGACAATTAGTAACGCGTTGGCGACAGTTTCTTCGCTTCAGGATGTGTTTCTAAGGCTCGCTTGGTGGAGGTTGCCTGTCAGGCCTCCTGTACAATATGAAGAAATTAACGCCATAGGGCTAGGTTGGTCGTTTTGGGTCTGTTTCCGAAGGCTTAGCGCGCAGTCAAACTCTTTAGCCGCTGACCGGTCGCCCACGCTGGCCCACCCTGCATCGCGTTTTCCAGCCCTGAGCCTATGGATCTTACGTGACAAGCACCAGCGCGCGAACCACCTCTTGTGTCACTCTCACGCCAACCAATGTCAGCCTCGGTCTCTAGCGGCGGGACGTGAAGGAAGACCGCGTGCCGCTTCCCGGTATAGCTTTGAAGGTGGAGTAAAGCTACATGGTAGCAAAAGCCGCAGACTAGGTCCTAACGTCATCACTGATCTGTATAAGTACGTTTTGTTTCTCCGACCGTATCCCCTCTTGGCGCCATGTTGCGAAACTTTCGATGTTGCAAGGGTGATTGGCGCGCAGGCAGCTCGCCAGATGTCTTCAGCAGAATCGACGTCCAGAGAGGTTGTCAGTGACGCAGATGACGCAGGTGCCTTTACGAACTCTTCCTTGTTCTCGATGCGCGTAATTATCTTGCGAAGGATGCCGGGAAAATCGTGGTACCCTTCTCTTGGTGCACTCTGCTCGACCTTGAAAACATCAGGGCCGCTATCGATATCCAGCCCCATGTGCACGACGAGGTTGGGTGCATGGGTGTCAATCAGGGACGTGACCTGTACCTTGATGTCGTGATATGCTGCAGGCATTGGGACGATCAACTGGATCGACTCGCCATCCAGACCTTGTATGGAGGCTTGGGGTTTGGGAGCGATTTCTCACGAGAGGTTAATTTCCTAAGAATGGGCCAAACCGAGTAAGAGGTATCTTGGTGGGTGAAGTGGATGCCATCAGGGGACGAGAGAGAGATGGGTGGAGATCGCACAGCTGTCAGATGCAGGGCCGCCTCCTTAAGCACGCGCAGTGCCAAGCTCATCCTACCAACGGCCTCCAGGCACACGCAGATGGAGCGTCACGGATCTGCACATTACTGCGGCGTGCGGATGGATTGCATGGAGCGCATGGATTGTTTCGCACAAGGGCGGAGGTGAATTCGGTGGCCGACCCAAGGCGGTGAGCCTACCTGAACGTCAAGCAAGATGCGAGACCGGCCCCACCGATGTTTCTGCCCCATTTGAGTCACCCCAGCCTATTATTCACCGTGTCGCACAACAGCATCCTGAGAGGTGTTGACCGACGTGCTCTTTGCTGCACGCCAATTGCATATCTGCTGATTTACCCGACTTGTGCAGTACTTTTTGGAAGCTTCCTCCAGTGCAGAGACGCTCAGTTGGCAGCAGGGCATTCTGCCCGCACAAATCTCAACACCACCAATCATGGCGGCCAACGGAACATCTGGGGCGCCTACCAAGGTGGCCATTCTGGGCAAGGAGTCGATCGTTGTCGACTACGGAATCTGGCAGAGCTACATCGCCGACGACCTCGTCAAAAACATCCCGTCGTCCACGTACGTGCTCATCACCGATACGAACATTGGCCCGACCTACATCCCCACGTTCGAAAGGGCCTTCGCTGCCGCTGCCTCGGCCAGCGCAAACAAGCCACGGCTGCTTACATACACGATCCCCCCTGGCGAGAACTCGAAGTCGCGAAACACAAAGGGTGTGGTGGAGGACTGGCTCTTGTCGCAAGGATGCACGCGCGACACTATCATTATCGCCTTGGGCGGCGGCGTCATTGGCGACATGATTGGCTTTGTCGCTGCGACCTACATGCGCGGCGTCAAGTTTGTTCAGGTCCCCACGACATTGCTGGCCATGGTCGACTCGAGCATTGGCGGCAAGACAGCCATTGACACACCAGCCGGCAAGAACCTTGTCGGGGCCTTCTGGCAGCCTGAGCGCATCTACATCGACCTCCAGTTCCTCGAGACTTTGCCAAAGCGCGAAGTCATCAACGGTATGGCCGAGGTGGTCAAGACGGCTGCGATCTGGGATGAGAAGGAGTTCACAACACTAGAGGGCAACGCCAGCACAATTCTGGCAGCACTGGACCAGAAGACGGAGAACGGGAGAAGGAACTTCGACAGCATTGCGACTATCTTGAAGCGCATCGTTCTCGGTTCCGTGCGCGTCAAGGCAGAGGTCGTCTCTGCTGACGAGCGCGAGGGTGGCCTGCGCAACTTGCTAAACTTTGGTCACTCGATCGGCCACGCGTTCGAGGCTATTCTGACGCCCCAGATTCTCCACGGCGAGGCGGTCGCTATTGGTATGGTCAAAGAGGCGGAGCTGGCGCGTTACCTGGGCGTCTTGGATCCTTCTGCGGTGGCGCGTCTCACCAAGTGCATTGCTAGCTACGGTCTGCCCACATCGCTCGGGGACAAGACTGTGCGCAGGAGAACCGCAAACAAGCATTGCCCTGTCGACGAGCTCATCAAGATCATGGCCGTCGACAAAAAGAACTCAGGCAGCATCAAGAAGGTCGTCCTTCTGTCCGGCATTGGCCGTACCTACGAGAAGAAGGCTAGCACAGTCGCTGACCGGGACATCAAGATCGCTCTCTCGCCCAGCATTTCCGTGCACCCCGGCATTCCGAGCCATTTGAACGTCACCTGCACGCCTCCTGGATCAAAGAGTATCTCGAACCGAGTTCTTGTGCTTGCGGCGCTGGGTTCCGGATCATGCCGTATCAGTAACTTGCTGCATTCTGATGATACACAGGTCATGTTGGACGCAATTGCGAAACTGCAAGGTGCTAGCTTCTCATGGGAAAACGATGGCAAGGAGCTAGTGGTCACTGGAAATGGTGGTGACCTCAAGGCCACGAACGACGAGCTTTATCTCGGAAACGCTGGTACAGCAGCACGTTTCTTGACCTCTGTGACGGCACTTGCGCAGCCTGTTGAGGGTGTCACATCAACTATCGTCACTGGCAATGCCAGGATGAAGGAACGTCCAATCGGCCCGCTCGTCAAGTCACTGCGTACTATGGGCATTGACATTGATTACCAGGAGAACCAGGGCAGTCTGCCACTGCGCATTGCAGCCTGTGGTGGCTTTGGTGCCAGCGAGGGAGACAAAGCGTTCACTGGTGAAATCGAGCTTGCGGCGACAGTTTCTTCGCAGTATGTCTCCTCCATCCTGCTGTGCGCGCCTTATTCCAAGAAGCCAGTCACTCTTCGTCTTGTAGGCGGCAAGCCGATTTCGCAGCCGTACATCGACATGACCATCGCTATGATGGCTTCATTCGGCGTACAAGTTGAGAAGTCTTCTTCAGAGGCGAACACGTACCACATTCCCAACAAGCCTTACTCAAATCCTGCCGAGTATGTTGTCGAGAGTGATGCTAGTTCTGCCACATATCCCTTGGCTATTGCGGCCATCACAGGAACCACCTGCACTGTACCCAACATTGGTTCGAGCTCCTTGCAGGGCGATGCTCGTTTCGCCATTGAAGTGCTGAGGCCAATGGGCTGCAAGGTGGAGCAGTTAGCTAACTCGACAACGGTCACTGGGCCACCGCGAGGTGAGCTGAAGGCTGTCAAGGAGATCGACATGGAGCCGATGACCGATGCTTTCCTCACGGCATCCGTCCTCGCCGCTGTTGCATCATCTAACGGCACATCGACTACAACGCGCATTTACGGTATTGCCAATCAGCGTGTCAAGGAATGCAACCGCATCCAAGCCATGGAGGATGAGCTTGCCAAGTTCGGTGTTACCTGCAGGCAGTTTGATGACGGTATTGAGGTCGATGGAAGAGGCTACGAGCTCAATGCGCCAAGGGAGGGTATCCACTGCTACGACGATCACCGTGTTGCCATGAGCTTTGCCGTTCTGTCGTTGGTTGCGCCTAAGCCCGTACTCGTTCTCGAGAAGGAGTGTACTGGCAAGACATGGCCCGGCTACTGGGACTCGCTCAACCAGATCTTCAAGGCCGAACTTGATGGCGTAGAGCTACCTCACAAGGCGATTCACGACACTAGGATTGGCTCGACCGTCAAGGACAAGTCTATCTTCTTCATCGGCATGCGCGGTGCCGGTAAGACAACAACAGGCGGATGGGCTGCTCGTCTTTTGGGGTGGCCGCTGATTGATCTTGACACCGCTCTTGAGGAGCATCTTGGCATGACCATTCCAGAGCTCATTAAGGAACGGGGCTGGGACGGTTTCCGTGCCGAGGAGCTGAAGATTCTGCAAAAGACTATGAAGGAAAAGCCCACTGGTCATGTCTTCGCGTGCGGTGGTGGCATCGTCGAGATTCCTGAAGCACGTAAGATCTTCGTTGACTACCAGAAGAGCAACGGAGTCGTTTTGTTAGTTTCTCGAGACATCACCAAGGTCATGGACTTCCTTCAAATCGACAAGACACGCCCAGCCTACGTCGAGGACATGATGGGTGTTTGGCTGCGACGAAAGCCTTGGTACCTTGAGTGCAGCAACTACCTAGTGAACAGCCAAAGTTCGGATGCTCAAGGCTTCGTCCGAGCACTCGAAGATTTCGGTCGCTTCCTCAAGATGATCACTGGACGCACATCAGCGTTGAAGTCGATCGGGAAGAGGAGACAGTCCTTCTTCGTTTGTCTTTCAGCGCCCCAGGTCGAGCCTCTACAGAAAGACATGGCTGAGATCACAGTTGGTGCGGATGCTGTAGAATTGCGCGTCGACCTTCTTGAGGACCCCAAGTCGCCGAAAGGACTGCCTTCACCTGAGTTCGTTATCGAGCAGTTGACTGCTCTGCGCCGGGCCACATCTCTGCCAGTCATTTTCACGATCAGAACCAAGGCGCAAGGCGGCAAGTTCCCTGATGAGGCCTACAGCGAGGCTCGTGAACTGTACCAGACAGCTCTTCGACTAGGCTGCGAGTTCTTAGATTTGGAAATGACCATGCCTGAGTACATCCTCCGTGAGGTCACAGAGCAGAAGGGCCACACGAGCATCATCGCCAGTCATCATGACCCTAGAGGCGAGCTGAGCTGGGACAATGGCTCCTGGATTCAATACTATAACCGTGCTCTGCAGTACGGTCATGTCATCAAGCTCGTCGGTGTGGCCGAATCTCTGAAGGACAACTTTGCTCTTGCTGAGTTCAAGTCGTGGGCAGCGTCTGCCCACCCAGTTCCCCTCATTGCTATTAACATGGGCGAGCACGGCAAATTGAGCAGGATACTCAATGGCTTCATGACACCTGTCTCTCATCCACTGCTGCCTTCAGCCACCGCGCCAGGTCAACTGACGGCTGCTGATATCCGCGGTGGTCTGTCGTTGATGGGCGAGATCCAGCCCAAGAAGTTCTGCATCTTCGGCTCACCAGTCCAACAAAGCCCGAGCCCGCGTCTGCACAACAGGCTCTTCCGCGAGACAGGGCTACCGCACAACTACACAATCGTCGAGACTGCTGACACAACACCAATTAAGGATATCATTCGCGCGCCAGACTTCGGTGGCGCCAGTGTTACCATTCCGCTCAAGCAGGACGTAGCTCCTCTATTGGACGGTGTGGGCCCTGAAGTCGAGGCTATAGGTGCTCTTAATACCATCGTGCCAGAGACAACGATCGACGAGGCCACCGGCAAGGAAGTCACGCGCCTCATCGGCCGCAATACAGACTACCTTGGTATGGTCCTTGTCTTGAAGAACGCTGGCGATCAACGTTTGCCTGGTGAGCAGCACTCCGGTCTCGTCATTGGCGGCGGAGGAACTAGCCGCGCAGCCATCTACGCACTGCACGAGATGCAATACAGCCCAATCTACCTTCTTGGTCGCAATGTCGAAAAGATGGAGAAGCTCTCAGCCGACTTCCCTGCCGAGTACGACATCCGCATCATCAAAGATACGGCTACTGTTCAGTCTCTGGAGCGCCTGCCCACTGTTGCAATCGGCACTATTCCCGCCGACAAGCCCATCGACCCCACAATCCGCGAGGCATTGATCGTGCTGTTCGAAAAGGCCAAGACAGCTGAGAGCGCGAGTCAGAGGACTCTACTTGAGATGGCATATAAGCCGCCCGTCACAGCCCTGATTGAGCTTGCTCAGGATGCAGGCTGGCAGACTGTCAACGGTCTCGAGGTCCTTGTTGGTCAGGGCGTGCATCAGTTCGAGTACTGGACGGGCATCAAGCCGCTGTACGCGATTGCGAGGGTAAGTCCACTGGAGCCTTTGAATACCGAGACATGCACTAAAGCACATTATAGGAAGCGGTCCTGAGCGGCTACTAGGAAGTGAGCTTGCAGAAGTTTATGTCAAAATCTAGTTCGTATTCAAGACACATACATATCTTCCCATGATCATGTCTTACACTGCGTAGCCTTCCACTCAAGTGTTCTTTTGGCAACGAACACAAAAGCTTCCCCTTCCATGTAGCATACCACTTATCATATCGTTGACTACCCATTCTTCATAGCGTCGGTTGCAAGACTACTACCATGATACCCACAAACTTACCGCTGCAAATCAAAAAGCGTGCTGCGAGCGTCAGCTTCGGACACGAAACTCCTCATAACCCTCCTCCCAAGATGCCCAAGCCCAAAATCCTCCTGCCGATACGCACCAGCAAATCGAACTCGAGCATAGCCTCACCTAGCTCCTCCTCGCAGTCCAACAGTCAAACCCTGTCAGCAAGGCAAGACACGGTATCGCACTACTGATCTTGGATGCAGCTGAGGCCACTGTGACGCTCGAGGACGCTGAATCACCTCTGTACGAGGACGAGGACGAGGAGTATGGGGTGGACGACGAAGACAGTAGCGATGAGAAGATGCGTTTACGAAGAGCTATCAGGAGGGTAGTCGGAAACGGGGTGGGTGAGAATCGAGGGGATTGGATCTTGTATTATATGTAGAGATTATAGATGCGATGAAAGGACGCTAATTTGTGTAGAACACGCGGCTCCTCGTATTGGTGACGACGATCAGGCAGCCAGCTAGCTAAGGCTCGTGCCGCAGTGCCTACACGGCCCCACTTGGCTACAACCTCACATCGAGCATATGTATGGTATGCTTGCTGGCTCTTTGTAGCAAAGTGCAATGCTCTCGAACGACTGACACTGCTTGTTAGGGCTACAACAGCGCCGCCGGTGACAAATATGGACTTGGACCGCGGGCCTGCTGGGATTCTTGCTGCAGAAAACAGGGACGTATAAAGATGCTCCTGGCAAACACTAGTAGCTTCACGCGAACAGTAATGTGTCAGCTCCGTCAGCTGCAGTAGATCCAACGGCTTTTCTGTGCGCTACTGCTGAACATACGCGCCTGTTGGTGAGGCATCAGTCGTGTCGCCCTTTGTTTGGTGAGACATATCGCGATAATTGAAGGCAGCCCGGCGCTGCGATTTTGAGCATATAGATGCGCGTAACGAGAGGGCACATAAGAAGCTTGGAATGCCTGACGTGCATACTTGTTGAACGTAGAGTCTATGCTCACGCTTCTTCTCAACTGCTTACAACCTTTGATGCAGCCTTATTCAAATATTCATCGAATTGTTTCGGAATTCCTCGGTACGCAAGTGCGATGCTGGAATACAGCATACGCCCCGGGAAGGATGCCTCCGCTGCAATATCGTACCGCGCGTGCCGCAATATTGTATGCATCCTGCACGAATCCTGCGATCCTCGCTTCTTCGATCGTCGGGATGTCCGAAGGAAGGTATACGAAACGTGCGAGTGCGTTTATGACAGTGTGCGCTGCAGGGGAAAGGGATGGGTGAGATGAAACCAGTGCGTCGGGACCGACAGCTGCACGGATTCGTTCCAAGTAATGTGCGCTTGCCGCTTGCCCATTGAGTAAGCCAGATCTGACGAGGCTTTTACGAGGCTTCGGAGTAGGTGTCAACCGAAGGAGCCAAGCTGCAGGGTAGGCACGTGGGATTCGTGTTGGCCCTTGGGGAAGCTGACATGTGTGAGATTTCTGCCTCAGGCTCGAGGAAGGAGGATCTGTATTCCATGGCAGTAGACTGCAGGTAGTGTATGTAGGACATGAGTCGTAGGCGATGTGCCAGATAAGGCTGGAAGCGAGCGGCCATGATCGGTCTACACATCCAAAGGATCGTTACTGTTGTCAGTACTGACGTAAGGTCCAAATTCGTATGTTCGGCATCCCTGACGGCCCGTCTACCGTGTCTGTGCGCGTGATGCCCGGATTCGCGTGATGCCCCGCCAACACCAAAGTACCACTTTTTGTACGCGCGATAACTTAACAACCATGAGTCCAATTAAGTCAGCAATTGCAGCAATTAATGCACTGAAGCTAAGAGAAGACTTCTCTTACACTAAAATAGCAGAGAGGCTTAGTATTAATTATTCAACATTAAGATAAAGGTGTAACAACGCGCTACGAACAGTGACCCGATACCGGTACCACTAGGTTACGGTTCCAGCGACTCATGACCATGGCCCTTGTCGCATGGCATGAGCTCGCACCAAACTGCCACCGAACCCTCATATATAAGGAGCAAGGAACTGTAGCATTGTAGAGTAGTTTTTCTGTATCCTTTCGTACAAGACCTATAGGTGTAGAGAATATATCCTGGTGTTCTTATCATCCCAGCACTCCCATATGCCTCGTAGCGGATTCACACCTATTCCGGATATCTCTCTTCTTGCCTGCGTCGTTACAAAAGGCACAAGCATCTTTAAGTACCCTACAACACTAAGATTATTAACTAACAGAAGCTCACCTAACAACAAGAGAAGGAGCTTGTAAAGTATATACAAGAGCTTACTGTTCGTCATATACCTCCTATACGCAAGATAATACAGAATTTCGCGTCATTAGTAGCCTTAGAGCTAGTCAGTAAGAGCTAGGTTACTGTAACGACGCAGGCAAGAAGAGAGATATCCGGAATAGGTGTGAATCCGCTACGAGGCATATGGGAGTGCTAGGATGATAAGAACACCAGGATATATTCTATACACCTATAGGTCTTGTACAAAAGGATACAGAAAAACTACTTTACAATGCTACAGTTCCTTGCTCCTTATATATGAGGTTTTGGTGGCAGTTCGGTGCGACCTCATGCCATAAGGGCCATGGTCATGAGTCGCTGGAACCGTATCCTAGTGGTATCGGGTCACTGTTCGTAGCGCGTTGTTATATATAGCGCCCCTTTAACCTAATATTATCCTCTAACGCTTTGCAAAGGATACCCCTAAGGCCTCTGATAGCAACAACAGCTCTTCTTTGGTCTACTCTAGCAAGGATTAGCTTAAGATTAAGACTCTGTTACGCAAGGTGGCTAAGGATAAGAGTATTAAGGAGTTAAAAAAGAGTAGCTAATTACTCCACCACATCTTAATTTAGAACTCTCTCCTCCACTATAAGGTTAGAGGCCTAAAGAAGTTCTAAAGACTTAGAAGAAGCACAAGAATAAGAGGAAGGTTCTGCTATTAGAGTCTTATTATAGTGGAGCAGAACTCTACTCTCTAAGCAGAGTAGAGAGAGCACGCTCACTTAAGAGGGCAAAACAACAAGACTAGGAGGCAGAAGAACTCTAAAAGAGTGAGAGAGCTAATACAAGGACTGCTAATAAGGCATACAACGAGAGAATTGCTCAGGAGAAGTGTAAGAAGCGGGCAAGAGAGAAGAAAGAGCGTGACCAAGAGCGTGCTAAGGAGGCTAAAGAAGTAGCAAAACGCAAGGCTGCCAGAGAGGCCCAAAAACACGATAAAAACGCTGAAAAAGTATACAGTTGCCTAATTAGGCTAACTAGCAGGCCTCACGTCAACTGTAGCTAAAAACAACAAAAAAGCGTAGTAGTAGGGGTAGTAGTAGTTATGCTGTTAATGCGACGCGCTCCCTATCACCACCACCTGTATACAACTCCTGTGGCGGCAAATTGCTCCACGCAAAAAGTTTAAGTAGCTAGAACAATTGCACATCTTTATAGATTATTCCACTACAAAATCTCGTGATAATAGCTATTCTGTGTAGCTCTACAGCCTCATGTTTGCAGGTGCTTGTTTTGGTGGTTCGGGGCATCACGCGAATCCGGGCATCACGCGCACAGACATGGTATTACAAAGGCAGGTCTTGTATTCCGGCTTTCAAAGACGAGATCTGATCATTTCGCAGTGCGGGAGTGACTAGGAACCAGCCGTGTGTATTGGCAGACCTTGGTCCGTAGATGTAAATGCGCAATCACTCGACGTGACGTATGCGTACGGCTGACAGGAGCGCAGATTGGTGACTGAATCCATAAATAGTTGCTGCCATAGTATGATCAGAGCGGAGACGAAGCTGCATGTTTTCCCGCGTCGATTTCAGCAAAATGGTAGCGCGGTTGCCGCCGCCGTGCTGGTGTTGATGTGGGGTCAAGAATAGCCCAAATTATGGGTTGCAATCTTAGGCTATGATCTAGGATCAATTCATAGCTATGACGGAATTCGCTGTACATTTAGCGAGGCAGAATCTCTGGTGGTGATGATTAAGAAAGTCTCATACTTGTGCCCCGTGCCCGCGCATGACCTATGTTTAGCTACGGGAGACCACCATAGGGAGTAGCCCGCTAGCGTCCCATGTGCGCTTCCCCCACACCTGAAAGCTGGCGCTGAGGCTGTGAACCTGATTTGTGCAGCTGTCAAGCGGGAAGCTTTACATAGCTCCGGTAGCTCAAATGGTGTGTCTGGGTATGGCAAAATTGCTGTCAAGACGCAAGTATTGATAAGAATAAATCGAAGATTGTATCAAGCGACTGCGCACCCGTGCGAATGGAATCCGGCAATGAACATCTGCATTGGATAGCTTTGCACGTGCTGCGACTTAACTGTTCTCGACCCAAATCTGATTGCAACGTGCATCGAGATGGAGAGTAGCGATTCCTTTACCAGGTTCGCGGCGAATCCTTCAAACTCCGGAATATGTAAGATGCCGGGAAGACGGCAGGGAATCGTACTGAAGAATCACATCGTAGCATTGATGATATCGATCGCAACTGCACTTGAAGTTCTTGATTCTCATACAGAGTACGCTCTGTCCGAGCGACGCCATTGCAGTGATTGAGGTTGGTGACAATTGAGCGATAAGGTCGCGGAGCGATCTCAGGAGTCAGGCGGGAGTTGAGGAGGAAGGAGCCAGGTCGCTAGCCGCGGACATCAGGCGATTATTGTGGAGCCCGTCTCTCTTCACCCTCACAGTCCAGAGTCCAGATCGCCCAGGCAAACACCCACCGAAGTGTGCCCAAGCGGCTCGCTCCTCCCTGACTTGACCAGATGGACGGCGCGTGTCATGAGAGACGGCAGAAGTTTCCGTCTCTGTCTCATTGCAAGGCTGTGTCGCCAAGCGCGGTACTGCTTCAGATCCCCCATGCCAGGCCAGCACGATCATTATTGACATGGGCATATCGAGTGTGTAGTCATGTTCTTGTCAATGATAAACCGAGGGGCATCACCCTTGGCCTTATCGGGTATGCACCGCGCAGCTGGGGGCGCCCCCAAAAAGCCATGTCCCCTGCACAGTGGTTTGGGTTCTGACCGACCTCGTCAGTTTTGAGCGCCTTTCAACGACATGGAATGCATTGAGCAGGTGTTACTGGCATTGCAGTCCGCCTCGCAGAAGATCCCTTCGATTCAAGGTCCGAGCTTGCTAGAGGAGCACTTGCACCAAAAAAGCAAATGGCATATCTATTGACAGCTGAGTTGATCGACACACACATCTGCGCACATGCCGCCTCGCCTCGGATACCTTTCAAAGCTCGCTCGTCGAAACAAGTGAACTACGCTGGGGGACGAGCGTGGTGCTCAGAGCAGTCATACTCGGACATGATACGCGCCAGCCGTTCTCCGGGCAGCCTAAATGCGATGAGCATTCATCAGAGAGCTCGTCAAAACTCGATGTCCAACTGACCAATGTCCCGGTCGGCTTCCCGACTCTGAGACGGCCCTGGTCGTCCTATCCCAACCGCATGGGAACTTCGGAAGCAAGGCACGCCGCCCGCCAGACAATGTGCAACAAGCAGGTTCTGCGAACTAGCCTACATGCGGCTCTGGCGAGGCTCCTTGATCCTTCCGCATTTTGAAATGCACATGATTTCGGGCAAACTCTAAAGGCTGCAGCGCAGACTTAAGGCGTCGCGGTGATGCGCATTCCTTCAGGACTGATGAGAGGATCATGCTTTGAGCCTCATGAGTTTGAGCAGACGGTGTCAACAAACTTGCAAGACCTCCCGGGCACGCCAACCTGCGTCCCGTTGGTGGATCTAGTGGCTGACGTTCGCGCCCGAGCTTCGAAAGGCTGAAATTGAGCAAAAAGGCTGGTCGACGTGTTCCCAGCGGGGGCGCTAGGAGCATCAGGCCTCCCACACATTTCTACAGGCCGCCGTCTCTCTGTGGAGATTGGAAAAAGCTTGCCCTAACTGGTGTGGGATTGCGACTGTAGTCGCATGACTTGGACGGAGGGACTCTTCACCGGGCTTACGCTCTTCATCTCAGTGCATCAACGAATGAGCAGAGACAAGGCAAACATCGTTGATCCCCCTTCTCACAGCATGCAGCAATTCGAAATTGATGTTACCTTCGATGCAACAGTCGTACACAGCAATAGCATACAGACTGACTTCTTGAAAGTCTCCACAGCGTATCTCGAGCCGACAGGGCTACGGACGGCGCCAGGCCTCCGCCGCGCCGTGCCAGTACGCGCACGCCAATGAAAGATGCCTTCTACAAATGAATTAGTCGCAGACTATACACCGTCTGCAGGGCAATCATCATATGTGTACGAAGCCAATACCATGACTCAGAGTGACACTTGTGCTCGATGACAGTTCCCAGCATAGTCAATCAAGCACATCGCAGAAATGCGTCTGCTATTCCTGCAAACCCAGTCGCCTTGCCTGCATGCAGTGGTCCTGCGCATCGGCGTAAGCAATCAGAAACTGTGTGCCGTTGCAGGAAGGCTGAGCGCACGGGCACTTTAGCGAGTCGCTATTTCGGGTACCAAGCCACTCTTCATCGCAGCGTGTATCGCGCTCTGTTTGGGTGTCCTGAGGCAGGGACGGTCCGCAACATGGCGTTGCGATGTCAAACCTCTATCCGCTCTAGGACCCTGTCCCGTGCCCCATTTTTGGGTGCGCGGACGCTCTTTTGTCCTGAGCTGCTTACGGAACCGTTCGGTTGCACGCCCGCAGCCATACCAGCGGGCTCCATGTTAGGACATGGTCCTTGATCGTCCACAGCACCGCCTTTGGCGGCTCTCCAGAATGATCCCTGTCTACTCACAAGCGCGAGCCGGACATCGAACACACCTCGTCGCTCGTCGTCAGTCCCACAATCTCAACCTCGATCCTCGATCGGGGTTGGCTCAGGCACAGCCTGCAGGTATTTACGGTGTATTCCTCCAACCGCACATGGGCGCAGTGCATCTCTCATCCATCCCTACATCACCAAGATCCTGATTTGGGTCGGCCTGCTACCCATTTTTGGTCTACTTCACACCATCTAGTAGTCTATTTTCCGACGGTTGTCCCTTAATCCATCCCCACGTCCTCATCTTACCTATCGTCATTGTTCGGAAAGCACGCCGCGTCAAACAAGACATGACCGTTGGCCCCTAAACGTCTGCCGTACGACCAGTTCTGGACCGTTAGATTGACCTCACTCGAAACTCCACTCACGGCCCCAATCATTCCTAGCCCCATCGACTTTGGCTCTGCTATATACATTGTTTAGCCTCCCAAGTCAATCATGTCTGAACACCGTGAGATAAACAGCCACCTCTTGGCTTCGACTGCACATCATCAATCACCACAGCCAAAAGGTGTCTCCGTCAACACAGTTGCAACCCGAAAAGACAGGCGTCGAAAGCGATCTTCAACATCATCGAATGGTACTGCAACATCGACTAAGCCTACACCTGCTCGACGCCGTTCCGGTGATTTCAAAATGCTCACTACCGAATCCGACGCCGACTGTTCCCGTACCGCACCACGGTTAACTCCAAGCCCGACCAACATGGCATCAGTCAACTACACCAAGACAGGGCGCGTCAGTAAGGCGAAGAAAGGTCTCAAAGTGCATGAATGTGACTGTGGACGGGTACGTATGCTTAAGCAGCTTTCCCACCAGATGTTGGATTTGGTTCTCTTCTTGTCAGCGACGCCGTATGGGCCTTGGCTGATCATTTCCAGTCCTACACTCGCGCAGAACATTTGAGGTAAGTAGATTTTTGCTCAGTTTATAGCTCGCGCTGACGAATACTCGCAGGCGTCACCAGCGAAACCATACTCAGGAGGACGGTGTGCTCTGCAAATACCCGAACTGCGGCAGAACATTTGTCCGCCCTGACCTTCTACAACGGCACGAAGAAAGACAGTAAGTTTCACCATCTTTCAACTGAATCCCGGCGCTAACAGAATGTAGCAACGAGCTCGGTGGCAATGCGTCTCGGCAGCCGTCCGTTTCAAGCAGCGAGCACTCTGCGCACTCTGCGCACCCTTCACCCATGCACATACCCACTTCGTTAACGATGATGCCTGTCCACACATTGCCTGCTGTATCATACCATCAAAGGCAGGCTGTGTCTCCTCAGCCGGGACCCTCAATACTCTCAAGGTACAACCCAACCCAGTTTCGTACTCCTCGACTTCCTCGTACTTCGAAAGTTGCACCTGCCAAAACTAGCCATTATTCCCTTCAGTCCAATCCTGCTTTTAAGACTCCTCCGAAGTGAGTTCCTGTCGAACATCAACACGAGAACTACGTTACTCGTTTTCCCTTCTTTCCTTTCTATACACCGCTTCCACTCACCATCATACACGGCTGACAATTAGGTCCAGCAGCAACAAATACACTCAGAATCCAGCATTCCTAACCCGAAATTCCGTTTCAAGCCCGGTACTCATCGACGTAATGGCTACCAACGGAGCATTGGCACCCGAATCTTGGGCACCGTCGCCTTACTCTTGTTCAAGTGGCTGTGCGTCCCCGACTCCATACCCTGAGTATGGCAACATGTATGCAACGCCGTTGTACAGTGCTGGCATTGTTCGAACTCGCGCATCCTCAAACGTGTCCTTGAACGAGGGAAACTGGCTGCAGGCCTCACATTCGCCAACATCATCCATCTCGTTGTCTTACTCATGGGCGACTGACGAGAAGAGCATCATAGCATCGACTTTTCCCTACACACCTGTCTCGTACTCTACTACCGATATATCAATGTATGAGGGCATTGGTGCGGTGGCCCATTACGGACAATACGATCCAAGCGATTTAGTCCAATTGGACCACGAGGAAGCTGCACAGCTCTTCCCCACTGTACATTACGGTATGAGCCAAACCGCGCGTGTTTATCCCTTCGAGCAATGGCTGAATAGTTACTGGAGGCTCTTTCATCCCACTTTCCCCATCGTCCATCGGTTCACCTTCGCCGGTGTAAGAGCCTCGCCGATGCTCTGCGCCGCGATGTCCGCCATTGGTGCTCATTACAGCAATGATAGTTACAACGCAAGGGAACTTCACGATCGCTGCGTGAAGGTGCTTGACAAGGTATGCTCTTCATGTCGTATGCGACTACATTCAGCTGATCATGAGTAGAGACAAGATATGAACATAGTTGGTTGCGACCGACTTTCCGACCTCCAAGCCATCTTCCTTGTCGAGGTGTTCTCTCTCAACTTCGCTCGTCGCTGTGCGAGATCTTTGTCTATGCGTTTCATTGCTATGTACGATCAGGTAGGTCTCTTCCCTCTATCTGAATGGAAAGACATGGCTAAACCATCGCAGCTGATCGGACCCTGTGACATAGATCAGTCTGAGATCACCAGCACTCTACTGCATGATTCGATAGACGAAGAGAGCGTCAAGAATCGGTGGTTGCAATGGGTCCTGCTCTCAGCGAGGCATCGCTTACTCGTCTCTTGCTATCTATTGGAATCACGGCACCTTCCAACGCTTGCTGCTGATCAAGAGCCACACTTGCTCCAGGTCGTGGCGGACAGTCTTCCCTTCCCTTCACACGAAGCTCTCTGGGAAGCACCAGATGCTCGTCAGTGGTGGACCAGCGCACAGGAATATTCGATGATGCCGAAATGCATCGCCGAGGCTGCTGTTGGCCGAATCGCTGGATGCTACGATGACTTCCAGTCGTCCGTCCTCATCGCAGTTATCTATTACCCTTCCAGCAATGCGACTTTGCCTCTGCATGCTGCAGTGGAGCACCTACTGAGCGACAACACAGTCACACAGCAACAATTTGCTGTTGCAAAGCTCGTCCAGCTAGCACCTATCCGTGCTCTGCTGGCTGTGTCAGGCGAGTCGTGGATACTCGGCACCAAAGTAACGTCGCAGGAAACATTTGCCGCATACAAGAACACAGTGCGATCATGGGTGGCGCAGCTATGGTCCACCACAGGCGGTGACTACCCGTGTTCGGCCGTCGAGGCTCTGCGAATATGCGTCGAAATCCTGACGCGTTCTCTCCACACGCAAGAGCCATGCAGACTGGACCTGGGTAACGAGCTAGGCTTGTTCTACGCAGCCCTTGTCGTGTGGGCTGCAACTGCTACCGCGATTAACGGAGCGTTCCTCGTAGACATTTCGCCGCAGCAGGCACGGCCGTCACCAGCATCGGAGGCTATTGGTGCACCAGCGATGTCGCCTGCCCAGATCCAGAGCCGGCCTACTTTCCTCGCATCGACTAGCCAACTCACAGCAGCACGACAAGTTGCACCGCCTGGTCTTTCAGACCGAAGGTGTTCGATACCGCATGCGGACATCGTAGCCAACACTGTGCACTTCCTCTCGACAGCAATCGAGAACATCACCTCGTTCGACGTCGCGGCCTGCCAGATTGGCTGCACGAGTCTCCTCCTCTGGATGGAGATGCAGTTGCGCTGCAGCCACTCGAACGAACACGCCGCTACTCAATCTAGCCAAGACGCCTCTGAGCATGCCCACGGGGACCTCGTTAACGAGGTTAGTAGCCAGCTTGGAAGAATGCTACGATACAGCTGTGAAGAATGGAGTATTTGATTCGAGGGCGCATACTTTACCTCGTCAAGACGCGTGTTATCGACGGCGAGGCCTCTCTTCGCATTACCGCTTTGTTATTCGTTTCTTGTTGGATATTCCGCGTTCATATTTCTTGATCGTCGCGCAGCGTTCAGCATCGCACGTCTCGGCATCTCGCTTCTACATACCCCTTCATGTCTTCCGCTCCACATCACGATACCCTTTCATACCTTCGTTTCCAGCGATATACCCCTTCCTTTCGGTCCTCGCACACGAGATCCCTGCTTTTGCGTTCCAGGCGCGGTGTGGTTGCATTCGACTCCATCTGTTCATTTCACTGAGGGATTTTCTTCATCAGCGTGTATTCTTAGTAGCATTATGCATTCAAAAATAGATCCTCACATCCAAGCTCCGCCTTCACGCCTGATCCAATGTTGTATCTAGCCGAGTAATGACATATGCTGACGTGCACGCGCCCCGAAGCCGACATGGACGAGGCTGCGCGAGCCCAAAATTGCCAACAACCAAAATCGCGTCGAAATTTTGATCGAGTTTCGTGTGATGTGACAACGCCAAGCAAATAAAAGTCTGTCACTGTCTTAATAGTCGAATCAAACAGAAGAGATTCTAGCTCTTGAAATTTCAAAGTTTGTTTGACTGAAATAGCTAGAGCACCACGCAAGTCGTAGTAAGTATTTGAAAACATTGTTGACGTCAACTTTCACTTTCACTTTTAAGAATCCCCTACCTACAACCGCGAAACATATCCTCCGCCTAGAATTGTAAAACGAAACCCCCACCAAATCAATCACTCATCGCTATCATTCTCACTCCAGCAACGCCTAGAGTCTCGACTCGAAATTAATCAAGAAAGTCTGGAACCGAAATGTACGTGCCCATCGGGCGGCGTGTCTAGCGATGGTGGTTGGGGGTACGCTGTAAGCTGTTTCGTTGGTGGGTTGGGGGTGCTGCACGTCTGTGTGTATTAAGGGCTGGTTTGGATGGGGAGGGGACCGGGGCGGTTCGCGAGGTGTGTCGGTGTAGGAATGTTGGTGGTGGCAGTCCGGCATCGGAAGTCGCGACACGGACAAACAAATGCAGTTGGCTGAGGGTATCGCATCAGTGCTTGCAAGCAGTACTCTGTTCGACGGACAGTTAGGATAGCAAACGCTCAACGCCGGATATAGGCACATCTACGTCTCGCTCCCCTTACTGCTTCCGCTCGCGTCCCTCCGCGGCACATCGTCTTCAACCCTCGTCCTCTTGAACTTCCTCGCCCCCGTCTCGTCGCGGAACAGCACATCGATCTGCGCAAACGTCCGGTCCTTGGTCTCAGGCAACCTACACCAACTCCACGCCAGCCCGACGCTCGCCGTGGCCGCCCAGAAGAACCCCGCTTTCGCGCCCCAGGCCCAGGCCGTCGGGTTCAGCATGCGCGGCGTGACGAGGTTGGTCGCGATGCCCGAGATATTGTAGGCGTTGCGGGCTAGCACGATGGTTTTGGAGCGCAGCCGCGTCGACGGCACTTCGGAGACGAGCGTGTAGCACACCGGGCCGATGGTGGCGTCGTAAACGGCGGTGAAGACGAGGAGCAGCGCGGCAATGGCCCAGGGGATTGCGCTGCCGGGGCTGGGGCTGCGGGATGTGGTTGTGGCGCTGCGTGTCGAGGATGTGTGCGGGTAAGGGATGCAGGCTAGTATGCCGATGAGCAGGACGCAGAGGAGAGTTAGGACTTGGCCTGAGAGGTAGATTGTGCGGCGTCCGAGGTAGGAGAGGAGGAACCAGGATGCGACGACGCCGAAGAGACCGAGTGCGAATTGGGCGAGCGACATTGTGAAGGCGTGTTTGGCGCTGAGACCTGCCTGTTCGTCTGGGAGGAAGTCAGTGTGCGCTTTCAGTGTTGAGGAGTGTGCGCTTTCAGTGTTGAGGAGTGTGCGCTTTCAGTGTTGAGGAGTGTGCGCTTTCAGTGTTGAGGAGTGTGCGCTTTCAGTGGTGAGGAGTGTCTGTTCAGACGTACAGAAGTAGGTCGAGAAGCCCATGAACGTGCTGCCGCATAGCGTCTGGATGGTCCACACCATGCATGCAATCTCAGTCCTTCGCCTGTCGACACCCTTGAAGCAGTCGAGGTATCGCGTCCCACTCTGAGCCTCCTTCTCCTTGTTGTTGGTGAGTACGACCTGCTTCAATGTCTCTTCCAGACCAGCGTTGAAGTCGCTGTCTGATTCGTTCTCCGCCTGCTTTCGCAAGCGGCAGAGCGAGTGGTGAGCTTCCTCAAACCGGCTCTGCCGGACTAACCACCAGGGACTGTATGTAAGTCAGTACCCTGTATGATTTTGTCGACTCTGATCCGTACCTCTCAGGAGCTAGCGCCACGACTATGAAGATGGGCACTGGAAAAGCCCACTGCAGTCCGAACGGGATTCTGTATGCCCATTGCGAGTCGATTGACAGCATCGATCGGAGCACAACAGATGCAATCAATTGGCCTAGCACCCAACACGCGTTGACGTATCTATCCGCATTAGCCTTTGCTTGGATTACAGAATGACAAAGACTTGGTATTACAGAATGACAAAGACTCGGTATTACAGAACGACAAAGACTTGGTACTACAGAATGACAAAGACTCGGCATTACAGAATGACAAAGACTCGGTATTACAGAATGACAAAGAAAGTGTACGTACGTAGTCAAATACCCCCTCAACCTAACAGGCAAGATATCAACAGCATAAGTCGTGCTGATAGTCTGAAATACGCCCCACGGCGCACCAAGCAGACACTGTCCCACCAGCAGCACGAGCTTACTAGTCGCAAAAAAGGTAATCGAAACAAACCCCACCATGGCCATCAACCCCACCATGAGCGTTCTGCGATACCCAATCCGCTCCGCCAACCACCCAGCGAGGAGCAGCCCGACAATCTGACCCGCCAGAGCGCCGTTGACCAGAGCGCTTTGCCATGCAGCGCCGATCTCGTAGGAGCCGTTGCGTTGCTGAGTGCCAAACTGCCGCAGGAAGGGATCGAGCGAGTAGAGATTTGGGACGAGGATGGTGGAGTAGCCTTCCATGACAAGGGTCAGGGAGAACAGGACGGACCACGTGATTGCTTTTGAGTAGCGATCGATGCATTGGCGCAGAGACAGAGTGGCTTCGGCGTCGTGGATTGCGGGTTGCGCGGTTGTGGTTCGATAAGGGAAGCACGGCGTTTGCGAGTTGCACGTTGTGTTTGTGAATCCACTGGAGGAGGTTGTGTGCTCTGAACTGTCGGAAATCGTTCTAGTCTCGCGTCGTGATGGTCGTGGCGATGCTCGTTCTGAGGCAGCTTGTCCTTTCTTCTTGCTGATTGGTGTCATGGTCGATTCGTGATTGGCCGTCAGTCAAGCAAGTCTGCAGGCCTGTTGGAAGGTTGCAAGACGCAAGGAGACATGACAAGCTTCGAGATCAGGCAATAGATGGCGGTCAGTGCTTGTTTATGGCATGTGGAGCGCTGTGGTTACTTATCGACATTCTGGGAGAAGCCGGGAGCAAGGGGTGAATCAGTTCAGATGACATCGGTGAATCAGTTCAGATGACATCGTGATGACCCGCAGCAGCCATTCAGAATGGATGTGTGGATGGTGATTGACGGCCGTAGTTGCGAAGCGTCAATAGTGCTGGCTGATGTGTGGTCGTCGAATGAGGACCAGGCTGCCAGAACAGGCAAACGCGAATTTGGCAGTCTCTGAGCCGAACGGTCTCGAGTCGGATGATCTGGAGATCGATACAAGGACAGGGGGTCTGGATCATCAAGTAGACCAGGTTGGAGTGTGGTCAAGCTTTCTGTTGGTGGAGCGGGCCAGGCGGGAAGAAGTAGCGGATGCAGGTACCAAACATTGCGTCTTCCCCGCAGACTTGACCGTTTCGTCGCGGCAACGATGATCGACAACCACTGGACCCCACGTCACAAGGTCACTAAAGAGTGGCGGTGCGGGTGTAGCGTACCGGCCATGGTCACGATGAGCTCTGGGCAGGCCAGTCAGCCAGTGCATGTCCACCGTAGCGCACTCGATGTGATGTTCTCTATTTCTGGCACGCTGTTCTCTCTAACTTTTCGCGGCCGCAGCTGCAGCCTTTTCAGCCTTTTTCTTCTCCTGCTCTGCGAGTTTTGCGAGCTTCTTCTGCTGATTCTTCGTCAACGGCTGCCCGTCCGCGCCAGCAGGTGCATCTCCACCATTCTTGTTCTCGTCGCCCTTGTTCTCCTTGACCTTGTTGTCGTCGCCCTTGTTCTCCTTGGCCTTGTTGTCGTCGCCCTTGTTCTCGTCGACGTTGGGCTTCTCGACCCTGGGGTTGCCCTTCCACTCGAGCTGTCGCGGGCGCAGGAACTCTTCGAGAACCTCGTCTGTGACCTTTGCTCGCGCCTCCTGGAACTTCTTGACGTACTGCGTCATCATGTCGACGCACTCCTTCTTCATCTCCCCTGTCAGGAGGTCGCCCTTGCGGTAGTCGGCGGCGAGCTTCAGCAGCTTCTCGTCGTCGTCTTCAAAGTATGAAAGGTACTGGTACGGTACATCGATGTCGGGGTTGCCGCCCTTCTCGCGGTGCAGCTCCAGCGTCTCCTGGCCTCCACTGAAGGCGTGCGAGTTGATCTTCTTCTTGATCTCCTTGGGGGTGTCGCTCATGAAGATGGCCGAGTTGGGGTTCGATGCGCTCATCTTGCCGCCTGCGCCCTGCAGGGCCGTGAGGAACTTGGAGTGGATCAGTGCAGGCTTTGGCGAGGGCAGGTCCATTCGGTTGCAGTTCTCACGGACGAGACGGAAGTAGGGGTCCTGGTCAATGGCGCACGGAATCAGGCAGGGAATCGCAGCGAGCTGCTTCGAGCGGTGGTAGGTCTTGTGGTCGTGGCCCCAGATGAACGGGTAGGAGGAGGCGAAGGCAGCAACGCACTGCTTGGCGGCAAACGCATTGCTGCCAATGTTGGTGGAGCCGTGGAAGCCAAAGGCGCCGCGCACCTGGTTGTTGGTGATGAGCTTCTCGAACTCGGTGGTGTTGAGGTTGAAGTGCCTGTTGAAGCCAGAGGTGAAGAATTCCGAGTCGATGTAGATGAACGTCTTCTTGGGGTCGAAGCCGATGGAGATGATGTCCTTGGCGTTCTGTCGCGCAAACTCGTACACCTCGGGCTGCTTCAGCTTCTCCTTGAAGAGAAACTTTTCGTCGTCGGTGAGCATGATGACGAGGGGTACGTCGAAGACATGCTGCAGCCACTTTGTGAACTCAAAGGGGATGGTGTGGCCGATGTGCATGGCGTCGCTGCTGGGGCCGCGGCCAGTGTACAGCAAAAAGTCCTCGCCCCTTTCGTAGCGGTCGAGGATGAGCTCCAGGTCGCGGTGAGAGAAGAACAGGCGGCGGCGCAGCCAGCGGTGCGGCTTGTGGCCGGTGACGCGCTCGAAGCGGGCGAGCAGGGCGTCGTCGACGAGCTTGGTGGCCCACTGGGCGGAGATGGCGGCATAGTCAAACTCCTGGACGTTGCCGTCGGCGTCGGTGGCGGCCTGGACGTCCCACGGATTGATTTCCTGGGCGGTGGCCTTGGAGGCGGCGATGCTGGGCGGCTCGGGCTCTGTCATGGCGGGCGGGTGACGTGTAGGAATTCCGGTGCTGGCTCTTGTTGTTGCGCACCGAACAGGTCCCCCCACCACCCCGAGCGCGAGCTCGATTTCGCGGGGCAGCTGCGCCACGACATGTGGCGGTGGTGGCTGGGCCGTGTCTGGACTCTGGACGTCCAGATTTGCCGCCGTCAGCGCATCCAGCGCATTCCACCTTGCCCGCATCCGCCGCATCCACCGCATCCACCGAATCCACCGCATTCACCGCATCCACCGCATTCACACGCCTGTCCAATTGCTGCCGCACCATCGGCTGCCCCGACCATGCAACACGCACCAGCCCAGTAGCAACACCGCACTCCAGCATCGGCCCCCGACACACGACCCCCGACCCACGACCCCCGACCCCCGACACACGACTCTCGACCCCCGACACACGACTCCCGACCCCCGACCCGCGAGCGTCGCATCGCATCGCATCGCCCGCCATGGTCAAGTTCTACTCGTCGCAGGAGACGTACGCATACTCGTTCCCCGCCGTCACCCTCGCCTACTTCCTGCGCTACCCGAACCCCTACGCCACCCACGTACTCTCGACCGACACCATTGCCCGCTCCTACGACCCGGCCACGCAGCGCCTGACGACGGTGCGCCTGCACCTCAAGCGCTCCAAGCTGCCCGCCGCCGTGCTGCGCCTGCTGCCCAAGGCCCTGCTCGGCGCCTCGGCCACGGGCGACACCCAGACGTACATTCTCGAGAAGAGCGTCGTCGACGTCAAAGAGGGCTGGATGGACACCGAGTCGCGCAACCTCGAGTGGACCGGCGTGCTGTCGGTCGTCGAGCGCCAGGTCTTCACCCGGCTCGACGACACCAGCGAGACGACCGACGTCACATCCAGCGTCACCCTGCACTCGCACATTGGCGACGCCTGGAAGCGCAAGCGCGAGGCCGCCAGCGACGACGCCCCGCCCAAGATGGGCTTTCTGCGCAGCTGGGGCACCGCCGCGCTGCAGCGCCAGATTGAGAAGATTGGCCTGACGCGCGCCCAGCGCAGCCAGCCCAACGCCAAGGAGGGCATGAAGGTCGTGCTCGAGCGCATGCGCCAAGGCGGCCTCGTCGCCGTGCTCGAGGGCATGCGCGCCGACCGCGAGGCGATTCTGGCCGGCCGCTCGCTGCTCGCCCAGCGCCCAAACGAGTCGGACGAGTGAGCCTGATCAACGCAAGAGAGCCGGCCACGGCCATGGCATCTTGTGCAGTGGTGTTTCTGGCGGGCAGCATTTAGCGACGGCGTTCTGGTCTCTCCCTCTTCTCCCTTGCGTCCCCCAGCGAGCGACTGCTGTTTTCCTCCTGTAACCTATACCGGCGCAAGTAATAGCCGAACCCCGTGTACAGTATCAAAAGCCAAACAAACATGCAAGATTGCGTCTACTGCAAACAGGCAAGACTGCGTCTACTGCAAACATGCAAGATTGCGTCTACTGCAAACATGCTAGACTGCGTCTACTGCAAACATGCAATATTGCGTCTACTGCAAACATGCAAGACTACGTCTACTGCAGTCGCGCGCTCTGCAGCTGGGTATCATCTGTCCGAACAAAGGAAAAGCACAACACGTACCAACTGTCACCCATCCCCCCAAAGACACCTCACACCACCACCGCTCCCCCGTCCCCACCCACACCCCTCATCCACACCTCTAATCCTCACTCACGCCCACAACCCTAATCCTCACCCACGCCCACAACCCTAATCCACACCCACGCCCACAACCCTAATCCACACCCACACCCACACCCACATCCACACCCACACCCACACCCACACCTACGAGTCCCAAATCGGCCCAAACGCAGGAACCCCCCTGCTCTCCAGCCCCCCAACGACCCACCGCGTAACGCGCTCGTTGCTCAGCACAAAAACAGCCTCGGCCCCCATCTCCCTGCACACGCCCCACGCAACGCGCAGCAGATCCGGCCGGCCCTGCGCATCCGTGTCCAGCACGAGCGCCTGCGGATCTGCCCGGTGCACCAAGCGCAGCATTGCGGCCCCGTACGTCGCAACCGGGGCGCGTGTGCTCCACACCAGACGTGCTCTCTGCGCCGCGGGCCGGTCGAGTAGTGATGAGAGACTAGGCCCGATCCCCGACCCCGTCGTCACGATCAGCACGCGCGCGTACATGCATGACAGGCTCAGGACGCCGGCGCGCGGGTGGCTCTTGACGAAGAAGCGCATGGACACTGCCTTGCCCACGCCGGCGCCGCCTGCCTTTTGCTCGCCGCTCTTTTGCTGCGCGGACGAGATGAGGCTGCGCGTCCAGTCGCCCGCGGCGCTGACGACGAGCGCGTTGCGATTCCCGCTTTGCGACTCGCTGCTTCCGACCAGCGGGAACGTCGCGAATGGGTGCCATTCCCGCGCGGGCTGCGTGCTGAGCGCCACACATGAGTACTTGTGCACGGCGTGCGGGAAGGAGAGGAGTAGCGCGTGTGCGCTCAGCGGGGTCGCGGTGAATGTCCACCGGCGGAGGAGCAGCCAGGGGTAGACGAGGAGCGCTGTGATGGCACCGAGGGTCCAGAACGAGGGTGTGCGGACGAGGGTGTCGACGAGGGCGTGCGGGACCGCAGTAGTCGACGCAGGGCGCGCCGAGCGTGTGAGGAGCAGCAGCTGCGCCCAGAAGAGCGCGACGCACGACCAGCCCAGGAACCGATGCGTCAGCTCCCAGACATCGTGGTGCCGCGCTCTCACGCGGGGCAGGCTCAGCACGACAATGGCGACGAGCAGACTCGCGATGATCAGCGTCAGCACGAGCACGCCTGCCGTGACGGTGCTGCCCCCGCGCGCCACGCATTCCCAGCTCAGCACCCCCGTGAACCCGATCCACCACCCCGTCCCCACGACCGCGGCGCCGCTGTGGATCCCGCCGTAGCAGTACACCCGGCTCACCACCCTGCGTGCCCTGAGCGGCAGGGACCACGGCACGAGCCACGCCGTGCGGAAGAGCAGATTGATGAGCCAATCCTGCCGGAAGAGGATGGCGAGGAGCAAGTTGCTGCTCGCCAGGGTAGCGAGGTTGTCGAGGCGGAAAGCTCTCAAACTACGCCACGACGAGAAGCGCAGCAGCACCAGCACGGCGGCCAGGTTGAGCACGACGACCAGCGTGAACAGCCGCTGGTACACTGCGAACACGCCGTATCGCAGACGGCGGATAGCCCGATGATGGCCCGTGGGCGGTAGGCTGTGCTGATCCGGCGGCGGGCGTTTTTCCAGCAGAGCGGTGCTCGACGAGACGGAAGAGCCGCATGTGCTGCGCCGCAGGCTGGCATCGGAGCGGCTGTGCTGCAGCGCCTTCTCGACGTCGACGATCCGGCGCGGCGCCTCGACCAGGCGGAACCGATCAGGATCAAACACGGCCGTTGGCCGGTCGGAAGGGATGGCGGCCGGTCTGACAGGTGATCTGCCACGTTGTCCATGGCTCCGCTGCCGCTCTCTCCACCAATGCTGATACCGACAGGGGGTTGTGACTGGGCCCGCTGCGTCCCGCTGTTTCTGGATGTATGACATTGTGGAATGTGGTTTGGATGCTAGCCGTCAGGTGAGTTGTGCGAGTGGGGAGGGTGAGCGAATAGTTTATATCGCACGCAAACACGGCGACAGCACGGCACTCTGGACGAAGCAAGCGGGCTTGCACAGACTTTGGCGGACCGTTGACACAAACACCGAATGCGAGACGGGGGCAGCAAGGAGTGTGCGCGCCGAAATGAGAGGGTGCACAGGAACGAGTGGGTGAACTGATTCCTGCTCCAGCGCCATCGTGCGTCGGCTCGTCGGCATGCCGCTTCGAGCCCACCATGTCTGACTTTCACACGTGGAATGAGCTTCAGGAAGACACAACAGGAACGCCTGCATATTGCTACTGCAGCCCCGTATCGCATACGGCATGGCAAGCCTGGCTCACATGCCAATGGCTTGAGCCCACCAGCCGCGCTGTACCCGGTCCCTTTGACCCCTGCACGCGATCGACGGCCAGGTTTGTTGAGGCTCTCCGTGTGCAGCCTCGTGGGCGGGAAGCAGCGGATAGCAGCGTTGGAGACGTGCAAGCATGCAGGTACGCACGCCACGCTAACGCTGAGGATAACGTCAACGGCCGCCGACCCAGCGTGCTGCCGTACGTCCATTCCAGAGCGCTTGGCGGGGCGATGTGATGCTGTCATTGGCGCATCCCTTTGTCCTCCAGAGCAAGACTTGTTCCTCAACGGCAGCGCGACAAGGCAACACCTGACGGTGGTGGCGACGCCCGGGCCCCGGTATTTGTCGCACACGCTGCGTGTTTGGATGCGGGGCGCGACGGGTCCGCACAGATGCAGGACTTGTGTGTTTGTATTCCCAGCGCGCTGCAAGGTAGCCGTCGTTGCTAGCCGGGGCTTGCGGGGCTTGTTGTGCTCTCCATTTCTGCCCTGATGCAGCATAGCTCCGAGTCGTGTTGAGCCAAAGGACGTAATTGCAAACAAGTTCTTGACGTACCTTGTTCAGGGCCATGCAGCAAAGCATTCTCCTGGCGTTTCGGTTGCTGCGGAGGATCGAGCCTGGCTGTTGTCGATCTGACAAAGTCCGCGCCACGATCGATCCACCGTCGTCAGCCCACGCCAGCGCTGTGAGCGCTGCAGTCTAACGCACCCTCGCATCGTTTGGTGTGAGAAGGCACGCTTCGCATCTCGAACCAGGTCACCGGACACGCTGGGCCTGGCTCTCCGCGCGCAAGGGGTGTTGGGAGTGCTCCAGTCTCAGCCTCCAGCGCAGGTCTAGAGGCAACAACAACAGCGCCCCTGACGCCAAACAAGCCAGATTGCTAGGCAGCTGCATCTCTTCCGGAAGCGGATCTGACGTCTCGCTGCACCGCGCCCTGTCTGCTGGCCGAGGCTGTTGCGGTGGGCGGATCGTTGCGCCGTGCCACCCTCTAACGGTCAGTCGTGTAACCTTGGGCAGTCTTGTCCTGGCAGATGCGGTTTGAGAGTGTCAATTCGAGGAGGGCTACACAAGCACGACAGCGCCCAGGTGTCTAGTGCCCTCATCGCCAATGGCACGACATGCGCATGTCCGGTCGGAAGTCAGCAAACGCCCCAAGGCGTGCGTCGAGGCTCTGTCAGTCAGTCCCACACGGAAAATTTTCACGATGCTTCCAGCCTTGTCTTTCGATGCTGTCGGTCGTCGTTCGGAGAAACATCTGCAGGCTGCATGTCATGTCGAGTGCGTCCGACTCGCAGTTGACACACCACGCGAGTCACATCTGGAGGTAGTCACGGCATCGGCGTTTTGGAGAGGACACAGCTACAAGACGATGCTCGAAGGCACTCACAATGTCTCACTTACTGAAACGAGAGCAGCTTAGAGAACCGAAGATCTTGATGACGATATGTGATGATGGTATGAAATGAGAATGAAGCCCGAGATACTGCCCTTTGACCGTTGCTTTGACTGCTTGAATAGTTCGAAAGCCTGGAAAATAAAAGGTACAGACCCGCAATGTGCACGTCGTTGTTCTCGCGATATGTGCTAATAGTGCCTACCTGTGCAGAGGGTGGGCCCGCGGAGAGACGACAACTCAGCTGGTCAGGTCGGGTTGCCGCTGCGCTTCGGCTGGGTCGGGCTGGGCATCATTACCTTCCTGTGCGCCCTCACGCTTGATGAGGCTGGCATCGTTCAAGCTCCCCTCGACCTTCACGCCTCGGCAAGCTATCGTGAACTTGTCCGCTTGTGGGCCGTGTCCAGTTTGACCATCGGTTGAAGTTGAACCCAGAGCTCCGAGTCCATATCCCTGGCCAAAGTGCTGATGACGGGCTCTGTCGGCTTTTCGGGCGGCTTCTCGTCCCTGAGAACGTGGCCGAACACAGTGACCACAGCGTTGTCCGATCGGGTTGCGACCTCCACCGTGTTCTGCTCATTGGACAGCCCGAGAAGAGATCGAAGAGGGACACCGTCCGAGACGGCGTTGCAGAGGCCCGCGGAGGCGGAGTTGTGGAGGCGGAGTTGTAGAGTCGGTTCATACACTCCTCGGCAAGTACGCCAAACTGGAGACGTGTGGCAAGCGCCCAGATGGCGTAGAGATGCTCCGCATCGTTGTAATGAAGATCGTCATCGTAGGCCCATTCAACAAGAGACAGGACGCTCTTCCGAGTAGCATCACAAAGGATGAGTCTGCCCTGCGCCCAAGCTTTGTTGACGCTGGCCTTGGCCTTTTGTCTCTCTGCGGCCTTGAACCTCGAAAACTGCGCACCTATCTCTTGCGCGACCTCGAAAAGGCCCTCGGCATTGAGGAGATGCAAGCGCTGATTCAGGCTCATATCTTGAAAACCTTTCAGGTTCTTCGGCTTCTCCGCTGGCGGTCTGAAGTTCCTGTTGCTGAACTGTGTGTTCAAGATGGATGTGATAGCACTTTCGAGGACTGGCTCGTACTCCTTCAGAGGGCATTGTTTGTACATATCATGATAATTGGCAGTAGCTATGCACAAGTCAGTGGTGTACATTTCAGGCATGAGGTTCTGATCAGACACCGAGTGTGCGGAAGACGTACCTTGGCCTCGAGTTTCTCTGCCTCGCATTGCTCTAGAGAAGATGGCGCCATGATGATGGACTCGATATGCTCCAGATACTCGTCGCACTTGGCGTGAGCCTCTCGCAGCGGTTCGGCTCTGGTTGAGAAGAATTTCATCTTTGGGCTGTGTTTGCACAGGACCTGCTCGTGGATCGTGCATTTGCTTCGAAGGTCCTCACCGTGCCCAATGATGATGGCATGCTGCATCGGACCCTCCATACAGCGATAAGTATACCACAAGGCAGCGTGGCTCGAGACTTACTGAAAAGCCGATAGCTGCGCTCTACCGTTCGTCTTCGTCAGTATTGTCCTGGGTGGCGTTGCGTAGACACCTTGCACGACAGAAACTGGTGCCGCGGTCGCAGCCTACCCTCCTTCGATACTGTCTCGGACCATTGTAGATGCTCGTGATGGCGTGCTTGGTGCTGAGGGCTGTTCAACGCTCATGGTGGGTGCTGTGAGTTGGTGTTGATGGAGGACGTGGTGAAGAGACAGAGAAGAGTAGAGTCGATCCCACATAGCCTCCGTCCTGCTCTTGTAGCTGCTCCATCTTGTCTTGTACAGACCAAGGGCGGAGATTTACAGCATAGAGTGAGAGAAACGAGAAAAGCCATGGTGGTCACTGATCAGCGCCTCCGTCGCAGGCTTAACGTTACCAAAGACTAAGTGAAGAGGCGAACAGGCTGAGGCCGTGATACGCGCTCTATAGATCATTGGGCAGTCCTCAGTGAAATTTATGAAGCCACTCCAGCCGGGATGGCCTCTTCTGCATGACAGCGTACGTTGAGGTTGGTGTGATGCTCACTACGCTCGAGATGTCCAGATGGTGATCAGCGGACAGCCCACAGAGACTGCCCCGTCTACTGGCCAAGCAAAGATTTGTTCATGTTGCACGTGTGTGTGCAGTGATGCATGGTGGGACCGAGTGAAATACTTCGTAGAGATGATGTGGCAGGCGGGGCCCAAGCTCTGGACGCTCCCCGCAACGGCCATGTTGGTCAACGCCAACATCGCAGCTGGGCAAAACAACGCGTCGCCATGGCCCCGTTCAACCATGAGCGTGTCAGCCACGCGTTGGACGAGCTGCTGCAGCGCATCGTGCCCGACGATCCGGATGACACGGAGGAAGCTGCCGAGCAGCGCCTGCAGGAGGCCTACGATGAGTCGATGCAGCAGCTGATGGCCGCGGGCGAGCCCAAGGCCGTGCCGGACGTCAACCACATTGCAAGCCTGCTGGAAGCCAAGAGTAAGTACGGCGTGCTGTGCACGATACGATGAGTGCCGCCTGACACTGCGACAGTCGCTGGGCCCGCCAGAGACGCGCACAAGAGCGCGCGCCTGCACAACCTCCTCGGCCGACTCGAGGACCAGCCGGTGCTGAACGAGAAGTGGCGCATGCTATACTTCCTTCATGAGCTCTCCAATCTGCCGGCTGCCGCGCAGCAGAACCCCTCGTTCGACTCTTCGCGCAGCCGGTCGCGCGGTCCCATGACGCCGGCGAAGCACCAGCCCTCGTCGGCCCCCGCATACGACAACCCAGCGTTCGCCGAAGCGTTCGCAAAGCAGGGGCTGCCACAGTACCCAGCTCGCGAGCCCTCGCCAAAAGCATTGGCCCTCCCAGTTCCTCCAGCAGACAAGGTGGAGAAGCGCAGGGAGCGGCGCACGCAGGAAGCCAGCAAAGAGCAGGCGCAAGATGCTGCTCACGCAGAGAACATCACCATGGGCCCCTCGGAGACGGACCTTCTCCGCGACTTGCCCTTCACCCTCCAGGGTCTCTCTTCCTCCCAGCTCGTCTTCCCCTCCTCGACCGCGCTCAAGCTGCCCGCCAATCTGCCCGTGCCCATTGTCGGACTGCTGCACACCCTCGCCGAGCCCGCCATCTTGTACAAGGGACTGGCAGAATTCGTCGAGTCGAGCGAAGGAGATCTGATAGGCCAGAGCTTTAGGTCGGCGCTGGGCAAGGAGCTGCGCGCATACCTCGGCCTCGTCGCGACACTGGAGGGGCAGATCAGACGGGCATTGACTCAGCTGGGCGAAGGTCCTGCGCATCAGGGCGTTAGCAAGGCCGGCGTGACCCTCAAGCGATGTGTCATTTGGACTCGTGATGCGACCATGGGCCTGCGACTGATGAGTCTGATGGTCGAGCAGTCGAAGAGCCTCAAAGGTGGTCAGCTAATCTCGCTCATCCACTCCTTCTCACTCAACCACGGCGATCCCTATGTCATCTCTTTCGCTGAGCGACTTCTCTCCGACGTCACACGACCGTTCTACGACATGCTGCGACAATGGGTCTACGACGGCGAGCTGTCAGATCCCTATGGCGAGTTCTTCGTCTCTGAGCAGAACGAAGACGACATGATGGACGTCGACCAGGGCAAAGGAGGAGCGACGAGCGTGTGGGAGGACAAGTACAAGCTCAACGACAAGATGGTGCCGACCATCGTTGCGGACGACTTCGCCCGGAGGGTCTTCCTCATTGGGAAGACGCTCAACTTCATCCGCTACGGCTGCGGAGACGCGAACTGGGTTGACACGTACTCGAAGGAAGCATCGAAAGAGCTGCACTATGGCGACACTGCCAACCTCGAGCGCTCCATCGGCGATGCGTACAAGACGACCATGGCACGTCTGATCGAGCTGATGGGCAACAAGTTCAAGCTCTTTGACCACTTGCAGGCACTGAAGTCGTTCATGCTCCTCGGTGCCGGCGACTTTATCGCCGTTCTCATGGAGTCGTTGGCCTCAAACCTCGACCGCCCAGCCAACACGCAATACCGACACACTCTCACAGCCCAACTTGAACATGCTGTCCGGAACTCGAATGCACAATACGATACCGCCGACGTTCTGCGAAGGCTGGACTCCCGTATGCTGGAGCTCTCACATGGCGAAATCGGCTGGGATGTCTTCACTCTGGAATACAAAATCGACGCGCCCGTCGATGTAATTGTCACGCCATACGGCTCAAAGCAATACCTCAAAGTTTTCAACTTCTTGTGGCGTGTCAAGCGGGTCGAGTTCGCCCTCGGCTCGACGTGGCGTCGTTGCATGACTGGTGCTCGCGGTGTGCTCGGTACTGTCGATGACAAAGTCGGGAAGGACTGGAAGAAAGCACGATGCGCTATGGCTGAGATGGTTCATTTTGTCAATCAGCTTCAGCATTACATTCTCTTCGAAGTCATCGAGTCATCGTGGATCGACCTGCAGAAGGCACTGACCAAGCCAGAAAGCACACTCGACGATATGATCGATGCACATGCCAAATACCTAAACAACATCACACGGAAGGGTCTCCTTGGAAGTCAGAGCATCGACTTTACCGGTCAGCTGCACGAGCTGCTCAAGACGATGCTTTCTTACAAGGACACGGTCGACAGTCTGTACTCGTTCTCTGTCGCAGAGTTCACTCGCCGCCAGGAAGCTGCTGCGAAGATCGAGACACGCACGGCAGCGGGGCGATGGGGACTATCCGAGAGGGAGAGCTCGCGCACGTCCACACCAGATCCGTTCGCAGCGTCACGCGGCGCGTCGCGGCATGACCTGGATTCGCCTTTTCCGCCACCTTTGCTCAGAGTTGGCAACGGGGGATCAGGCGAAGACGACGTCCTGCCGGCCCTGCGACAGCGCCTGGCAAGTTTAGCGGCCGATTTTGAAATGAGGATATGCCTGCTGCTTGGTGATCTGGTGCACTCGCCAGACGGGGAGCTTAAGATGCTGGCTGTCAACATCAACTTCAACGATGTCTACAAGCCGGAGCGCAGGCGGAGGAAGAGCGACAAGAAGCGTGAGAAGGAGAAGGAGACGCCCGCCGCTCCGAAGCCTACCGTTGCGACTTAGAGACTCCAACGGGTCTTGAGATCTGACGGGCCAGCTGAGGAACCGAGAGGGTGGCGGGCTACTGCACATAGCGCTGCCGCTGTTACTCACACTGGAGTCGAGGCACTCCAGCAGCTTGAGGACGCAGGGCTACGGCAGCTAGACCTGCAGAACGATATTGATACCCCACCAACACATTCTCAAGCAGAACACATCCATGAGACAAACATCTCCAGTGGTGACGACCTGGTCATTGTGATACGAAGTGAGCATCAGGCAGAAGCAGAAACAAGCGAGGAATCACGGGCGACAAGCTCAGGTGCGTCTGACGCTTACGCGGATTGGTAGAGTTTTGACAATCACTGACTGCCAGAAGCTGCCGCCCAGACCCAGTTGTCCCAGATCAGCGACACAATCTTGCCGTCGTGTGAGATGCCATGTTAGCATAAAACACCTGCATTGAAACGGATTGGAGTTCTGGCGGGAGAAGAGAGCAGGGAATCATGGCCGGCAATAGGCCAGTCTGCGGGGCTGAGATGTTCGTTACCGTATCGGTCACAATGCATCGCAATTCCAAAATACCATCTCGGACTCAAACGTGCATCTGATTTGAAACAAGGCGCAGGGCTGGCCAATCAGGAAAAGGTAAGCTTTGGCCATCGCGCCTTGTCGATCTGGCTCGTTCCCCGGAGAATCTCCCGCACTCGATCACGGACGCAGAAACTCATCAGCAGTCTGTAGAGCTATTCAACGCGTTTGGCGCCTTTCAGATCAGCCGCAGTCTTTGCTCACACTATCTGATGCACAGCGATAGGTCTGTTTATCTCGTTACGGAGCTTTAGATCGTTCATCCGAGCAGTCCGATGACCGCATCCGCAGCAGCGCGGAACGCTAAGAGCCTAGACGCGTGCATCGAACCGCAGGAGCTACCCAACGCCGGCTATGGTGGGGAACAGACAGGCTGCGGCTTCCTTGCTGGAATCGTCTTCGACGCCACTTCATGCAGAGACTTGAGGAGAATGCGCTGCACCTGCGCGAGACCATTTGAGGCTTCCCATTTCTGCGCCGGATGAGGCAGGCCATGGCCCAGGACAGCTCGACGCACGCCTCGCCCGACGGCGAACAGCGCTACCACGATGCAATCACAAAGGAGCAGGAGATGCAGATGTGCGCTGTTCACACTCTGTCGAGCTTCAAGCGCGAGACGCTCCACGCCGACCTCACCCACTCCAAGCTCCTAAGCTACCTCGACTGTGACGAACGCCCCTCCTTCGCGATTCACGCCGGCACTACACCCCAGCCAGACGAAACCCTCGAACTCGTATATAGCAACACGGCACTGAAGACTGAAGAAAGCCTCCTGGCGCGGGTCACGGGACAGCAGGCGGAGGGCGGCCTGTTCGTTGAAAGCGCAGCGCTCCACAACGCCTTCCGCAATTGGCTGCTGAATGTTGCAGACGAGTACGATCTGTCACGACGCGGCAATGCATACATTTTCGAGGGCCATCTATGGTCCGCGGTCCGCTTGGAGCATTACAAGGTCGTCAGCGGCGTCAAGGCGTGGATGCTGTGGTCGGACCCAAGCAACGCGAAGCTGCGACCGACTCTCGATCCCAGACAGAGTGGATCGCCCAAGCAACTCCCACTCGTGGCACAGCTATCCACTGAGCGATCGCCTGTGAGAAGCCCTGATGCCAACTCGGAGTGCAAGGAGAGCTTGCTGGACCCCACGAATCCCAGCCAGCATGGACCCTATGACTATACCTTCGATCCACCACCGGTCGCTACCATGTCCGAGCATGTCAGATACTTCCGCCAGACGAACTGGTCACAGACACCACTTGGAGATATGGCATCATGGTCGTCCGAGCTGCGCTGTGTGGTCAACATGGTGCTGAACGATACCTATCCTGCTGTACTATACTGGGGCGACCAAGCCATTATGGTCTACAATGAAGCATACATACAGCTACTTGGTGTCCTTCATCCCTGTATGGGAAAGAGCGCTCGCATCTGTGCGGGCAACTACTGGCCCACATTCACTCCGCTTATCGAACACATCAACGCAACTGGAGCCTCGTTCCGGGAGCACGACGTACCCTTATTCATCGACAGACACGGTTTTCTCGAGGAGACATATTGGTCTTTCCAATTCGTACCCGTGTTAAACAAGGACGGCCACGTTGCGAGCTACTACCACCATCTCTTCGAGACGACAAAGCACCACCTCCTAGAGCGGCGAGTTGGTAGCTTGGTCGAGCTCGGTAGTCAAACCGCCAATGCTCGATCGTTCCAGTCGTTCTGGGACATTGCCAAGCAGACACTGAGTCTCAACCCAAAGGATGTACCATTCGCCCTGTTGTATTCGGCAGAACAAAGGTATGAGTCAGACCTTAGCGCTATATCCTCGCAAAGTACCAGCACAAGCAAGGTCCTGGGCAGTTGCGAGCTCAAAGGCTCAATAGGCGTTGAGAGCGGTCATACTCTTGCCCCGCCCACGATCGACATCCACGAGAATCGCTACGTATTCCAATCCTACCTTCTCGAAGCTGCGAGCCATGAAAAAGCAACAATCGTTCACCTCGCCGACCTGAACCTCCCTGAGTATGTACTTGCTGATGTCGACTGGAAAGGCTACGGCGATCCGTGTCGCGTTGTGGTCATTTGTCCCATCATGCCCACCACCGGAGACAATGCACAGATCGAAGGCTTCGTGATCCTGGGCATCAATCCAAGGAGGCCCTTTGACGATAATTACCAGAAGTTTGTACATTTGATGATGCGTCTGATGGCTACCAGCTTAGCTAGCGTGGCTTTCTTTGACGCTGAGGTCCGGCAGAAGGAGAAAGCTATTGAGGATGCGGCAAATCTGCAACAGCAGTTGTTGAACGAGATCGAGGCGAAGGAGAAGAAGTTTCAGAGCTTTGCGGAGAGGAGCAACGTCGCTATCTTCATCATGAATGCTATGGGCCAGTACACGTACAGGAATCGACGGTGGTGAGTCAATGAGCATGCGCCAACACCTTGAATCGTGCTAAGCTAGGGTAGGTACGACATGTTCGAAGTGGCAGCTGACGTTGAAGATGCTATGCAAGCATGGCTCAACATCGTCTTTCCTGAAGACATTGCCAAGTGCGAGGGCATTTTTGGCAAATTGGTTACGGAGAAGATTCCCGTCCTCTTCGAACTGAAGACGAAGATGCTATGGTCACCGCCACCTGAACTCGAGCAGCCCGAGTGCGAAGACTCACAGCACCATAAGTGGATCCTGTGCTCTGCATACCCCGAGCTTGGACCTAACGATGAGCTCCTCGAAATTGTGGGTAGCGTCACCGACATCTCGAAACAGAAGTGGGCCGAAGGCAACCAAAAGATTCGAACTGATAGCGCTCTGGAGAGCAAGCAGCACCTCGAGCATTTCATCGACACGACATCGCACGAGATGCGCAATCCTCTGTCGGCGATCATGCAGTGTGCCGACGGTATCCTGTCTTCTTACTCCTTCAGCGACGGCAACCCACCGAGTCCCGCGACTTACTTTGATCTCCTCGATCAAACGCTAGATTCGGCACAGACGATCGCGCAATGCGCGCAGCACATGCGGCACATCGTTGACGACATTCTTACCATATCCAAGCTTGACTCTGGCCTACTCGTCATAACACCTGTCGATGCCCAGCCTGAAAGTGTGGCCAAGCATGTCGTCAAGATGTTTGATTCTGAGGCCAAGGCTGCAGGCGTCAATCTATCATTTTTCGTAGACCAATCTTACCGCGACCTAGGGGTAGACTGGGTCTCACTGGATCCAACGCGAGTCCTGCAGGTACTCATCAATCTTCTGACCAACGCGATCAAATTTACACGACTGGAGACTAAGACGCGCAACATCACAATCACGCTTGCGGCTAGTGCGGCGGAGCCTGTGTCGACACCTGGTGGTGTTCAGTTCATTGACACGAAACTTGTCGGAGAGAACCACCACTTGGAGCAGGACTGGAAGCAAGGCAACACAGACTATATCCAATTTTCAATCAGCGATACCGGTCGTGGCTTGACTCAAGAACAGACAACATCGCTCTTTCAACGCTTCTCCCAGGCCTCGCCTAGAACACACGTCCATTACGGCGGCTCAGGCCTCGGCTTATTCATCTCGCGACGATTGACTGAACTCCAGGGTGGCTCCATAGGTCTTGCAAGCAAGTACAAAGAGGGAAGTACCTTCAGCTTCTACATCAAAGCTCGACGCGTGAAGCCTACCATGCTCCGGAAGAGCAGCCTACCGGACGTCTTCCCTGAAGACATCAGACACCGCAGCCAGAAGTCGACCCTAACCCTTCCACGTGACTCATCACCAGTCATCCCCGAGGTTGCGCGCGAGAACAACCAATCTCTGCGCCACGAGCATGCCAGCCCAGACCCATCCACTCCACCAGCCATCGTCGAACCATCTCCGACGACCTCTGTCCGTCGCCCAGCAACCGCCCCCGCCACCTCAACACCCAGCTCCGAAGCCCTGGGGCTCCCGCCCCCCCTCGACTTCGCCGAGCTGAAGCGCACAAAGAGCATCCCCGAAACGCTGCACGTCCTCATCGTAGAAGATAACCTGGTAAATCAGAAAGTGCTCGCCAAGCAACTGCGCAATCTAGGCTGCATCGTCAGCGTCGCAAACCACGGCCGTGAGTCGCTCGACTTCCTCCCCAGAACCACGCGCTGGAACCACGATGCACACTCGGCGCGCTCGCGCACCCGGAGCCCGAGTACACACGTCGACCCCGATGCTGCAGCCTTGCTCAGCACCCCCGATGCCGCCGATAAGCCTGTCGAGCTCTCGCTCATCTTGATGGACTGGGAGATGCCCATCATGAACGGCCTGACGGCTGTCGCGAAGATCAGGGAGCTGGAGCACGATGGGCTGTTGGTCGGCAGAGTGCCGGTTATTGGCGTCACGGCGAATGTGCGACAGCAGCAGATTGAGACGGCGATTCAGGCGGGCATGGATGATGTGGTTGGCAAGCCGTTTAGGGTTGCTGAGTTGCTTGCTAGGATGAGGGGTATTGTCAAGGGGATTGGGGGCGGATGAGGTCGTGTGCATCACATCAAGCAATGTGACTACACGCGAGAGGTGGGGGGCGCAGTATCGGTAGAGGAATCATCCGTCTGCGCAAGCTGCGAGGCAGCGTTGGATTGCGTGGCTCCATGTCATGCGCCATGCTCGCAGGTCCTGTCAAAGGAAGATCGCGAAACCACGGGCGCGTAAAACAGATATGCAGGATCATGATATCCCAAAAGACGAGAATTGAGGTAGCAGGTCCGGACCGTTTGAGACCAAGGCTGCATCGACTACAGGACCTCTGTACAACGAATACCACCGAGTCCGGCTACTCTCGCTCACTTCCGAATCTCCATCTCATAGCTCGCTAGCATGAAAGGCCCCACGCCTTTGTAGTCGTTCACAACGAGCGGCACACCGATGTAGTACTAGTCAAATCAGTCACTGCTAGAATTCAGTTGATGAGGCAGTCAGTTCTTACCTCATACGTCGCGTTGCCGCCCAGGCTGCCCACTTCAACGGTGCCCTGCCAGTCTAGCGTGCCGTCGGCCCTTACAGTGTTGAACCTGCTGGTCAGTAGATGATACCCTTTCTTCGCCGAACTCAGGTACTCCCTCTCCCTCAGATACCCGTCTTGCATGCCCCGCAGCAGGCCGTACGTGAACATGGCCGACGCCGAAGACTCGATGTAGTTCCCCTCGGCGCCGGGGTACGGCTCCTCCATGATCAGCCACCAGCCTCCCGACGCGTCCTGCGTCTTCTTCAGCGCCGCCGACAGCGTCGTGAAGTACCTCACCAACCGTGCTCTGCCCGGGTGCGTCGCGGGCAGCAGCGGAATCGTCTCGAGCAGCGCCATAAAGTACCATCCCACCGCTCTGCTCCACACGTGTGGTGCCGCGCCCGTCACGGGGTCGGCCCAGACCTTGCTCTTGCTCTCATCGTAGCCGTGGACGAGCAGCCCAGTGGTCGTGTTGCGCGTGTACTTTTCAATGGTGTCGAATTGGTGGACGATGTGGTTCCACGCCGTTGCGTTGTCGCTGTCGAATTTGCGTGTCCAGGTCGCGTAGAACGTGTCCGCCATGAAGATGCCGTCGAGCCACATCTGGTCCTTGTACACGGGCGCGCGGTGCCAGAAGCCGCCCTCGTTGTTCTGCGGGTGCCGGTTGAGCTGCTCGCGAATGGTGTTCGCGGCGGTCTTGAACTTCTGCTCGCCCGTGCGGTCGTACCACCACAGAAAGTTATTACCGATGCGGTAATCGTCCAGCGAGTAGTGGGTGGAGTTCCAGTTCACGATGCTGCCGTTGGCAGCCACGAGGGGGTCGATTTGGCCCCGGTACCAGTCCACGAGGGTCTGGTTGTGGGTCAGGGCGATGGCGGCTTCGTAGCCTTCGTACAGGGTGGCTTGTGTGTAGCCGAATGTTTTCCTCACGCCGTGTCTGATCTGCGAGTCGGCTGTCCAGGTCAGGTAGGAAGAGTTGGCGACTGCCGCTGCAGTCGCGCCGGTGGCGAAGATGAGGGATGACTTCATCGTGTTGACGGGGTTTGACGACCAAATGCCTGTGCTTGTAGTGTGGAGTACTTGAGCAGCATCCTTTATACGGCTTCATGTCGCCATGTTACCACATGGCAACCCCTCGGAACCTCGGCCTCGACCAAGCCGGGAAGATGGTCGTTGACTACAGCTGTCGCGAATTTACCGCAGCGGAAGAATTGCATTCATGGCGCCCGAAGTGATCTAAGAGTGGGACGGCCCGAGCATCATCGCCATGTTAGTGCCTGGATTTTGAAGGAGTGCGGAGAGCCAAGTCGGCTGCTTGGCGACTTCATCTGCAGTTGCCTCTTTGGGAGCGATGAGCAGGTAAACACCGCCAGGATTGGTGCAATTGGATTTGCAACGATCTTCTTGGCTTTCCTCAGGAAAGTACCCCAACGTAGTTTCCAACCGGGTGGAGATGAGATGGACTGAGGGTTTGGAGAGGACGTCACAATGACTGTCTTGCGACCACCTTCACGATGGTCTGCAGACGTTCCTCGTAATGGGAGATTGTAGCTGGAGAATTTAAGGACTGGTAGAAAAACAGAGAGTACGCAACTCCACCTGATGGTCTTCAAGTAATGACAAATTGGGTAGGATTTGAGGTGTTTGACAGAAGATATCGAACGAATCAACCACCAGCACTTTAGACGGCTAGACTAGGCCCAATGAGGCGAGTCACACCCGACTTCCGATAGGCCAGTATAACGGTGTATGGAGAGTGTAAAGGTGATTCGGGCAACGAGTCATGCAGGAGATATTCAAGTAGTGCGATTTATCTCATCAATGACGTGGAAATTGTAACTATCCTTTCAGCGATTCAGCATTGTACTTACTCAATCACTGTAACCACGTGGGTGAAGTCACATGATATCTTGTTGTAGAAGGTACCGCCCAGTGGGCAAGTGCACTTACCTCAGAGCTGAGAGCTCCGTACACAAACATCACAACACAACAACAGATAGCAATACAATTGTTAATCCCAGCCTCTACCCAACACTGCACTAGGCAGTTACAGTTATGAGCCTGGCTGTCGACTACACACGCTGTATCCGTTACTGCATGCCGACGAGCTATTGACTGCTGTCAACAGAGCTACGTTATTAAACCGCTACCTTTACCTTACCTTGTCAAGAGCCTTGAGCGCACTGTCCCGTATGAGAGTTAACATCTGAGAGCTAATAGAGCCTGATTCAGGATGGCTACTACTGAGCTGGATGGACTGATTACAAGGACGACAGTTATACTTAAGAAGCCTGCAGACTAGGAGGAATGGATCTTCCTACGAAAGGATAGCGCGGACAGGCATCAACTGTGGTCCATAGTTAACCCTAATCTTGATAAGGCGGCCCTTAAGAAGCTTAAGGAGCCAGCAGCTGTTAAGGCGGAGCAGTACCATGACAAGACTGAAGAGGACACCAGCGTTGTGCTCAAGGACATGACGACCAAGGAGTTCCAGCAATACCAGGAGGCGGAGCGGAACTACAATCGAGCACTGGCTAGATACACAATCAAGAGGAAAGCGTTAAATAACTTTACCCAGGAGATTGGCCAAACAATCAGCTGCCGCCATATACACCTAATTTAGAGCGACAATACTGCGTACGCTCGCTTGAAGAGGTTGAAGAAGCACCTCTGCCCATTGACGGCTGAGAGGGAGCTACAGTTGATAACTAAGTATTGACAACTACAGAGTCGACCAAGGAACAACATTGATAGTTGGCTTGAGGAGTGGCTGCACGTCGTGCGGATGTGTGAGGCAATCCATCTGCCTGATGTCACATCACCGCGAGCACAGCGCGACTTCCTGCTAGCCATCAAGGGCCTTGACGATACCTGGGCAACGACCCAGCAAGCTACATTGTTTCGAGCTCAGCTGAACGCTCAGCCAATCCCAACATTAGACAATCTTGTGGCCGAGTTTTCTATGTACTGGCGCTCAACAAGGCCAGTGGCATCGTCGCTTGGTACATTTGCAACACTGGGCATTAATCAGAGCTCTAACAGACGATTAGACAGCGCAGAGACGCAGAGTAGCAACAAAGACAGAAGGCTTAAATGCAAGTGCGGCCTTAAGCACCGCTTTAAGGACTGTTAGTACCTTAGAGGGAAGGGCAAGCCTTAAGGCTGGACGCCAAAGCCTAATATCTAGGAAAAGTTTAGTTAAGCTATTAAGAGCTAGTCCCTAGTTAGACAAGCTATGCAGGCAGCTCTAAAGGCAAACACAGGCACAGCAGCTTTTAAAATAGCCTCAATTACACTGCGTTAATTTGACAACTATAGTCCAACAATTAAAGACCTTAACAGCCATGTGCTACAGCTTACTATGAGCACAGACTGCACGAACAAGCAGGTAATCAAGCCAAGCCTGATCAATTAATGGATCCTAGACCCAGGATCAAACACGCATGTCACTAATACTAGAGCGTACGGCTGGAAGAAGCGAGCTAATAGGAAAGGTGAGGTTGTCAAAGCTAGCAACCAAGAGCTTCAGATACAAGAGTGGGGAGATGTGGTTCTACTCACTAACACGCCTACAGGCACAGAGCAGATAGAGCTCACCTACGTGGCTTATGTGCCAGGATTTCTCACCAACGTTGTTGGCTTATCTCGCTGTTAATCTGTTGGTATACACTTTGACTCAGGCCGAGATTGCCTGTACCAACGCAGATGGAACAACGTCATAAGCAAGCTTCAGTACATGGGCGGCCATTGGCTGATAGATGCCGACAGTATGGAGCGACCAGACGCCAGCTCCTTACTTGCAGCATCAGCTCATGCCCACAAGAAGCCCTCGTACGAGCCCAGGAAGCCACTACAGATTACGCCAGAGGAGGCTCACATCATGTGGGGTCACGCAGGCCGACAGGCGATCGATCGACTGCCGGATAGCGTAGACGGGCTGCAGCTGGTAGACGGCAACCCAGCACCAAAGTAGAAGGACTGTGAGATCTGTATATAGTCGAAATTGACGAAACTGGTCAGCCAGAGGCCGCCGCGCGAGCCAGCTACCCGACCGTTCGAGCGCATCAGTGTTGATCTAGTGCAGCTACTAGAGCGAGGCGAGCATTGCTATAACGGCGACCAATACCTATTCCACATGATTGACCAGGACACGAAGTGGCATGAAGGAAGCTATATGCCAGACAAGACAAAATCTACTCTCACACGAGTCTTCAAGCAACTGCTAGCCAAGATTAAGTGGCAGTTTAATCGCCAGGTTATCATTATAAGGCTGGATATGGAGACTAGATACGTTAAACTGCTTGAGATATGCAGAGACCTTGGAATTGCGATTAAGCCAAGAGCGACAGAAGCTTAGAATAGAGCGATTAAGCGCGCAGGGAAGGCGATTGTGATTTGAGGCAGAGCTATCCAACTACACGCTAGTCTACCTAAGGAGTACGCCAACAAGTGTGTTATGTCAGCGATATACCTACTTAATCGTACGCCAGTCAAAGTAATTAGCTGGAGCTGCCTATACACTAAAGTTAAGGGGATTAAGCTATTAGTTGCTTACCTTGAGGTGATTAGAGCGAGAGCCTATGTGCTTAATAAGAAGCTGCCACGCGGAGCTAAGCTCGAATCTTAAGCTCTTATTAGCCACCTAGTAGGCTTTAACTCTACCAATATCTTCTAAGTGTGGTTGCCATCCATTGGACGAGTGATACAAACCTAAGATGTTGTCTTCATTCGAGGCAAGCTCTGTGACGGCAAAGGCCAGTACGCAGAGAAGAGCTACGTTCAAGAGGCAGCAGAAGTGCTCGATATCAAGGAGGCGCTCGATTACAGCAATATATTGACAGAACAGCTGTTCTCTCGTGAGAACAAGGACAACGCTGAGGGTATCGGAGATACAGTTCATGTTCAACTACCGCCGAATTATCAGCAGAGCCGTACTCAGCAGAAGAACACCACAGCGCTCATGACTCCAGAAGCGACACCAGATTTGCCCGAGCCGATCGAGCTCACAGGCGAGTCGCTCACTGATCAGGCGATGGATGATACTGGCTGGGGACGCGGATATGCTCTAGCTCGAGAAGGAGAAGAGCCAGACCGAACGTCCAACAACGCTGCACGACGAGGAGAGATTAGCAGCCAGGTATCAGAGCAGTTTATTATGAAGGGCAAGCGAATTCGCAAGCCAGCGACGTTTGGCACCTATCTAGCGACATTTGCAGCCTGTATCAACCCTACAGCAGCAGGAAAGCTACTCAGCGAAGCGCCGAAAACCCGACTCCATCGTGACCAGCTGCCGGCTGAGCTAAAGAGATAGAAGGAACTAGATCAGCATCTATTTGGAGCTGAATTCAAGAAGGCAAGCTGCAAAGAGATTAATTGCTTTATCTAGAGGAGCTGTTTTGGACAAGCAGTGAGAGCGTCTGATTTAATAGACGCTGAGATACTGCCATTGATGTGGGTATT